GAATTTCATTTGTATAATTTTCATTTGGAATTTCATTTATATAATTTTCATTATGGAATTTCATTAATATAATTTTCATTATAGAATTTCATTTGTATAATTTTCATTTGGAATTTCATTTATATAATTTTCATTATGGAATTTCATTTATATAATTTTCATTATGGAGTTTCATTTAAACTTGCGGTAAGCTCCGTAAAAAAACCGACGCAGCAGAAATACCTTTGAAAAGATTGCAAATATCAGCGCAGAACGCATACTCGAACGATCAGTCATTCGTTCGAACTCAATGTTTCGTTTATCGAATCGTCAATTGTTTCCAAAGCATCCGATAACGGAAGCTTGTATGCGAATTTCGAGAAGCAATACGTAAACGTTCGAGGAATTTCATTTGTTAATTTTCATTATGGAATTTCATTTGTATAATTTTCATTATGGAATTACATTAATATAACTTTCATTATGGAATTTCATTTATATAATTTTCATTTCTCCAAAATTTTAAAACTTGCGGTAAGCTCCGTAAAAAAACCGACGCAGCAGAAATACCTTTGAAAAGATTGCAAATATCAGCGCAGAACGCATACTCGAACGATCAGTCATTCGTTCGAACTCAATGTTTCGTTTATCGAATCGTCAATTGTTTCCAAAGCATCCGATAACGGAAGCTTGTATGCGAATTTCGAGAAGCAATACGTAAACGTTCGAGTATCGCTACCGTTTCATTTCGCAAACACACATGAAAAATCTGTTTTAATTGCGCCGCATTGTTACTGAACGACCTTTTCCGAATCGAACCTTCGAATATTACGAAATCTGATTCCACCGTTTCGTTAATGTTTATGGAGAATGTGCAAGCTTGATTTATCGCGTACACTCTCATTCATGGTTTTATACCTTTAATTTATATGACAGCGATAGTTAATCGACACTAGAATCGCGAACTATGTACTATTCAATGACTCAATTACATTTCTCGGCGAATGGGGTAATTTATTGCTTTCCAGTAGTGGATAAGAAGCTTACCGAGTAGCAGTGAAAGTCTTGCAAACGAATATTTAATTCATTACACTCTGTAATTTATTATATAGGCTTCTAAGAATATTAAAAAGATACTAGAGATACTCGAATCCTTGAATATCGATGAAGCCTTAAAAGTAAAACTCGATATATTATAAAAACTTCTCCACTACCCCCCACGGCAATATAACGAAAATATTCGATATTCCTAAGAATTGCATTCGATCACGAAAATTTTATTTACATATTTCCATTAATAGAATCTAATCTCCAAGATCTGTACACACGCTTTAGAAATAGAAAAAGAATGTAACATAAAATTTCCGACCATAAAACACAGGAACGGAGATGCGTGCCGCGATACTAGTTCTCCCATAAATTCCTGCTTTTTTCCTTTCGTGCATGCTACGCGATCAGTGATATAAGGAATTGAAGGCCGCAATAATATTTATGTGGCAGACGGTGTTCATTTCCGGAGTCTCGGAGAACGTTAATTCCAGTGCTATGAAAAGAAGCTCCGCGCTTCGACTATCGAATAGATTTTCTTCTTTATGATCTTTTCTAACAGGTATTCGATTCGGGAAACCGGCAATAAATATTCGTTTTTCGATGTTTCTCGTACAATTTACTTTATCGAGAATCTCGAGTTATATCACTGTGACTCAAGGTTGATCTGCTCGTTCATAAATTCTTGCGATAATGATTTTCGTATCTCTTTTGCAGATTTTGCAACTTCTTTTAAGAGTAAACCCCTTGTGACATTAAGTCACACTACGCAGTTAAAATAAATAATAAATCCTACATGTTCAATTCAATATCAATGACAATTTGTTATTTTACAGCTCAACGATTCTTAAGGTTCCGTGGCACGAGATCTTCGTTTCGGTGCAATATGGAGAGGACTGAAAAATAGGAAAGAGTAAACAGAGAGGCGAGGAACGGGAGAAAAAGAATGTTTCAGGAAGAGGATACTTAGCACTCGGTTCGTCCACAAAGTCCGCTGATGCGAGTTATGCAATTACATTTGTAATGGGCCAACATTCAGCTCCGACAACGCTGGCAATTCGCGGTAATTACTGTGCCGTATCTCGTAATCCATTGCCGGGTTGTGTCGTCTACGAAGACACGATTCTGCTGCAAAGGAACAACCGATTTTTCGGTCAAACACCGAACACCTTCGTCTACATTCCGGTGCGCTTACTTTCTGTAACAATTTTTTCTTACGCGAACTTAAGCTTTTAATACAACGTCAAAGATGTAAAATTACGAAATTATCTTCTAATTTACTGTTACATATCGAATTTAATTCCAACGGGAAGTTGTGTTATACAGAACATAAAATAATAATGCAGTTCGATTTCCTTTCCTCTTTTTAATCGTTCTGTTACGTTATGTTGTAGGCACAGCGTCAGTCACCGGTGACCGACATGGTCACTTAAGATTGAAATTGAAGGGTTTGCAGCAATAAGTGGGCAGCTTTTTGCACGCTTTTTCTTACATATCCTGTCTCTGAAGAAAAATCTGACCTTTCACTTGGTATAAAAAGGAGCGAACAGCAATAGTTAGGAAACTACAATATAATACGAAATGATATGCATATCGCAACCTGGATTTGGAAATTTAGCAACGTAGCCAATGCACTGTCTTTTATTTTCTGGACATTGAACACAGCTAAATAAGGTATTATGCATTCAGCGACCCTCGAGCACGCAGATTATAATCAGAATCGAATCCAAAATTTGATTGCAGGGAAAATAGGATTCTAGTTTATCATATTCTAAATTTAATGTATGCCACAAGTATGATATTGTAGCCCAAAGAGTTAAGTATAAAGTTAAATTAAATATTTCATTATTTTCACAGCGAAAGATAAAAATGCTGAGAATGATCAAGGAGGAAGCGATAGCTATACTTGTAGAACAAGGACGTATTCGAAGTCTAGAAGGACGATTGTAACACAGAAGATCGGAAAGACGAGCAATGTCGAAGTGGTACGGAAGCTCAGCAACCCGGGACACGTTTTCTATTCAAGGCTCGACACGCGTCACAAGGGGAGTCGCGAATCGAGTATGGTGTTCTCATACTGATTTCACCTCCTTGACACGGTCAACGCGAGGCCACGTGGAAGTTAAAACACCATTAGGTTCGAAATAGGTGTATAACCAGATGTAACCAGAAATGTTTGCATTCGTCATTTTCTTTTAAGAAAATAATAGCACGCTCTTATTCGTACACTTCATAACTCTAAATTATCTAATTACTAATTAGATATTACTTAAGACTAATTATCATAACTCTAAAGCGAACTCGAAATTCGTGTTACAGAAATCGATGGAACTCTCAGTAGGTCTCGAGGACCAGAAGCTTAATTTAGACCCAGTTCAGAAGGTTCAAAGGTGCATGAACACTTAAGTAATGAAAACATACCTGTTAATAAGCGTAACGTTTCTTTGACGCAGGAGAAACTCGTAAATCTGCGCGGTGTTTGGTAACGGTTGTCGCAGATCGTTTACGTAATGGTAGATCTTACTTATTGTTAGAAATCGGTGTCAGAAAAATTGATACATCAATATCGTTAGGAAGGACAAAACGGTATTCTCTTTTGCGAAGGAGAAGCCTATCGGTACTTAGCTACCCAATACTCGGAATCATCGGTTAATGCCAACTAAATACTAATAAAAAAATCTAATGCCGGTGTAACCGGATCAGAATTACGCAACTAGGAATCATTTTACCGCCTATCTGTGCAGCATTCAAGACCTAATAGGGATATTTCTTGAACTTGATCATCGTCCATCTCGTGAATCGAATCTATGTACTTTTACGTTGTCTTTCGTTGATTTACTTTCCCTTGATACTGGTTTGCATATTTTTCTCGCACGGATTTCTTAACAATAAGCAAAATCTATCATTACGTAAACCGTTGCCAAACACCATGCAGATTTAGTTTCTCCTGCATCAAACTATTGCGGTCATTATTGGACATTCCGATTTATACAGAAAGACATGGAGCAACGAATTACGTGATGTTATTTATAACAAAAGATACACTTTAAATTTTACGATAGGTATTTTGGGACATAGAGATTTTTAGATGTAGGAATACAGGAGTTTAGGGATATTACAGAACTAGGAAGATATACAGGAATCTGACAATCTAAGGATCTAGGAAATCTGAATACATGAATTGCAAAGTGTAATCTACACACACGTTTATTAATAGTCAATTAAATTTTTTACAATTATTTTTATCGCGACAATCGTTAACGAAGAGTTAGGTTACTGTAAGGAGCGACAGCTTTGAAACAATTAGAAGTTGATTAGAAACTATATACGACATGTGTTTTGCATACTTTATCGTCTACATTTACCTACGATATCAACAGTTGTCATTTATTAATCAGTGTGTATAATTTACCAGATACAAGTCCGCGAATATTAAATAGGAATTATCCAATCAAGAATTTATAGTGACTCGAGCAATTAACAAGTTATGATGTGTAACGAAAAGCGATAGACGTTGATCGAGTGACGAATCGATTGTAAATTAATATTGACACCGATTTCTTTAAGAATTCATGAAACTTGAATCGAACGAAGCTTTCTTAAACTGCTCGAAGAGATTTAAAGGATTATCGAATTAAAAATTTGTACTACTTCAAACAAGTAACAAAGTTGCGAGTGTTCATGAATAACTCATCAACCACGATTAATCAGTTATATAAACTTAGAAGAGGTTTCACTGTGCGCTAATTAAAGGAGTCACAACTTTGTTTCATTTAATTCCAACTAATCCGACCGCTTTATTTATTAAGCAATTAATTAATCTCCGTTTAAGCAATCTGCAATTTCCTAACATAGTATCCTGCGACTTAAAAGGATCCGCAGAAATCGAGGACAAATCGACGACCTAAAAATCGTTGCCATCGAAGAATTCAAAGAATCTTTAATTCGTCCCTAACTCGTGAAACTATTATAAAACAAAAGAATCAGAAGTCCAGAGTTTCACCTGACGACTTTAATTACCTGTCGTATAAAAGTAATTGCGGACGAAAGGTTTCACTGATTGCCGATTCTCTCGCAGTTTCGCAACGTTCTACACAAAGATCTATGAAAATGGCGGACGAATTACTCATCGCCCATAAAAAATTCATAATGATTAAAGCAATCAAGCCGCGATTGATTCAAGCTAAACTTCGGAAGCCGGTCGCAAGGATTTGAAAGGAAAGCTGGGTTATTTACGTTTATGATCGATGACACTTGGGAATTTTGGGACTTGGAAATTTTGTTGTTTTAGAAATTATCGGGTTCGCACTTGATAATTGGGGAATTTGGAGATTTTGAGATTGTGTGGATAAGGATTTAAGGATCTTAGCACTTAAGGACTTGAGAACTTATAGAACTTAAGGGCTTGAGGACTTATGCACTTTGAGGCTTAAAATAAACGATTCATTCGTTTTAATATTATAGCTATGAATAATTAGTTTGATTGACGCATCTGGCAAATAGATTGTACCGCAAGGGATTAAAATAACGTTGCAATCCCTAGAACCGAAGTCCGCGAAGATGTACATGAATCTAAAATGCATAAGAAATGCAATTAAAACTAACTATCGTTTCGAAGGTAGTTACGCAAGAGACCGAAGAATCGAATGAAAAGTCTGGAAGCAAACAAGTGGTTGAAAGTAAACGTTGTCGTTGGTTTCCTAATAGGGCACCGTAGAACCGCTTAGAAAGATCTACGGAAATCGAGGGCAAATCGGCGACCTGAATGTCCGCGAGTTCCACCGAGGGGAGAGAGATAGAAAAAAAAGTAGAAAAAGGTTTACCACCGATACGAGTGTTCGATTTCAATTTCGCTTTCACTAATACCGTCTCGACGAGCAACGCGAAGACGTGGACGAACCGGGTCAAGTGCATTCAGCCTGCCGACTATTATGGCTCCTATGCGACACTCTGCTCCCTCCTCAGGAGTGCATTCAAAGGAACTCACAAATTACATTGTTAGTAGTCCGCGACAATTCCTACGATCTGCGTCACTGATCAACTCGTGCACAGATGAAAACAATTAGGGAATCACGTTTCTGGACAATGCTAGTCCAGAAAGAAGCTGTTTGCGAGCACCCCTAATTTATTTTTAGACCTGTCCATGGAACACGATTCAACTACTGCAAATTGCGTGTCGATTGATTTATTTTTTTTTATTTCAAGATATTATCATTGTCGATTTTAAAGTTTCGAATTTTTAAATGATTAAAGAGGGAGTATGTACCAGATAGTCTTCCTTTTTTGACTTAAATTAGTATTAACGATTGATCAAGACAGTTTAAACAAAATTTTCTTTTTTCAGGAAGAGAAGAGGATAAAAACGCAGCTGAAGAGAAGATGTAAAAAAACATTGGTCAGGTAGAAGCGACTTGGCACAAAAATCGTGCATACAGGATTAGGGGTTAAATTATACGGTCTGGACGGATATGGTTGCTTGGAGATAAATCGCGAGGCATGGGATAATAATTTGCTAAATGTCAGGCAGTTTGTTGAAAATTCTTGCCTATTACCTACGCCATAACTTCGAGATCCGTCGAGAGCATTGAAAGGAACTCACAAATTACATTATTAGTACCGTCAGACACGCGTCACCATCTTACATGGGTACACACGAGCAATGTGACCAATTTGTACGCCATCGATGAATGCCACTTTTGTCTACCTTCCACGTCATTTTCCGCCATCGAGAAAATCGCATTAAACATTTTGTCGATCGTTTTTTATATTTGCGAACGTGCACCGCGTTAATCGCGTCTTTGACAATTACGAGAAAAACTTCGTTGAACTCTTTGTCGTGTGATTATTTTTAATTGTCGCGGTACGTAATGCCGCTAAGAAAATTCGTCGTTAAAGGAATTGTATAACATTATATAATTATAAATGATACAACGATGTTATGATTACGAACGGTATAATCTAATGTTATAATTGGGAACGAAATATGTTCTATGTTACGCTATGAAATATGAGAAATTCGTAATATATTATATTGTTTAGGGTATTTGCAACGGATTGTAATGAACGGTTCATCGCAGCATTGAAATATTACATGTTAAATGTAAAGCGCACGTTCAGCCTATTTTTCGAATCGGTCTATCGACGCGAACAAGAAGAAAATCGAATCTGAATTTGGATGGAGAAAAAAGAAAGAACCGGTAGAACCTGTATGCCGTTATATTTCGCATATGTTATGTCGCACGTCGTTTTATATCGCAATACGAAGGCAATCGCTATTATTTAACTACTATATGTAAAATGGACAACTATAATAGTCGTTTATTTCGAATATAGCGTTTTGGGAACAACACTTTGGTATTAATCTTTAAAAACAGTTTGAGATTTTCAACTCTAAATTTATGAACTTGGGTACTCGCGAATTTGTAGGACTTGAATATATTGTAACTTTCAAATTTGTAAGTAACCAAGTGAAGACAGTGGAAATTGTAAACTTACCTTCGTTCACCGTCCAGCGCCAAAAAATACTCCAACCGAGGAAGTTTGTCTTCGTCAAAAAGACCTGTTTCCGGTACAGAAATCGGACACGACGAATTGTCCACAAAACGTACCTAGGATAAACTATACGATTGGCACTTTAAAACTCTATTATAAATCATTTCGTTCGACAAATTTCACATTAAATATCTAAAGATAGTCGAATAAAATAAAGCTGTCGCTTTAATCCTCGTAAAACATGTCGCGAAGAAAACGAAAACTGTACAAAATAATTTTCTTATTGATTTGACAAAGTATGAAACTTTTAACAAACGTCAAAAAACATTTTATTCAACGTCGATCAAAGTTAACAGAATTTTAACATCTTACACGTAAACGTACATACGTATTCTATGAAATAAAATTTCTGCAAATGCTTTTGGTGTGCCAACGATTAGTATAGTGACAGAATCGGTATAGCTTACCCTACGTACTTATTCGATGAAAGAGAAAAATCGGAAAGAAACTGAAGGTAAATTTTGGAATCAACGACTCTGGTTGCACATGCTCGATCGAAACGGTCGAAACTCGATCGTCAGACCCGAAATGGAGTCGCGATTGCAGATGGGTCCGTACCGCGCGCTGTCGAGCGCTCTACTGCCAGGCCCGATCACACCGGCTCGAAAATTCTACGCGTATTCTAATATGTACGCCAATGCTGTCTAAGAGAGTGAATGCAACGTACTACCGATTCTTCTCTTCATTGATACTAACTAACGTGCCCGATTAGGAACTGGTTTCGATGCTTTTTCCTGGAATTTTCTCGGAGAACAGCGCTACTTCGCGATTAACCCTTTCCTCGAGAACCACTCAAATCGTCTACCATTTCTTCGCGGCATTTCATTCTCTCCTACATTAGAATTCTTCGATTAGTTTCGTAGATAGATTTCCTTCGTATTAGATATCGCTTGAAAATGTTAAATTTTGTTTTATTGGAAAGTTCGAAATCATTTTGATGGATCAGACACTTCTAATTTAAAAATTGACGCGTTCAGATTTTGTAATTTATAATCTTTCCAATTTGAAGATTTATACATACAAAAATTTTGAAATTATGAATCTGCAATCTTTCAAATTACTAAATGAAAAACTTCGAAGTTTGTAAATTCTACAATTGCGTTTATACGATTCTCTTCGCATTTTCGTTCCGACAGTTCTATCAACAGCCATATAACGGGACTCCCGACTGCATGTTTCAAAATACGCTTTTGCGAACTCGTCTTCGACTTACCGATCGATTCGTGAAAAGAAAGTAGGAAAGAAATTTTCGAGCGAAGCTCGATAACTTTGTTCGTTAAAAAAAGACATTAACAATTTGTACTTATATGGTATCAAGTGTAAATCAGCGAGGAGATTTTTGAAAACTATTCGTGCAGTGTTTCATGCATAGATCTCCAAAAAACAGGGTCAATACATGATTACTTTTGCAATTCTCGATATAAAATCTAGGACGCTTTCTAAGCTGCGTCGAGGGGCCAAAATTTGGAACAATTTCTCTCATTGTCAGTTCAGAACATTCGATCACCTCGTGATCTCTTTTTCTAAATTGCAGAAAGAAAATACATTGAAAAATTTGCATCGAGAAATTTACGCTTTACACGATTCTTAACCAGGAACTTTATTAAGAATTTTAGTTCAAAATCTATCTTATACATTATATTGCCACGTGTTATATCGCCATGCTTTGTATCGCCGCGCATTGTATAGACGTTGTATCGCTATACGCGTTATAGCAGTGACCTCGTTATCCCCGCGATACATAGCGTTGTTAGCCACAATATTTAAACAAATAGTTTAAAATGCAAAAAATGAAGTTACCGTTACTTCACCGATCCACCTTCAAAGTATAAAACAAGAAAATCCTACTTATCTTTATCGAATTAGAGCGAACTGAACTTTATGTATTCGTCAATAAATTGAAAAATTCCTTATCTGAATCGTTCGAAGAAAACCTATCGAGTATATTTTCTACAACCTTTGATCGCGACAGGTGTCGTGAATTCTTGACACACATCATTATGCCGTTATTAAGACAGGATAAGCATTAACGTATAACGGATTCAAAATAGATGCTTTCCCATTAATGGCAATCGATTACGCAGGATCAACAGCATGGATTTACGGGTTTCTTTTTTACGTTTTATGTAGATTTACCAAGACCTTCATTTATGTTGATCCCTTCGTTTACATCAATAAAACTCGACGAGTCGTTACGAGGGACGAAAATCAATTAAAGAATCGGTTGTAAGTTTCCCTGTCGTTTGCGTTATCGGTAATTTCGAACAGTCATTCGTGTAAATTTAGATTCAATGTACACTACTTTATGCCCTGAACGAGATAAATATATCTGTTTATTCTCTAAGAACAATGAACTGCAATATCTTATCTGCTAATTTAAATGTATAGAGAAATCGAAAATAAGAATTAAGCTCCTTTTCCTAGAATCTTCTGAAGCAGTGAGTGTGTAGAAATTTTGACATCAGATAGGCAGTAGAGTCTAATATAACCTTTCATTATATTAATAAATTATTGAACTTTCATCTATCTTTTATTCACATTCCATTCGTCCTTCTATTGGTGAATTGTCCTTGATAAAATATAGTAACGTGTAAACAAATACCTAAAATAATATTGGTTTATAATGTTACTTGATAGAGAATCGAGAACATCGTGTACGAATGCAGGACAGATAATTTCACTGCATAAATTAACTAATGATTTCACTATCATGCCTCAAGTTCAAGCTTTCATTGAATTAATTGTATCGTTTTATTTGTAGCGCTCTTAATTGAGAAGTCTACAATCTTATCTGGCCATAGTACATAATTACTTCGATCGAAGGCGTGAAAATTATGCACATAAGCAATAATACTCGTGATGAAGAAATACTCGTAAATTTGTGATCGCTTTTTTTCACAGTCCAAGCAAGTCAACAAACTTTTATCATGACCAGGCATAGCTGAATGATAAATACATAATATACAGCTGTAAGATTATTTTTCCCTTCAGGATTAACTGAAAAACAAAGGCAGTTGCTTCACATTCCTTATTGTAAAAGAAGTTCCAAACTTCTCATCTTGATGCTTTATTTCCATAACAATGCATGATCCTGATTGTAATTCTTCTATAGCCTACAAATAAAATTATTATTGCTATTCAAAATATAAATATGTTATATGATCAAAGTACATTACTCAATATACCTCATAATCAGGAAGGACGCCGTTATAAACTTCTAAAAAGTCCTCTGCATCAAATGGATTCACATGAAATCGTTGCACTGCAAAAATAAAGTAACCAGCTTTCTATATATCATCAGTAATATCTCCTATATTAATAAATAGACTCTATTAATGTTAATAGCAACATATGCATTATGCAATTAATTAATTTTTGACATACTCTTGTATTTTAGTTTGCAATTTTGTCCATGTAACGCAATCTGCATAATCTGTTATGTTATATTTGGTGAAAATATTGTTACAGTAGCTCCTACATAAAAATCCTTCGCTTGTATCCCTTCGCACTTTGTTCTTCTTAAAAATGTTTTTCTGGCCTTTATATCAAACTGCAAAGTACAATTTTAATTAAACATTTATTCATATTGATATTAACACAATCAATATATAAAACATACCAATTCAACCATGTTGCCATATGAATAATAATATAAATAAAAATTCTGTAGAAATGGTAGCTATTTTATCATACCGACATTCTTTAAATCAATTTATTTCAAACGTCCACCATAGAACACTGAAAACCATTTTTCTCAAATCCTGTAGGGTTATGCTTCACATCAAAATCATCTGTTATAAGTTATAAAAAATAGTTTTGAATTATTATACATGTATACAGTGTTGTTATTGTGTATAAATTCTGACATATTTAGTTTCTATGGAAACAATGTCCCTCCGTATTTGCATGTGCATACTTTTGCTCAAAGCATATACAGTTTCAAAAACGTATAGTTCACCCTATTCGCTAGAGAGATGGCGCCACTTGCTCCGTTTTCGTAAAAATTCGATTAATATTGATTTTATTGATCAATGAGCTATATATTTATTATATATTTATATTAATATTAATTTTATGCTTTTTACAATATATTACGTGGGTCCGAACGTGTGGATTATGTATTCAGAACAGTTCGCACACTATACTGTGTGTCGTCGGTAAAGTTTCCCAACATAATCCACAACTGTAGATAATGTTTTTAACAACTATTGGTAATAGTTGATGACTAGTAATGGCTGTCGATAATAGTCGATAAACGCAGATAATCGATAACCATTAATAATCAAATAAAATTAAAATTCGTACACTTAATTACTTATCTGTTACATCAGTTCTATTTACATAATCTTAAATATTATTCCATAATAAGTAGATGGTCCTTTTTTATTTATGGTATTAATTGTTTAAATTAAAAGTAACATACATTTAGTCAAGTATAAATAATATAACAGGGATAAGGTGTTACAAAATCAATTATTTGAATTAATAAAATTAAACTACAAGTTAAGTCAACAATTCAGTTTATTCAATCAAAGAGCATTACAATAGAAGATTCTCCCTCTGAATATTTTATCACGATGGAGCAAATTACAGGAGTCATAGCTAGGCACTATGTATGTACATTGTATAAACTAAACAAAACTATGATATATCGATTATCGATGTTGTAAAGAATGTACTTGGCAATGGCTCTTGAGAACTTGAGCAATCCCATGTTGTCCTTTAATCAAAGAGTACTGCAACCATCGATACTTAAAATGTCATAAACGCTACGGGCGCGTTAGTTTTCCCTAGGGTGTAAAACGACTTTAAGGACTAATATCCCTACAAATATATGTCCCCAAAATTTCCTGAAGTTCATAAATAATAAAATTCAAAAACCCAAAATATCAATATTTCAAGATTCTAAAATGGATTAATAAAAAATATCAGTTTACCACTTTCAAGCATTTTATATCTTAATATTTGGCGTGACCCGACCCAAAGTCTTCTCGTGACTCATCAATAGGTCGTGACCCACTCTTCGCTAATCTCTGTAATAGCAAAACTAAGATAGAAAAATTGTGAAATGTAACCCGATGTTTCTTTCTTACACCATCTAGCGCCCGTTCGTGCGTTTCATGGGTTTGCAGCTGCGCAGGTGTATCGCAGGCACCTTCTCATTAACATCTTGGCCAAAAAGCCAGTCACGCCAGCACAAGGATCTGGTACGGTCAAGTCATCCTATTGATCCTCATTCGCTAATACGTTCTGACCCTTCGATAAGCTGTTTGATATTGGATATCGTTTCGTTGTAATCTGAGGTACAAAGGAGGTGATCGTTGAACAGGACGATGCAATGGGCGAGGGCAAAAGCGACCGTTCCAGCAAAAGGTAACATCTTATCGTATTTCCTTCGAATAGCTTCGGCGGGAAACGGATTGCAGGCTATCGAACTCGTGCGGTTTAACGAACTTCTCAGGAGACTTCCTCAAAACCTATTTATAGAACACGATACTCCCGCTGCTTTTCTGCCCTTACAGAGATCGGTAAATTTTAGTCAAATAACGAATGCGTGCCCCTAAGTTTAATGTAAGCTTATTCAAATCTAATTATCCTTGTTTAAGATTTGGTTAGACGGAAAAATAGATATTAGGTTAGTTTCGGATAAACAAAAATTGCGCGTTATATTCTACTTCACTCGATCCCATTAATTTTAGATACCAATATATTGCTGGATATCAATAATCGATGATAACATTTACAAATATTTATTTATGGTTAGTTTTAATCGTAAATAGTATCGAAATGTCGAGACCAAAAGATATCGATACCTATTTGATTCATATACGAAAATATCGATAATTCCGTTAGATGTCAAACGGACTGATACTAATTTGGTATCGATAGAAGGATCGGCATCGATAATCGATATCGGACATCTAAAATTTCGATCTGCATCGATGCACACTATCGAGTAACGTAGTATTGAATTGTTGGAAAATAATAATGGTTATGGACCAGCGTCTCATTTAAAACAATTAATTAATCGGAACGTTAATAATATGTTCATCTGTTCACAAGTACAAATTTATTTAATTTATAAGTGAAGGTATCTCATCGATATAGATTTTTCTTTCCTTTACGACTAGTGATCTTGGAGATATAAAAATATCGATCCTGAAGGAAATTCGGTGAAAATAGAGGTTAAATATGGAAATTGAGGGTCTCTGTTAGTATGCTTGAATTATCATGTAAATTTATAGTAGATTCGTGATTTCGTGGCGATCGAATGTATAACGATGAAACGAAAGTAAAATCGAAATAACTTCTAAAATTAGAGAATTCGTGTACAGAGCGTGATTGACACAGATATCGTCGATCACAGTTTGACGCATTATTAAAAATATTGTCGAAACTGTTAAGATATTTGCTAATATATGAACTGAATTGTTTTGCGCCATACCCAATCATTTTAAAAGACATCGAGATAAAATGAGATAACGAGTGTCCGTAACCTGTACTTTTGAATCGAGGTTTAATTTCCTGTCCTAGGTAAAAGCATTCTCCACACCGACTATTCATCATCTAAATGAGCGTTAAGTGCTTCTATAACGTTTTCAGGGTTTCGCTGCCATAGCACCAGTACACGGTTAATTAATTCCAATAATTACGTGTACTTGATCTTTTCACGGCGATGATTTAGATTTGAACTACTAACCTCTAAGTACTTTACTTCAAAGAAGATTAATTTTAAGGGTAAAAAATTTGTATTTCTAAATTTTTAAATTGGAACATCTGTAAACCTGTAGTTTAAAAGATTTCAAATCTCCGACACCGATCGCACAGGTACCCGTTAGCGTTTTAGTGGTCAATTACTGTCCCATATCATTATTGCAAGTAAGTAACAAAACTTTATAAGTGTTCGATTGTCTCCGTACGATTAGGGAACGCTTTCTAAAGCACGTGGCCTCCTTACTTCTTTAAAGTAGATTCGCGTGCAAACATTACTAACGAAATGCATTCAAAGATGAAATCACGCTAACCGGTAGAATTACTGACCACACCAGCCGGCATGGCTGCGTGTGCGTACGTCAACACGCTACGGACTATAATTTGCCCGCGTGAGCAAATTTGTCGTAGTCAGAATGAACGAAAATCGAGGTCACCGGGACGAGTTGGACCCCCAAACGTGTTATCCACCCTCGTAACCAACAATTCGGCACACGAAGGGGTTTCTCGCATAATAATGACCGTGAATTTTCGTGACTTGATTTTATCACGTGCTTGTTATTTGTTCGAATTTAAATGACAGAACATGATCGTGACTACAAACCGTTACTATCGTTTTTAACTTACTTGTAAATACGAACTAACTGCTTGTTTTAACATCGATGTTGAGTTTATTCAAATTTTGACACCTACCTTATCAATTCATTAAATTAATCAACATCGCCGAATTAATTAACTGCTATTTACATTGATAGATTAAAATTAGAGTGGAAAATGACAAAATTTACTTATTCGATTTTTTTGTTTTTTACACATGGAAAGGTGCGAAAATAAAAATTGGCAGCGATGGGATTCGAACCCATGCCTCCGAAGAGACTGGTGCCTTAAACCAGCGCCTTAGACCGCTCGGCCACGCTACCGATATTTCACTTCCCCTCACATGGTATTATTTATTTATTATAGGTTATAATTCTATATTCAATCATTCTGTTACTATCTTGAATTATTAACAAAATTTTAATAGGTATATTTTGTGTTTCACAGAGTAACTATCCTGACATATTTCGTTAATACTGGAATCAGTTTCGTCAAGAAGAATTTCAGAGCAAAAGAGTTATGAATCACTTATTATCAGTGGCGGACTGAACAAAGTTTAAGATAACACGTTGGTCACTTTCATAAAATTAGACTTGAAAATAATTCGAAATATCTTAAAATTATTCCAGAGAGTATTTGTATTTTTATTTGTTCAATAGGATTACTGATTAAGGAAAAGGACAAATCGAGAGGTGATTAAAGAAGGCCCATTGAGAATTTCAGCCTAAAGCACAGTTTCATTTAAAGTCTGGATAGAATCCAAATCCGTATCAATAATGAACAAATGCCTGGTATCGGGGCCAATTTGTAAGAGCACCGTAATTGTGTGCCAATCACGAAGAGACGTTAGTCAATTACACTTAATTCGTTATTTTGTAGGTCATGTTGAGATATTGATTATAGAATGAATATTTCTACTTTTCACTTTCAATTAATTACACGATTTATTACCTCGGTGGTGAGCAGATTAAGAGTTCATAGACATCGGTGAAGGAGTACTTGTCCCGGACCTCCATTTTTATTTTACTATCTTAACTGATTTAGTAACCCAAGCTAACTTTTTGACCCAGCGTTAATTAATAGTCGAAAAATTTCCGGTGACACAAGGACCAAGTTACCTCGCTATATCGTGACTGTACATAAATTTCGATAAGGCGAAACATTTCGATAAGACGTGTACAGTCGATGATGCCTAGGGTAATATCTAAATGTTTCCGTGCGCGTGAGTCGTTTAGGTTTGAACGAAATTTCTTTTTCAGACTACTCGTAGATCGATGAGTCGTGTCTAGGAGGCTCTGTGTAAAGGCATTTAGCTTCGTACCACCCTTTTCCTGTCTCTCGTTTCACCCTCTTCGCGCAGACCCCACCACCCTCTTCATCCTCCCGCAGCTTCAGTCGAAAACCACCGAAAGATTTCAGTCCGTTCCGGGCATCCACCCGGGTCGGTGCTCCATCTTCTCACGTTTCTCTATTTCTCGCTACTTCTCACTACTGTTCATCAACAAGTTGAATACGTCGGCTCGATTCGATCAACTATGACATTCTGTTAAATCCGTTTCGCTGATAAAGTACTTGACAATGTAGAGGGTTGATAATATCTGATATTTAATCTGTTGGTTCGTTCACCTAAGTTCCCTCTTACAGAATTAGTAAGTGCAAATATATTTGTTATACCATGTTTAATGACGACACGATAAATGTTCATCAAATGTAACCGCTCGATAATTCCTTGCTCTCAGGGCTGTAGGGGTGCAGCAGAATGGGAATTATGGAGCGTGTAGAGAAATAACTTCGAAGCAAATTTGACAGAAATTTCGTGAAATTACAGGCAAAGGTCCTCCCAGAGAGCCAAGAAGTCATCCTCGGACACCGAGCTAGCGCAGGGTAAAAACAAAGGGCGAAAGAGCAAATCAAAGGAAAAATGGCCCCTGCTTGAAGGACTGACAGTCGATGAATTGGTTCGTTATCGAAGAAGACGCGTCGAAGGACAACCCAGGGACAACCTTGGAGTTCATCCCGAAGTGGAAGACAAAGATCTTGTTTCCGAATATGGTGAGGCGTTCCGGACCAAGGGCGAGGAACTATTGAAGGTTAGCGTCCTCGAAGTATCCATTAAACTATCTTATAATCGCAAAAGAATTTACGAGTTCGAAATAATGCAACGTATGTCTGGATTCATTAAGAAACAATTTTCCGATTCATAGATGTACCCCTTACCGTAGGAAAATATCTGGTTGGAAAGAAGCGAACGACACGAGGATCCTCGATTTAAGGATTTAACGGAAGGTGCTGACACTTCGGATCAAGAAGATATTAATGAAGAAGAAAATATCGAGCTTCCAAACGAGATTAAGAATACGGAGACTGTTGAGGACAACGACAAAACCATGGAGACTGATAATGCGAATTCGAAAATTTTATGTCATCGACCGCCTTTGATCAGAAGGTACTAGATTCAGTCAACGTTATTTGACGTCTGCAATATTGCAATAAGTCATTTACGATATATTAATGCAACGTCTGTTCTTCATAATACAACAGGGGAACTACTCTGAAACGGAATGGAGAATTCTACCCGAATACAGAAACGTATTCGTCGTACGTAGCTTACGAGGGACAACATAGACCCGAACTCGCTCGTAGACCTACATCGTTAAAGATGGAAGGTGATTTGGATACGATGACCGAGAAGTGTGAAAAGTTTATTCAGTGGTTGAACGTCAGCCGACCTGAACTTATGCGTGTACCGACACACCTGAAACTTGAAGGGGATTTTGAAAGTTCGACGGAGAATCATGAAAAATATGTGCCGTTTGTGGGCGTAAGAAGACCAGAATTATTGAGACGGAATACGAACTTGAAACTGGAAGGAGAATTTAATTTCGTGCAGGAATATGCTGATGAATTTAAAAGACACGATAACAGAGGTAATATTGTATAAAAAATTATTCCGAAAATGACTCTAATCTAATACTGTTCTATTTTACAGAACGTTTGCCATCGATTAAACCCGAAAGTCATTTGAAGACCGGGAAAAATCTTTTTCAATCAGCTGAAAAAGAAAAATCTACAAATTCTAATGTTAAAGAATTGAAATTGTCGAGCGAGTCCAACAAACACGCCGAAGAAGAAGAAAAGAAGCAGAAGGAATTAAATGGGAAACAAAAAAAAGAAATGGAAATGAATATGTTGATCTCGAAGTTGGAAGATTTGAAGTGTCAACCGCTTGAAATTCCAGAATATAAAGATGCATACAAGGCAAATTTACTATTAATTTATATTGATCCCGTTTTATTAACGTGTTAATACTAACAGAAATTTGTTTCACATACAGGATTTTCCTAGGGAGAGACCTAAGATCGTAAAACCTGAGGACGAAATAGGACGAGCAGACGGCTCGAAAGTATCTTCGTCGCCTACACACAAATTTTCAGGGAAAATCGACCAAGACCCAGAATATAAATCAAAATACTTGGATTATCAACGAGATTATCCCGTGTACCGGAAACCACCGCCAACAACGAGGTCAACGTTGAGTCATCCAGAATATAGTCCTCGTTTTGGTAAACTAGGCTCTAAACGGCAAGATTATGAGCTTACCAGCGAGGTACAATCTCAATACATTCCTTACGGTCATATACCCAGGGTTGAAACTTTCAAGATGCCGGCAAATTTGCGCTTAGAAGGGAACATCAATCTTGAACCAGAATACAGAACAGCTTATTGCACGAAACGTGAAAATTTGTTGTGCACAGAACCAAGAATGCATCGCAGACGAGACCGTAGTCTAAGTGCTTCCAGACGAAGGGAAAATTATTGGATAAATAGTAATATAGAACAATTTGGTTATAAAAACGCGGCACAAGATCAAGACGCGTTTCAAATAGTGAATACTCGACTACATGAAGATACCATATGTGAAAAACCGCCACCACCGCCAACCAGTCGAAGGTTTGTACATCAAACTTCTGTTAATATTAGGTTCAAATACTAATAATTTTGGTAAGAGTACAGTACTATAGATCTTATTAATTAATTAAGCAATTAATAGTAATTAAAATATAAATAATCATAATACAGAGGCTCAAGATCTTCACAAACCCAAAACCAAAGACCAATGCAATTAGAAAACATAGAGTGTAACACAAAGGACCGATCAGCCAGCCCAACTTACCGACTTCACGTCTGTAACGTTGACGACGAACATGGAGGTTTTCGACGAAAACGGTCACCACCACTTCAGTCTTCCGGAAGGATACAGAATCCTTCCCCTACCCATGTGCTTCAAAATGATACTATCAGACCATATTCTCCTAGTTTTGGAAAAGCTACTAAGCAACATAGTAACGATCAATCATTTGTTATTTTGGATAATCGAATCTTTGACTCTAATAAAAATGAAATTCGCAGAAGACGAACAGATAGAAATTACAATATTGATGGTACACTTTCTCGTTCTAAAGGAAGGACTAGAATTTCAACAAATTGGATGCCACCTTGGTACGATAGTACAAATACTATTTAAAGTATTTTAAGCAATTTTGGTTGGCAATGTATAAGAACCAGCTTCATAGTTTATAATATTAATTCAAAACAATAAAATTTCTGTATAAACAACATTTTTGTTATCATTCATAACTTTTTATAGAAAATATGTGATTTATATGTATTGTCAAAGATGAAGTTATCAAATATGGATAGACTGTCATTGGAGTAATAATAAATAATACTGCTAACTTGTATCACATAGTTAAATAACAAACTATTTCATACATAAAACTGTACAACTGTATATCAAACTAATAAAGTACTTAATAAAGTACTTATATATCCTAGCAGACAATATATGAGATATTCTATCTTTTTCAGCCACATTTCATTTGCAACTGCTCATTGAGGTTAAGATACACTTTTCATTTTATATTGAATAAGATTTATGAAAAATCATTCTGATCATAGTATATTGAATTACTATAAAATATATTTGATTACTCACTCATACATCATGTGATAACGTTCATAGTCTGTAGAAATATTCTCTAATATATAAAATATACATTTTCACAGGGAAACAGTATAATCTCACAAATAATTTTCGTTCGTTCTGCGCATGTTGTCCACGATGGGCTACAACTAAGGTTAATATTTTCGCAAGCACTATCTAAAAAAACAGTGTTTCAAATAATTACATTTCTTCGGGAAATATAACAATTGTATACTTTGCTGATGCTTATAAACTATCCTACGGACACGATAATGTTATAACAGCATCGCTATAGTGGGCTCGAAACTAAACTATCAGTCAATATTTCAGTCTAAATAAAATAAAAGGATCGTAATAACATAATAATTCTTGTCATTACTTCTTCCCGCAATTTGTATATTTTGTTCACTCTGCATATAACTGAAAAATAAGGCACGGTGGAACAGCACAATTAATTCGTGATGAAGATACTTTAGTGAACTACGCGAACGATTCTATTTTCTCATGAAAAAAAACAATACGTAATCGAATTCAAATACCAAACATATCTGAACATGCGCAGATTTAATTTGACTCATGTACTTTTGACTACCTTCACGTTTCTTGCTGCAAAACTATAATAGGAGTTTCATTAAAAGATAAAAGTGTGTAGGCAGAGAAAAAAAGATTAAATTTGAAAGTTTCTTGATAATTAAGTGAACAACTAATATTTAAAAAAATGTCAGACCCAGAACTTGAAGCAATAAGACAGCATCGATTAGCTCAGTTGCAGTCACAGCATAAGGTGAATAAAGTATCTTATTTCTGTCAAATACAAATGTTGTACAGCAAATTATTTTTGAAAATTATAAATAACAAATTATATAACATAAACATTAATAGAGATAAATTACAATAATAAATTGTATGTAAAATCAATATGATATAAATTTGAGAATGTATACTATTAATTTTTGTTTCAAATTTGTTTCACTACTGTTACTAATCAAAATTAAACTATTTATAAATGCTATTTTGTAGTTAATTTTATTTAATTTATATTTAGCCCGGCAATGTGGAAAACAAACAGGCTATGGAGGAAAAAATGCAGCAGATGGAAGAAATGAGGAATTCAATTCTGACTCAAGTATTAAATCAGTCAGCCAGAGCGAGATGTATAAATATGAATAGTCTTATTTAGTCACGTAATTGCACAATGTCCTTTTATCTAAAACAGTAACACATTTTTGTTTTAGTAAATACGTTATGTCTTGGAAAACCTGAGAAAGGAAAAATGGTAGAGGATATGATATTAAATATGGCACAGCGAGGTCAGTTACCTGGTAAGCTTGGAGAAAAAGAACTCATTAATTTACTTGAAAGTATAAATCAACAAACAAAGCAGAAAACTGTTGTTAAGGTTAGTTTTGATATTTAACATAGTTAACATTATTATTAAGAAAGGAAAGGTAATGATAAAATTTTAATTTCAGTTTGACAGGAGAAGAGCAGCATTGGATTCTGATGATGATGATTTATAGCACTTGTAAATGTTACATGATTTTTAAAGCAGTAATGATACTTTTCTTATTTACATTTTTGAATAACAATTCACAATTATACGCTTAATTAGCTGTACATTTTTATTTTTTACAATATATTGAAATAAAAAGAAAATAAAAAATTAGGTACAAAATTAATGCTAATATTGATTAAAGTTTTATGTTCAATTGTACATAGAACTTTTTAGTTATTTTCACTTATTAATTTGTTTTTCTGATTTGCAATCATTAAAAAAAAAATATAAAGTGTCATTTTCTTTATTAAATATAAATAAATACATATTCAAATCACATAATAGTTTCCTGCTTTTAAGAAAATTTGTTTTTTAGATGCTTTAAATTAAGCATCTAAAAAAGTTACATGACAACTTACGTAAACATTTCATAATATTTTACTATATTTATACAAACAAATATACATTTTTGGTTTCACAAAACACTAGTTACCATTCATATTCTTTACATAATCCTTCAATACATTTTATGTTCCACTTACTTACAACACAAGACAAATTCTTTTACAAGATTTAAAAAAGCTTCTTTAATTGTATAATTAGTATTGTCTTGCAAAAGTTCCATTTACCCAGATAATTTATGTTTAATATTACTCTACCTAATATGTAGAACTTTTTCACTTTGCTGACTACATAAACGGTCGGTACTAAAACTTTTTACACTAAAAAATAATAAATAAAATATCAGACATTTAGAATTTTTTTTATATTCAATCGACAAAACCTATCTAAAATTAAAAAGTATGAAGAACTAAATAAAATGTACATCCCTTTTCGTTAAAAAATTTCCTAACTTTGATACAACAATGTAATGACCAATTGATTTTAGTCTTTTTTCATGTGATTTGCTCCTGGATGATCTGTAAAATCACATAATTAAAATAGGTATGTAATATAAATTTATACCATAATTTAAAAAACAAGATTTACCTTCTTCATCGTCGTCCGCATCTAAAATATCGGGACAACAAATACCATAACATATTAACGATAAAAATCCAGCCGGTAAACCAAATAAAACCATTGTCAAAATGGGATTACCCATCCACATTGCTGTAAGAGTTGTTTTTAATTCAAACCATGATCTATAAATACGTATTAACCAACTGTTTCCGCCATATCGCTGAAAATTCCAGTTTCACTAATAATGTTCTTCAATAAAAACAATAAATATACAAAAATAATTCTATATCTACCGGCGCACTTTCATTTCGAATTTGTTCTAAAAACAATTCTATTACATGAGGAGTCAGTTTTTCTGCTTCATCCTCTGGAATGTGATGATGATTTGTCGTAGTGTTAATAACGATTAAACTTGGTAATGGCAAAACCATCATTGCTATACTATTGACTAAATCAGGACTAGCTATCCAACCAAACTGAAAATGACTAAATACAAAAAGAATTACAGTTAGTAATTACAGTAAAAATTAATATTGTATAAATTATTATAATATAACTTACTCGTGATATTTTTCTCGTTTACTTTTAATTATAGACTCTACCATATCTTTGAATTGTGACATATGTGGAGGTACTTGTTCTAATTGATTTTCTTCCACTACTGCCAAAACTAGATTTTTATTTGTAAGAAACAATTGATTTATATTCCCACGTGTAACTTTTGGGAATGTAGGAAAACGTTCTGCATTTATCCACTTGTACACTGTTTCATTCAATTTTTCTATGTCACTTATATCATGATGACCTATATTATAAAATTTTAATGTTAGCTGTTTAGTACATACATTTCGTGAATTATGTATTTTTTAGAATATTACCAGTGAAATTATAATGTAAATTTTCTTTATAAACAAACAATGCTGGAGTATTTTTTACAGGAGCATGCTGACTAACAACATTTGGATGAGATTGATAAAAAAATGCATGTGGTTGGAACACATTTGCAGTCTTATGGTAAAATTCCTAAACATAAAAATTTATATAAATTATATTTTATATTAATATACTAGTGAGACTGAAATAAAATACACTTTTTATTGTACCCATAATATCCCAGACTTTTCTCCAACATACAAGAAATACAGATCACGTTCTTTTTTAATTGTCTCAAAACTTTCAGTTTTTGTTATTTCTTGAACAGGTGGACCACTTACTCTTAATGCAAATTTTACTATTTCATCACGTGTTCTATCCCCATGATATACAAATTCCTCCTCACCTTTTAAACTAAATGAAAATAAATATATATTAGAAATTAGTAATTTATAAATAACATATTAGAAAGTTTAACTTTTGTTCTTACAACAGAATAGTTGGAAATCCTTTGACTTTAAACGCATGAGCTACACTTGTAAATCTAGTACAGTCAACACGTCCTACTCTTATCGATGTTGCATGTAAATGCTGTGCAACATGGGCCCAAATTGGTTCCAAACGTTTGCAATGTGCACACCATGGTGCATATATCTAATAAGACACAATAACTACAGTTTATATAATATAACAAAATAACTATAATTTATATTACATGTATATACCATTACTAGCCACTGTCCATCTTTACGGATATCCAAAAACCTATGAATGGAATTGTAACAAGCAATAAAGCCTCTATAAAAGTATACTGTATGTATAATATATAAATTATAATCATTTTGTACCTGTCACTTAATTCCAATACGCGTGATGCTGTTACTTGAGTAAAAATGCCTGAAAAAGATAAATTACATTTTAATAACACAGACTATAGCTATATAATTATAAACTTTTATATAGAATTTAACATATAACTTTTGTAAGATAGATTGCATATCAATGAAATGAATCTGGAATTTAAATATATTATATTGAACAGCAAACAAATGTCAGTGGATAAAATCAAATTAAGGATATATTAAATGTTACACAAATAGTATTTAATTTATCGATCGATAACATTTGAAGGTTATAAAATGTAATTTATAATAGTTTGATATCGTTGACAATGATATTCGTATAGTTACATTTCACAAATCATTAATGTAAAGAAACATATTCACCATAAAAGGTTGCGATGAGCACGAATTTCGTTATTGTTACCATTGCAGCAACAGGACTTTTAATCGAAGAAAACCTGCTTCTTTTACCGTTTAAGATCCAAGATGTTATATTTAATCAATTTACTTTCACATAATCATGATGATTAACATTTTTGATCATCAAATTGTAATGCGAACAATAAAATCCATTACACCTCTACCATGTTTTCGTTCTACGACGCCATACGATCCTCATACCGGCTCCTCCTGGACTGCTGAGTTTTGTATTTTAAATTTATCGTGTGAGTAGAACCGCCAAATACATATGAATCGTTTTTTTGCAAATTTTAAAAATCTGCTCTCTGCCTTCAAGAAATACAGAAAAAAGTATGTACTTGGATGTAACTCACACAAACTACTTGTGTAAAAGGCTAACGTAGAAGAAGTCTCAAAAACCTAATCCTATAGCATTGTTTTTCTTGTAACCCGAAATGCACTAAAAGAAAATGATACTTATAAAAACAGGAACTTTATTTAAACATTTTACAAAGGAACATTGTATTCTTCAGTATCGTATGCAAACATTAGAAAACCTTATCGGTTATTTTCACAAATTTTAACATAAAAATGCTATAAGTTGTTAAACTCGATCATATCTTCGGTTTCTGAATTGGTATCGGCATCGTCAAAATCCTAAAAGAGAGACTATAATTTATCTTTTTCACAATATATATTTTAATAAATAATCGAAAGTCACATTTCTGTTTAAAAATGTTTAGATAACTCACGTATATACATGTATGCAACTTTAATCGATAATTGTACTATCGGAAAAATCGTTGAGCAACATTATTATAAAAATATAAAACGAATGCACAATGTTAAGTAAGAGCATAATGAAAAAAATGTACACGTAGCAAAAGAACAGAAAAGGAATAAAAATTATGGTGACACCAATGGTAGCTAAGGTTGTTAATATACTACCCATATTATATTACGTTTTCTATCGCGAGATTCATTTTTGATCGTACATAACGAATTTAGTGTTAAATCAATTTTATAATTTATTCTTTTACGCGTTTAAATCAGATATTAATTAAATAAACGTTTGAAAGAGGTACGTCTACGTACGAATTTATAAATTTATAGAAGTTAAATTTTTTTATTGCAGATGTTATTATTAAAGGGTGAATTAGTAATAATTCATAAATTGCATACCTCTTCTTCATTTAACTGACTTATTAAATTGACATCTATTAAATTAAATAAAAGTAAAACATAGATCGTAAGTGCCGCGTTAACTAAATTTGTTAAGTATAAAGAATATAAATATGTTATGTATAAAAATGGGAGAACAATTATTTTCAAATACACCTTAATTATTCCTCTAAAAAAATGTCCCATATCTAAAAATGAAAAATGTAAAATATTATTCTTCGATTACTTAAATTAAACTAGCTTCACGTATGTAATGTTAGGCGTCGCTGTGCGTCAAAACTTTATGAGCATTCCAATGTAACGTTAGATAGGAAGTAATTGTAAAATTCAAAATATCTGATATCCTACATTCAAAGTAAAATAAAATGTCTCATTCAATGAGGCGTATACTACACTACATATACGAATTCTTTTTATTTCTTTTTATTTTTACATATAGCAATTCATATAAAAAACATTTTAGTAAATCTAGATTGAAGAAGTGTTGTATAGTATTGATGCATAAAATTCATTAATCAAAATATTAATTAAAATGTTACATAAATTTGGTCATATATATATACAACATAAATAATACAATACATTTCATTAAGTACATATTTCTGTAACAACAAAGTATAATATACTGAATTGTGTAAAGACTGATACACTGAGTAACATTTATAAATACAATGATTTTATCTACACATTTCTAGCAAATTATTTTAGACCTATCTTCTTTCTAGGTTTTGGTATAGGGATTTCATTCTCTATTGTAAAAGTTGCATTGCTAGGCACAGAACAATCACTTTCAGAATATTCTATAATGTTCAATTCATTTTCTGTACTGCTTAAAATTGAATTTCTATGTTCAAGTACTTTTGTTGATTCTTTGTCCACGACGTAGGTACCAGTACTACAAGATGAACTTGAATCATCGTCCTTAACATCATTTTTATGATAAATTATTGACTTAGAATTATGTTCTTTGGTTTTAGTAACAAAATTTGATTCAATATTTTCACCTGGCGTATTTTTCATAATTTTACGGTTAAATTTAGTTTTCTGATGATTTGTTGCACTATCAGATAAAGTTTTTGCAATATCGTCTTTAGGTACATCTTTATTTCTTATTTCTTTTGCACTTTTTGATCTCTTTTTCGTACTCCAATTTTCCAATGTTCTTAATTCTACAACTTCTTGTTTATCACTATTTGTTGTGCTTGATTCAACAAATGAATTTGCCTGGATCTCATTGCTTAAATATGCTAATTTGTCTTTTTTTGATTTTATTCTGCTTTTTTCTTCATTTTTATTTTGACCAGTCAGGATTGTGTTCATGCTTGTTTCTGGAATGAGAGCAAGATTCCATCCAGATTCTATGTCACCAGGTGATCTTGACGTGTTTGATAAAATTCTATCTATCTTCTCAATAATGTTATATAAGCGACTAGCACTTTTACTTTTCAATGTTTGTCCAACTTCGCTTAATCGCTGAAGTCTCATTCTTGTATTGTTGTAATTATCACTAACATTATTAGGTGATTTATAATGACTAGAATTATAACTTCGACTAGATTGTAAGCTTCCTTTCGAAACATTTTCTGGTGTTTGCTCCGTATCGTTCGATTGTAGTTTATCTCTAGACCTTACAGAAGAATTTAAAAATCTTAACGGAATGTCGTGGCTATTTACAGCATTTTCAGTTTCTTCAAATATTTTTAAGTCTACGTCTTCTCCAGTGGCATCTTTATTAAATCGTAAAACTCTGACTGGTGCGGGATTACCGAAAGTTGAATAAGCTAATACATGATCGTACGGATGATAGTCCACGCATGTAACAGCTCGACAATTTCGGTCGAACGTATATTTTGCGAGTAAATTTCCGGTTTCTAAATTCCATACTTTTAACGAAGAGTCTTCACCACCACAAAGTATTAGACTACCACACGGAGAAATACAAGCTGTTGATTGTATTCTGCAAGAAATTACAGATTATTTTTAACACTTGAAAATTTCATTGTAGTTTTAAATATAAATTCTAAACGTTCAATTTAAAAGAGTAAATACCTCTGATTATTTAACTCATTGTACTTTTGCAATACTACCCCAGTTGCAAGGTCAAGCATTCTTAGTCCATTGTTCCTGGAATGAACGAGAAGCCTAGACTCTAAAGGGTGTAAAACAATTGTATTAATTATTACTCCATCGATATCTCTGACCCTTATTTTTCTTGAGATGTGCCATTCTTTCTTAAATGGTGCTTTTCGATTCTTCTTTACTGTCCATATTATTATTATTCCAACACTATCTGCTGTTAACAGGTTACTATTCTTTTGGAAACACATACAATTTACAAAACCTTCGTGACCTTCTAATTCTTGACTAAGATTACGCTTTTTCGACTTTTTATCTCGTATCCAAATGCGTGCAATCTGATCATAACATCCTGTTGCGACAATAGACGAATTTTCAGGATCAAATTTTCCACAATATACGTACAATGGGTGAGGCATCATCTGTAAAAATTGGAATGTATTTCCATAGAAAAACACATAGGAAAAAATAATTAAATTGTACTTTCTTACTTCAACGCATTGTACGATTTGATTCCGTACATCCCAGATACGAGCCGTTTGATCCGATGATACAGAAAGTAAGTAATTATCATCATTAGACCAGTGAAGAGAATAAACGAAAGTCTTGTGTCCTGAAAACCGAACGTGGATCTTCTTAGTTTCAACCTAAAAATAAAAACATCATTTGAATACTTGCAAAGTATTAAATATAGGTATTAATAAATATCATGGTTTTAAGATGATTCACCTCGTAGACAATGATAGGGTAATCATATTCTTCAGAAAAACTACAAGCCAAATATTTGCCATCATTACTGAAAGCAATATAGAAACAACCATTCTCACTGGTATCAGTCTTAAAAATAGTTTCATTTGGTATTTTGCAAGATTGTGCAGCTAATCTTGTCCACTTTGGTAAATTTATCAAATCTGAAGCACGAATAGAAGTTTTCTGTGTTTCAATTGATGTTTTTGATGAATCATGCAAAGTTAATTGTTGATAGTAAACAGGTTCTAATTTTGGTGGATTAATGGATTTTACAGTAATGAATAGGCTGCTAGGATATTTTTCTCGAATGTTTGATTTCCACCAGGTGTACACCTGTTAATAATGGGATTAATTACAGTTCATTTAAGACTATATACTGAGTCAGCAAATTTGCTTACTTCACAAGTATGTGCACCATCAAATCTTCTCAAACTTTTTTGTGGTTTGTATAGCTGTAAGCGAATTTTCTTCTCAATATGCAAAACATTATTTCTTCCTACAGGTTTTAAAAAACCCCATGCAACTTTGTACCAGCAACCTTCATGACCTACAAACAACATTGAATTTAAATGACATTAAACTTTTTTGTAACAAAGTTTTAAAACATTTAATATTTACCAAATTTATCATAATTGAAACTTGCTTCAGTGAAGCTCAAAAGATCAACAATTTCAAAAAGGATTACTACTTGTTCACTATCTGTTTCCAGAAGTGCTTTAAAATCGTGTTCAAAGACTAGCTCCTCTTCCCACACAGGTATTATAGATTTGTTTTCTTTAAAATCAAATTTTCCTGTTATCATTGGTTGTAAATATGTAGCACTGCCATGTTCGCATTTTAAGTATTTTCCATTTGCAGCATTTACAATGTGAACCTTCACCATAGGATGTTTTGTTACATAATCAATGACTAACATATCTGCTCTGTGGATTGTTATAGAAATATACTTTGCATCAATTTTTTTCTTCCTTTTCTTTTTCTTTGTGTCTTCCTCTATATGAACAGATGGAGTATGCATAGTAGAACTAGAAACATCTTTATCAACAATTTCCTCCTTGTTCTTTTTATTTTGTGACCTAGAATGATGTTTTGCATACTTCAGTTTTTTTCTTCTTGAATTAGATCTTAATTTACTTTCATAACGAACTTCTGTCAATTGATCTTCATCATCTTCAGTGGTAGATATTGTACACTCACTAGAATTTCTTAAATGTTCTGCATCATCGTCTTTAGATGCAGATACTGAGTGCTGTCTAGGATTCCTTTCACTTTTCCCTTTATTCCATAATTGCTTATCCTTCATGGACATTTCTTCAAATGAATAATTTTCTTCTAAGCTTTGTGAACTATCTGAATTATCTGAAATGTTGGTTTTATTGTTTGTATTGGAATGTTTTTTCTTATTTGTTTTGTTAAAATTAGTAGAGTGTTTGTTACCTACTACTACATTCTTTATAGATCTATTTAAGTCATCCAATATAATTGCTGGTTCATTTGAAATCTTCCTACTACTGGAATCTTGAGAGCTTCTATTACCAACCATAGAAAGATCATCATTTTCTAATTGATCAGCAATTTCTTTAATTTCAATTTTTGTATCCTCTTCATTATGATCTGTTTCAATTCTAAGAATTTCTTCATTCTCTGAAAGAAATGCTTTATTATCATATGCAGTTATTGATTTTTGAATCACTGATGACTGTTTTATTGCTGGTAATGATCTTTTGGTTTTATTCCAAGAAACATTTTTTGCTTCTGGTAATCGAATCACACTGTTATCTTTTGACCAACGTTTCCTAGGCGGTTTCTTTAGTTCTTCTACAGTATTTTTTATTGTAGCCCATTGCTTGTTATGAACTGATTTTTCTTCAATCAATGATTGATTAATATTTTCTTTAATCAATTCAACATTTTGTTCATCTTTTTTATTAACTAAAGGTTCCTGAAATTCTTCAATTAAATCTAACGAATCAACTACATTTATATCATTATGTTCTTCAAAGTTTTGATGTGTAACCAAATTGATATTTGATTTTTTATTCTTTTTATTTGTTTTAAAAAATAATTGGGGATTATTTGAAGATATGTCTGTAGATATTTTATCTGATTTTCTGTTGTGTTGAATATCTTCAACCTGTTTCTCATCTTTATATTCTCGATGAATATCTACAATAACATCCATTGATTTTGATGTAAATTCTGATACATCTGACGAATCTACATTATTAAATTTCTTTATTTTATTCGTGTTGAATGTTTGCATTTTACGATTATGTTTATTTGTAAAGTTCATACTGCTTCTTACTTTTCTGTTTTATCAAAGTAATTCATAATTTTCATTTATAAATCTTGTAATAATTCAACATTTTCAACATTTTGTTTTTACTATTACTTGAAACTATTTTTCTCAAAATGCTTCACTTAAGTTTGCGCGCTTATTAGAGGTTACGTAACTCTAGTATCTTATATCTACATTGTAAGAATTCCTTCTATTAACAGATAGTTATTAATGAATTGATAAATTAATATGATTGGTTCATTTGTTTACATTGTTTTAAATATTTACGGCATATATTTATTTCAAAGATTGTCAGTTATATTTCTCCATGTTGTTTTCTAATTGCACACATACATATTTAATTGACTGTAATATATAATACATGTATTACATAGATCGATAATTAACGGTAGACAAATTTCACTGACAAGTGAGATGCAATTTTGTATTGTAACCATAATTACAAAGAATTAATTTTTTATAAACAATATTATAAAAAATATATTTATCTAATAACATTTTTAATTTATTATACCATTTGTACACTGCTTATCACTAGTTACATTATCCTCTGTTTCTTCTTTTAATATTTCCTAAATAAAATATAATAAATGTATTAATCAAAATAAGATCTAAACATCCTATGTTAAATTATTTATTAATGATAATTTATACTTACTGCTTTAATAGCATTTTCATAGTCTTCTTCACAATGTATTAATAATATGTCATTCACATTTGAATTCAAGCATTTTGAATTTACTTTTTCTTCTGATTTTGCATTTCCTGTTGAAGAATCAATTTCAACATTAGTATTTCGAAGAGATTTCATTTTTAATCTTATTTCTCTGTTCTTTGCTTCTATTACTTTCTCCCTACGTGTCTCTCTGTCAAGGAGCTATAAATTTTAATGATGAAATTGAATTAACATTAATTTTATGGTAATATTCACTATAATATTAAAATTTAAAGAAGGACTTACTGCTGTAAATAAAAGTTTATCATTTTTTTGATTAGTTGTAAGTGCATCTGAGAACTCTAGTAAAAAAACTGTACCCTTTTTATTTGCAACTGCAGCTAACTGTCCTTGCTCGTGTGGTTTTATGTACGTTAAAACTTCATCACAAACCTAATATGTATTATTTTGATGATATAAATAATATTCATAATTAATAATTAAACGTACGTACTTTCATACTAAGAATTGGAGAATCTTGTTGAATCAGTAGGTCCCATACATCCAAGGTTCCATCCATTTTTATTAAAAAGAATACAGAAAACCGTGTTACACTCCATGCTCCACCTGTTAGAAAGTCTCTATGACCACTGAAATATAATTTTTATTATCTATTAGTCAGTAATTTGCATTAATATTGATAAGAGTGGAGTAGGAAAATTTAAAACTCATTTACGATGTCCAAGCAATGCAAGATTCCTTGCAATCTTCAGACCATATTCTTGTTGTCCAATCGCCAACAGTCAAGAAATTCTTAACAAAAGTTGGATTCCTTTCTAGACTTATTACAGGCCCATATTGCGCTTTGAATCTAGTTGCTATTTTTTCAGCCGGAGTTTTACCTTTACGATTTCCCGATATTACTATTCCTAAATATGCAAAATATAACTTATTAATATGTACTTAAAACAGTCACATTATATACACGAAAATGAATCTTTTATTTACCATTTTCAAGACCACACATGAAACGTGTTCCCATAGATGGTTCAAACTGCAATGCTGAGATCCCAATTGCCTTATCAACATTTTGATCATCAGATTTACATAAATCTATTACCAATGTTTCTGTAGGTGCTTGCAATTTTCTTACATCCCACCACATTATCTGCAATACATATTTTTTGTAACATATTAATAATACATTACTTTTTATAATCTATTTTACCTGTCCATCTTTTGAAGCACTAAAAAATTCTGTATTAGTTTTCGAATTTATCCATAGAACTTCATTACATAGGTCCCTGTGACTAAATTGAATTGAACTTGTTTCTACTGGTTCTGAGCCTTTCCTAATATCCCAAAAAGCTACTTGACCAGTCATTAATCCACTGATCAATATATTACTATCTTTGGGATTATATTCCACTGTTAAACTTGGGCAGCACGACTTCAACATTATATAAGGTGTATTTGGATTTTCTACAATTTTAAAATATAGTCATTTAACTTTTTTACTTACATATTTTAAATGTTTTACTCAACTCACCCACATCCCAAATATATGACAGAGGTTTGTCATTGACTCCATTCTTAAAGTCATCACTACAATAACTAGCTGCAAACCGATTTCCCTGATCCGGTGACCAGGAAAGATGTGTTATTCGTCTTTTTACCGGCAAAATATCACGATATACATTAACAGTCCGTGAATATGCTCTTTGTATTAAAGAAGTTGGTTCCATGTCGCTAAAATACTGTTCATAAATATTACAGGCATTATTTTGTAATATACATTGCTCCATTGGCTAGAAACAATTGTAAATGTTATTATACATATTGTCAGTATTAACTAATAAATTAATATCAACTTATATTAAGCTGAAATGCAAAAGTGTAATTACAGGTAGCAGTTGAAGCATCGTATGAATGTATAGTTCATCTTTTTCTATTTTACGCTTATATCTAACTGTTTGTTCTGTATCTTTTATATTTAAATCCTTTGGCCAACCGCCTTCAGAATGATACATACCACTAGCTTTAAATTTCACAGTATTTGTGTTTACCTGAGAAAATGTTTATGACAACATGATTATGTGATACCATAGCATGTACTATCTATATATATAATGCAATTTCATATCTGTACTTCGTGTAGAGAATAAGTTTTCCCACATTGCGTTCCTTGTGTTGAAGGATCTACTCGAATATAATTATTCATATACTCTGAATGTGGTTTAATATCAGCTTCTGTTTTATGATAGTCTGAAAAGTTACATTGTCTTCCAAAGTGTAGTCGCTTTTTTGTATAAGTGTATTGTACGTTCATATTGTTGTATTTTAATACAATAAACACCAAGTTTTAATAATTTGTTACAAAGTACTTTATTGAAACGAACTTTTATCAACAAATTTTAACGAAGAAATGGCATTTAATTTTGTACCACGATTATAATCATAATAATTACGTTACTTATTTCATATTAGAAAATAATACTGAGATATTGTATTGAAAATCCTACTTGATTGTATATATCTACGTTTCTTAGTTACTATAGCAATATACATACATAGTACATACAACTACTTATGGTAATTTACAAATTGTTGAATTAAACTTCTTAAAATCCTTATTTACTTGTATTTACTAATACTGGAACCTTTGGATTTAAACCCTGATAAAGAATATAAATCATTTTATACATTTTAATATACTCCAATTCCGTAGAATCAAAGGACACTTTCATGTTAGGAAGTACTTCTTTTAAAATTATATTAATTAAATTTTTATAATAATCTATATGTTGCAATTGTTGTAGTAGCTCAAAGAAGAATAATAAATAATTTTTGTCTGTATAACGTATATTACATATTGTTGACATTCCTGAAAAAAAATAATATAAAATAACATTTATTCAAAATGAAACATGTAACTGTACCTTTAAAATTTGTAAAACAGGAACGATTCCATATTCCATTTGACATCCATTCTGTTAAATTAAAAGTAGAACATAGTGGCATTTCTTGCAAGTCTGATTTAAACATTTTCACAGTATCAGAATCTTTCATTCCCAACGTTTTCCATATAAATTGTAATTCAGTATACATTGTTTTAATATTGTTTGAGTTAAATGATTCTACATTCTCAGAAAAAAGAATTTGAAAGAAAGACATATACTTAGTAAGTAAAGTTATATTATGAGCTTTTTGTACTAAAGATTTTTGTATAACTTTGTCCTGTAACAATTGTGAAGTTAAGCATATATTAACTTCATCTTTATATGATATCAAATTGATCACTTACTGTTTTATGAAATTCCATTAAAAATTGATTGACTGTTTTTTGTCGTTTTTCATTAATTGATTGTTTTGAAAATACGGTATTTAAATATGCATGATAAACTTTTAATGGTTTGATTATTTCGGCAGGAACATTAATTAGATTAATACTGTCCACAACATCAATACTTGCAAAATTTTGCTCACATTTAGGAATTGTATTTTCATGTAATGGACATTTTGTACTATGCATCTTCAAGAATGAATCACTATTAGGTTTCGATGATACCTTTTGTAATAAACATTTCAATTCATTGATTGATGTTGCAGAAGAACTGTTGTCAGAATTACAAGATTTAGAATTTTCTCCTACTTTGTGTTTCATTATTTCATTCTTGTGTTTAACATTCCATTTATTTATTACAAGAAAGTTTTTAGTTCCCAAAAATTTTCCAGAACTTGCTATCAATTGCTTATCATAACTTCTTATCTCTTTATTGCTGTTTACATCTTCTCTTACTACTTTACTTTTTGATTTTTTATCTAAATTTGTTTCTTGCATATTTTGTTTGACAACATTAACATTTTTACTAGAAAGCAATTTTTGATTATCTATTTTAAAATTTTTCTTTAATCCTTGTTGTCTGTTACCTAAATTGAAAAGATACAATTATTATATTAGTTTAATAATGAAATTTCTTTTAGTAATTGAACCAATGTCAGAAGAATTTACCAAGTGTTTGGGGATTATAAATTTTAGATACATCAAGACGTTTTGAATTTTTTCCCTTCACTACGTTAAAAGATAATTTTTCTCGTAACTGCTGTGCTTGTAGTAATGTTTTACTGATTCCTGCGGCAATTTCTTCGATTTCACTTTCATCCTTTTATGTAAAAATAAAATTATTACGATTTCGCAATAACAAACTGTATAAAATAATAAACAATAATCTTACTTTAGGACAAGTACAAACATCTTTACTCAAATCTTGTTGACTATTAACTTCCAAGCACCATGGTTTTAAAGTAATGATAGCTTCATTACAATTTGATTTTAATACATGTTTTACATCTTCAGTGAATATAAATGTTTGATGTAAAAATTCGATTAGTCTTGAAAAGTCGAATGTTTGTTTCATTTTTGTCATCAAATCTTCTTGTTCCTAATAAAAAAGAAAGAAAAAAATAAGTAGGGAAGAAATAATAAATGTTTTAATAATATACATTAAATTATTATAAAAACCAAAAAGATCGCATATCTCTTAAAGTGTTAACTGTATAAATAGAAAGTATTTATCTTTTACAATTGCTGGTAATATAAGCGTTAAGTTTCTGTAATGTTGAGTCATTATCAACTGAATATGTATTGTTTATTGGAATTTATTTATGGGAGTGGTATAAATATAAATATTATACATATTTATATATTAATATATAATAAAATTTCTTTTACAAAATGTTTACTTATTTCAACTTAGGAAAACAGAATGTCGCTACTATATTAAATGTTTACAAAATTATTATTAATATTCTAAAGAACTTTAAATGCTGTAAATGGAAATGCATATATGAATCATAAATTTGAGTAAAACGGCTCTTTCCTACTTTATCATAATAGAGACAATAATTTCCAGTATATATGTGTTGCATGAGCGTATATGTGTACGTAGTATTTAATAAAAAACAAAATTTCCTTATAAAAATAAAACACGATTCACATTTTTTACGAGAATCTTAGCTTAATAATTTTTCACGAGTTCACCTTCATGCATCCAACATCACATGATATAGATATCGTATTCGGATATTAATTTTCATGGAATAAACAAATTACACGAAAAAATGATAAGTACGATACGAATGGCGCAATTGCTCTGCTCCTAAATTGTACTTTGATATAGAAGTTATTTTTGTATTGCACATACATGTAAAATAACACATATAAAATAAATTGTTTTATCCAACTATTTGCAATTTATCACATCAGATACTCAGTCGTATGGAGCATGTATCGTAATCGTATTATGCCAATCGTATGCATATGCGTTCATATATATATATACATATATATATCATATATATATATGTTTCGTACATACATACATACATACACACAAGATGATTTTAGTAGCAGGTCACTCTCTGTTCAAAATGAAGACAGAAAAAAGTATATATCATAAAACATTTTACTCCATAATTCTTTCTATCGTCATTTGGAACAGGGTTATAGCACGGCCAAGCTATTAAAATCATCCAATATAAACAAATCCTATGTAAAACTGCAAATAAATCCTTAATAATTAATTGTACACTGAAAAACTAATTTACAAACTGTAGTTTAAGAGTAACAAAACGACGATGAATGATTAAAAAGATTTTCTATAAATTAATATCTGTTAAGGTCTATAAGTTTGTTAAACAGCAAATGCAAAAAGTTATTAAATCTGTTTATGATGATGTATGTTTTATAATTCATCCTTTCTTGGCACATCATCGTCTTCGTCTTCTTCTTGAGCCTGTAATAACAAAAGCATTAAAATTTTATGATTCATTCGAAAATTAGGTTTACACTGTTTGTGGAGTGCAGTCTCGTTATATGGATTTTATATTTCACGCGAGTTCTTTGCATAAACTGTCAGATACACAATTAAGCATAGAAGATAAAAATTCCATAATTTCACAATTTCTCTCGTTTCTATCTTGGGCCATATAACGAGACTTCGCCAAATGTGTATACGAACTTCTTTTGCAGCTTGACCATAAGTCCCATCAGAATCAATGAATTTTGAAAGTCCTTCAAGTGTTCTCTCACCATTGTAATCAACGGCCTAGAAGTTAATTGCATTTATAATCATATTTGTACTATTAAAAGTTGATTAGAAATTAGTACAAATTAAATCCAAAATCCTTACGTCATTAGTTTCTTTTTTGTAAAGAGTAATTGTAGGGAAGCTAACAACTGACACATCTTCCAATTCATTTGCCGTGGCATCCATTTTGGCTATGACTATGTCTTCATTATCTTTGTATTTTTCTCCAAGCTAAAAATTATTCTTATCTATTAAAAATTTGTTAATTAAAGATTTCTATTAACTAAAAAATACTAGAGCAAAACATACCGCTTCATAAATAGGAGCTAATTGCTGGCAGTGTCCACACCATGGAGCATAAAACTCAACTAACACATTTTTGCTTTTATCAAATGCAACTTCATGAAAGTTAGTACCAACAAGAACCTTTACAGGGTTCTTGTCCCAATCTTCAGGTAAATCTTGTGTGAGCAAATGTCTTTTTAATTTGCCCTCAATGAAATCAGTTACAAATTCCAAAACATTTTCGCTAGAGATTTCAGGATTTTCAGGTTTATACTTAGCCATATCGCGTTGAAGTTTTATAATCCGCATGGCAGGTACTTCATTCTTGCTTATACCAAAGAATTCTAAGATACGCTGATGATCAGCTTCATCAGCATTAATAGTTACAAACAAGACCTGTGTACATATTATTATTATTATCGAAATATCTCCTTTACAATGTTACTATTTATATATTAAATTTACATGTATTTACCTCGTCACGGAATTTCTTTGCTGGTTCCTTGATCTTTTCTACATAATCATCAAAATGACCAGCTTCTTTACTTAGGAAGACAAGCAAATGACTCTTAATATCACCATTAAATATTTTTTTAGCAGTGTTTTGATTAAAATCAACAACTAAAGGTAATGCGTATACAGAAATAAAGTTTTGTAATTTAGTAAATTCAAGTTCTTCAGTAAACTCATTTTTGCCTTCGTCAAACTAAAACAGATTTTAATAAAGTAGAACATTCAGAATCAACAACATAAAAATTAAAAAATTATAAAATATAATATAAAATTACCTTCTTAAATAATACAACTTTGCCATCTTCTACTCCATATTCATCAAAAACTTCTTGGCTGCTACTAATACCAAATGCATGATCATCAAGTGTATTACCAACATCTAAGAATACCTTTGCTCCATCTGATTCTGCATCCTAATATATAACATAAAGTATTCAAATTTATTAACATAAATATAAACTATCTTTTCATTCATATTACTGTTACATTCAATAAAATATAATAAATTATAAACCTTAAAGAATCCAACAATTGCAACATTCTTTGCTTCAATAAATGCTTTAGCTTCTTCGACTGTTGGTAATTCTTTAACAGCCGGACCAGCTTTTTGCATCACCCAATTTACAATATCATCAGCTTTACGTTCACCACCATAATCAATAAGATGACCTTTACGATAAAATTGGAGGGTTGGGTATCCACCAATACGATGCTTTTCTGCTAAATCTGTTTCTACAGTTGCATCAACTTTAGCTAATTTTATTTCAGAACCCATTTCTTTCAATTTCTTTGCTGCTTTGGCATATTCGGGGGCCAGAGCTTTACAGTGTCCACACCATGGGGCATCTACATTAACAATAACATATAAGTAAATAAAATTAATAACATGTAAATAAAGTATGAATAGGGATATAGGAATTCCTACAAAAAAAGAAGGAATGTTGAAAGAAGTAAAAACGAATTTCAGTGAAATTGAAAAAATGATAAGAGAAATGGATGTGTAACCATCTAATAATACTGAAAGGCAAATAATAAATAAATAATTACATAAAAATATATAATGAATTTTTAATTGTACAGTCAAAAAAATTATTTTCACGAAGTTATACTGATAAAAGATGCATGTCAGAAATTTAAACAAATAAATAATTCATTTCTAAATTTTCAGATGTATAAATCTACCAACTTAGATTTGGGTCATATTAAAACTAACATTTTATTTAATAGTGTCAACAAGTGTGATTAATCTTAAAAAACCGGCATCTAAGTGGTGACGTGTACGGACTTCACATCTGGTTCAACTACAATCATATTTCGGACATGTACATAAAAAATAATAAATAAAATTACAATTGTATTAAAGAAAATGCAGTTTAAATCTGTTTAATTAAGAGATTAATTGTTACTTACAAAATTCAACAAGTACGTAATCATTTTGCTTAATAACCTCATCGATATTGTCTTTCGTCAGCACCAGAACCTCATCTTCAGTTTCGACATTTGCGAGAGTACCAACAAAGAAAGATATTAGCGCAAATGTTAACGCAAAAAACTTCATCTTTAAACAAAGACAATATTATTTTTTAATGACTAAGAGTACGACACACTAACGGAAACTTGTGGATTCTATTCAAAAACTGAATTGCCGTTATAATATTGAAATCATAGACACCAACACCATTCGTTGAGGAATACGAATAAAGTGATCAACTACACTGATGCTGAGAACTATACAGTCGGTAGATCGTGGTTAACGCGTGGCATCAGATTCATCGTGGGAGTTGCTGATTGGCTGACGTTATAGTTAAGAATAGAATTTGGTAAGATGTTAATACGAGTTTACTATACTCTTCTCAACAAGAGATCATACTCGTTGTATTACAAATTTTCATTCCTTCTGCGCACGTTAGTTTTGATTGGATCAAGTAGGATTCGTAACTAGCAGCAACGCGCATGCACATTAACAAATTTCAAGATGTCAAGTGCATATACCTAGCGATCTTCTATTTTGTATACCCTTTATGATGATATGATCATGTATGGAGATCTGGAATTTGGAAATTTGAACGTAGAAGATCTGATGCTGGATAAATGTCAAGCCCCTACTTCGTTACTCCTATTTTATATTATTCTCGTTCTCATCTGTTCTTTCCAGTCACAGATTTTTGTTCACAGGGTATATAGCCGATGGAGTAGAAAGTATATAGCAGTGGGGGTAACACCAATTCGTAGGGAGCTTGTTGAAGTTAACGGCATTGCGCGAAATGGGAATGATTTTTCGTAAATAAAGTATATACACATTGGAGATTACATCTGACTTCCCTAGGGAAAATGGTGACCAAAGGGAAGCGGTTCCCACCATCTCTCATAACACAAAGCAATGGCTAGCATTATGTTTAAATACAGGCATCTTTGGAGTTGATAAATAATAAAATTTTTCTATATAAATATTTACTTTTAAAAGCAAACTAGTTCATTTTGTGTCAAGCATAGTCAAATGTGAGATGGTGGCTCCCTCAGTTCCAATGTATAATACTTTTCAAAATAAAAAATAATTTTGAAAATATGTACTTATATACAATAATGTATTATATAAGTTTAATTAAACATATAACTGCTGCATAAGCAAATACAATGAAGTCATAGCTTAGTCGTCAGCAAACAGTGATGACCTGATGTATTATGTAAATATCGCTTATTAAAAAGTTGTTTGTACACAACACTGTATAATTAACAAGAACATTGCAATTATTTCCAAGTGTTGTATTTAGTGAATTAAAATTTAATTATTGTAAAAAGTCATTCTATTTAAATATTGTTTATTTGTTTAGAAAGATGATAAGACTGAACAATATATATGTGTAAAAGAGGAAGAGGAATGTTTTACAGTTACCTACAGTAATTTTAATATAAAAAATGACAGCGTATACAGTAACATCGGAAATATTTACAGAAAATAGGAATGTTTACATAAAAGTTAAAGAGAACTGTAAGTTCATTGTTTGACATTTTCTTTAAATGCTCATTTAACATTCTGCAATGCGTATACAATGTATTTACAGGTGCAATATCAAATTTTATTTTTAAATATCCATCTTATATGTTAAAACCAAAATGTACAAATGGAAGTATAACTTATGATAAAGATAATGATATAGATATAAACAGACAACAAAAAGGAAAATTGGCAATAGGTATAAATTAATTTATATAATTAACTGTATACTTCAAAATAGCTCAATATAGCAAATCATATATTAATATTTATAGAACATTATATATCAACGGAATTACAACATGTTGGATTACAAGTATGGCGAGGTGCCCTCTTGTTAGCTGATTATATTTTATCAAATCCTGATTTATTTAAAGATAAAGTAATTTTAGAAGTAGGTGCTGGTGTTGGATTAACCAGCATAGTAGCTAGTTTTTTGGCTAAAGAAATAATTTGTACAGGTAACAAATATAATAACCTGATGCTATTATAATTTTATGTACTAGATAGAAATGTAATTTCTATGTTCTAGATATTGACAAGAAAGGAATATTAAAATTGATACGTAGAAACTTTTTACGAAATCATACTTATATTAAGTCTAAAGTTTATATTCATGAATTAGATTTTTTGAATTTAAAATGGCCAACATTTTATAAAAAAAGAATAAATGAAGCAAACATTATTTTAGCTGCAGATGGTGAGTTAGTAAATCTATGTGTTTGAAATAAAAATGTAAGGAAATGATTTATAAAATATTATTTCTTATACCTTTACAGTAATTTATGACGAAGGTATAACAGAAGGATTTGTTCAAACATTAGCAAAGCTTCTAAATTCATCAATATCAAAAATTGTTTACATTACTTTAGAAAAAAGATTTGTGTTCACTACAGCCAATATGGATACTACTGCACCAATGTTTGAAGAATTTTTAAAATGCATTGAAAAACAGCAATTTAATTGGCATATTGAATATATTAAAATAGATTTTCCACAATACTTTCAATATGATAGAGTAAAAGAAATGATTCTTATGAAAATAGAAAACAAAATAAATGAAATAATTTAACATATAACATGTATGTGATAGTGTGCTATAATTTTGAACAGTATTAAATACATAAATTATTGTACATAATCAAAGAAAGTTATATGTTTAATAAGTGGTATAGATATTGGCATATTAGATAGTGTACCTGACTACTTATGTTTTAAAAAATTCGAGATAACATTTATGTAATCTAGGATAGTTGATGATAAGAAAATATCTTATATTTATATTTTCATTAACTAGTTTCATTATAACAAAAATATTAGCAACTTTATAAAAAGATGTATTTTTGTAAAATAATAAATATATTTTTACATAAGTGCTCGTCATCTTTAATTGATATTAACATTTAATAATGTTAAAACATATGATAATATGTAAATTAATTTTTGTACAGAATTCAATGGTATTTTATAATTTAATGTCACGTTTAAAAATAATAAACAAACAATTTTTACGATTTCAAATAAAAGTGTAAATATTTTAAGTTACAAGGTTTCCATATTTATTGATTTTTTTTATTTACAGCCTAGAATAAGTAGTAATATTAATGGACAGTGATTAAAGTCGTTCGAAGAGAACGAGATTTACTAAAAGTCAATACACTTTTTATGAACTTAAACAAGATCAAAAACTTCAACTAATTAAACTACAAAGAAACGTCACGTACAGTGTACGGGAATGTAAACGTTTCTTCGAACGATTATCGGCAGTAAAGTTGCGTATATTACACTTAAGATAAGTTAATTGTAATATACTAAATTTTATTCACAAGTTTGTCTGAGAGAACGACAATCGGTACACAAATTATGTTAAATTAAAAAAAATCTTCCACTGATAAATGAGTACAAGTACTAGGAATTTGCGAGTAGCCCAACATGTCGAGTACCCGATCTTCAAATTGGGTTCAGAGAAGTTCGTGTGAAAAGCACATCGTCGTCATGTTTTTTTAAATTTTCCGAATGTTCTCCCTTTTTCAAACTTCCAACATTTGTATTGTACTTCTTCGGTACTTCTACCCGATTCCTGTCGAATTTTTCTGAACCCGACGGAATCCATAATTTCGGGTATCCGCACATCCCTAAATAAATACTCAATTAAAAAGTCACTAATTGGCGATAGTCACTCTCACATTCAATTTTTCTTGCTTCATAAAGGCACTTTTATATAACACTTCATTCCTCATTTTTGGATAAAACTTATAATTTACAGCCTCAGTTTATGGAATTAAATTTACAAGGTATATCTGAAGTAATTGTACCAAGGTCCCATCTTCCAAGAGATTACGTACTAGTTCTTATAATTTCATATTAACTTTAGACATTAAATTCATTCATTAATTCATAAAATAATTTAAATGATCATAACACAAAAACTACAATTGTTTTATTGTACAAAAGAATAAGCTATCGTTTCTAAGTATGAATCCAGTGCCCTCGTTTTCAATTCTGTTTTCTTTTTTGTTTAAATGTAAGTATATGAGGCAATACAATGTTCGTAAATAAGCAAATAAAAAGCTTTAGAAAATTGAAAACATAAAAAGCATCATTGACTAGACCAAGAAAGAACGGGTATATTATATTTTTATGAAATTAGGGTTTCGGTTACGTATATTCGAAAAAATAAATTCTTTATCCATATTCAATTACTTCAAAAATTTTTGTTAAACCTATGGGGATTATTCACATTTTTTTCTCTTGTTTTTTTTCTTCGAAAATTTGTTTGCTTGTTTCATTTTTACATTGCAATTTTCAAATTCATAGAAAATTGATCTAACGGCTAGAGCAATGATTATCAAATATTAGCTAAATGTCAATCATTCTAATTATAATTATATTCTTTGCAACAAATACTGTACAAACGCGTGCATATTAGGCTTTTTTCAATTAAGAAGAAGTGTAGCACTCGATAGACATCTATTTTTTATAAAATCGAAACAGAATCTCGAAATTCGATTTCATTTTTGGAATAAACATACAGTCCGACTTTGGACCGACTCGGAAAAAATCAGACGCGTTCGGTTCTCTATTAATGTAGCGAAGTCTTGTTACATGACTCTGGATGGGACTACGATGATAGGGAGTCATTAGTGTTCTTGAAAGTGGTGCAAAAAAAAAACTCGTTCAATAGGCTATATAAAAAGAAACTATGTAACAAGACTATACTTGAATTGTCTCTCGAGCTTAGGAACCATGCGCATCCCATTTTTGTCGACATGATCCGAAGTCAGACTGGACTCGTACACCAAAAAGTCGAATATGAGTATATCTATCACGTCGAATTCCGCCTGAACTTTTTCGTTTTACCCCGAAGTCTGGGTTGTCGGGACTTGAGATTATCCGTACATTTCTTACTGCTGATAAAAGCCTTCGTTGCACACGGGTGTACAAAAACGTACAATTAGTACAGCAACACATGTATACCAATTACTAATAGCTATTTCCACTTTGGGGTGGTTTTTGGTTAGCATTACCACTATTTGGTACTGTATCCAAAATTAATTTTCTTCTATGATATTCGGTAGTTACATTTTCACTGGCCATTGATTTTCGACGTAAAAGTGTTGTATTTTCTGAAATCTGAATTATTGAATTTGTACTTTTACGCCGGGTGGGTATATCGTTTATTTGTCTTCGTCCTGGTTCATTTTGATTAGATACTCCATTAGTCATTGTAACTGTTACAGAAGTTTTACTGTTGGTAGTATTTGTTATACAACCTGTCGAAGCAGTTTTATTCGCATTGCTTTGTACAGATATAAATGTGTTAGCATTTTTACTAACAGAGTTCTGAATTGTACTATTATGATTTACAGTCTTATTCGATGACGTAGACATCATGTTAGCATGTTTGCTAACATTATTGTGGATAGATACCGTCGTTTTGGCAGATTGCGAATTCGGCGAACCAAGGGGCAAAGAAGTTTTGCGTCTTGCATTAGAATTTGATACGTCATTATTAAAATTTACTTTAGTAGTTGTACTATTTTGCTTACTGGTATCTGAAGATGCACGGAAACCTGTACTAAGCCATTTTTCAACTTGAGCTTCGTGCGATTTTTGTAAAACTTTTCGAATATCACTATTTTCGCCTCCTTCCTTCATTATCTCTTGTAATTTTTGAATCGTTTGATATAAAACCACAGGACTAATCAAACCAAAATCAAATAGGCTACACATATGCAAAACGAAGTTACGATATAAATTTTTCATGAGCAATTCTTTTCCTTTAGTTTCTAGAAACATGTGACAAGCCAACGGTATTTGACAATCTCCCACATAACCATGTTTCATAACATGTAAGTTCCACATTTTCATAAGTTCTTTTTCTCCTTCATTTACATCTGTAAAATCATCAATCATCATCATTGTTTTCGTCTGTAACCATTTCGGATCATTCTCCCCTTCCGAATCAATATCCATTTCTTTTGGATATATAGGTAAACAGGTAACAGTATGATGATATAATCTAAAAAAGTTTGCACGTTGATTGTATTGTAAATAGTAACAGTTATATTTCTACCGCAAGCAATATACCTATTATGTCCTGTAATGTAAGGTCTTTGGCTTTCGTATTCGTTTTCATCAAGTTCCAGAAATTCTGAAAGACTTGGTTTAGTTCTTTTTGGGCGACATACTAAAATATTTGTTACACTTGTACGTCTTGTCGGCCCTGTTCTAGAAAACGCTACGCTAGAAGGTTGCGAAATTAATTCGTGAGGACTACCTGCATAGGAGCCATCGTAGCATTCATTTATCGCTACGTCTATACGAGCACCTTGTGGAATTGGCTAATGAAATAAATATAATTTACTTGATAACATTTTTGTACATTCTACATTATATATTGTAATCAGCGCTTACCACATATGTGAATGTAAACCGCGAATGGCATAATTTTAAGTGTTTTAACAGCGAATAGAGCTTTCCACAATCTAACGAGCACCAAGGACAATGTAAATCTTCGCAAGCTTCTGTTTGTTGCCGACTATTATTATTATACAGGAACTGATAAACTATCTGCTGGGTACCCACAGAAGTGTCCATCTTCTCACTAGGTGTTGTTATTCTCGAAGAATTAAGAGGACTAGGTGTTGGCAGTGTAGAATTGTTGTTATTGTTAATACTACTATTATTATTTGTGGAAGATCGTTCTAGACCAGCTAAACCAAATATATATCAAAATATAAATTATATATATTTTGCTGAATTTAGTTTTATATGAAATAGAAATAACTTACTGTTTCCTGATCGATTTTCTTTATTATCACCACTAGGTGCTGTATGTATTGGTGTTGGTCTATCAACCAAACCATTACTTGGTTCAGTTGTCCAATTAAGTCTAAATTTTAATGTTGGCCCTTTACTAAATACTTCAAAAGGACCACACTCCTTGATGTCAGGTACAGACTCCCAAGAGCTGTGCTTCTTTGGGCTAGATCGAATATTGGTTTGTACTTCTTGTAAACCTAATTCATAATCGCCATCGGTGAGCAAACATCGATTATGTTTATCATATACTATGAGTTCAGAACCATACAATTTTACTTCTTCTCCTGTGGTTTTAATTGAACCTGTAGAAGACTTACGACGCTTTTGAGCCGGCTCTGAAAAATGAAAAAATGTAGTAAAAATACATTTCTCACATTAATTTCTCACAAGGTTTTACCAACCATCTAAATCACAGTTATGCATAAGGCAGCCAGTACTGGACGTACAATAAACTCTAAGTAAAAGCATGTAAGTTTTAGCTACATGACCATTATTTAAACTGAATGACTCATTAGGTATAGATATAGTAGGTGCTTTTGGTGGAGGTTGATTTTCACATGGATTTATTGGAACTTCACTCGTACCAACAGAAACCTGAAGTAAAAAATAATTAGAACACCCCTGTAGCAATAACAATAATTATTTTACTTCTAATGTTTTTAGTAAATTATGAAGTTTAAAAAATGATACTTGCCTGCATAATTGGTGAACTCACATCTTTCCTTTTTTTGTGACATATTTTCAATAACAATGTTTCTACTTTTACTGGATCTTGAGGTATTTCAACTAAATATCATAACATTACCATAAAATAAAATTGAATTAGTAAAATTGAATCATATATATACATGTACATAAAATTATAATAATAGAGAAATTTAAAACAATTTTTGATACATGGTTACCTTTCTTATCATAAAAACCTAGAAAAGTAAGAGTCATATATCCACGAATACCAGGGTTTTCTTCCTGTTTGTTTTTTGACATTAACTTTTCCAATATTGTATCAGTTTTAAATCCTCTTCTAGACTTATGACTTCTGGACATACGTTGCTTCATATAAGTTAAATTTCTATATAGAAATATTGGCTAAAAAAATTATGTAGAATGCTTTATACAATTGTGTATCATTTAAATATAAACATAAAAATATGAAGGACATAAAACAATCAGTAAGAAGAAAAATTTATAAATTATTGAATTGAATTTTATTTAAATTATAGATTAATTTTATAAAATAATAAATCTGTATACCTACCATATTAGTTATTAAAAACAAATATAGAATGACTCAAAGTGTTTTTGTAATTATAAGTGTAGCATATAAATATTTAGAAGCACATTATTATAAATTATAATATATATTTTCTTATAACTACAAAAAGCTCACTAAATTATTGGTGTAAAGACTTGTACACAGGTACATATCCACTCACTTTTTTTCAATTATAAACAAATTTTACTGTGATCTAGCATGTATTTTTTATTTGTTAATACAACAAAATGTTAGAATATTCAGTTAACACTTTAAGAATTAAAAAAACTATAAACAATTATAAATTAACATAAAATATAAAATAGAAATTGACTTTTTTACTCACTGAAATTTGGTTTCTTGTACGTAAAAATCGATAAATCTGGGTTGGCTCTGAAAAATAATATAAACCCATTATAAAAATTGACAATACAAATAAATTATATATAATATGTAAATTTAAATATTATCTTTGTGAAAACAGTTCAATTTTATTGCATAATAAAATAGATAGTTTAATTAAATTCCGCTAGATGGCATATAGTTTGATACCATTCCCACAAGTAAAAGGGTCCGTATAAAAGCTTAAAAAGATGGAATGAAAATTGTATTTCATAATACTTCAAGATTCCGGGGGAAATGTATGAAGGAATTATTCTTAGTGTGATACGAGACGCCTGCACATTGTTACGAGGAGCGTAGATTAAAATCTGATTCCTTACACATTATCAGATAAAACAAGATTCATTGCAATTAAAATTGCGTATAACTTTCAATTGTTTAACATGCGTGTATTCATCAATTAAGATTTGATTTAAAATTTTAATTAAAGATTGAAATCTCTCTTACATGACTTCTTAATTCAGAAAAGATTTCGATCTTCTAATTAATGATAGGAAAATGCAACATTAAAACTGATATGACTGAAAGGAAACATCATCTTGAACAAAAAGTGTTTAAATTTAAATTCTTCCTGCTTAATGTGAGCAACTAGTTACATTAACTACTTAGTTATTGTATTAAATGGTAACATAAATTTCTTCTTTTTTAACGTGAAAATTCGTAATTTTAATTGGAATCAAAAAAATCCAAAATATATTGCAAAGGATTGATACCTTGTTCTTTATATTGCCACACACATTTTGTACTTGAATAATATATTTTTGATATCAAAAAATTTTATTGAGCAAGTAGAAAAGGATACCATTTACACACAAACAAATCATATTTACTTTTTTTGGAGTAATAGTAATTGAATTAGATTTCGATTTATTCATTCCCCAATTCATCCCTTTTTGTATTTAATTTTTCCTTTTCTTTACTTGAATTAATTTTTATCAAATATATTGCACTGTATATATTTAATAAAATTTCAGTAAATATTTACAGGATACGTGTTACTTTCATAACATTTAAAATAAATCAACGTATGTTATTTTCGCAACAATTTAAAAGACATTTACTCTTATCAGTATCAAAACAGTATTACGTGTAACGATTGATAATATTGAAAAATAAATAGATATCGTAACTACACGATTCTCTTGTATCTAATTGAAATAGTTTATTCAATTCGGATTGTATTGAGTAAAAAACTATAAACACGATAAAAGAATGACAGGTGTCGGTGTGAATCGACGTAAAAGGAGGGAACGAAAAGTACCGACGCGAAGATCGGCGCTTGGTACATTCTAACCAAATGGGGTTATGTACGATCACTGTTAACATTCGTAATAAACATTCACACGAAAAGCAATTGTTAACTGTTTAATCGTTAAGTTTCTTGATATTAACTAACGATAGATCACAACAAAACATGAAAAAGAAAAATTATATCTGTAAATTCTTACTTTCGAAGGCCTGCAGGAATAGCTCATGATCTGCTTGTATTTGATCCATTCGAGGACCTCTTTGTCCATCCACTTCTTTCTCCCGCTTTTTCGGCGGCATTTTCACGCGATTTATGACTAAATGTTCTATGAAAATTTATTTTGTCACGTGAAAATACAATGACAACACCCGCCCCGCGCGAAATCTGCGGCGCTTAGCCTGCTACTAAAGCGCACCCTTATATCACTATTAATTACTAACTCGACCAATCACTTGTTATCAGCGCCAAATGTAAATATTTCATCGGGCATATTTTATTATAAACTGGTATTACTTTTATATCTCACTGATATTACGTTATTCGCTACTACAAATTGTATAAAAATAAGAAAAGATTGCTACAACCTTTATATCATTTTCAATGTTTTCTTAAGTAGTGAAATTTTTGTTTATAAACTTATTCTGCTGGCTATTTTGATTAAATATTAAAAACTGTTGTTAAAAGAATATAAATATTGTTAAAAATTAAGAAATATATTCTTAAAATGCAAATAAAACATTTGAAATATAAAATATATTTATATTGTATTTTAAATATATATACACACATTTGTATGTATATATACTTTTAACAGCATTTAAAACATATAAACATTAGAAACTATTAAAAGTGAATGAAATTAATATTTTAATATTTGTTTTATACGATATTTTTTTAAGTTGATAAAACATGGAACACGTATCAGAAATAAGAACACTTATTTCATACATCGAACGTAAGCGAAAGCGTAAATGAATTATACGTTGCCGATAACCTATTCTTATGCATATAATTAGTGAATTTAAAAAATAGATTACTTATATGAATGCATTTCATAAAGTTATACTACTGTGATCTAAGCTAAGACAATTTTTGAGAAATTTAATGGTATTCATAATAAAATTTTAATTATCATTACATCACAATAAGATAAGATGAAGTGTAACATATTTCGTATTACAAATGTACAATTTGTACAGAAAAGGTTTTTTAAAAAGCTTCAAGTGAGAGTTAGATTTGCTCCTAGTCCAACTGGTATGTAAAATGATTATTTTCTTCTTTCATTAATGATTTACTATAAAACAATGTGGAGAAATGTACTTGTATTAATGCTTAGTTTTTATTATAACAGGTTTTATTTCTTTCTTGAACAGTTTACTATTGATGTATATAAAATATATTTTATTTCTAGGATTTTTACATATAGGAAGTTTACGAACTGCATTATACAACTATTTATTTGCTCGTGCTAATGATGGTTCATTTATTTTACGAATCGAAGATACGGATCAATCTAGGTGCATACCTGGAGCAATAGAAAAAATTGAGAATGATTTATTATGGGCTGGAATTATACCTGATGAGGACCCACTAAGAGGTGGACCAGTTGGCCCATATTTACAATCAAAACGACTTGAAATATACCAGTATGTTAAAAATTATAGCGATAAAAGTTATTTAGTTCTTATTCTGAGAAATGAAAGATTTTGTTAAATTGAATATTTCATTTATTTATACATTCTATTAGTAAATTTTTTGTTTAAATGATTCACATTCTGAATTCATAACTCATTAAATTACAGGGAACATGTACTTAAACTTATAAATAATCAGTCTGCGTATTACTGTTTTTGCACAGAAAATAGATTACAGTTATTAAAAAGAGAAGCTTTAAAATGTGGACAAGTGCCTAAATATGATAATAGATGTCGACATTTAAGTGATGATGAAGTGAAACAAAAACTTAAGAAAGGAGATCCCTATTGTATTAGATTTAAGGTAGGCTAAAATACTATCAAATAATATTGACTTACTTAACTGTAGTTTAAAGAGTCATTTTTGTACATTCTTGCAGTTGTCTTCTGAGATAGAATGTTTTGATGATATAATATATGGTAAAATAGAACATGATATAGGAAGTAGAGAAGGAGATCCAATTATTATTAAAGGAGATGGTTATCCAACTTATCATTTTGCAAATGTTGTTGATGATCATTTAATGGGAATATCTCATGTCTTACGAGGAATTGAGTGGCAGGTGTCTACACCTAAGCACATAATGATGTATAAGTAAGTATAATTATCACTCTCATGCATAATATAAAAAAATAAAAATTATATTTTTATAGAGCATTTAATTGGACCCCTCCTGTATATGGACATTTACCACTAATATTAAACCCGAACGGAACAAAACTATCAAAAAGACAAAATGATATAAACATTGAATACTTCAGAAAAGAAGGAATCTTTCCATTAGCACTTCTAAATTATGTTATTCATGCAGGTGGTGGTTTTGATAACAGGGGTGGAGCTCATTATATTAATAGTTATGAAGAATTAATTAAACAAGTATGTTTCTATATTAAAGTTCCAATTAAATTTAATTTAATTCATACATATATGATACATTTATGATAGTTACATATGATATATATATGTTACTTTATTTTAATTTCTTTTTTGTAATGTTTCAGTTTAATATTTCTAAAATAAAAGTAGCTTCTAATAAACTTTCACCACCGAAATTATTAGAATTTAATAAGATAGAAATGTCAAAATTATTAGCAAATGAAAAGAATAATAAATTTTTAGTTGAAAGAGTTAGAAATCTTGTTATGGAGGCGTATTCAGAAAGGTATGAATTTTACTATTTGTTACAAATATTAAGTTTTTTTTAGTATTTAGAGCTTTCCAAATGTTTTAAACATCGTTTCAGAAAAATTGATGGAAGTTTGCATTTAGATGATCATCATATAATTACAATATTAAAATGGGCACAAACTAGAATATCTAAGTTGAGTGATTTAATATCTCCAGAAATGAGCTTTATATGGATCATTCCAGCTACATCTGAAGATAAAGTTCATTCCGAGTACTCAGGTATAATTTTTATTTGTTCCATTTTATTACATAATAAATTATATTTTTCATTATACTATTATTTTTGATTATATATTAGATGCGTTCAAAATATTAAATAACAAATTGCTGGAAATTGACACTGAACATTTTCACAAGTCATGGATGAACAGTTACTTAAAACAATTTGCTGCTGAACATAGCATTCCATATGCAACATTTATGAAACATCTGCGTTTTATCCTTAGTGGTTTAAAAGTAAGTATTAAGTGTTGTAATTACTTTTCTCCATTTTTTTTATACATTTAATATATTTTTACATTTTTAGGAAGGTCCGCCAGTTGCTGAGATGATTGAAATTTTAGGAAAAGATACTACATTGTTCAGAATAAATCACTATATTTCCTGAAATTGAATATATGATTCAGTCAATTTGTAAGTTTATAACTAACATTAAATTTTAATATTTATGCTTTGAGTTTAATAAAACATTTATTATGAAGAATGTAATAAAATGTTACAGGCATAACGTCACACAGTGAACGTTTTCAGTAGAATAAAAAGCTTAGATATCTAGTCAGTTTTTTAACGAAATTGATGGAACATCTATCTCATTGTATAAGTTTAAAACCATCAAACAAGTATTTAATTTTACCTATCCTATGTATATATAAAGTAAAACACGTTAAATACTATAAATTTGGTTTTAAAACTATTATTAAATATATAAATGTTTTTATTATTAATGGAATTTTTCATTTGTTTAGCACAAATAATTTGTCATTTACGTGGTGTACATATTTTTTAAAACAATTTAGGTATTTAATATAATTCCAATATTTAAATAACTTCTGACAATAAAAACAGTAGAAATATTTATTAAACAGTAGTGAATAAATAAAAGACATTGTATAAATACAGTTTCTACTACTACGCTTTTATTATATAATTACAGTTTTAACTATTTTAAACAAGAATAGTTGTTTTTACAATGTAGAATCTACATAATTAAAAGACGTAGTTGCACTTATTAGAGCTGTTTTACGAAACATGTTCAGCTTATGTAACTAATATTAGATTTATAACGTTTAGTTTAATGATTCTGAGAAAGACATTGTTAAAATGTATTTTTGGAGCTGTATTACTTACATGTAGAATTAAATAATAAATTATAAACAAAAAATAATTATATTATTAGTACGTATAATTATAACTATATATATATAATTATTTTGTTTAAGTATATATAATTCAACTGTTGCATTTTTTAATGCATTATATGGCTCAATAAATGATACAGGAATATTAAGTACATGAGATGCATTTTCTTCTAGAACATTTAGATAATTCATTTACATTACATTTGTTACCTTTAACTTTATTGCTATAAGATAATATTTTCTTTAAATAAAATAACTAATGAGAGTATACTATCTTTTCATTTCAGCTATAATCTCAAATAAATATCACATGCAAATTATTTTTCTAGTTGACTATTATTTACAATATACAATTTGGAATGCATAATACAATTTTGAAGTTAGTACATGATAGCATAATGTCAGTTATGTAAGTACACATTTAGAATTAGAAAATTTAAGAATAGGCACTTTTGTCTTTGCAGTTTTACATTGGAATTAATTAAACCTTTCATATATAAATACATGCACACGTACATACATACATTTATTCATTCATTTGTACGTACATCCATACATACATAAACACACATCTACATAAAAGAGTTAATTAACTTTGGGATTTAAATTGAGCATTTGATAAAATTCAAAAAGGCAAGGCATCAAATAGTACTACATCAAATTCTATAGATTGGAAAAGTTCTGTTATTATATTGCAACTGTTATTATTTCATCATTTTTGTCCTAAAACATGGCTGATATTTAAAAAACAATTTAAATATCATATAATGAAGTACTATTTTCTTTTCCTACAAAGAACATTAGAATCATTCAAAATGTTAGGGCTATTTGCAATTATAGATTTCCCCTTTAATGTACCTTTAACATTTTTAATTTATTGATTAATAAGGTTTACTATATTTTTAAACTTTTTGTATTACTATTTAATGAAATGTGATAGGTGTTACAAAGTTAGATAAACTTCAATAAGTCTACTGATATTTAATCTGAAAGTTTTTTTTTTAATTTCATTGTTGCACAGCTGTAAAATTACATCACAAAGAAGAAATCATGTAGTAACACCTGCTTGTTTTATATGTACATCCCTTTATATTCAATCTACTCTACATATTATATATAAACAAATAGTAATATGATAATAATAATGATGAAAAAAATATTTAAAAATACATTGCTTGTTGTTATCATTGTGACTATTATCAATGAATAAATAATATAAAAGAGAAACTCGTTTTTAATATAGAAATTATGCAGATGTTAATACTTAATTTAATATTTGGATGTTTAACTACTACTAAAAGTTATGGAAATGAAGTAAATATATATACAAGTCAGATTTAAACATTGTAATGTATATGGTACATACAATAAAAGAGTACTAAATGATTAACCTTCGCATGTCTATGATTAGGACACTTGAGACTCATATTATAGTAACATTACATTAATTATTATTTTGAAATAAAATGATGAATATTAAATGTTTTGAATATTACTGATTTATAATAAGCAAATATATTTCCTATTTACATTATTCTATATTATACCATGTGGTAGCAACACAATGACACTTCTACAGATGAAAATTGAAGTTTATAAAATATACAACAATTTTCATTTAGAATGCATTTATAAAATCTTAGAATGAATCATAATTGTCCCAGACATTAGCATTCATATTTTGACATTCGAAGGTTAAAGCATTGTGACAATTGGCAGCTTTCCACCAGTAATAATAGTATAACGTTTTATACTATAATATAGTGCAATAATGCAATATAATGTTATTATCAAATTTATAAACAAACGTATACATGTGCACATATAGGTCATGTGTGCACAGATGGAAGTATTTATCAAACATCAATGTATTGTATAGTAAACAGTACCTGTTTAATATAGTTTCAATCTTCATTATTCTATTCTATAAGAATATGAAAAACAACAGAAGGAAATATATGTATAAAGGTGTATTCAACCTTCAATACAGAAATGAATACCAGAACATTTTTTTGAAGCAAAGTGATACATTACAACCCAAATAACAATTTGTTAAAAATGTCTAAACAAGCCATACTGTATGTTGTCCTAAACTAAATAACATTTCACCTTTGTTCATTGAGTTATAATATATGACATTACTCCTAAAAATCATCCTGATGCTCGACCTTACTCTTATAAATTAGTCACAGACGATAATAATACATCTTTGAAAGATAGTGATTGTTTAGTTGTGTTTATAAATTAGTTGTAATGGAAATACTGGCAATAGCCATTAGAAAGTGCAATACTATTAGTTTCACGTGCTTCTTTATAAGAAATTATGTTAAATACTTTTCTATTTAATAAATGTACTATTTAGAAGAATCTATAACATTTAAATTTTGTCGATCGCACATTCCATCAATTGTCTTTATAGTAACATTCTCTTCAAACATATACATCTGAAAAATTTGTTTCTTTTCCGATAAATTTGTACATGATATTTTTATTGCCATTGGCGGGTGTTTTACACACGTTCTTTTTTACTTTATCATTGTCAATGTTATTATTATCATTATCATGATTGTTAATTTATTTTCTTGCAATTGTTATACAGGTCTAATGCAACTGTTACGAATCATAGCGCGAGGTCATTTCTCGGTGGAATTAGAAAGAAATGTTAGTTCTACCACATTTTTGTCCAGGTACACTAAGAAAAGAGTTAGGACTTAGAACAGTTGCATATACCACCCTGTATATGATTATATTGATTAAATCTCACTTTCATTAAGGATATTGTTATACATTAAAAATGTTTGTCAAGTACAATTTTGTTATAGCAATTTAGCTATGTTAAAAAGTTGTAATCACAAAGCATTAATACATAAAAAAATTTCAGCAGAATGACATGTATACAGTGAAATATACATATATGTATACGTATATATCTTTTATATAATTAAGCATATATGCGCATACATCTGTACATGTACATATATATGTATATATATTTCATATAATGTAATTTAATATGAATCAGACGTAAGTACAAATGAAATTTTGAATATAAATAACAAAAATATATAATAACAATTGATTTCAGTTGTTTACTATTAACATTTTAAGTATATATATTTTTTTTTTTATTAGATTTCGTTATTTCACAGATTATATGGGTTTTACCTGATTATTCACAGTTTATATACACATGTAATATTATTCAGTTTTGCATCTTAAATATTTTAAAGATGTTAAGTAAAAATGATGAATTGTTACGAAAGTATAATATTTTTAACTCATTTTATAAAATTCACAGTAAAATATTCCAAGGTAAATAATTTTAACTCATAAAAATATGCAGAAATGTCGATGAAATATTTGTCAAATTAAATGATATATTAAAAATACATTTTTTATGTAAGCAAGTACAAATGTGTATATTAAATACAAAAAACAATTGTAAACCCATATCGTATTTGTTAAAAAATCACAGTTTATGCATTCATTAATTCTTAATTTCCATTTTATCAAACAATATCCGACGTTATTCAAAAACAAGTGTAACTTAATACAGTAATATTCATTGATGAAATTATTATAAAAGAAATATCTCAATATTTATACTTGAATTCTAACACTAAGCATTATAAAAAAAATAACTTTTTACTTCAAGTTTTGTTATCATTATGCTGTTATGAAATTCCTCTATGATATACTTTTATTTTGAAAGTATCTTGTGTATATATTGTGTGAATATATACATATACATACTCATAGAATATAAACATTACTACTTTTACAAAAAAAAACTAAAATCACAGTAAATTAATATAAATTACAAATAGAATGACTTATATAAATGATATAATTGACAATACTCAGTTCATACCTAATATTTAGAATATAATTTTTAAATATATTAATACTGTTTTAAGTAAACTTAACATAATATTCTGAAACTCGGAACATCTAACAAATATAAAAAGTAATAAATAATGGCATAATACATACTCTTAAACTTATAATATGATTTGCATTAATACATAATATTTGAAGTCTTTAATTTTTGTACAATATACAAAGGAATAAATATAAATTACTCTTCAGTAAATTATTATATTGTTAATTAAATTACCGTTAAAATCTTACTCATTGTATAAATGCATAATCAATGTTATTTTATGATGGCATTGCATTAAAATGTATTATATTAAGTATGAATATGGCATGCTTAACATAACGTTAGATTAACAGTTTGGCACTAATAACATCATTTTGTTATAGAGCAGTGTAGAAAATAATTTTTGTATAACACTGCTACCTCACAGTAAGTGCCCTTTTTGTATGAGAATATCTACATTTTTTATATTGCATATTTAGTATTACATAACGTTTGTAGTTCTAGTTTTCAAATGATTCTTGTAAATTATTAATGTAGGTTTATAATTTTGTATTTTTCGATAATTATTAACTAATATAATATATTATCTATTGATTGTATTATTTATACTTTGAAATATTGAAGTCGTATACCTAATTATTTAAATCATTAATAGCTTGTAAGATTCTTTTAACGTGTCCTATTTTAGTAATACCAAGTTCTTTGAGATCTCTACGGGCTAATGATAATAATTCCCTACCACGTATATCATGAGAAACGAATTTATCAGTATATTCACCCAACTGTAGACCTTCCAACCAAGAACAAACTTCATGCACACCCCATGTAGTAACTTGTTCCCGAGCAGGGTGTGCTCCAGAATTACCTCCTGAACGTCGAAATTTCAACCAGAATAAACCTTTGTGTCGATTTTTTTTATCTCCCTTAAAAAAAAAAAGGTTCAGAATGTTATACTAATTTAGTAACGTCTACTGCATTAAATACGTAATATAAAAATCATTATTCTAAATCAAATCTATACCTGTTCATCTGATGTTAAATTTTGTAAGTATACTAATCCTGTGCCACCTTCATCAAATGTACATTTTTTTAATTCTTGTTCCATATTGGCTAATGAAAAAGATAAGTTGTTCTCTAAACCTTCTCGTATCTTCTACATTAAACAAATTTAATGATTAATAAATTGTTTGTAGGACATAAGAATAAATACATAAATTATAAAATACATACCAAATTATGTGCTTTATCTCTAAGTAATTCACATGAATCTTCGTAAAGTTGTCTTGCACCTGATACCAATTCTGTTACAAGTGGTCTTAAATTGTCCTATTAAACAATATTAGATACAATTGATAAATTATTCGAATACTGCAGTAACTAATATTTAATTATAATCAATTTCAACCCAATTCCAAATTTAATTGGTAATATCACAAAATAATACTAACTCCTTGCACTATTTTTCCATCCGAATATAATTGTTTAAGTGCTTGGTCTGTTCGTGCTGCAACTTGAGACAAATCAGGTTCCAAACTTTGATGTGATATAATAAGAACTTCTACCCATTTAACTAAAGTTGTAACTGCCTCAATAAAACCCAGCAATATATACATTTCTTCATCGTTTAAATGTGACGGCTTACTCTGTATTGGTAAAGGAGTCTTTGTTTGGGATTGCAATTGTAATTGTGTACTATTTAAAGTAGACGCTGATTGAGATATTGCATTAAGTGTATTGCGTTGTTTTTCCTCCCACGTTTTTAAAGACGTCTCGAGTGCCTACATTTTAAAAAATAGAATTTATAATTGTGATTATTCTTAAATCTGCATTTTCTTAATTCTATTAAGGATTAACGTTGCTTACTCGATTTCGGTAAAGCATTTGCATACGATTTTTGTGTATAATACGTATGATACCAGGACGCTGTATCCATGCTTCACCATCGACTTGTATAGGTACTCCTTCTTCTCCCAAAATATTAATTTGAACCGTTTGACACTGTGCAATTCGGTGATGTTGTAAATTAATAAGTCGTGATGCAGCCATTTGAACAGATCCGAATACAGCCACAACTTCTAATATGCGATCGTCAAACGAAGGAGCCAGAAACAAGTCTCCTTCTTTCGTGCCTCCCCAAAAATTGGTACCACCCATAAAACTGTAAAAATATCGTAATTTTATGAACGAAAGGTATTCATATACAATTATATATTTATCTTTATTTGTACCTTGGAATGTTCAATACAACAATTCCTTGCAAAGACGGTAATGGTATACGTTGACCATCACATTCTAGCTGTACTCTTTGTTCAAGATTTTTATATGTTTTTTGTAATAATTGTTTGGATCCTAATACACCATACCACATATAGTTTTTTGCCCGTGATCGACATTTTTCAGGATGTTCTTCTCTTTTATGATGAAAGTCGAGGCTAATTTTTGCATCAATGCCGATTCCAAAATAATTGTTCATAACACAACGTTCAAAATAACCTTCCCTGATTAATTTAAAAAACAGTTAATTATAAATAACATATATTTTAGAAATAATATAAAATAATACAACTCACATTAAAGTTTCATCAGGATCCATTAATGGTGATACTGCTGCACAAAGTGCATCTGCATTTGCAAGCAATGCTTGACTAATAAGACCTGATCCTCCACTAACATCTAAAGGCATAAACAACTGGATAGTTTACAAAGAAAAGTAAATCTTGTTAAATAATATAGTATTGTTGAAAAAAATTTGTAAATCATTTTTATAAATGATATGCAAATATGTATTTGCTACATAAAAGCAAAATATTTTTACTTACTTGGCCACATAGGTAATTGAACTAAAGGATTAATAATTGGAAGTTTTTTAACATCCTCAGTTTTGTCAACAGATTTTACTCTTTCATGACGCAAACTTGCATTGGAACCATCAAATCTTGCAGCTGTAGCAGCTAGAGAGACTACTTCCGATGCTTTTAACAAACTTCCATTGCTAATTCGTCGAGTTGCTTGAGGAGAAAAACCTGACTCTGGTAGCTCTACACTTACTAATTACGTATGAAACCGATTAATAAATATAGATAATAACATTAGAAGAGTTATTGTAAATAATTTATAAACAAATCATGTACTAAAATAAAAATGTTTAAAAATAAGAAGTACATCTTATTAATTACCCGGGACTTTACTAAATTATGGCAATGAATTAATAAATGGAATGTTAACTTACATTTTTCCATGCTTTCATCGTTATATCGTCTTAAATACGGACTCATTTTATATCCCTTGTCTGAATCATGTTGACTTTCAATTGATGTTGAAGGACTGGGAGGATTAATTATAACACTTATCGTTGGTGGAAAATTACTAGGTTTTTCATTTGTTGTGGTAGTATCCGCAGAAACAGTAAAACAACAAACAGGACTTAACAAATCAGATGTTTTGCGATCTCGAGAATCATGACTGTTCTGTTCAGATGATCCTATGTTATCCTTGGCTTTATTCTATTAGGAATTAATACAAATTTAAATTATCTTTCAATACATTTATGATAAAAATTGTATAAATGATAAAATATTAATTATAAGTAAATAATTTACTTCAGTTTCTGAAACAGAATTCTTTGTTGATTGCTTCTTAAATGATCGTTTGGCAATATCATTGCCTTCTACAAACTGTGCTATACTACAAGGTTTCTGTGGTTTTTCCATCTGTTTAGATTCTAAACATTCTCTCACAGAGTCATATTTTTCTCCTATCATTGTGCTAATCAAATCTTGTCCAAGAGAACTTAAATCATCGATTAAACTTTCAGAATTTTGTATATCACTAGTGAGCACATCTGAATTATCAGGAGAATCAATATGTCCAATATCAGAACTATCAGATCTTCGTGTAGAATCAAATATGTCATTACTTATACGAACTGAAATAAATAACAAATTGTGTTAGTTCAAAATTTAAGAGAATTATTAAAATTTATTACTTGTCACTTACCAATTTCACTTTCACTACTTCGTATTACATAGTTCTTAAAATCCAGTGTATCAGAAATTGTACTATCTGTACTAATAATGCTGTTACTACAGCTACCTCTACTGTCACATTTAATTCTATTTTCAAATTTTTCTGTATGTTCTGGGGATAGATGCTTAGATTGGAATGACTCTGTATCAGGAGAAATAATAGTATCTTGCATAGTAGCATCATCTGAAGGTGTACTCGTATCAAACGTAGTTCTTGTAACACTAGTTGGAAATTCTGAAGAAAGTTTTATATTATTAAATTCAGATATTTGTTGATCATTAGACATTAGATTTTCTGTTTCTTGCTGATTGTTAGTAGATTGAGACTCAATTGTAGGCACATCAAAATCAAGTGAACTAAAAGCAAAAATCAATATATTTTATTATTTTTGTATTTTATGCAACATATAAGTTACAGTATAATAAAATGATTTTAACTTTTGTTAATAATGTATATTAAAAAGTATATATCTACCCTTGTGGAAAATTTTCACTGTTTCGTCTACTATCAGCAAAACCATCAGGAGCAGGTAATGTTAACAACTCTTCAGGTTGAGAATCTCTCCTAAGGTCAGGTATTGGACTTAAAGAAGTTACATTAGGAGTAGGACTAGTACATGTTAAATTATCGGAACTTGTTATAGATTCTATTAATGGTTCAATAGATAAATTGTCAACATGGTCCACTTTTAAACCAGGAATATCCAGTTGTTTTTTACCTACAATGTAATTTAATATTTATGAAACAAAGAAATAGATTATATGAATTCTAAAAAAGATTATTTGTACATAAACTTACTTGACACTGAATTTAACACAGTACTATCATCTAATGAAATACTTGTGTCTGTTATTTTAGAAGTATGCTTCGTGTCTGTGTTAATTTGATCACCCATAGCCAGTTGTGAATACTCCACTAAATGTCTTATGATTCGTTTCAAACTATTTACTCTATAATTCAATAAAGATGACTAAAATTAATAAGATAAATGAGATTTCTTCATGCAGTGCAGTGAGAGCTTGTTAAAATTTTAATAAAAAATAATTTTATGAATTTTAGGGAACCGGAAAAGACTAATTATTTGTTGCATCTATGATGGAGAAATTATTCAAACAATAGAAAAATAATCAGACAATAATGTCAAAGTGTAATATTTACCTTGATATTACACATTCTTTCTCCATAAGTTGTCTTCTTCTCTGAAGCCTTTTTAAATTTGTTATGTCTTTTTCTGGCTTTTCTAACACTCCTTTTTCACAACTATCGGGTGAAACAGAAATGTCTGTATTTAAAGTAATATTATCGACTTCTTCTACAGTTTCAGTTAAGTAACCTTCTTCTTTACATAAAGTTTGTAACAATAAATCAAGCTTTTTCTGAAGTATTTTACATTTATTTTCCATTTGTTGGTCCTCTGAGTTTATATTCTCCTTTATATATGTTGTAAAATCTTTTACTGTGTCACACAAAGTTCTGTAAATAATATTTTCCATTATAATAATGTTTATTTTTGCATTAGTGTATTGTTTTGTGGAATACTTACCTAATACTAGATAAAACTACACTTTCCTGATCCGATTCTAGAATGTTTGTTACATGAGTAACAATATTATTCTCATACTGATGGGCAATGTTGGATTTTAACATTGTATTAGATGGACTTATCACACCTTTGTGGCATGGTAAAGATATGCTGCGTTCAAAAGTCATAACACTCCATCGATCAAGCATTTTTGTTCCTGCTTTTTCATATTTTTCTAACAGTTGGGGCAAATGAGCATCATCATCACAAGAAGACCCCCAACCCAATACCCGTGCTAAATCATTTCCTGTTCCCAAAGGTAGCACTCCAACTTGGCACTGCTTCTATTTTAAATTTTTATGTAAAAAAAATTAATTTTATTACAGTATTTATAGAAACATACATTAAAAATTAATTAACAATTATATTCATGTATGCAAATCCCAAAGTTCGTGTAAATGTTTATTACTATCATATCTATAATCATTTTTAATATGCTCCTGTTACAAATTAAATATTATCACTTAAATATGATGAATAATCTACATAAACTTTGAGAATTATATTATATTATATTATAATATATATAAACTTTTACCTATTATGCAACATACATTGCAAATAAGCAAAGCAATAGTTAAACATTCAGAAAAAGAATGTTGGAAAATGTATATTGTATAAGTTTACTAATTGCTTTTCAATATAGTCCCAATTTATTGTAATACATTTTTCCAATCAAACTCAATCAACTTTTCAATTCCATTGAAATAAAATTTCTCATTGCAAAGTACTAGAACCTTGTGCTTACCAAAGCAAAAGTAGAAATTTCAATTGAAATAAACCTCGTGGTAGAATGTCTACATGTGGTACAGTCTGTTCCAACACAATTCCTTTAAAAGTTTAAAAACGGAAAATCTCTCAACTTAACTCCATTGTCTTAACTGAATAATGAAGGTGATAAGAAGATTTCATTAATTTAAATAAAAAAATAAATGTCTTTAAACAACTGATATATTTTTCAAATCACACAAAGATATGTAAAAAACATGTAATACAAAAAGGTATGTAATATATAATATCATAATAGTAAATATTTATATTATTTAAATGACAAATATTAAAAACATTCAAGAATTCTAAGAAAATGCGTGCTTATTTTACACTTACCATCTACAAATAAAGTTAATGAAGCTTCACGCATACAAAGAATCCTAATACCAAACACCAGTATCATCTGAAATAAAATTATAAAAGAGACACGCCATGCTGTGGAAAATATTAAAGCTTTTTATCATTATTCGTTTAACCCTTCCATGAAACATGCAAATCTATTAATTTTAAATAAACTTGAATTACACAAATTTAATAGTTCAATGGTTCACATCTGTCACATAGTAAATATCTGTCACTTTCAAATCAACAGATTTAATTACTTGATAGAGTTAAATTCCAGAAGGGAGACTTATTTTTGAAACTGTTTGCATTCTACATAACATTTCATAATGTTCATTTTTATAATAACATTTTTATTACTTGGAAGCTAAAGGACATAAAGGAAGCCACTTATTTGTTAGATTGGGGAAATAAAAAAGTTATACAAAACTTTATATTACTATCTATTATAATGGAAAATAATAGTACAAAGTTGTTAAAATCATAAATGACTTAAATATGCAACCTTACTACTATTGAAAGGAAAATAATGGGTAAAATATACAGAACTCTTTAGAAAAACCTATCTCTTTTATTAAATATTTGAAGAACATACAAGGTATGTACAGTAATCCCAAATATACTTCAAACGCAATAAAATGATTTTTAAAAGAAAAGAATATCCTTCTTGACCACTTGAAACACTGATTGCTAATCCAATAGAGAATCTGTAGGAACAATTAAATTGGCAAATACTATACCATTAGTAATATTGAAATTTAATTTTCACAACTCTATTAGGACAGAAGAGTGGTAAAATTCCTATAACTATGTTAGGAATAAAAAATAAATGGCATAAATAACAGAATTACTTATTAAAAATACTGCCATATTATTAGTTCTTAAATAATTTGTAAGTATGTATTAGCTATAAAACATTGAGTTAGTTTTTAGCAAAAATAAATTGTAAAATATTTATTAATTATAACAATGTATTAAAAATAAGTTATACTTATTTCTGTCAGGAGATTTGTAAGCTCATGTATATATATTTTTACTGTGATGTTTAAAATGATAATATTGTATAGGAGAAGAAGAATATTTTTACTTGATTTTAAATTACAATAGTGGAATTTTCACAGAAGGATTAAGCAAACTATAATATAAAAATATTTTTGCATATATATGGAAGGATATTATAACATTCTGAACAATCATAATAAAATGCAAGCATGCAATAGTCGAAAAATAAACTTCATTTTTATTATTTAATCTGAAATACACTTTTTTACTCATGTCATTATGTGATTTCTAAATGTATTTATAATCATACTTAATGTTCATGCTTATGTATGTGCACATGAACAAATTTCAATATTAACTCTACAGAGCATTACAGCCTCTGCATAGCAAAATTATATTTAAGATAAATCTATATATGTACAGTACGTAATTAAAATTTAAATTCATGCAATTAGCTAATATTTACAAAACCAAAAAATCATGTAAATTTTCTACTTACATGCATTCCTAAACGATCAATTTCCGAAAGAACCCAACCAACAGATCCATCGCCGCTGCATACCAAAATTCGAAATGGATCGAAATGACGAAATAATCTCAACCTATTCATTATAAGTTCTTCATAAGATTTTTTCGCTTATTATAAAATTGCCAAACAATTTATAACAAATCTTACCCTGGTCCTGGTCCTCCTTTAATAAGATCAAATACTTGTGCTGGATTTAATAATTGTTTGAATCTTCTAAGAAATTTAACACCTTGATTGTCACCAGATTTACTATTTACAAATACTAAAAGTGGACTACATCCAGTAGGTCTAATAGCTTCCCAAGCTTCATCGCTACCTATTGAATATTAATGTATACAAGAATTTAATAGAAGATATACAGTACAGTTTCGCTATATAATCATCTTTATGTAGTGCATTGACTAAATTTCCTGTTATAAGCACTTGCACGATCACTAGTAGCCCTCTTTTTTTATTATAAATTTTTTCATTTCTAAATTCAAAAATTTGAAAATTTCAAATCTACAAATTTGCATATAGCAAAAGTTCATTGCATGTAAAATATACAGTAATGTTCGATTAGTAGTTGCAGGTTTGGAACTTAATTGTAACTGCTATTCAATGATTAGGGATTTTTCTGCGACTACCAAGCGAGCACTATTTGTAACCGTTTACCGAACGTTTCTGCACTTACAGCATATATCTATAATATTACATAATTTGGAAATATAATACAATACTAGCAATATTATCAAGATGTGATAAACTATATTACCTATACTATGCAATGCTGTAGGAGGAACTACACTCAATTTAGCTGGTCCTAATGGACATTTAACACTTATGGCAGGTCTACATGCTGTATGTACCGTAGCTCTACACCATAAACATCTCCAATCTTGAAGTCTAAATAAATGAAATATGAAATAAATAAAAATTTTGAAAACTAATTAATATAGAATGGCTATAATTTTATACCTGAGCACAGAGCCACAAGTTTTGTCACATACTGAACATTTTGAGGATACAGGTAAATTGCCTTCCATCCATTGATGAGGCATAGTAATGTTCTAAATAAAAAAATCCAAAAATGGACTATACAGTTTTATGTATGTAATACATATTATAAATTTTTTATTAATCATTTAGAGGAATTTTAAAAAAAGGTTGAATTACAGATTTTATACATACCCCATCTTGGTCCTCAATAATGTCCTTGCCAATAGATGCCAATGTGGTCCACTTGCAATTATTTATTGCTTTCATACTACATCGCTTGTGAACTTTATATTTGCATATTTCACAACTTAAACCATGGGATGTAACACCTATGATACATGAATTAATACTTACGTATTATTTCTAATATTAATATCTAGAAAGTAGAAATTAATAATAAAATAAAAATTAATTGAAATAAATTAAATTATATAATCTGATAGTTATATCTTTGATTCAATTTTTTTAAGTATTATAATATAGACCTTGTATTTAATAGAAAAATTAGGAAAACACATAGTAATAATAGAAAGACGAAGTTCTATTTTACATAACAAAATTAAATATCTTTATAAATATATACTATGAATGAAATAATATTTTTATTTACCATAAAGAGCATCTCTGCAAACATTGCAATATGTTGGTCTTGCATGACTTGTTGCATGCCAATGATGATTACCATTAAGCATTTCGGCAATATCAGAATCTGTCTGAGAACGATTCTCTGTTACTGTTCTTATCGCATTTAGCCAATCTTCCATCTCTTGTCTGCTTTCACCACAGAGAACCAATGATCGAAATGGAGTTATCACCTAACAATAAACATGTAATTTACTATTATATTACAAACACTATAACAGAAATCATTAGAATTCAATAATTTAATTTATGCCATTATAATTTTTATCTTTTCTTACTAATATATGAACGATAATTTGTACTACTTTTTCTTTCAATGAACAAGGTTGTATAAATTGTAACTATCAAAAGTCAGTATATTTAAAAGTATGACATTTTTGATCTCATATAATGAAAATATAATTAAAAGCTTATTTCTTTTTATGATACATGAATAGAAATACTTTACTTAATAAAATGTATATATTTCATTGAATACTTCATTCAAAATATTATAAATGTTTTATTTCAAACTGTTTTACACAAAGGTTTGATAATTATATAAAAAGAAAAGAAAATTACTTTTGTTGTTCTCAGTACACTGAATTAAGTACAGTGTAATATAAATATTAATCAAATGTAACATTGATATTAAACTTAAAATTAAATTTGTTGCACCTGTATAGATTTATATGTAAACAATTACATGTATTCCGAACAAATTAACCTCGTGCAAGTAATTACTGACAAGTAAAAATGAAACATTACCTTGAATCGAGAACGCGTTCTCTGTTGCTTTGGTGACATTTGAATTGTAATTTTAAACACAACATTTGAATGCGTATGATTTGCACGTATCTCGAAGAATTATAAATGTTACATTGGAACGAGAGAGATCGACTTTTGGACATGCGAAAGGTATTACAGCAAAATGCATTGATCATCGGAACAAACAACAGTAGTAGTTATATGCGTGATGGTCTTTTCTTCTTCTTTAAGCCATTGCTGTGCCCTATTTTCCATGGCGCATGTCATGTCACCTCATTTATAAATAAACATCCAAATGAAAATGATATCCATACATTATCGGAATCTTATTATGTACACATCTCCTTTCAACAGCGTTTTGATTTTAAGAGCGTTTCCCACAGGGAAGTAGGAATATAAACGATGAAAGGAATATGTTCAATGTAACACGGAGGTCCAACCATTCAAAAAGGGGTTCAATAGTATGTATACAATGAATATATGTATATACTTATATATATATATATATATATATATATATATATTTATCAATCCAATAAATGATACAGTACAGTTTCGTTATATAATTCTTTTTTATATGGCTCATTGATGGGGTTTTCTTTCATATTCGTATAAACCTTTACGCACACTAGCAATATACCATCATAATAATAACGTATAAACATTTAAAAACCTTTAAATTAAAAAATGTAATAATTTACAAATTTAAAAACGTAGAAAATTCAAATTTACAAACTAATAAATTTTTAATTGACAAATTTGCAAATGCAAATAGTTCAAAATATCAAATTTACAAATGTAGGAATTTGAAAGACCCACGTAGTGACAATTTGCACCGGTCGAGCGCTCTTTTTAATTCATTCCTTCACCGTTGATGGCGCAAATATCACTTTTTCTCATACATGCTTTTTCTAAATGGTTTTATACATTATATAGTAAGGTTACTCTCTCATGAGATTTGGTAAGTGCAATATTTTCGTCATTGCACTTTTACTTAATGAATTACTAAAATTTCATTTATGTAGTGTGATTTTTTAAAAGGTAGAAGTAGATAAACAAATAAAATTTTAATATTGTTAATAATAGATATAAGATAAATATTGTCCAATAAATCAGTTACTGTTGGTGTAGGTGAATGCACGGTGAAGTGACCTGGCTATGTTAAACGTGTGATTACTTGGTTTAAGAGAAGAGATTAGAAATTAGTCAGTATCGTGTATATATGGTTAAACTTCTGAATAGATTGGTAGTTGCTGTGTTGTAACGTTAAAATTAATTAATATAAGATATAATAATGATTTTATTAGAGATACACAACAGAATAGTCGAAGAAACATTAACTAATAAAATAAAAAATACTTTGTCAGGGTAAGTAAAACATTTTCTTTTTTAAGGTTCAGATGTTTCACGTATTTCTAAGATAAAGTTGCAGATTACAAAGCTAGGGCGGTGTCCAATTTAAATGTTAATAACAATAATTTGACATAATATAAAGAAATTCTTCTAAGATAAGTTGTTTTCCTGTTCTTTGATAAATTGTTTTCCAAGTTAAATGGAAAATTCTAAATTCGATAAAATTTGTTTGTATTATGTCAAACAGCTTTTTCCTGATATTTAACATTTATTAGGTTTGATTTTTTAAGATATTAATGATGATATTTTATTGGCAAATATTGCAAAATGTATATAGTTGAGATAATTTGTACAAAATGAAGATTTTTCCATAAAAATATTAAAGAATATGAGGTTAACAAACAATTAAAATATATATAATAACATTTTAATAAATCATTTCACGCTAGCATCAGTTTGCAATATGTATGTTTTGTATTTTATATAATTAAGGTGTGCTTTCTTTACAGTCACAAGCCAGAATCCACAGATGTTGTTATAGCAGATTTTGACGGAGTTTTGTTTCATATTTCTAACTTAAGTGGTGACAAGTCAAAAATTAGAGTAAGTGGACTAAATAGTTTTCTTTATATAATAAAACATTTATAATATAACTAGACTGCAGATATTGTGCAATATATACAATTTGCGAGTAACTTTTCCATATCTGTTACTTTTAATTATGTACATTTACCAGTTAATATTAATTCATTCGTTAAAAAGGAATATCGTATGATTTATTAGAAGCATATTTATGTTTTAAAAATATTGCGATACATAACTATTCTAATCATAATAAATTTTAATTAAACATAATTGACTTAAATGTTCAACATTTTATTTTATCAGCTAATGCATGTTCACCCAATGGTAATTACCTAACTTAGTGAATATTGATCTATTGATGTACTTAATTTTATATTCTAAAGTGACATTATTGATGGTGCTGAAAACATGTGTATCATAACTAAACTCGATTGCAACTTGCTTGTGTAATATACTTCATTACAGTCTGTTAATTTAGTCAATCTTTTATAGATAAGTATTTTACTTAAATTTTATAAACAATTACAAGAACATGGAGCTGATGAATTACTTATACGTGAATATGGATCTTATCTAATAACTCCTGAAAATGGTAATACTTTGACAGAAATCATTATATCTATAATTACTCTATTTATATATTTAATTAAATTTTTTTATTTCTGTTCTTAGATTACAATGTTTCTGTGTTAATAGACTTGGAAAATTTACCAGAAGATTGGGAATCATTAGTTAAAAAAATTGCACTTTTAAAAAGACATTGTTTTGCTAGTGTTTTTGAAAAATATTTTGATTTTCAAGAAGAGTATTATGACTCACCAGGTACACAATTACAGAAAAGGGCAGTTATTCAATATAGAGATAAGGAAACAATGTAAGAATAAAATCTTTCATTTTATTGTGATGTATAGAGCAGGTAAAAAATTTGATATGTATGTATATCCTTTGTATTAAGGTATGTTGAAGCCAAAAGTGATAGAGTGACAGTGGTATTTAGTACAATATTCAAAGACGAAGATGATATGGTTATTGGAAAATTATTTTTACAAGAATTAAAAGAAGGAAGACGAGCAAGTCACACAGCTCCACAAGTTCTGTTTAATCATCGTGAGCCACCATTAGAGTTACAAGATTTTGAAGCAGCAGTTGGGGATTGCATTGGATATATTACATTTGGTAAATGCTGATAATTTATTCTAGTCTGTGAAAATAAGTAAAGACATCTTATTGCATATTACAATTTATAGATTTATTTTTAATTGTTATTCATTCTTTTTTGTAGTGTTGTTTCCAAGACATACAAACAGAGAAGCTCGTAATAATACCATTGACTTAATACACATGTTCAGAAATTACTTACACTATCATATTAAATGTAGTAAAGTATATATTCATTCAAGAATGCGTACCAAAACAACAGACTTTTTAAAAGTATTAAATCGAGCGAGATCTCAATCGAAGAATACCGAAAAGAAAACTATTACGTAAGTATTTTTTTAATAAATATTAAATGTAACTGTTTTTTAATAAATTCTGTTAAGATACTAAATTTGGAAATGTTATATTTTACAGGGGTCGAACGTTCATTAGAAAGGAATGAGTGCAAACATAAAGTTACATTCCTAATATCGTTTTAATAATGGATAAATGACATAGGTTTCATTTATCTTACAGATTTGCTAGAAACTTTTTGATCTTCTGGCAAAAGACATATTGTTTGTAATGGAAGGTTTTAACCCATAAAATTAATGAGTTAGGAACTTCCAATTTCTGAGTTTCATTACTCATCATCTCTAAACAGTACAATGTCCTTTAGAGAAATCTACATCGCTGTAAACATACCTAAATTGTTACATATGCAGCGACAAGTGCATGATTAAAAGGTCATTTTATATTAAAATTCTTAAAGTAATATTACAAGAGTACATAAAGTCTTCAAAGAAATCAGGGAATATATTATAAACGAAGTTAAGAATTATCTTCTGTTTCACTATTTCTGTACGTGACAAATGCTGTTAAATGACATTAATTTTGATCTTTATGTTCAGAATACGTACAATTGCATGTTCTGTTTTAAATGTAAATGTATTTTGTGTTTAATAATTTTATGAGGAACTATTTTCTTGTTTAAAATCCACGTACAACGAAAAATAAAATCAGAACAAAACGCGTGGACGTTATTAATTAATACATTTATATATTGCTTGTATGTTTAACATAGCACTGTGTTTTCTTTTTGATAAATTATTTTTATTATCCATACTCTTATTAACGTATGATTATTGTAAAATAATAAAAGTATTAATTCTGTATAATAGGTAAAATATTTATGAAACCTGTGTTCATATTAGTTGAAAAAATACTTTAGTTCTATTACGAAAATTAGTTATAGAATAAGCTATTGATTTGTAATTCGTAAACGGTTGTAAGGGTTGGATAAAGCACGATTAAGGCGCAAACAAGGGTGTGCCAGATCCTGGTGTTCATTAATAACCACACCCTTTTATTTAACACTGACGTGAAAGCTATAATACGTGTCCCTTACAGTATCAGTGCAAGTGTTTTTTCGGATAGACGTACATAGCAATATTTTTTCCAAGTCTTTGTTATAACAATTGTTTTTATACTTATTTTATAATTAAATGAATTTACAATTTTCAATGTTAGTACAAATTTTGTAGTATTCATACTAATATGTATTATAAATTACCATCGAATTTTTATTATTAAAAGCATACACTTTTCATGACGTGTTATTAATATGGTATTTTAAGTGAAACATATTGTTATTTAAAAGTGTAGTTAATGTTATCTTAAAATCTTTTTTTTTCTTTAATAAAAATTCATCTACTTTAATTAAAAATTATATAAAGCTTAAAACATAATTCTGCAATAAAAAGATAATCAACTTAGCAATATGTTGAGCTTGGACACATTTGATTTGGAAGAAAACAAAAAATAACAGTTTGAAATAATGAATTATACCAATTAATTTATTTAGTACCAGAATTGACTACTTCATTACAAATAATATATATAGTGCTTATATTTGCCTTTGAATAATGTGTTAAATGCGCATGAGACACTAAAGAAATTTGTATTTCCGTTGCAGTTAACAGTGTTGAAATGAAATTAGAAATTATTTAAATAAAAATTTATTCAAATATAAAATAAATTATTTCATTCCATAGCCATATAATGAAATAATCTAAAGAAATATAATTTTCAATATAATGTCCAAATCTGATATACGACAACTTATTTACACAGAGAAAATTATTTCTTAAAATTTATCAGAATAAAATAAAAGTTTATTGAGCAACTAAAATTTTTCAGTTACTAATTATGAAGAGAATGGATGAAGCAACTATCGCATCAGTATTATCTTCTACATCCTTTTCACCATGTTCACCTAATGAAATAGCTATACGTTCAGGAGATTGTGTTGAAGGTGGAGTCGAAGAATGGTTGGAAGATGAAGCGTTACCAGGATTTCGAGTTTGGCAACTTGCTGGCATAATTCTTTCTATTTTACTTAGTGTACTCATTGGACTTTGCTGTTGTTTTCGATTCAGAGTACCACGGACTAAACAAGAAATAGAAGCTGATTATATTAGGAAGAAGATAACAAAAAACTTTAGACATGAATTATCTAAAATTAGTAATGTGGAGATGGATGATATGGATTTGAGAAAAGGTAACAAATTACTGTTTATAGAGAATAATATGAATATACAAAAATATGAAAACATGTTTCCTTCTTATAATTTAATTTTTTTAACTGTTATTAGCATTGCATAAAATTCAAAACAAGTTTGAGATGGAAACTCATGAAGTTCAGAAGAATCAAGAAACAACCTACCAAAATGTACATGGATTGCGATCAAGATTCAGTGCAATGTTTAACAGGATTCACTTTGCTAAAGATGGGCATACTAAAATTGATGCTATAATATAATAAATTTACAGGGATAAAATTAACTACAACATATTCAATTGCAAATAATTAAGTTGTGTGTGATACAATAGAATTAAAGAAATAGTATGTTAGAAAAGAATGAGTAAATTCTACGCAGTATCAATTGACTAAATATAATCTTTATTTCATGATTATAATACAGAAATCAAGTTACCTTACATGCAACAATAATCTATAGCAAAAGATAATACATTTTGGAAAGCACTTAATGGGACTATGATGTATATTACCTACCACATTATGATTTATTCATTTATATAATTAGCCGGTTAGTACTGTTAAAAGTGCAGACTTTTTACTATTATTGAATTTTTATAAATCATATCCAATGTAAGAGTTCAATATTGTTGAAAAGAAGAATAAAATTATAGTACAAACTTTATACTATAGTTAATGACTAAAGATAATTATTATACATTTTTTAATGATACCGAACTGTTAACACCATTTTTACGCTTATGAAGTCAAACGTTATATACATAAGAACCAAAATTTTTAGATGAGCTACAATTCTTATTGTCTCTCTCTCTCTCTCTCGCTCTTTCTTTCTCTCTAGATACCTCTTTGCAGAAAAACGAAATTATTTTACTGTATATTTTAAGAATTATAAAATTGTTTTCTATTATAATTATAGAATAATAAGTTCTGGAAATATAAAATAAAACGTAATAGAATGCATGTACTGATAAAAAAAACATTTATTGTTCAATAAATATAAAATGAATAGTATAATTGTAAAACTAAATCAAACGTATTATTATAAATGAAGTTTTACAATTAAATTTGTAGAGACTATTGTGGCAACAATAAACTAAAAAAAAGAAAAAAAGAAAAAAATAACAAAATGTCAATTATCATTAATAAAAATCTGAAAACACAAGAATATAAATCTAATAAAACTCATCTCATCTTTTTACAAATTTATAAACTATATTTCTCACAGAGAAATAAAACTTTTAGATGAAATACGACGTCACGTACACAATCGCTCACGCAACGCTATACACGCACGCATATAGGAATGATTTGATTAATCATAGTACCGTAACTACTTTAATGCTCCTTCCATTTCAAAAAATGAATCTAAATTAATTTAATAAAGAAATCTAAATTCTTAATCTAAACTCTTTATGTTGTACAACACCAACCGGTGTATTATTTTCATATTTTTAATAATATCACATATAGTAGTTATTCGCATGGAATATTTTAATTATATTTTGATGTACGCATTAAAAAGTCTAATACCTTTAAAAACTCGTATGGATCAATAAGTTTTTTTTTCATAAATGACATCAATTTAAAATAACCCTGTGTACTTGATATTTAAAAAATTAGAGAATGTATATTTAAATGATTCACGAGTTTTTCGTTAAGAAAAAAAAAGATGTCTTTTTTACAAGAATTATTCTATTTGCACGTATCTACCTCTTTAAAAAAAGAGAGTTAATGAAATTGTTTCTCATTAGATCCATACTGACTTCACTTTTGATTTTAGCATAATAAATTTCTATAACTAATATGCTACGAGGAGACAAAATTGTAATCGAATTTCCCATTCAGAGCGGTAGGGTATGCGTTTCATTCTATTAATAAATTAACAAACCGTAGGAAAAAGCTTCATGGACTAGAGGATCCGATAAAACCATAATATACAATATACACATTATTTTAAAAGTATTTAAAATCATTGTACATTGCGCAAAATATTTTTCACAGTGCGAAAGAACTACTACTTATGCTTTTTTATAGTCTACCTGCATGCGTTCTTTCAGTATGTGTTCCTATTTTATAGTAACAAAGAGGTACAGACTGATTGACATATAAGTGTAACAATGACAGGATACCTCTAATTGATGAAGATTGGGAACTCACTACGAGGTAAGAGGTTTTCATAGAATTTTTAGCATTTAATTGCGCTACAAGACCATCAGCAACGATTATGCTGAATGATCGTTTAAGCGTACCTTCACGAGATTTTATTTCTCCACCAGGAGAATTTCATTTTTGGGCTTAAGTACTGAAAGCTGATGACCGTTTGTGGAATCAACGACAAAATTGGTAAGAAGTTTCCGCAGGAACGACTTTTTGGTTCGTCGTCCAGCGATTCTGTTACAGGTTCACTCATAATATTATGATGAGGCGTGGAATACGGGTACGGTGTTGAAAGTGGATTACAAGTAATGTGTACCTCCCCCATGTTCCATTTATTTTTAGTATCGTTCGTGTTGTTTCCTTGAGTCGTTTCCAAAAGACATGAGAAAGGTACCTTTTTATCTGTGGAGGTGATGGAACAATTAGAAATATTAATTATACGAGTATCTGATGGTAAAACGTTACTTTTACGATGATTAAGCACAGTATGATCTAATACAAAGTTCGACAAGTTCATCGATTTCAACGATGCTTTTCTATAGACTTTTGACCGTGTTAGGGGTTTGATTGTTAATTGTGGTGAGGATACTGATCGTACAGAGTAAGGATTAGTACCTCTATTAACATCCGTATGGTTCTGCATATGGTGAGAATCACTACTGTTTGTATTTAAGCACTTATTTTTTACAAATATATCAGGATTAATGGATTCGGATGTGGATGTAATTACTGGACTCGTGGGTGTTGTAACAGTTGACACAACATTTCCTTGGGTAATCACAGAATTTTGTATAGTGCACTCGTTAAATTTTCTTTCATTATCATGTTTTATATATTGAGTAGATACAAGATCATGGTTTTTGTAAATACTTGCAGGTTTTAATATACGTTTTATAGATTGATTATATTTCTTTGCTTCATTAATGGAATTGGATAAAGAAAATGAGGTTTGCGAAGGGATGGTGTGCGCTTCATTTGTTCCTAACTGATTAGGATCGAATGAAGCGTCCATGAACCCTCAGCTTGGGAATCTTGAGTAAAATGCACAGGTCAAATCATAATTCTTGAAGCGGCAATATTGAACATCTGTGCGCAGCCAATCGCCAGAACATTTGAGATAATCAGTTTGCTCCAAATCACGTGGGCAACTAGCAGCTACAGATTCTTTGTTAGCAAAAATGGTAACGACAAATTTTTGCGGCTTAAACGTATTCAGCACACGTCGTATTATCTCCTCGTACGATGTTTCTGGAATGTTACTCTCAAATGAAACGTATGAAAACTCTGGTTCTGGTGTAATGTGAATAGTCATGTAATTTCCCTGTAAAATATTATCATTTGTACACGGACAACACTGTTTAGAATTATCAAAATGTAAATTCAAGAATGTCCCAATGCAAATACTTACGTTTTTGGATACTCCGTTCATCGAATATCCGCAAGGTTCAAACAAAAAGTCGTCTATAATCATATTTGGAATAAGCTTATCGATTCCCGACTTCTGTGTTGCTTCATCCGCAGAAGAACACACGTCTCTAGTGAAAAGAGCCATTACTTCTGGATCCAAATGAGTCATGAGGATTTCTAGAGTTTGATCTGGTTCTGGAGTTTCGTCTACAGATTTTTCTCTATTCAGGGTATATAAGTACCAACAATCTGAATCTACAGAGCCCAGACAATAAGCTTCCCCATCTAAAAAAAGACAATATATCAAATGAATTTCAAACTTTGCAAAATTTGAATGTACATATATAATGTATACATAAATGAATATAAAAAATATAATTACCAGGAAAGAATGTATCAAGCAAAGCAACTTCTTCTTCAAATGCTTGATGCGGGGATATCTGTAACTCCGGTTTTTTATAATTTTTTCGTGAATAAAATACATTCTGAAACAATTATATTGATATAGCATAAATTTCTTCTTGTTTTCTTTCTAATTTTTGTTACAAGAGAACAACTTAATCATGTACAAGTTATAATATAACCAACTGAAACATATGGAGATAAAATAAGATAAAGAATACTAAACTGGAAATGATTTTGGACAAATGTATTTCATGTATAGTATCATGGGTAAGAGAGATCAATAAACCAAGAGGTAGAGATGTATCCTGTATACTAGAGGTTTCCTATATATAGACACATCACTTATCCATGCACTAGGTCAAGTTATATAGCTAAGTACTTTCAACTTCAATTGGTTTACGGTAAGTGATAATTGTTATGTCCAAAGATTATCAATACTTTATACATATACATATATTTACATATCATTGTTCTAAAGTGAAACAATAAAGTTACTCAAAATTTGTACTTTTAATAATTGATATTTTTATGTACTTGTTAAGTAATCGCTTAATTGAAAAAAGATTAAAAGTACTTTTTATATAAAATATAAAGGATAACAAAACAAATTGTATACCTCCACTTCTTCAAACCCGGTATATTCTTTGACAAGCTCTAAAAGCAGTTCCAAACATTGAAGCGGCGTAGTTGTACCACATGTTTTCAAAATAAGTCTGCGCTTTGATAGGAACATGCTGCTTTCACTGTAAAATAATAATTTATGTTCATATAATATTTTACTAGTTCATTACTACTTAATATCACATGTTATTATATAATACAGTTATATTAGGATAAACGAATTTTAAATAATTAATTAACAAAGTAATATTATTTCATGTACCAACATATGATCAATGAAATATCCATTGAATGCCAATTTTGAAAATTTATTTGCCCAAAGCAGTTTCTTAAAGTTTCTTTTTAACTAAGTTTACGTTATTACGTCTTCTCGTATGACATCATCGTTAATCAATATTTCAGAATAATGACGGGTAGAATATCCGTTAATTTCTAAAAACATACAATTCATTGTTTCTTCCATTTCGAACACATCTCTCGAAAGGATATCGATAAACTACAAAAATAATTCCAATATGAATAATTTCAAACAGCTTATAATCGAAAACAAATTATTTTTAGTCATTTTCCTAAAAATCATTGCATTCCTTTCACACGTGTTTTAAGTGCAAACAATGGATTGAAGGTTATCAAAGAATGAAGGATATTAAAAGACATTTATTTGGCTTCCACTGTAAAATTATTTTTAGATGGTATTACGCACGGATATAGGTAACTCAAAATTTGCAAATGCAGTTAGCAACATTTTAAGCGGCAAAAATATGCAAATCAGGGTGGGTGAACACTTGCGGGGTTGAGTTTCAAATTTGTTCACGTCAAACATACATGTATTTTTATATGTACAGGAAACTTTCGTTTTATTGCCACTGAAGAGAGGAAAATTCTTGGAATTAATAATATATTGAATTAACCGATAAATTTATTTTGACAATCTGTGCCACACAGCACGTGGCTATATATCGAATGATAAAATAGTAATAATACAAAGAGTCACACTACCGCGAGTAGCAATTTAATCGGTGGCGATACAATACATGATTTTTCTAGGTATAAAGATTTTTCTGAATCCGATTCATGCCAACTCTGATGCAGATATGATTTTTTTCTGTAATTTACTAAAAACCCACGCGGGTTATCGTCGATATTTCGTATAGACATTGACCCTAGATTTCCTCCCCGCAAATGTACGATAAATAAAATACACGAAGCGATTTATTAGTCGGAACAAAACGTGATAAGCGGTGTACAGATAAAATGGTAAAGTACAGTGACCATAGACGAGATAATTACCGATATTGATTGGAAACGATAAAGTGTAAATATTAACAGATAAAGTGCTGGGTTTTCCTTAATTCCGGGCCTAAGTAATTATGTTCAAAATTACTCATGCTCAAAATTTTCAGATAATTTTATTTGGACACTTAATCTTCTAATATTATCTTGATCTGCTTAATTTAACACAAACAATTGACTCATAAGATACACTCGGTTTGAATGTATACATACTACTATTTGTCTAATAACTAAAAATGGGGAAAAACATTTCGTATGAAAATTGTAACGATGTAACAAGCTTGTTTGAACAATAACTAGGTTTCCCTATAGACATTAAAGATCCATCGAGAGAGTCAGCGTCGCACGGTACTTGACACTTCAACACTTTGACGGTCAATGTTACGTATTCGTAATTACATGTAAATATTTATCTTAGCATTCAGTGCCTCATTATTCATTTGTTCCGTATCATATGGTATTAGAAAAGGTACTAAATAAACTTCGATCAAATGGCGGTCAAAGAATTATAAACTTTTCTTTCTATTCATTTTCTCTTTGAAATACTTATTTACACAAATGATAAAAAACAGGATTATTCTGTTATTTTACTTTATCTAAAAAATATATCTTCTTTCTTCCCTCTTATTTAGTTTCATCCGTATACAACTCTTCAATCTTTTGTTTTGTGATATTGAGTCATACTCGTGGACTCGGTTGCAACATTTAATTTTCGTTCTAATTATAATTTGTAAATCTGAAGATTGCCAAGGACAAGTTACGAATTCACGCATCCGAGCAGGAAATATGTGGCTAATTAAAGCCTATACAATTACTAAAAACAGGTTTAACATGTGCATTAGTTTTATCGCAAAAGGTTTAGTTACACACAGATGGTTAGGGATATGTAACAGAACAAATTTGATACAATATATTTGTTTCTTTAAGATAAGATTAATGATAGGATGCAAGATATTGAATGTCAGAATTTGAGAACGAATTTAGTTCGTGGTATAAATGGTTACGTAATGGTTTGGTCGGCAATATAATGATTACAAGCTGAGTGATGGTAAGAAAAGAAAGCATATCTTGGTGGGAACTTAGCAAGGGGCGCGCCTGATGCAAATGAAATATTTATTTCATTTTTATTACCTGAGAACATAAGCGTCCACTTGCTCTGTGCGGCAAATACTGATTATCTCGCAACGAACAATCTTCAGCAACGACTGCCATTTCCATCTAAAAAAAGAAAATTTATTTAATGCACGTGTTACAAATAAGTGTATACGATTACCCTGTTTCAGTGTGTACAAAACATTAGATATACACAGACATTCGATAATTTTAAAGAAATAACGACTGTATTGGAAATTCGAGGAAGAAAGTAATCCGAGTTCGACTGAAACATAAGTCGTTCATCGATGAAAATTCGCAGCACCGATAATAATTCGTGCGTGGCAGACAAAATAAACTGGACGAACGTATATCGAGGCAGTCCTTACCAACGTTACAACGAAGAGATTATTATTCCTGTGTACAAAGAATTGATAAAGAGAATTCTCCAAGTATTTCTCGCGGATTCGAACGAGCTTTCGTATTGATAGATCGCGTTACATATTAGTCTCGCTACGCAGGATTGTATTCGAATATGATTTGTAATATATGAAGTGTTAAAATAAAACGACCATGTTCGCTAAACGGGCGGTGGACTTTTATGTAATTTGAAGACAAAGGATGAACCTTCGAGTATACAGCACTCAAAGATTCACGGTACGAGAATTGGCACGTATGATTAGCGATAAGGCATAAAATGTCATGACTGAACTGAAACAACAAGTCGTTAAACTTTAAACACGTTTTTCAAATCGGTATAGAAATGTATAGCGCGTCAGACTGCGATCGATAAATTGTCTTGAAATTTAAAACATACATTAACAAAAACCGACAGTTTCCCTTTGTAATATTTATGTTAGTTTAATTAATTAGGAACCAGTAACTGATTAATCAGAGACAGTGAACTTGTTTTTACTGATCCGAAGTAAATGACTTCGATTATTTCTTTAAGTCGTGTCGATAATTTTAGCTGCTCGTTCCAAAATAAGATTTACTTGCCACGCCTGATATCTGAAAAAATTAATCTCAAGTTACATTTCATGTACAGTAGACTTTCGTTATATTGCCGCAGATGCAGTTACGAAAATGTTTAAATTTGAAAACATTTGCTCTTTCAATATCGCATCGGTTTCTGTGTATCTCCTTGCTCGACGGAATACTGCGTACATTCCAAAGTCCACGCGAAGATTGCAATATAAAGAGAGCCTACTGTAAATTTAAAGGAACGGTGACATTGTCGTTATACTACCATCTTCACAAAGGCTTTTGGCACACGAATGGCGTTTTATACGTGGCTAAATAGCCATTGATAAACGTGCTGGATGTATATAAAAGGAGCGGGATATAAAACGTAGCGAACGCGTGGCTATGTGGAACGCGACCGTGTAACAAATTACGAGATAACGCATGGCGATATACTACGAGGTTATGTAGCGCGTGGTTGTGTACTAAATGGCAATCTAACGCGCAGCAATATAATACAAAGAAATAGAATTAGGATGTGTGGTAGTTTAATGGAGAAGCGCCACTAGTGTATGTGTGCTACGACGAGAATCGGACATATTTGAAAGAATGCAAGTGCAACACGTGCTTCTATCAATAGATATAAATTATTTGTATCGTGTACGAAAAATAGCACGATAATAGATAAGTGATCAGATATCGTATCAATTTATGCTCGGGTTAACGCTCTTAATCAGTTGTTTAGAAACTCTCTGTGGATAATACTTGAGCGAGATAAAAAAGATCAGCGTGTACGCAAATCAATGAAGACTTCTTAACCCCCGAACAGCGGATAGTGGAATAGTTGAACTTATGTGTGTGTCGAGATGAGGCTGTGACACTATAATAGTTATGTAATAAAAAAAGAACTTCCTCTCAGAAAATTGTTTTTTCGCTAGTTAAAAAAAAGAAGAAATAAATCAACTTTTTGAAGTTAAAGATATTTTGTGTTTGATAGTGAATTATTTAAAGTGGAATTTAAGTACAATTTGTTCGGTAGATTAACTAGGAAATCGGCTCAAACGAGCTAATGATGTGAATGAGGGAAAAGAATTCAGATAAGCAATTCAATGAAACGAAGATTAGTTGGACACACTGGCGCGTTTCGATAGTCTCTTACGAATTATCTACGAGTGCTGACTATACCCGTTTCTTGAAATTCATTGCTTATTTAATTTTTAAAGAATAAGGAAAATGAGGAAAACTTTCCCTTTTTTACTGTAACATATCTCAGAGATAACTTTACATGTATTGCATTTAAAATAAAATAAACTAGTTCCTTCTAATTCCATTACGGCTATATTTATGCGATAAATCCCAAAGATACATACAAAGACCACGTGACAAAGCAGATAAAACAATTTTCTCGATTCCTCATTTGTATTTTTTATCGTTTAACTCTTATCTTGTATGCTTAAAAAATGGATTAATTTTCCAAGAAATTCTCGGCGTTTACGTATCATCTCGTATTATTTAAGAAAATTCTCACTTATGTCATCTGTGATTATTTTTAACGTAAATTAAATTAACAATCAATTTAAATTGCCCGCCCAAAAGTCGGCCATCTTTAATTACTCGTATCTCGAAAACGTAGCCGTAAATTACAAAATGGTAAAAAAAATTAGTTAATTTCTCTTTATACTATTTTCTTTTTTAACTATGTGAATGGTTTATTAAAAATGATATTAGAAGTCAAAGGGCTTATTAAAATTGAAATGGAAACTTACAAGTTTATTCTTCCAGTTGCGTAAAACGTTAAAAAAATTTACTTTTCTCCATCAAAATTTCAGTTTGATAAATAACAATTTTTAATAAATGTTTTATATTTCAAATTATTATATTTCCTAATCTGAATAAATTCGAAGTAACTTATCAATAGTATCTACATGGTATCGCAAAATGTATACATTGCAACATAATAAAAAGCAATGTTTTTAATTTAAAAAAACAAAGAACAAATAGCAAGCAAATATATCAAATGAAATATTATCTTTATTAATCATTGCAAAATCCATAAATTTTTTTATTATATTTTCTTCATAAACGATTAAGAAGATGATTATAAAAAAATTGCAATGTACTACAATTCAATAGCGACATAATTAATACTATATTTAAAACAACTTGTTTGTTTAAATAAAATAGAAAAAATTAATTGTACATATAAAATGAATAATAATTAAGTATTACACGATATAAAAAAATAAAATATCAAATCTATATAATATTTGCTTCATATATATTGCTATAAGGATATTAATTTAGTATATATGTGTAATGTATACATATATATGTTGTATAAATATATTTTTAATAACTAGTGCTATGCGTTTCTCGAAAGTACTACGCTAGGATATGACACGTGAAATTTAATGATAAAACGTTATGTAGTTTTAATTAGATGTCCCGAAAGGATAGTGAAATATATTTTTTTAATATTCTATGCTTCCACAGTTTAATTTATTAGTTTGTTCATGAGAAAGTTACAGACGCTATGAGAACTGTCACTAGCTTTCATATCATCCACAACTCTCATAATTTCGAATTCATGTATGAATTTTATTATTTTGTTAAATAGATTTCTGATGCATAATATAGAATTATATGATGATATAATAGACAAAAGCAAAGTTACATATTATTCGTATAATTTTTAAATACAAATGTAAAATATAACAAATATAAAATGTCGAATAAAACGAAGATATTCCACAAGTAATGAATAATTTTTTATTCGTTGTTTATTGTCTATTATTCTTGAATGTCTATATTTTATTTTATTTAAAATTTACATTCAGATAATACCCGAATGTTGTTCCGCGTAAAATAGATTCTTATATTCGACGACAGAAGAAAAAATAAAAAGATTCAACGTGTTTTCGTAACGCTCGACATTTACGAATCGGTCAACTTTTGAAAGTAACAAATTGTTCCAAATGCTACAAAATATCGTAGAAAGAAAAGAAAATTCGCATTGAAATTTATATCTATTTATATTCAATTTAAAATAAAGAGATAAAGCGATGTTATACATATACATATTACAGTCACGTAGTCTCACTTTAAGCGGTCGGTATTACTGGAACAAGAAGGTGGGCGCATCGATCTTCGCCAAAAAACATGACATATACAAGCTACTGTACAATTCGATGTATTCGATATTAGCATCTCGTCGGTCACATCTTTCCAAGGAAATAATGTTTTCCTTCCTTTGACCGAAAACTTAATTGAATGCTCGATGATCGAACCAAAATAAATTCATCGTGATTCTTGTGAAATATCAGACATTTATTATTGTCCATTCGAAAAATTCACACACGTGAGGAAGTAATTTTCGAACGAATGTTAGGTTAAGCGTACTAACGATTACCAGAACGTATCGCGAGGTACCGGCGATACGATCATGGTTGCCAGGCCGGTTTTATTTCATCAAAACATTTATTTCGATTAAAGTACGTGTCATCAATGAATTTACGATATTTACGATGTACAGAATCATATTATATTTCAACAGATTAACTTCAATTGAAATATAATTAAAAATCAAAAAATTTGTATTAATTACCCTCGTCAAGGATTGATATTATACGAAGATGGAATGTTACGATAATGTTTTACAGAAATAGAGGACTTTTAATGAAAACACGGAATAAACGAAATAGGTGACTAGATTTCAGAAATCGAATGTTTCAACTTACTGTGGAATTTGCCTGAGATCGCCCTGCTTTCTGTTTATGCTACTGCTGCTGGTGAACCAAATCTCAAGCAGTTTTTCCACGCCTTCGAAGAACTGTACACTGTCGGTGCTATCGTCTTTGGTTGTTGCCATCTTTCAGAGACACAAAATTTGATTCACAACTACAGTATATGTGAAAACAAGTAAGAATTGCTTCTTCGAGTTTGTGTTTCGCTCCAAATGTACGATGAACCACTCCTCTCGGCGAACTTTGCTTTACTACTGAGAACAAGTGAACGTAGCAATCATATTGGCGGTGATCTCTATCTTTCTCCCTCTACTTCGCGTGCGCAATTTAGTGGCTTCTATCTTTCTCTCTCTTTCATCTTTGCCTCACATCCTTTTCTAATTGGACCACTAGCTTGAATACATGTATCTACTTTTCTACCAATCACATATCATGTTTAACGCAGGCACGCGCTAAATGACTATACTTCAAATTCAATTGCTTATATACAAACTTTTTAAAAAAAAAAAAAAAAAAAAAATAAAAAAATCAACAATGTAAAATACATTTAGAACAATGTACGTACAAGTGCAAAACTGTACTTAGCATGATAGACTCTTCTAGGGAAAATGGCAACGTAGGGGAAAAAGACCCTACTATTGGCTATAATACTGGATAGTTGTCACGCATTATGTTTAACTTGCACGAGTAGTAGGACCTCTTTTCTTTGTAATTTGGAAATTTAAAAAGTTGAGATATGGAAAACTTGGAGAATTCGAAATTTATAGATTTTCAAATTAAAAAATTCGGTAATTAAAATGACAAAGATGAGTAGATTTACTACCTCTAAACGCTAGGAATACATGCCGCTGCCTATGAAATCTTCAGTGGATGCTTCATTTGATCATCCTGAATCTAACTTGCTGTAATAAATACTTTACAAAATAAAAATATTGAATAGAAAGTAATTAGTTTACATAATAAAATCGACTCTATGTATTACTTATATATAATACATTTCAATATCATAATTTGAATGTGGTGCAGTCAAAATAAATTTTTACACAATTTATAATATATGTTCTTCTATTTTATTTTCTTTTTCTTTTTCTGTTTCTTTTCCTTTGGAAGGAATGTCCGTTTCTGGTTTCCGTCTTTTTTAATCAAAACATCATCATTCATTGGTTCAATAACTTTCCCCATGGTGGTTTTAATAGGAGGTTTAATTAATTTTTGGAAAGATATTTCCGGTACGAAATTTCTTCCAATTGGCATTCTGAGACTAGCTTCATAATCTTGAACGGTCGTAAACGGATGAGGTAACTCGTTAACTAAATGCTCTTTCATTTTTGGTTTGTCTTCTTCAAATATTATTACATCACCTTTATTTTCATCTTTGCGAGGTGCGTCTTTAGGTATTTTTAAAACAAAACGTTTCTTTTTACGTTTTGATATTTTAATATTTTTCCCACCCCAACTGCCCCAACCTGGTAGAGTTAAATCAATATCCTTTGGTCGAGATTTCTCTACCTAAACATGAAATTTACTTATTTGAAACAGATTACTAGATACTAGATTTATAATTTATATTTTTCCACGTACCTCTTCTTCCTTTTCTTTTCTAAATTCTTCTACAACATCATCATCAGCAAATGCTTCATTTATTACATTATATCCTTCTTCGTTATCTTCAGTATCATCCAACATGTCAGTGCCTCCTGAAATATCAGCTGGGAGATCCGTCATTAATTGTTTAGGTTTTACATTTATATACTTATTTGGATCTATTTCTATTTCAGACGCGTTCGGTTTCTTTATGGACAATGTACTATTATTTTTAATGTTTTTAGCATTCTCTAATTCGATATCTAACTCTAAATTATTGTTATTCGTTCCTTCAATTAAGGCTGAATCTATAATAGGTTTCTGATTTTTAGCTTTAATTTCAAGTCCATCAAAATTGTCTGTTTTATATTTAGTGGCAGTTTTAGATTTGCTCTTTCCTTTAACCTTATTAATTTTCTGATTAACTCGCTGCAGCTTCAATTTAATTTGATCATTCATTTTATCCTCCATTAAATCGAATACTTCATTTATCTTTTCACTATTTGAAATAGTAGATGTTAGAGAAACATCGTGGTCATTTTTTAACGATTCTACGTTCCAACTAGAAGTAGCCATAATATTATTTAAGTTTGATTTTTGCAGTCTGGCTTTTTTATCAATTATTTTATTGGTGCCAGATAATTTTCTCTTTACACTATCTTTACATAAATTACGTTCAGTAATTTCATTATTATGTCCTTCTGTTATGTAATTCTTTTCGTGATTCTGCTTTTTAGATAATTCTATTTTATTAGCCTCATCTGAATCTGAAATTCAATAATAAAATTTGCAATTTGAAATTTTTATACTTTTCCTTTAAATGTTAGTATCCTGCTTAACTTAAACATGTTAAATATCTTTATAATTGTTGATGACATAAAAAATATCTAAAAGAAAGATCAGTAAAATTTTATGCTGCTAGCTACCAATGACATTGAAACTGCTCAAATTAAGCAGAACATTTTACATATATTTTTAATTTACTAAACATGCCTTGAAAAGTAGAAAAAGACTTTAAATGTTCTGATGAGGTTTTTTGGTTATTCGATTTTTCTTTCTGTATTTCCCCATTACATTGAATTTTTGAAGACTCTGCTTTCGAAACAGCGCTGTAATCTGTAAAAACAAAGATTTAATAGCAAAATATTTAACTTTTACTACACGAATTATTATCTTTTTTAAATTAATTTTAAGATCATACCTTCAGAAATATTAGAACTTTTTAAATTTTCTGAAGAGATTTCATCTTGCTTAGTTTCAACTTCAATTTTGTTCATATTAGTTGCATCCAATTGTTTATTTTTTAATTGATTATTTTGATCATCCCAATATTTACGATAACTGCTAATAAACTGATCGATCTCTTCTGCAGTTTTAACATTACTAATCCACGGATTTTCTTTATCATAATTCGATGATCGTACATATGTATTGTCATTTATATCCTCTTCCTCTACTTCTTCTTCATCACTGCTATTAGTTGGTTTTTTTAACTTTTGAGTTAATTCTCGACTAATCGACAATTGTTGTGAAAGTTCCTGTCTAGTCTAATATTAAAAAAAAAGTATTCTCAAATAATGTTTAAATACCTATGTAAAATTAAACAATATATTTTTATTTGAACAAGAAACATTATATAAAAACTAATAAATTTTGTTTCCAAGAATTTTTGTGAATATTTTTAATCGAATTATTCTATTATTTCTAATATGTCTCAATTTTTTATAATATACATAGTACACAGAAGATAATATACACTTACTTCTTTGTCATACTTCGCCATAATTTGCTTTGATTTAGCCCATTTTCCCGTATTTTTATGTCTTAACGACATCCGTTCTTCTGCTCTACTTCTATCTAATTGCTCAAGCTTTTCTAATGCAGCATCTGGATCAGTTTTTTGCAACTGTTCAAATTCTTTTAATTGCAGTTTTATTTGCTCTTTCTTTTGAACACGATGAAATTTTTTACTTTTAATTTTGTTTTGACGATGAGCCTTTGCCTCTTTGTAAGACTAAAAGAGAATAATATTAAACATTAAATATACAATATTAGCTGCACAAAGGTATTTTGATAACAAAGTAAATTACTGTAGCATAAACATTTAAATGTTTTAATACAAACCTGCTGTGCTCTAATTCTAGCTGCTTCATTCCTTTTCATTATAATTTCTTGCAATGTCAACTTAAATTTATCAGGTTTCTGCTCAATATTTTCCTTCTGTGGCTCCAAAACTTCAAGTTCTTTTTCTAATTCTGAGCGAAGTCTAAATTTTTGAACAAATTCTGTAGATGGTTCTAATTTCATTGATGGCTGATGTAAAGGAAATTGAAGTGCTTCTGCTGTTCTGTTTCTTGTTATTATAGCATTCCATTTTTTAACTTCTTTTTTTATATTTTCAAAACCAACTATCCTTTTTATCTAAAACAAAATTAAAAACTTCCATATAATCCTCTTTCTTTATAATAACATTTAGAATATAGTAAGAAATTTTTGTTTATTTTAATTTTATAAAATATACATAATATAAAATAATCTTACTCTTTCTGCAGCAGGCTTTTCCAAAGGTTTTTTTAGAATACGAACTTTCTTTTTGGCAGATTCAAGAGTTTTAGTAACATCAAGATGATGACCCTTTTTACCTAATATCTTAGCTAAATCGCGTACTTGAACTGTATCTACATCAGATATTCCACTCTTTACTAGATGAAATTCTGATACCTCTAATGTAGGTTCACTTCTTTCTGCTTTCTTGACCCTAACAAAAATTTAAAAGCAGTATAGTTATTTTAATTCTTTATTCTCAAAGAAAAATAAGTAAAACATACAAACAAAAGAAGATAAATTTTACAAAAAATATGATAAGATAATTTAAAATAATACATTAAAATATTTCTGCCTTAACTATTATAAAAGTATTAGAAACGTAATAGGTTATATATCATAACCGTAATTATAATGTTATATATTCTTCTTATTTACCTTTGGCCCTTATCAAGCTGCGATACTGCATCGAGTAGTTTAGAATGAGATTCTGATACATCTTGCTCCGTATCGTCTAAAAATTCTAAATCACTCATTTTATACACTGATATTAAGACATAGGAATCACGTTTCTGTTCGAAGCATACGGAAATAGAATGAAGTACACTGAAGAACACCGAACTTGTTCATGCCTATGTGTGTATATCATTGACATGCATATATCAGTGGGTTAGGTTTGGATCCATAATATCAAGGGAAGTCTCTATTAAAGAGACTGCGGCTAACTTCAATAGGTTCTATTTTACAGTACAATCAATTCTCTAGCACAATGTTTGTACACCAGGAATATTCCTAGAATGTAGTTAGTATGTACGCACGTATTTTGAACCTTGTAATCACCATTGATTATAACATAACCTTACACTGCTTTCTGAATTGACATAAAAGAATTATTCTTTAAATAAGGTTATATATATTTTGATTGTTGTTTGTCAAAAAATATTGTGAAATATGATCTTTAACTTATTACATATATAAAATGGATTTACTTATAATATCAACCATAAGCTGTATTTTGCAATATCTTATTCCGACTTTAATTAAATACGTAAGTACTAAATCATAAAACCGTTACATATTTAATTATATTTTTTTGTACTCATCATTTTTATTATAGGTTACGTCCCGTTTGTATACAATAAATAAACAAGATATGGAATTACGGAATGACTTAATTAGCTTGAGGCAGGAAATGACTGGAATATCTATAGTAGATGAATTTTCTAAATATGCAAAACTTCAACGTAGATACAATAAATTAGAGAGTATTTTAAAAGAAAAAGGTAAAAATAATAAATAAAGTAATTGATAAATTTGCAATATTATAATTACTTACAAATTGAAAGACACATATTCATTAATGTACTTACTCAGAATTATCTACAGTTGTATTTACATAAATGTATATTTTCACTGTACACAATAGACAGTAACAATTATACTTTTCAGTAAATGAACGACTGTCTTCCAGAATAAAGATACAGATGTTTATAACATATGGTTTTCGCATATTAAATGTAAGTACCACTTTATCATTTTCTTAAATTCATTTTAATATACTAATAAATTATCAACGAATTTTCAGGGTTTATTCATGATCATTTTATTATATCAGCATAGAAATAAACCTGTAATAACTTTACCAAAAGGTACATTATGGCCGATACAAAATTTGCTAAGTTGGCCATGTTATCATGAAGATTCAATTTCTTTATTCATGTGGCTGATAATTGCAAAATTAGTTGTATCTACGTGTAAAAAAATTGATGTAACATGATATTAACAATACAACAAATTAAATCATTTATAAGCAACAGAATACATTTTTCGATACATGAATTATTGAAAGTCCACTGTATAAAAATTTTAAAAAACAAATTTTTAAATATACATAAAAAATGTATATACCAATTTTAGCTTTTTTTTATTAATATAATATATATAGTAATTATAACATTTGTTAGTATAGTTTTCATACATTGTATGTATATGTACATGTACTTACCAAAATATGTAGACATATATTTTGTAAAATATCTTATTGTGTTAAAGAAGGATAATCAGTCTTACAATTTTAATAGCAAAAAAGTGACTGTATTTCGTAAAAGCTTGAGTAAAGTACATAATATATAATAATGAAATATATTTGCATAATTACTGATAAGTAATAAATTCTAAATTTTAACCTAGATTTTAACAAAATTTCTGTATGTATGACAATTAATACACTTATATTTCGCATAATGTCGCAAACAATATTTTATCTGTCTATCTCTTTAGAGTATTTATGAAACATCTATTTCATAGAACTTAAAAAAAAGAAATTAATTGTTTTTATCATTAATTGCTTTAGGTAAGTATTTATTATTTCATCGGTATCCTTAATGTTTTAATTTAGCTTTCATGTTTTATTAATTTGCATTTTTTTAGTGACTTTATGATTTAACATTGTGACACATATGATATCTAAACGTTATACATATAAATTGTATCATAGGAAATGTTTAATAATGCAAAAATTTCGCTTTCTTCACAACCAAAATGTTGCATTACTTAATACAGAACAAATATGTTGTCCACAACGCGTTCTTAATAACAAATTGAGAAACCTCACGATTTTAATAGCTTTTAAGCACCAATAGTGACTAATGAATGTTCAAATCATCATATACAGCAATGATGGGTAGATCAAATACTCGTCGAAGAGCTGGGCATGGACATGGACATGCAGGATAAAATGTGCGAAAGAGAACAATACTGAATTCATCTTCTCACTTCTGATAGTTAGACATATACAAATTCAAAAATTTACAAACTTAGAAATTTAGAAATTTTTAAATTTGTGAACTTCTGAATTTAGAAATTTTCAAATTTTCTGTATAGAAAGACTTGTTTCTATATTGTCAATTCCAACTTTTTTCTGTGTACAGTCCAATCCGTGGCAATGTAATGAGAGTCTAATATACACCTACACACCCATGCTCCGCGCCTTTGCGGGCATAATTGTCCACCATTGTTAAACGGCACAAAATTATTGTGCTTATTTTATCACATTTAGATGAACATTGACTGAAAATAGTTTATACATGGCATATGTTATAAAATCAGTAAATGAATTTGAAAATAAAGAGCAAAACATTGTAACTTATTGTTTAAACAAAATATTTTCAAAAACCAGTAAAATCAAACAAGCAAAATATACATATCACACAGTGATACGTTCAACAGATCAAGTTAAACAAATATTATTTATAAAATGAAAATACATAATGAATACTTGTAACATCGATAATATAAACAGACAGATATTTGAAACATTTTAAAGCAAGAAAATATTATAGATATGAATTATTTTGTCAAATGTTTAACATATTCATAAGTAAATGCAAGTAACGTGTCATGTAAATGTTATCTTCAATGTTGTATTAATTCCAAACATAGCTTACGAATGCATATACGTAAATACTGAAATTATGTGATTGTATAAAAAAAAAGATTAAATCAACAACATAAAATAAAGAATATTCTATTAAAAATTTATAATAATTTAGGATAGCTTAAAGTTTTTATTTCTTTTTCTGTCGATAGCTCTTTTTTAACCACAATTGCGTATTTATTTTCAAGGCATATTAATGTTTATTTAATTCTCGCTCTTCTAGTTTCATTATAAACATTATTCAATGAAAAATAATTAATGCATAAATTCTATTATATTACACTTTTGTATTATGCCATATAGTTCCGTTTCAGAAAAGAATATTGAACAAAAAGAAATATTCAAATTTAAGTAAGTTACATAGTAACCATTATAAAAATATGTTTTCTTATCGCCTAAGTATGTATTTAACAATGAACTTTCTTCGTGCTGTATTTAAACATCAAAAACAAAATATATTAAATATTTATAACAACAGTGAAATATAAAGGAAATTAGAAGAGCGGGATTATAATAAAATCTCTTCCTTCCTTAACTTTTATTTCGTTAGATTATTTTCAAGCAGATCAAGTATTTATAAGTGATTATTTACCTTTTTTTGTAAATACTGCTTTGTATCGTGTTACGAGAAATATTTAAGCGATTTGATATGAAGTACAGAGCAATTTATAGCATATTCATTTTTTATGGATATTTTATAATTAACATGTATGCACTGTACTATGAATGTAAAACAATTAGAACATTAAAAAATGACATTCTTTCTAAAATAACTTTTGATGATGTTATACAATCACATAGTACAAATGCATCAACAAAAGTGTTATTTTATACGAATACATGATGAAATATTTATGATAAGAGAAATTCAACTGACTTATGTTTTAGTAATATCCATTGGTGATCCGCCAGTTGCATTTGTAGACGCATTCGCAGTGATTGGTGGACCACTAGGACTTACAATAGTTGGAGGAATTGCGGGTTTAACAAATCGATCTGATGTGCGTCTATTAGATATTACCACATGACCCTAGTTGTCAACAATAAAATAATGATAATTAATATAAATTTTAAATATTTTACATATTAAATTTGTTATATAAATACCGCAATATAATATTAATATTGGTATTGTTATTTGTTCCATTCTGATGTAGTCTAGTTATATGGTTCCCATCTATATTGTTTATTTGATTTAGAAATTCTCGCATTTTTAAATAAAACAATTTAGAATTCGCAAATTACATTTATAATTTTGTTCAGGGCCATATAGCGAGACTCCTCTATATTTGGATATAGTAAAATGTAACTCACAGTGGAAGGAGGCGATGAACTCGCAAATGGAACTGTAGTAGGCTGGCCACAAGCATAACATCGATTTGTATTAAATCCCTCTCTGGTCGCTGAACCTATTAAAATAACATTAAATTATATATGAAGAATAAAACATTGTTACAGTCGAAAAATAAATAAAAAGTAATGAAAGTTTTTAATTTTTGCGCACAATAAATATGATAAATTTTTGAAGTAAATGATGTTGGAGTTACCTGGGCTTAATGGTCTAGAGGAACTAGGTGAAGGATTGTACGGTACAGGGCTAGAAACAGTACGATTTCTTATATTTCCACCAGACATCACAATCTCATTATAGTGCCGTTCTTCTTCCATTTCCAAACTAATAAACAGATAAAATTTGTGATCAAAGTAAAATCTTTTATAGTTTGTATGATACAATTATTTACCTTGATTCTGATTCCGATAGATGTCTACATAAAGCTTCACGACGTTCTACTTCTAGTTGCAATTTTCTCTGGAGTCTTAAGTTTTCTTCACGAATTTGTTTCTCTTCATTTACATATCGTTGCATTTTCTCTGTATCTAATTTGGACAATGTATAAACATGTATTAAACTGTATTTTTAAAATTAATGCATAAAGCTGTTAGTTCTATTGTCTATTTAAAAATATTAACGTATTTATAATATTATTAATACATATTTTATAATTTACAAATGTAAGTGTATATAACAATTATTACTATTTATTACTATTAATTAAATTCGTATTATCATATAATAAAACTTCTTACGTTCTTGTTGCGAGATGAGCAATGTATGTCTCAGTCTGGCTACCTCACTTCTTAAAGTTTGAATATGTGTACTTAGACTAGTAGCAGTATCGCCGTTATTAATTTCTCTTGGTGAAGCAGGATCTGATACAGGTTGATCTAATTTTATTTGAAGCATTCGTTTCTCTGCTTCTAATTTATCCATTCTTTTCCATAATTTGTTTACTAATGCTTCTTGTTCTTGTTCAAGTGTATTTTCAAGTTCAACTTTTTCTCTGCGTAACTGCTCCAGATTGCTCTGTTTAGCAAGCGTTTCAGCTTCAAGTTTTTCTATTTTTCTCATTAATTTATTTACCAGACATTCTTGCTCTTGTTCCAAAGTTTGTTCTAAACGACATTTTTCTTGACGTAATTGATTTAACTTTCTTGATAGATCATTAGTTAAACATTCCTCTTCTTGTTCATAATGATGTGCTAATGTTTCTTTTTCTTTCTTAAGTGCTTGAATTTTCTTTAATAAAGTATTACTGATAAATTCTTCTTCTTGTTCAGCTTTAGCTTGCTATAATGTAATCCAATAAACAAAACAATAATATTAACACAAAATTTGATATACATAAAATTACAACATCATCAGTTAAGAAAAGAATCTGTATTTGTTGTATATCTTGGGTTATTTAGAAAGTTTATAATAAAATTTAATGATAATATCAAGGTGAAATCTGTATGTTATCAAATGTTGCGCACTGTAATATTTATGAAACTGTTCAAATTTCTATGTTTATATAGAATTATATGCTTTAAAAAAAAGTTATCAATACTTTATATTATGATATTTGTCTACAGCAGTAATGCCTGCAAATAAACTGTAATACTGGAGGATAATGATACTTATTCATTTGTGACATTTAATTTAATTGTTGAAGTAATGAAAGTATTGAAGCCACAATTTTCTATGTCATAAAGAAACTTTTTTATAAATATTTAAAACATTTTTAAATTCAATTTTTTCAAAAACAAAAGTACCTATAAAAAATGATATTTCATATATTTTGTCACATGTAATCAGTCCCTATAATGTATACATTACCCAATATTTTAATGTAATTATTCCATAAATTAAAATGAATTGAAAAATCATCTTAACACTTAATTTATATATTATGCAAAGTTATAGCTGTTATATAAATTGGAATTGTATGTCATTGATTCATGCTTAATGAAATACTGCCACTGCAGGAAAGAAACTAAGTGAAAAATGAAAATTTAATTATAATAATTTGAAAAACAGTAAAATCACAAAAAATATAATAATAAAAGTAAATCTTTCTTCCAAAACATTCTATTTCATGACAAGTTAATGAATACAGTTTAATGAGACATAATTAACTACATATATGCAATGTTTAAAAACAATTTAATAGAAGATAGTATCTGTAATCAATAAATGTGTCGATATATTATAAATTGAAATACTAAAAATACAAAAGCAACTTACTATGATGACAGAGGCTTGACGAAGTCCACGATTCTCTTCTTGTAATGCTTTTACTCTCAATTTGTACGTTTCTAGCTCAACTTTAAGAACACGATTATGTTGTTGCAACGATTCAATCCTTTTTTGAAGTTGTTCTCTAGTTACGGGAGACGGCGGCATCATTATTGGTCCTCCGTCGATCGAGCTTGAGTCGCTTTCAGATGCGCTATCACGGTCAGCCATTTTTCTTAGGACAAAAATTTCTTAAAAAAGAACTTACTATTCTTTCTTTTTCATCGCACGCTCAAGTAAACATGTACAATACAATTTTTTCAAGACGTAATTATGTGCTTTTTCGTTAGAACTTCATTACTTTACGAGAAATTAGCGTTATATTAATGCATACTACCGCACAACATGTGCTCTGCCATAGAACGAATCAGCTGTTTGATTCTCCATGAATTACTTGAGAAGAAGATGTCAAGTATACTTTGAAACTGCAATTCCCTAGGGTTCAGATGACTTTTTATAGCGTATTTCACAAGGGAGTAACCTCAATATAATAAATCACAAATTCCTGTTCTTTTGCGCATGTTAACATTGTTCGTTTCTACATACTCTGTAATCTATGGTATCATACCTTGCGCTCTTACGACAATCTGTAAAAACATTTATACCCAGTAAGCAAAAAGTTACATCAGTTTCAATTCTTGTTGATTGCATTATATGAATTTTGCTTATTAGATGAACTGTTAATTTTTCAGTACTCATATACTATACGAATATATTACAAAAATTGAGTATAATACATCTTTATTTCATACATTTGTATCAGCACTTGATCTTCAATATTCGTTTATTTTTTTTCTCACCTTTTATATGGTCATGGAAACAGAAATATCCTGCACAGGGGGATACTCTCATAATTAGAAATTTCCCTAGGTTTTTGAGTTGCGCAAATAGTCGTTTAGTTAGTTCTCTTAGCGTCCGAAAGTCATAAATGCGATTGCGCATTAACATACCCCTGAAAATTACCGAAGTGTGTACAAAAAAATATATTTTCTTGTGACAAGGACTGTAGAATGTAAACAAAAAAGTATAAATAAATTAATTTTGTGGTAAACGATTATAACAAATTCATTGACTTATTCTTTATATAGGTTATAACTTTTAAAAATGGATATAGATTTGGAAGAATTGTCAAATGACACAAATCTTATTGCTAAAATCAAACAATTTTATGATACAACAGCGAGAATCGAAGATATAATTAAATATTCTACAGATCCAGAAATATATGAGAAACTTTCTAATGAAGATAAAATTCAATACAATCTCTTGATGTCTTATTGCTTAAACAGTATGTTTTGGATGTACTTACGGGCAGAAGGTAAAATGATTGTATAATGTTTCCAAATGACATGAAATAATTATGTTTATTTAATTAGGAATTGATCCTACAAAACATCAAATCAAATTAGAGAATGATCGTTTAAAAAAATCTATGATGCGTGCCAAACAAATTAATGATAGGAATACCCTCATGCCTCGAGTTAATAAAGAAGTTGCACAAAGACTTATAAGAAATGGATTATGGGAAATGAAAAGTAATAACAAATCAACATAAAAATAATGAAGTCAAAAATGGATTCAATTAAATTTGTGTTATGAATTAAGTATTGTCTTCAATTGTTTAAGTCCAAATAAAAACAATTATAGGATATTCAATTTATATACTATATACATGCTTTTATTTGAAGACAAATAATATGCCTTACCATATGATACACTAACTTCTACATAATACTGTATATTATACAATAGATATGTCATGACTATGTTTAAGACACTTTTTATACTTATTTACCACTGTCACCTTGATCACAGACTTTGTAACATCGTACAAGTTAAAAGTATTTAAAACAAAAATTACTGTGATCCTCAGGTACATGAAGAATATATTTCTCTTGCAATAAGTAGTTTTCATACTTTATTTCTTATTAAGCAAGATAACATGTTTTCTATAATAATAAATACTATAAAAATTATTGAATTATGTTTTTTTGCTTATAAAATAATGAACATGCTTTGGTATGTTTTATAATTTAATATCTTTGAAAGTAAAAAACAAAAATTTGTATTCTACAACATGGATCGGTAAGTAATTTATTAATATTTATAATTATTATACATGTTTGTATGTACAAGTATATAAATGTTTGTTCATTCACTTCTATGTTTTAAGGATAAATAAGTGTATGGAAGAATTACAAATACAACCTCCTGAAAAGTCTAACAAAGAACACGAAAAGTTTATTGCAGGAAAAATTGATAATGTTATTGGAACATTGAACTTAGTACTTATAAAACCACGTTCTTCTAACACTCTTTTATGTCTTGGAGCTCCTTTGTTTTTAAATTTTACAAGTAATTCGAACATTAAATCAGAATACATATTGTTAGGCTATATAGATGATATTTTTGGACCAATTAAAGAACCTATGTATTCTGTAACCATAAAATGTGATCCTATACACATTTTGAATGTTAATACATTGGTATATTATTTTCCTAATGATGAAAATACAAAACATATATGTGTACAATATTCTAAAGATGAAACTATTAACAAAGAAAAATATTATGTTAGAATGTTAAAATATTGAAAAATTATAATCTACATGATATAAAAAATCATTTTTTTTTAGTTCTTATCTCATTGTGCCATTATATGCACTTAAAATATTGTTATTATTTTGTTTTTAATTATGCACATAAAATTGTAAGTCATCTGCTATGTAAACTAATGTTTTACATACAAACTGTAGATATAAAAAAATAAATTGCCATTAAATAATTTGTTTTTATTTGTCTACATCTTCCTATTTATAATTAGCTTTTACAACAATTGCAACTACAATAAAAATTCTGGAAATTCACTTTTTACAGCAAAGTTCATTTAAAAATTCATACATTGCTTGATATGTTTAATATTTCATGATGCAAGAAAAATGTTTAAGATTTTAAAATGAACATGTATGCATTTATAACTACCAATAATTTCTTTTTACGGCGAGTATTACATTTTACTGTAATTTATTTCTATTCTAGCTCAATAATGGGCAGTTTTTAACATTAGTAATATAGAAATAGGTCAATCTATGCTGCAGTTTGATATTTGTGAATTTTTAAATTTTAATAACTTTCTAATTTATTTCGCGTTACGCATTTTTGTAACCAAGGAAACCGCGTCCTTGTATCCATAGTGAAAGTAGATTATGGAGGGAATTTTGTCTGCAGGAAAACATTTTTGCGTATGACCTCTTTATGATATCTTTATATATGTATGCGTGCGTATAAAATTGATATACGTATATAAATACATCTTTTACGCCCTGTATGATTTAAAAAAGCAAAGTCTACAAATATTCGCGCCAGATCTGTTATTTGTTAAAGCGCTAGTGTCTAAAATTGGTTCATAGTACCGTTACAGCGTGCTTCGCAGCCGTAGGTGTATGAAAATTATCTGTCACTGTTTCAACATATTCTTCAAAATATCTTGATGACAAATATTAGGAAACTCATTGTTGCTATAACATAATTTGAATTTATCTTTTTATGGTTAATAAGATCCCTTTCTTTCTAAATGTGTAATATAATAAATTTTCATCTTATTTGACCAATTGCCACGTATATACATTGTTCAAGTCGTACAGTAAATATACAAAATTGAAAATATAATCATGTCAAGTGAACCTTCTGAAATTCCAAACAAACGAATAATGACGGTATGTATTGACTACGCAAGTTTTATATGTACAGTTAGTTAAATATTTTATCTTACAGTGTTGTGTTAAATTTATTTTAAAATCATTAAAAATAAATTATCTTGTGTAGCTTTTCTGTAACTTAGATTATAAGTAAAATATTTTTTATGCATACTATTTTAGAATAATTTCTATATTGTATACTATAAAAATTAAAGTTAATAATAATAAGAATAAGAATAAGAATAATAACAATAATATAATATATTACATAAATTTGTAATGATAATAGTATATGTTTAACATTCTATATTATAAAGAATTGTTTTCTTTTTTAGACTTGTTGCAATGTATCAGAACAAGCACATCATGTATCAAGAGCAAAACGAGGGCAAGCAATTGGAAGTGTAAGAGGCTTTAGGGGATGTACAGTTTGGTTAACAGGACTTTCTGGTGCTGGAAAAACTTCTATAGCTTTCCAAGTTGAAGCTGTTTTAGTTAATCATGGCATTGCTGCCTATGGTCTTGATGGAGATAACGTAAGGAGTGGTTTAAACTGCAATCTTGGTTTCAGTAAAGAAGACAGAAAAGAAAACATAAGGAGAGTAGCAGAAGTAGCTAAATTATTTGCTGATAGTGGTCAAATTTGTTTATGTAGTTTTGTATCGCCATTTGAAGAAGACAGACAAATGGCAAGACAAATTCATAAAATGTCGGATCTTCCATTCTTTGAAGTCTTTGTTGATACACCTCTTAATGTTTGCGAAGCTAGGGATACAAAAGGATTATATAAAAAAGCACGTCAAGGGGCTATTAAAGGTTTTACTGGAATAGATCAAATGTATGAACGACCAGTAAATCCTGATTTAGTGGTAACCACTGAAAACTGTACTCCAGAAGAATCAGCTGCAACAGTTATTGATCTTCTGGAGAAACAGTGTATTATACCAGTGCTTCAAAAACCAACAATACCAATACGGGAGTTATTCGTTCCAGAATCACGAATATCTTCAGCCAAGATAGAAGCAGCCTCTCTTCAGAGCTTAGAAATTAGTGAAATAGATGTGCAATGGCTGCAGGTTTTAGCAGAAGGTTGGGCTGCACCTCTCACTGGTTTTATGCGGGAAGATCAATATTTGCAGGTGTGAATTTCTATAGTAATGATATATAAAGTAATAATAAAAATTCCTTATTAAAAAATACTAATTATGTAATTATTAATAAACATAAAGTACATAAACAATATTTTTAGACTCAACATTTAAAATGTCTCCTTGATGGAGATAAGGAAGTTAATCAGTCTGTTCCCATAGTTCTTGCAATACACACAGAGGATAAGGAACGTTTGGATGGACTTTCGGCTTTTACACTAAAATACAAAAATAAAGCTCTTGCAATATTACGTAGGCCAGAATTTTATTTTCATAGGAAAGAAGAAAGATGTGGATGGCAATTTGGTACTAACAATTTGGGTCATCCATATGTAAAGATGATTCATGAATCTGGAGATTGGTTAGTAGGTGGTGATATTGAAGTTTTTAAAAGAATTAGATGGCATGATGGCCTGGATAAATATAGACTCACCCCGAATGAAATAAGAACAAAATGTAAAAAAATGAAAGCTGATGCTATATTTGCATTCCAACTTAGAAATCCTATACATAATGGTCATGCATTATTAATGCAAGTACGTTTACTTATTATTTAAAATATATTTATATAATAAGTTTCATATGATAATTCTACTTATTTAATTTGTAGGATACAAAAAAGCAATTATTAGAAGAAAGGGGGTTTAAAAATCCTGTATTACTTTTGCATCCTTTAGGTGGTTGGACAAAAGATGATGATGTACCATTACATACAAGGATTCTTCAGCATGAAGCAGTACTTAATGAAGGTGTTCTAGATGTTAATTCTACTTTATTAGCAATTTTTCCAAGTCCAATGATGTACGCTGGACCAGTTGAAGTATGTGTCATATGTACATGCATCTACTATGTACAGAATATATATAAACTAATAAGTATACTTCTGCGGATTCTCGATTTTTAATTTTTTTTGTTTAATCTTAGGTACAGTGGCATGCAAAAGCGAGAATGAATGCAGGTGCTAATTTTTATATTGTTGGAAGAGATCCAGCTGGTATACCACATCCTAATAAAACTGCAACTTTGGATGGAAATCTCTATGACCCTACTCATGGAGCTCGAGTTCTTTCGATAGCTCGAGGTTTGCAAAACCTAGAAATCATTCCATTTAAAGTTGCAGCATATGATAAAAAGCATAAAAAAATGTCCTTTTTTGATGCAGAACGAAAGGAAGATTTTGAATTTATATCGGGAACAAAAATGCGTAGTATGTATTTTTTGTATTTGAAAATATGAACATGGATACAGGAGATTAAGGCATATTGTAAAGTGTTTATAATATTCATTTGCAGGTTTAGCAAAATTAGGTGAAAATCCACCTGATGGTTTTATGTCACCCAAGGCGTGGTCTGTTCTTGCACAATACTATCAAAATTTAGAAAAATAAAAGTCATTCAGGATTATAATTGAATTCAACATTCTAAATTGACGTATTTAATATAGTAGCATTAATATCTTAATTATTAAAGATAACAAGTATGATAATATTAAAAATTGATATGGATGAAATTATATACATTTGTATATTTGTACATTTTTCTTGTACAGTACAAGGATTTTGACTATTTATCTTTGCATCAAATAAGTTAATACTTGTTTGCATTTATTCCTAACATGACATATGTGCGCTTTTATTTTGTATAAAATACAAAATGTAGTTATATTTCCACATTTTATTTCAATGTACAGGGTAGACCACATAAAGTGTTCCTAGCAACAGATTATAATAGTGAAAACATCTTTTCATTTTTGTGGTTCTATAAATTCTTTGTTATGATATAATTATGTATAAAGTGCAATATAGTTTCGCTATAGATATAGTACTATTATAGCACACAGAGAGATTTAAAAATCTAAAATTAAGATATTTTCAAATCTTTTTACTATCTGGTATTTTTCTAACTGACTAAACCAAGTAACTATTCCTTACGAACAGGACTATTATTGCTTTATGATCTGAAATAAAATTGATTCTATATTTCTAACAAAATGCCTATGGTATATGACTGCTTTACAATTCGTGTGGTCCATTCTGTATATGACATAAATACACATAATACGCATAATTTGTACGTAAATCTAATTATATGTATGTAGTAAAAATTTTTTAAATGTAGCATCAAATAGAAAAATATTTGATATTCAACTTCTTTTATTACCACAATAAAATACAGATATGATTTAGGGACAAAAAATTGAATAATATAAGAAAATAAATATAGAAGTTAAAATGTGCAATTTTATTATAATAGGAAGAAAACAAATTTGCTAATGTGTAACTTATAATAAAATGAAAAATATTTTTGTCATCAAAATTTAATTAATCATGCGATATTTCATAATAATTTTAGTGGACATTAAATTTTTTAATGAAATGTTTATCAAACTTACGACAGCAGGTAAAAATAACAAATTTAATGGCAATTTTGCAACAATGAGAAAATAGCTTTTAGTAGCAAAAACACCTCTAATCCACAATAATATAAAAAAGAAATGTTATTATGAAGTAATGCAAATAGTTTTATTAATTAATTATACTTAATTATATCTAAGTGTTGTTTAAACTATTGAACGTTAATTTTTTATAGCGTATCAGATTTTTGTTTTAACATACAAAGTTATATTTGAAATATATATTATATGAACATATATTACAAACTGGACGAATTTTTTTATACTGTCAAAAAAACCAAAAGTACTGGAAAAATATTTGGAGACTTATTTCAGTTCGCTATAATGTGAATTATAAAATGCACGAGTAGTAAGCAAAAATAATTATTGCTCGTACTTTATAAATTAAGGAATGAAAAATGTTAATAAAGAAACACTTATGTAATTAGCAAATGTAACAAAGAAATTTGAATCATAAATACATCAAGTCCATAAATAGGCATATGGATTATGAATAATGTCAATTTTATTAATATTCGTGAAATTTATATTCGTATTATTAAGTAAAATACTTGTTTATCTTTTATAGATTTGTACAAAATACTTTATATCATACTACAGATATTTTTATTTATTCTTTATAATTAAACAAAAAATGTTGTATTGAAAGCATTATGAGGATAAAATTTGTTTTACCATTATTTTTACATTCTTAACTTGGTTTTACTAAGTATTTTCATACAGTAAAATAACTTTGCAAAACTGTAACCTTAATAGCAAAAGGTTATTTTGACCTTTGGGTGTATAGTTAATATCCTAAAACAGACTCGACCAAGTGCATTCTCGCCGACAACTGTACAGTTCTCACTTTTAAATGGTCTATCACCGCAGGATGTTCTCCTACAAGTCAGTGTAATGAGAAACTACAGTTGGTCATGTCTGTTCTAAAAGTCTGAAATTTATATCTAGTAAAGTCTAATTGAGCGTCTGACATAATTCTTATCATGTAAATTGAATTAACAGAATGAGCTTCAAGTTTTCGACATCTAATATGTTGTTCTGTACAAACTATCAGCTTGAGATCAAGTTCTCGTGCTGATTATTGATATCTCACTCTCGGACGCTCTTTCTTCTTTGCATATTTGAACATTTGAAATACAATGCAGTGCTGCTATATAACCCTATATGGGATTGCAAGAGAAAAAATGATAGAAGTGAACATATACACGGACCTTCTACCATTGTTGATGGCTTGCTTTCCTCGCTCAAAGGGCCACACAAAAAAGAGTCATGTAACAAAACTTCACTATATAGCTGCAGACGCTTAAGCAGACTGTACTGTATGTTTTAAGGAAATACACATTTCAGAATATACTGTATTTGGGAATGTGATTAGTCTCTACAATTTATCCCAAATAAACAGTTATTTAAATGTATAATTAACCACAATGAAATTGTAGAAGTCACTTTTTTACAAAGAATATCGCATATATAGAACACGGTACTAAATTCAGTTATTATACATAATGGATGCTGTAGCTAAATTGACCTCTGTATTTGCATCAGATAGATCAGGCAAAGACAACATAACTGGGATCACTTGTATCTTTCCTGAATCATCTTCTTGCTGCAGATGAACCACAGCACCTGATTGTAATATTTCATTTGTCATAATTTCATCTGTCATTATTTCTGTAGGTTCAATATTATCTGCTGTTACTTCTTCAGTATAGACAGTGGTATCTTCCATGTTCATTATCACTTCTGCTGCATCCGAAGCTTCCCTAGATGTTTCTTCATATTCCTAGTAAAAAGAAGTAGATGAATCATAAAGATACTAAGAAAAGCTTATTACTATCATAAATAATTATTACCTGTTCATATACTTGCTCATATTCTTCTGTTATTTCTTGTTCTTCAAACTTCACTATTTCTTGTTCCTCAAACTTAACTATCTGCTCTTCTTCGAATTGCTGATTAGTTTGTTCCTCATATTCACCTTCAGTGATCTGATGTTCAGCATTAGTTAAACTTTCCTGTTCATGTTCAGAACAAGAAGAATCTTCTTGAACTTTAGGTTTAATGTTTCTACCAGGCACTATTCTTTTAAACCCAGATCCTCCTAAACTTTCGTGTCTCCTCTCATGTTTATTCTTGTCACCTAAATATTTAAAACGTTGCCTGCACACGCTGCAAGAGTATGGTCGTTCATTCGTATGAGTTCTTTCATGGCATACAAGAGCACTAACTTGTTTACATCTCCAAGGACAATATCTACACTGTAAAGGTCTTTCATCGCTATGTCTATTTTGATGATGTTTAATCAATTGTATTTTTGTTTTCAAATTAAATCCACAAATTTCACATGTATATGGTCTTTCTTCAGAATGAGATATCATATGTGTTTTCAACCTAAGTTGATTCACAAATCTTTTGGGACAATGTGGACATGCCAAAGTTCCTTCTAGTCTGTTATGTGTCACCATCATATGATGTCTTAATCTTACTTCAGAGATGAATGTTAATTCACAATCTAAACATTTCATTGGATCTTTCTCCATATGAGTGTTTTTTATATGCGTTCTTAAAATCATTTCTGTTTTAAATGTTTTATTACAGTGATAACATGATACTCTTTTCTTTTCTGGTGTTCCATCCACATCTTCTTTTATAACACCAGGAAGGGACTCATTGTGTATGTGAGACATATGCCATTCCAGAGATCTAGTTGAAATCATTGATCTATTACATATATGACATGTATATTGTCTACCATCTTTATGAACCCGATTTCGATGTATAACAAGCGTTGAATGATTTGGGAACTTTTCACCGCACACTTGACATGAACATTCTTTCAGTCCTCTACTATCAGTTTTTTCATGCACTCTCATATGCAATCTTAAACCATCTCGCCTGTTGAATCCAACTCCGCAAGTGTCACATCGATATTGACGTTGGTCTTCATGAATTCTGACATGTTGTTTTAAAGTGGAACTATTTTTAAACATTTTATCACAATGTGGACATTGAATAGTATATGCTTTGTGAGTATGCATATGTTTAGACAGGCTATAAAACGGAACTAACTTATGACAAACTGGACATTCTCTTTTATTGCCTACTGGTTGATGTTTACGTATTCTATGATGTCTAAGACTCGCAGGATTTTTAAAGTCTGCTCCGCAATCCTCGCATAAATAGGCCCTTAACGTTGTATGTACAGATTTTAAATGAAAACTAAGTTTCTGTTTGAATGCAAATTTTTTTGGACACTTTGGACATTGATATATTTTCTCCCAACTCATGTGTTGCGTTTTTACATGCTGATCCAGTGTTCCTTGATGTTTGAACTTTTCACCACATACATCACATAATTGACCATACATACTGTCACAATGTTTTTGTTCATGCTGGCGTTTTTTCCCTTTTGAATCTAATATCATGTCACAATACTTACATAACAACTTTTTTATACAGACTACATTATGATTTCGTTTTGCTTTATTTGTTGGAAATTCTTCCAAGCAATCTTCACAAAAATGCATAATTTTATAATCATGCATTTTTAAATGTTCCTCAAGTATGTCTTTAGAAGCAAATGTTTCTGGACAGTAATCGCATTCCAAATAATGTTCTTCTGGAATATAATCTGCTGGTTGACTTTCATCTATTAAATCAGGTAAATTGTTTTTAAGCACTGCATTATTTCTGTCTTCATAAAGAGAAATAATATCTTCATCTTTTAATCTTGTAATCACAATTTTACGTTGCTTCAAATAATCTTGAAAATCTTGCAAATTTTTTTCTTTTTCTCCCAAAATTCTTGCCAACTTTTCAATATTTCCTTCTGTGTAAGACTCATCGAGTTCTTTTTGAAGAGACTCCTTTTTCTTCTTTGCTTCTTCCCATTTTAATTTAAGTTTTGCTAAACGTGATAAATACTCTTCAGTATTTACATATGCTTTTTCATTACTAGATTTTTCTTTTACTGGTTCTACAACATTCAGTGTTTCATTTTCATTTTTAGTAACATTCATTTTAGATTCATTTTCATTTTTATCACATACACTTGCAATCAAATCATTTTCTGTTTGCGTGGAAGATTTCTGGTTATCTTGGCTTTCATTACGTTTAAAGTATCGAGTTTGTGTTTCGTCAGGCTTTAAAGGAAGTGAAATACTAGCATGCCCACCTAATACCTTCTCCCGTTTTTTTTTATACTCTTCTATTTGTTCTTCTATAATCTGCTCTCTTATTTCCGATTTTTTTGTCCGTTCGGGAAATAAATCCTTTTCTTTTGTAACTAATGTTTCATAGCGTTTAAAAATTTTTTCCATTGGTTTTATATCAAAATTTTTTTTCCCTAAAGATTTATCATCTTTCTTTTCTAATGGTTTATCCATTTTTTTAACTTTTACTAATAATATTTCATTTGGCTTAGATCCCTTTACTGTAACATACATAATTCCATCTTCTTGATTGCTATTAATGTTCAAAGAATTATTTACATCTAATTTTTGTACTTTAAAATCTTTATGGCTTCCACCTTTTTCAGAAACACTAGACTGATGAATACTTTCATCTGTTTCTTCAGAAAAATCTTTTTTAGTTTGTAATAAAAGTCTTCGTTTTAATATGTTTGGTTGTTTCGTGGATTCTTTTGTACTATCAGTATTACATACAGATTCTGTCTTAATTATATTTTGTGGTTCAGAAGAAAGATTATTACCTTCTATACTCTCAACTTTAATGTATGCTTTTAGACACGAATCATACTTATATGTTGTTTGATTAAAATCAGTATTTCCATTATCTGAAATTGATTTATGATCATGAATAGGCATTGCTTGTGAACAATGTTTTGTAACAATTTCTTTCTGTTGAATATTCCGTCTTTTTATAACTGGTGTTTGTAGATCTATGTCATCATCAGATTCTACTGCATCAGAACTATCAGGTTGAAAAGGAGGATCATCTGGATCAAATTCTTCTATAGATTCATTGTCATCGCTGTTATGCTGGACTATTGTTTCCTCAAAAATTTCAAGTTCAGGTTTACTTTCGAATTCTTCAATACTAATTTCTTCATCTTTTGAAGATTCTGGTTCAACGTTTAATAAAACATTTGTAGGTACTTTCGGTACAAGTACCTGCTCATTATGTTCCTTACTTGTAGACGGATTGATAGAATTACATTCCACATTTTCTACCTGTTTTTCTGAACTCTCTACAGGTTGTATCTTATTTACTTCTATGTTCTTTGTTGCTGTATCAGTTAGACTAATATGAATGGATTTTAATTTAACTTCCGCTTTTTTAATTTGCATGAAAAATTTATAACTCATTTTTAAATCACAAATACAGTCCATACACATTTGAGTCGATAAACTGTCATATGGATTTATTTCTTCTAAGTGTTTAATTTGCTGACTTAATCTCATTTGCATACCTTTCTCACTAAAAATATCAACTAATGGAAGCTTTAAACCAGCACAAGTCCTACAATATTTTTTTAATGTTTGTTTTGTTTGCTCCGAAATCGATAATTTTTTTTGTGCAGATATTTTATTGTGCAATGAAATTTTGGTTAATTCATTTAAACTATTAGCATCATGAGTCAATAATTTCACACGTGGTGTGATCTTCTTTAATTCATTTATGTCTTTAATTTGTCCAAACGTTTCTTTACTGGATTTACACACTGTTGTTTTAACATCACTGTCACATACAGTTTGACCATTACTATTATTATGTTGAAAATTATCTGATTTTACTTCACTATAATTATGATCCTTGTTACTAATTTCAATGTGCTGCATCTTTGATCCACTTATTTAAATTCTTTTCATCGTACATATATATTTCAAATATGTATGCTCAAAATTTGAATGACCTAAATAAAAAATGACTGAATATTAATTTTAATTCATATTTCCACTTCTAGAATTTTATATAACAATATATTAATGATATAAATAAAAAGGTCTGACTTACCTTTCTGTCATGTTGTTTATACATGTTGTATGTTTAACACCTATACTTTCCCCCCTAACTTTATACAAAACTAGTGTATATACTATATATCATTATTACAAATTCGGTGATTCATACAAAATTGATAAAAATATGTTCAAACAATTAAAATACGTATTATCATTACTTAAGAGCCGTAGTTGTTATCGATATTTTCAAAGTTCTAAAATCTACACTGTTGTATGTAAGATTCTTGATGTATTCAATCTTTTTGCTTAAAAAAGATTCAGTTTCTTTATTTTCGACATACGACAAATATGAAATTACATTTTCATAATCGCAGGTATTCATTTTTCATTTAAAATTGAGGTTAAGTAAATATAATCATAAGGAGTATGTACTCCAACACTTAAACATAATATAAGTGTGATTGGTGTGTGTTACACCAATTTTTAAATTCGTCGATTTTACCTTACAATACTCGTTCTCGGGGCGAGTAATAATGTTATTCAAAAGTTTTTCCAAACTCTCGCTAATGTAATTTCTTCGTAATGTTATCCAGATGGCGCAACTCAATGGCGCCCGTGGCGTATGTTATTTTCGACCTACGCAACGGACATTCTACAATTCCGAAATTCATGACTAGCTTTCAATAGCCATAGAGTACTTTTGTGTACGATTCTAACTTATTACAAATATCCATCATAGATTAGAATACAAGAAAACTAACTTTAGCAAAGAAAAACAGTTAAATCTACACACACTACGAAACGAGAATTTGTGCCACGTTCAACTATCATGGTCTGAAATTCCTTTACTGAAGCTATGACGTTGTTAAATTCATAATGGCCGCGATCGTACCTTTCATATTAAAAATATATATAAAGGATGAAAAATTTTAATTAACAGTTACAGTATGGAAATATTCTACGATAGAGTATTATTTCACTAAGAAAACAAAATTTATGCCTTTTTATTTATTTTAACAAAAATTTATTGAATTATAATCGAGTAGGCAATATAACGCATGGCAATATAATGATTGGCTGTACGTGATAATATAGAGTGTAGCTATACAATACATGCCTCGTATAGGCATGTTGATAAAAGTTGTATCGTCTAACATGTGATGGTATAATGCAAGATTGCAATAATAATGACAATATACAATATTGATTATCTGAGGTATTCCGTACAATAATGAAGATAAAGTAGATAATATGATAAAGAAAGCAGTATTTCTTTTGCTCAAATTGCTGTATCTCCTTTATTATTTGAAACATACAAATGAAGATGTTTGAAATTTATAAATACATTTAAAAGATGTTTATAATCAATGTTTCATAAATTGAAATTCACAAATTTTTAAGATTTTTGATAGACGAAATTTATATTTGAACTTACAAAATAATTGTGTAAAAATTCTTTTCAACTTTCACATTAAAGTATACTACAACTTCATATTTTTTGTGGTGTTTATTGAAGACATTTAAAACATAAAATATATTGTTTCTTTAATAAACAACATAACATGTATTCAAACAATAAGGGTATTTCATAGGAAAACAAAGTTGTATTAAAACTACTTCACAATATTTTGGGGATCTACAATTTTTATAGAGAGATATTGAATACTATTCCACATTAAAAAAGACAGAAGGAACTTTACAGTAAACTATTAATTATTTAACATGAAACTATAAACTTGATATCCATTTTTATCTGAATATAGCAATTTTTTATTACTAAAAAAATAGCAATATCTGTAAAAATATAGATTTAGGTAGTTTTAAAAGTATATATCACAATTGTACATTGCAAAAAATTATGAAAACTAATAATATATTGAACATTATCACATATCGGATTTAATGATTTGATGATCAGATTTATGGTCTTATTGAAAACAGTTTTATGACGTTGTTATTAACCAACTGTGAGCACTAAAAACTATATTCAATAGTAAAGTTAACAAAGAATACCAAATTGTCACCGTTTTATAAAACTGTTCTGTGATAATACTGTTCGTTCCTTTTTTTTCTTTGCATAGCAGTTAATACCCTTACACTTAAAAAAATATAATCTTTTGTTCCATTCGTATTTATTTGGTGAAATTCACTTTGTGCTCAAGTAGCATATTATTTTCCGGAGGTAACGCAAGACATGCTCTTAAAATATTTTCAATCGCAGCTCGTTGTTTAAATAATGCGTTTACCACCGGCGATCCTCGAGGTACTAATGGTGCTTTGCAAAGATATGATAGTATAGAAAGTACACTATGAAATCCAGTAAATTCATCTTCTACATCTGCTAGTTTGAAAGTAATACGTGAACAAAGTTCTGCCAAAAGGACCAGATCTAAAATAATTGGACTAGCCAATAAAGAGTCTTCACATGTGTTATGTACTACAATTGTGTTATGTCCTCCAAGTAATATTTCTGATGTGTATTCATCCATTGCCCGTTTACTATCGCCTATCAGAAGATGAAATAATTATTTCATATCAGTAAAGTAATAATTTGTATGTTACATACTTAACATTAATATAATTGCTTATTTTTTTTATACATACCAACATATGGAACATATTTAATAACAACACAATGGTCTGGCTTTTCTCCGGGTTGATAAAGAATTTTATTTGACTGTACCATGTCATCTACTACATTGCTTTTTGAAATCTTAAAATGAAATTCAATTCAAATGTTAGTATTATAAATACTGCTAACTTTTCAATTGAATTTAATAAATGAATTACCTCTTTTGATCGGAATTGCTGAGGAGCAGATAAATTATATCCATCATTATTTCCAAGGTGGTTGTAACTAACAATTGATACTGGCTTAATTCCGGCAGAGACTAGAAAATCGACGAGCACAGATTTCAACTTTGTTTGTCCAGACTTAAAGTCATCACCACCAATAAATGTTTTATGTTTCTCAGCTAATTCTATTGCTCCAGGCACAAAAGTATTTTGAGGGGATCCATTGAGATATGTACACTGAAAAAATATCAAGCATATTTTTATATATATTATTGATAATACAGTTTTAATAGAAAAGAAAAATAAACTATTAGCTTACTCCTTCTAGAGCTGCAGCAACAGCAAAAATGGTACTGGGACTAATTTCTGAGTGGTTGTCTTTTATAGCTTTTAATAAATTTTCTGCTGTATCATTTACAGCTGGAATTATCTCTGAAAATCGTTCGGTATTAGCAGTCCATAATATAATTACTTTATCTAAATTTTTTGCTTCCTTAAATTCCGCGATATCTTTTCTAATTCGTTCTAAGTGTTCAAATTTTGTACCAGAAATTAAATTATTTGCTCTTTCTTCCTGCAAATATAAAAACATTTTCAATAAACTTTTTATACTCTAGAAGTTATACTCAACATCAATAAAAATGTAAAAGAATATTTATCAAGATTAAATAATAATGCCACAAAAAAATACAAATATTTTACCTGATTAGCTGCAATAAAATCAGAATAATATATACTTTTTCTTGGTTTCATGTGCATCATGTGCGGTATTAATTGTTTTTGTAAATTAATATCCAAAACCTTTGCACGTTGCATAGCATCAGATATATTCATATCTGAAATATCCCAACCATCAAGTTCAATATCATCTGGGTTAACCATTGGGAGCATCCAAGACATTGGAACATATACATCTTCCTTGTTTCCTTTTCCCAATTTGACAGTAGATGCTTGAACTAAAGAACCGTACCTATAAATTCAAAGAAATACAATGCATAAATATAATATTTTATTTAAATATAAAAATTCAAGGATCAAATAATGTTAAAATTGAATTATAAATACCAGTTTGCCTTTTGAATGCCATTCTTTGTTTCCCATGACAAGTTAAGTTTATTTGCTAGTAATGCTGCTGTAATAGTTGTACCATTATTTCCACCCCATCCTACCAACATTACTCCAAGTTTTGGAACTCTCACTTGTGTTCTGATTAGTAAGTTTGTTGTTACAGGTGTCACCTAATATAATAAATACATATTTATATTTTGTAAAATATTATTTTGAAGTGTTTAAAGTAAATAATATTACGCATAACAATGGTTAATATTTGTATCCACTGTTTTTTCCTGTTAGTACACAGGAATCGTTTTTCAAAAAGTGAAAAATTCATTTCCAAAATTAAAATCACAATGTATCAAGCAGCTGTTCAATTTTTTATTTTATTTGTTCCTTCCCCTAAAAAAGAATTTTTTGGTACAACATTTGTAAATTTAATATTCGTATCATATTTTTTTTTCTAAAAAATTCTTTTTTTCAATTTTAAAAATGTATTTGTCAAATGTCAACATTTTTTCTAATAGAGAAGTTGTTGTGTAAATGTACATATTTAAAAATTTGTGTAATTAATACATGTAGTAAAAAGAATCTATTGTGTAATGATATAAATTTTAAAAAATATAATAAACTTTATCCTAAATTAATTATACATTAAAGCACAGCTTGAATAGACTACTTAATTATTGCATTATTTATTAATGTTCCATCGCATGTGCGTAAAGTAATTACGATACTTGCGAAGTACAGGAAATAGCGCACTTTATTAAGGGCGGGAAATGTTTTAAATCATTTTTCTTTAACGCAGTTACTCCCAACTATCGTATGCTTCCAATTAATACTATTCCCACAAAACGTTACAGAAACGAATTCCCGCTATAAAAAATAACTCTGCAATCAAAACATATTTTTTTTACAGGAAAAAACGTTAGTGTTTACTTAAAATTACGTTGTTTTGTCGTTACTTAATAAAGGCTTTGAATGGAAAAGTCATACATAAATTACATTAAACAAAGCAGGTATTCATTTCAGATTTGTGTATTCCATCAAGAATAAATTAAAATTCTGACGCAATATTCAATATCATAAAAATCAATTTACTGATCATTCGAATATATACTACAATAAAAACATTTTCCTTCAGAATCTCGAAATGCAATTTTTGTATATTTATCTTTGTTTTATTCCAGACGTTAATTATGCTATTTAACTTTTTACATATTTTGAGCACAATCATATATACACACACATATACATATATATATAGTAGATCACCGAAAAATTGTATTGGTTAGAAAATGTTTATAGTATGGAAATGCGTTTTCCTTTCATACATGCATGTTCTTTGGCGGCAATCTCAAAAATGTAATGAAAGAAAAACATTGAACCGGAAAAAAAAATAAATATAACTCTAGATAGAATACTTTAGTATGCTTACCGTATATTTTATACCATCGTCTTCCTTAACATTCGTTGTTTGATACTCGTATTGTGCTTCGATATAATCTTCCGTGTACTTCACCTTTGGCGATTCAACGCGAATTTCAAGAGCCATGATTTGTTTGATATTAAATATATTACACTGATCGTAACAGTCACAAATTTAATTTACGGAAAATGTTTTTCGAGAATATCGAAAAAAAGAATATTCTCGAAGGAGAATATCGAGTTCAAGGATTATAGATCGATTGAACTTCAAGCGGTAGTAGTGGTATTATATGTTCGATGTTTAATTGCAAACCAAGTTATCGATCAGTGTTATTATAAAATAATATTTATTTTCAACAAGTTATACGTGAGGTTTACAATGTAGATGATAAAGAAAAAAAATTTACGTTAAAGAGAACGTAAATGACACTCGAAGGCGAATATCCAAAACGTTATGATCGTAGCTGAAACGTAAATGATGGCAGAACGGAGAAGCATGCGCTTTAAAAGAAATGGCGCGGCAGCCCCCTTCCATCCCCTGTTTAACTGGAACCTATTATATTTGGTTACTGCTCGGTTTTTATCGAGCTAACTGATCTAACATAAACTAAACGTATGCTTCGTTTGCAACTTCTTATTCGTCTCTTTTTTCCATTTCTCTTTTTCCTTTTCGTATCGTCTCATGGGCATATCCTGTTTCCGCCTCATATCCTATATGTTTGTGTGAATATTTTAACGTTTTGAATCGTTCACACGGATGTATTTGATTAGAAAATTTAATATTTGTTTGGCGTTTTATAAATCAATGAAGAAGTAAAGCATAAGATTTAGGATATCGCAAGATATCCTAATTTTTCATACGTATTAAGCACGACCACATTTAGTGTAATAAATATCTTTTCTTTTGCTACTGCATCTAAGCAAAAATTGTCTATACGTATAGAATAATATGTCCTTTAAAAATAAATAAACTAATTTTTTTTTATACTATTGTCCGAAACTGTATGTCCTTGTTATCATGTGATAATAAGAATACAAATATATGATAATTCATAATTATTTACATAATTTTTTGTTTTATCTTAGATTACACATAAACGTTGAACAATTTTTAAAAATATATGTTACCTCAAATTATGTAAACTTTATAAACAATATACACTTACATTTCTTTGCATAATCCATAATTTTCTGTTTAGCTATGTATCCAATTAAATTTTATTAAAGAATCGACTTACGTAAAAGAAATATACTATACCATTAAAAAACAAAGATCATCTTTACAAGTTTGAACGATTCCTGGAAAAAAGTTGATAACGACATACAATGGTCGCCTTCTTACCAAGCAATTCTTATTTGGCAATTTTTTATCTGACATCTACAGTTTCAAAGATATTCCAGATAATCATTACTACTGGTCCACTTTGTATTTGAAATATATATAATTCGCTACAATAATATGTTTCATTATTATTTAAATTTTTCATAAAATATTGCATAAATACGTTTTGTATTTGAAATGATCATTGTCAGCCGGTCTGTGAACTGTTCAATTACATCACGTGTAGCTGGAATGCATAGATTGTTTCAATCAATTGGCACTCTGTGCCTCTGGAACTTTCATAATGGGAGAATTATGTTGCCAGGCCATTCGTAAGACGACCCTCGACAAACGATTATGAACTATAATCTGTTTACAAAGGCTGATTTTATCCAGCTCAAAGCTAGCATACGAGCCGTTTAGTTTTCATCCCAAGAAACAAGCATCATTACCTATGTAATGTGTACATACAAGCTTCTGTCGTATGAGTGGAAGTGTTCCAGATCGATCGATATTTGAAATACAATATTGGCAACTGTCCACTGATATCGACACGTCCGTTACGTTAGCGAAAACGACCTCTCGAAACGCTAGTTAACCCCTTTATTCTCGGAATACGAAAACAAATATTTTTAAGGTAGTATTTTATATCATAAATGAAAAACATACGCTTGCTGCATCTTATGCAATATTGCGTATTATATCGACACTAAATATTCGCAGTGAATTGAATCACATCGATTTGAAATATGTCAAACTGAATTGTGTTGAATTAAAACGCGTCGAATTGAATCGCGTCAAGTCGTATCGAATTGCATTGCGTTGAATCAAATCGCATTATATCGAATCACATCGAATTGAAGCGCGTAGATTTGAATCTCGTGGAGCTAAAACGCGTGGAACTCAATCGTAAGTATTTTTGTAAAAAAAGTCTGCTTTGTTACACCTACAATGATTCATAGGAACCGATATCGATATGTGAATATAAATCGATTGTTTATTCGTGTAAATATCGTTTGTAGTACAAACTGAAGGTATCAGAAAAAACAGTTTGCAAATTTACAATCGGTGCATAAAAGTTTATAAAAACGGCCGGCTGAACAGTATTGTTAGAATATAATTGTATTTAATAACTTTATTTACCATATCTATCATTAAACGAAATCTCAAATAAGACTACGTAAACCTATCTCAAATATTAAATGGAATTTAACTGACAGCTCAGTCCATTATTCGTGAAGGGTGATAGTTGAACTCTGTCCAATACTTAAAGTAAATTGAAGCGGAATTGGCCTGTGGGAACGACCATCGTCATATACGTACACAACATAATAGCAGTCATCAATGAATACCTTCAAGTTCCGTATCCCTTCAACTCAAGATTTGTGAACATTAAAATACTTTTACATATGCAACATTTTGTAAAATTCGTAATATTTTAATGACCTCAATATATTATAGTAGTTTGTCTTACAATCTTTTTGTATTCATTCAGTTATTTATATGAATGTTTAATTTTGTACACAATAAAAATAATTTTCAACATAAATCAATGTATATCCAAAATTAATCAGGACTTAGTCACTTAACATTTCACCCCAACTCTGATGTAATTTATTCTCTAACTAATCTAACTCCTGTGTCACACTACCCGACCGAACTTTTTATTGACCTAACCTAACTTCAACCTAACTTAACCTCGACATCTTAATTTAAAACACACGTGTATACATAATAGGTTTATGAAAAGAAGTAATGAGATAATATCATAGACAATGTATCCATGGACAAGATGGTATACTAAACGAAAGTATCACTGAACATCGTGATAAAATTTATGCTACATAGTATAAATATATGTATGAATATAGTTATACTGATCATAAATAGTTGAACTTAGCAAGCAATCAGAATTGACAAGTATCGGAATGAATGAGAACCTGCAATTTTTTCTTGCTATTTTTTAGTGCATAAAAATACATATTTATTATATATTTAAAATAAATTAATTCCTAATTGATTATTCATTTCGATCATTTATGCGAACTTATGAAATTATTTCCTAATGCAGAGTTTTAGTATTTTTGGTAGAAAATGTTAGTGAAACGATTACTAGTAGAATGGTAGTTGGTACATTTTTGTAATCGGAGAATAACAATGTGCGTGTAGTTCGTTTGAATGCGAAGGTGCTGAATAATAAGTGACATTTGATTATTTAAATATATTTGTGTACAAAAATATACATAAATATGCAAATAAATATAATATAATTTTGTACAGTTTGTTTTTAAAGGTGTTATATAGGAAGAAGCTAAAATGTCGAAATATTTAGAAAGAATATATGAAATATTAAACAACGCAAGCAGTAAAAAAGTGACAGATAAAAGGGTACATAATTTTGTAATTAATATTATATAATAAACAGTTACTATTTAATTATTTAAAAGGCATGTTGGTTATTATAACACTTTTACTAACTATAAACTTTGATATTTGTTTTAGAAATGTGTTCATGACTTATTGAATTTATATGAAAACCAAGAAGCAATTGATGAAATTCATAAAAATACTGAACAAAACACAGATGATGTTGTAAATTGGTCATATATAATCCATATAGTACATAAAATAGTATTAAATGTAAGTATAAGTTTAGTTATTAAAAATCATCAAATATAAGTTATACAATAATGATAATTATTAAAGGAAACAGAAAGACTTGCTCATAAGGATAATTATTCCAAAGCAATAATTATTGAAAGGCAGAATACATGTGCACTTGTACAAAAAACATTTCACCATGCAACTTATAAAAAACCATTATTAAAGTGTAAAGATATAATGCCATTAATTTTTCAAATTTTGGGAACAGATATATATGAATATTATCATGATACATATATGAATATATTGGTTTCTTACATACTTCCATGCAGAAAATATCAAGTAGAAATGCTATCTGCAAACTGGGAAGAATTATTGAAAATATGTATGAACTTGTATAAATATGCATCTTTACCTACCAATAAACGAATTATTTTAAATGCACTGCAAATGATAGTAAATTATGGTTGTTTGTATTCCAGTTTATGTCTCAATGTAAATGAAATATTAATATTTTTGGGTAAGGTAAAAATTTTGAAGCATCAAATTGAATGTTTGAGTTCTTATCAATAATATTAAATGTATAATACTTTTTATCCAATATATGTATTTCAGAAAATATGTTTGTGGATGCAAAAGCAAATCAAGAAATGCTTACAGAATGTAGTTATAAATTTGCACATACAATTTGTTGTCAAATAGCAACTGAATATAGAAGTACACTTTGCCACTTTAGTGAGAATATTTTACCAAACATAATTAGCTTTACAAGTTCTATAGAAAAGTATAAACTTTTGTTATTTTTTGTTCAAATTCATCATCCTAAAGGAACAAATAATATCTGTGATGGAGCTTATGCTAATAATTGGGAGACGTGGTATACAATACTTGAGAATATATATTTGATGATTTTGAAAGATTTTAAAGCAGATACTCTTTCAGAAAGTTTTATTTATCTTTCAAGGGAGGGTAATTATAATATTTTTTTTTAAAGAAAATGATGCAAAATACACATTTCATTGCCTATTAAACATAAATATATTTTAGTTTTTAAGCAAGTCATTGACAATTCAAATGTTATAAAAGAAGAAGTCAATGAATATAATTATATGCAACCAACAAAACGAAGGCGAATTACCAAAGTTAATGGGCCAATTGATATGCTTATGGATTCTAATTCAGATGAAGCTTGGCCAATAATACAGATCTTAAAAGTATTATTTAAACAATACCCTGAATGTTTAAAATCACAAGATCTGCCAACATGTACTAAAAGTATAGTTGATCTTCTTGCACAATTCAGCAAAGAAGAAACCATTGTGGATGATTTATACGAATTAGCTGCTGTATTATTGATAAATGAAAAATTATTTTCTCCAGTTGATATAGAAAATTCAAACATTTATTGGGATAAAATATGGGATACTTTATTGAGGTAAAAGATATATTCAGTAATGGTAATTTTAATTTCGTTTGATATTAATGATTATTTATAATTTTAGGTCATTAAATATAAGTCAAAATGAAATATCATCCCATAAACTCACACAGCTCTTTATAATGAATAATAAAATAACAAACCCAAATATACTTTTGAAACTTTATTTTACGAATGTAATTAAATGGTCTGTTATGAGTCTACGTACATTGATAGTGCTTTGTGAATATTTGCCACTGCCAGATGATATTGCAATGTGCAATATAAACGTTTGTTCACCAGTGATGAATTCAAATTCTGTCAGATCATGCCTCATAAAGTGGGCATTAAATATTCCATGGTATAAAATGGCAATGCAAATAGTAATTGATGAGTTGTGTTTATTTTTAATTGGTATTACACTAAAATCAAAACATAAAAAACAAGTAAAATTCAATGAATATAATATGAACAACTCATGTGATTGTTTAAAAACTGAAGAAAATACGGAATTATTTAATCAATACATTGAACAGTGTTACTTATCATTAACATATAAACAAAATTTATTAACCGAAGTAGAAGATGAAGATATTCAATATAATTTAACAACGAATGAGCACGTTCTATGTATGCAAGACATTTTAACTTATTTAACAAATAGTTTATGTGATGTCATTAATGAAAGTAAAGGGAATGATGATCTTTACGTGATTATAATAAAAATTGCTATCATAGCAAAAGTCGTGTCAATGATGAAACAATTAAATTTAATACCAAACGATATGGAAGAATTGTCTCTTATATCTATAATGAAAAAATATCTAGATATTGCTTATACTTTATTAGAAAAAATGGATCCATTAAAAAGTAAATATATCTATCTTTGTAATGTAACTAAAGCTCTTAACATATTATATGGAACATTGTATGACATGGATGTAGCAAAAATAATTGTTTCATCTACAACATCAGACATGTTGAAAAAGATATTCAGCTTAATGAATATCGAAGATCATGAAATTACTGATTATAAAGCAGTTAATGATTGTTATGATGATTATGGTTCTTTTCAAAACAGACGTAAATGTTTGGGTAATGAAGTTATGCGTAAAAAACAGTGTAACTATTGTAACAGAGGTACAATTAGAATACAAGCAACAAAAGCTTTGTCATTATTTTGTTGTACAAACGTAGGACAAGAAAAATTTGAAATTCAGATAAAACTTATGAGTAATTTATTGAAAATTGATATGTATGATCTTTCACAAACTGTTGATTTTAAAATGGCTATAATAGTTTTAAAACATTTATCAAAATATGACAAAAAAGAAATATGGAAACATTTCAGGCGATTACCATTAAAAAATTTATTGAAATTGTATGATGAATGCTATAATGATGAAACAGCTGTTCGGTATATATTAAATAATTTACCATTCTTTTTTGAATATGCTGTAAATTATGACTGTGAGTTACAAAATTTGATGAATATTATTTTTCAATTCAACAATGTTGAATGTAAAAAGAAATATGGCTTTTTTGCACATATAGAATTTATTAGATGTCTTTCAAGAATTATTCATACAAATTCTACTCGTTTTGATTATAAAGTATGCGATGATTCAAATCAAATGCCAATATTTAAACTTGTTTTATCAGCTTTAAATAACTACCCATTTGTTGTGAGACTACAAGTAATTAATTGTATTAAAGAAATATATTCTTCAAATACCATAGATTTAAAGTGGAAAGAAGCACTGTTTAAACAAATCGAAGAGTACGTGAGTAAATTAATTATTGGTGTTGAAATGAATGAAAAAATGAAGCTAGATGAGAGAGAAACAAAAATAGCAAGTACCTTATTAATGCTTACCACTATAATATATACCAATGGAATATTCCAGTGTCGTGCTTTACTAACAATGTTACGTTTTGTCACGGATAACAAGATAGATATTCAGTTAATACCAAAGGCAATAAATACTGCAGCAAATCGAATAAATTATTCGAATCTTATTGACGATAATTTAAGTTATGTGTTGACATATTGGTTTACTTCAAAATATTCATCAGAATCATTTCCCTGGAAATTAACAGAATGTAAATCTGAAGAACAATTCAACAAAACGTATATTAATACATTAGTATTTATTAAATTTCAAAATTTAGAACTATCTGATATAATATCTTTTTGCATCGACATTAACATACCATTTGAGCAAATTATTGAAAATAGTTTTCCAAAAATTTTAGCATGGTTGTTATATTGTATCAGTGGAAATAATGGAAGTACCTCAAAGAAATTAGCAAATAAAATATTTCACTCAATGATTTCAAATCAGAATGAATTTATTCAGGTAACAAAATTTTCTACATTATTTAATAACAAGTTTGAAAAAACATTGTTATATCTTATTGAAAGATTACACGATGAAAATTATCTTGAAGAAATGTTGGAAGTAAAAGTTTCATTTGCACCATCAGATCCACCTCATTTTAAGGAAGAAGTTATTAATGCTTGTTTAAGATACATGAAACAAAATTTTTTTACCCAGCAAGTATCCATACAATATGTTTTAGCTCATAACTGTCCAAATATACTACAAAATATGCTATTACATTTAATTGGTAACATTTACAACAAGAAGTTTGTAGAATATAAGATAAAAGCATTTCATCAATACATATTTTTTTGTACATTAATTGCAGAAGAATTACAATTAGATTATTTTAATACATTGTCCATGTATGTAATAAAAGATATTAGTTGTAGTTTACTTCATATGATTAAAGAACAGAATGATATACTTGTCGAATTAGCGTGTAAATATTTTTATAAATTTATAAAACTTGTTTTACCTACAAGAAGTGAAGAAATCAAAGAAATTTTGGACTTTACTGTTATGGTTTTAGTTCCTATTGCAGAGACAGAAAAAGTGCCAATAGCTTTAGAAATACTTAAGTTTTTATTAATCGATCATAAAGAAGCATTAGGTGATGCAATTAAAAAATTAAATTCTTTTCCAAATATTTCCATTTTTGAAGAAATACGACATATACATAATGATTTGAAATGTAAAAATGAAAAAGTTTTTAGTTTAAAAGAAGAAATACAACATTTTTTAAATGTTATGGTTGATAAGGATATAAACTGTAATATAGACGATATTATCCACTTACGAATACAATTATCAACAAGAAAACAAGAGTTACAAGAATTATACAGTAAATTTGAAAAGTTCCGTGGTTTTGCCGAAGATTGTGCTTCAAGTATATTACATCAGTTGATATATAAACTTATAAAATTAACAGCATCTTCCGTTGTAAATATTTCAATAGAAGCAGCAAAATGTTTAGGTGAATTAGGACCAGCTGATTTAATGTCGATGATATTATATTTGCAAAAAAGTCATGCTAAAGAAACTTCAGATTTAATGGAAATACTATCATATAAAATTGTAATAGCTATGATCAAATGTTTATTTCAAAGTGATATAGAACTTCGAAAAGTCAGTGCTAATGCACTTTATGTTATTTTTTCATCATCTTGGGGACAGAAGTTATTAAATATAAAATACATGGAACATTTGAAAACTGTTTTAAATGAATCACAAGTGACATTACCTGTGAAGTACATTCAACCATTTGTAAGCAGTAAAAGTTCCAAATCAAATAATATTAATCTAAATTATGCAACAGTTAACGATGTTATAAATCCACATAATGATATTTGGACAGTTCATACTAATAATTCATATAACAATTGGATTGTGAAAATAACAAGTAGAATTATAGAATGTTTTAATGGATTTTATTTTGAAAATCTAATATCTGTTTGTACATTAAGTACTGACTTTTGTGAAATCATTTTACCAAGAATTATTTTTTTAATAATTCATATAGACAAAAAGTTTACAAGTACCATATGTTCTTGTATTGATCAATTTTTTAATTATCATTTTAATGTTATAATAAAAGCAAATGTTTCTTCATATGCAATACATAAAGTCACCAGTTGTGATCAGCGAATTGTGCGTTCCATGTTAAATATTGTAAACTATATAAGAATTCAAGTTGTTGATAATCTTTCGAAACTGAACTATATTTGTATTGCGAAAGCTGCACAATATTGTTCGGCATTTTTTACTGCAATATTGTATGCAGAAATGTCTTGTGAAACTATGTTAAATGATTATGAAAATTCTATTAATGTTTCAAAAATCGATTATATTTATGAGTTGTCACCTGAAGAAGGAAAAGTTATACAAAATATACTTAGAGACTCCTACACAAAAATAGGTGATTTTGATGCCATCAGTGGTACTGGTTCTTCGCATTTACAAGATCATTCTACTCGTATACAGCATTACATATATACCAATGAGTGGAATCAAGTAATGCTTACACAAGATGTTGAACTTTCTTTTGGGAACATGACAGCAATGAGAGGTAAGCACCATTTTTATTAGTTTCTAATAGAATTATACTACTTAAAGTTTACCAGAAGAGAATTATATAAATTATTTATTATAGAAATGGCAAATGGATTACATCAGTCTGGTCTTCAGTATTTACTTAGTCACTTTATATCTACTATGTCAAAAGAAGATGAAAATATAGATAAAGACATTGAATATGAGTGTGCTTGGCGACTTAGTAATTGGAACCTTCATGAACCAAATCAAGCTTTGCATACACAAAATAACTGTAATTTTAAGCCAGAAATAACTGAATACAATTATTACTTTTATCACTACCAAGCATTAAAATATTTCCATGAAAATAATGAAAGAGGTGTACAAAATGCAATTCAAAATGCTCGATCAAGTATTATAAAAGCACTTAGGAATACTAGTTTAGGTAAGAATTATTAAAATTTTTAATATTTGTAAGATATTTTACTTTAAAATGTGTTATTTACAGAAAGTAGTAAAACTATATATGAAAAATTAATGCAGTTGCAATTAATTTCTGAGATCGAAGAATTATGCATTGCTAAAGAAGATGAATATGAAGAAGTGTTACGTAAATGGCAACAGCAAGATATTACAAATTTTAACGAATTTCAGTATATCGAACCTATTTTATTTCAAAGAACCGTTATGTATCAAATAAATAGATCATTAATTAATAATTCACAGATTAAAACTGCACTTGCCAATACGTATTTACAAATATCGGAAATAGCAGCAGATAAAGAGAATTTGCATATTGCTACCCGCTCGTTAGGTACAACAACAAAATTTTAATTATGCTAAAATTAGATTTAGTGCATATATACTTTATTTACATTTCAAATTTTTGTTTACCAGCTATGTTAGCGAAACAAAAAGATTTATCTCCAAAAATTGAAGATCAGTTGCTTTATCAGGAATCTCTATTAGCAAGACTTAGAAAAGATCTGGAACTTGGGCGATTCCTTTTACGTAATTTAATGCATAAGGATACTCTGGATGTAAATTTAAGAGCACAAATATTGAGAGTTTACGGAGATTGGATGGCAGAAACAAAATCAGAAAATCCTCAGGTATAGATTATATACATTATATTAAATAATTGAAAACTCGTAATTAATTAGCTATTTATGTTTTATTTTCATTATAGGCTGTGATAAAAAATTATTATCTAAAATCCATAGATGCAAGTAATTCGATTAGGGAACATACCGCGGATACTATAAAAAATTTACACGATACATACGTTGCCTTAGCTCGATTTGCTGATAATCAATTTGAACAAATAAGTTCATACATGAAGTCTCCTCAATTTGAAAGTCTCAGAGAATGTATTATATACTCTTATAAAGGAATTCCTAAACATACACTTAGTGATGATAAAGATGTTAGAAGTGCAATGATTTTAAATCAGAGACAAAATACAAATGATGTTGCAGAACTGGAACATATAGAAAAAGAAAAAAACAACTATTTGACTTTAGCATTAAAGTAAGTTATCTCCTAATTTTTCAATAATTATCCTGTCTAGTATAATATTAAAATGTTTATTCTTACAATTTCTTTATACAGATATTACTTGATAACACTTCAGCAAAGTGAAGATCATAATTTATTGGTATTCAGAATAATAGCACTCTGGTTAGACAATATGAGTCAAAAAGAAGTAAATGATTTATTAGATGCAAATCTTAATAAAATACCGTCTTTCAAATTTGTCCCACTTCTTCCACAATTAGCAGTACATTTGAATGACGATTTCACTGAATTTTCCAAAAAAATATATAAAATTATGGAACGTTGTGCCCTAGAACATCCACATCATACATTACCTGTATTATTAGCATTAAAGAATTTATATGGCGATTATGATTATAATACGTCCAGAAAAAGTAAAACTTTGGAACCGAGAGTTCTTGGAGCTCAAAAATTATTGCAAGAGTTAACAAAAACAAATATAAATTCAATCATACATGAAATGGAAAATGTGTCACACTCTTTAGTTATGTTAGCTAATCTTCCAACTTCTACAAATAAAGGTCAGTATGTTATAATTACAATATCCATTGATATTTCTAGAGCTTCCTTTTTGCAGCTGGTACTATAGTCAAGATACCTAGAGATCAAAGAATTCTAAGAATTAAAAATTTTCAAAATGTCTTTGTGCCAACATTAACAATTGATGTAAATCCATCGGGAAATTATAATGACATTATTGGTATTTCTAAATATGTGGAAACGTATGAGACTGTAGGAGGCGTAAACACACCGAAAAAACTGACTTGCGTTGGTATGGATGGAATCGTTAGACATCAGTTAGTAAAGGTATATTATTAAGATTTCATAATGCTCCTTAATATATCAGAAACAACGGTATGATCGAATTGAAAACTCTCTAAATCTATATCTACAGGGAAGAGATGATTTACGACAAGATGCTGTGATGCAACAAGTTTTCAATGTAATGAATACTCTGCTGAGAGCTTGTAAAGAAACTAAACGAAGGAAGTTAACAATCAGAACATACAAGGTATTTTTAATAAATATTGTTTGTTGTTTTGTTCGTAATTTCTATAATTTATTTTTAGGTTGTACCATTAACACAAAGGTCAGGAGTACTAGAATGGTGTGATAATACAATGCCTATTATAAGTGTACTAATAGGTTCAAGGAATATTCCGGGACTTCATAAGAAATATTATCCAAAAGATTATACAGCAGAGCAGTGTAAAGATAAACTTGCAGTAAGAATAATAATGCATAAACTATTATTTTATAATTAATATTAAGTAATGATGATACGTGTTATATATAATAATTTAGGCAATAGTTAAATCATCAACTGACACAAAATTAAAAGTATTTATGGACTGTTGTGCACACATGCATCCAGTAATGCATTATTTCTTTACTGAAAAATATCCATCTCCCGAAACGTGGTTCGAGCGAAGATTAGCATATACACGCAGGTAATTTCTTTATTACGTAAAAATTATTTTTAAGTTAATTTTATTTATTCACATGTTATATTCCTCTTACAGTATAGCAACAACATCTATGGCAGGATATATTTTAGGTTTAGGCGATAGGCACTTAAATAATATTTTAATTGATCAAACAACTGCGGAAGTAATTCATATTGACTTTGGTAAAGATAATTATATAATTTTCAAATTTAACAAAAATATGGAATGATTAGGTTATCAGTAACGTTATGCATTTTTAAATACAATTAGGTATAGCATTTGAGCAAGGAAAGGTCCTACCGGTTCCGGAAACGATACCATTCCGACTTACACGAAACATTGAAGCAGGAATGGGCGTTTCTGGTGTAGAAGGTACAATGAGACATTGTTGTGAGAAGACGTTAACCGTATTACGTGATCAAAGACAAATAATTATAACTCTGCTTCAAGTTCTTTTGTACGATCCATTGTTTAAATGGACTATAACACCTGCTAAAGCACATGATATACAAAGTGGTACTTCTTCAAGACCAATAGAAAATAATCAAAGTAAACATCATTTTATATCTTATTATTCATGTGATTTTTAATATAAGTACAATGTAAAATAGATATATTTATTTTCAAATGTATTATATTTTATCTAATATATATTTATTATTACATTATTTCTTATCAAACAGGTTCTACAGGAATTAATAAACCAGCTGAAAGAAGCCTTTTAAGAATAGAACAAAAGCTGCAAGGCACTGAAGAAGGATTAGCATCCAGTGTATCTGGACAAGTTGAAAGACTTATACAACAAGCACGAGATCCTATAAATCTCTGCCGTTTATATTTTGGGTGGCAACCATATTTATAATATTTTGTAATATTAAAATTATGTATTATTTTTGTATTTTTGTAATTAAAATTGTATAAACAGTAAGTTCAATTCAGAAAATTATTTTTTTTTTATCATTTAAGTACTTATAAATTTTTAAATATTCTGTAGTTTTTTAAAATAATGGAGTAAACAATACGGAACAATATGTAAATATTAAACATTATGGACATTAAGAATATACAATAAATACTTGTTTTAGATTAGGTAATTTATTTACATCGTCAGTGCATATGACATGCTTCAGAAGTTTAACTTCAGTTAAAAAAGTACACAGATTTCAATACATTATTAATATCAAAAGTGCCCTTAGATGGTACAGAAAGCAAGCATTGATATGCATCTGATACATCAATTATCTTCTTTTTACTTGATTTCCTGTAATCATAAATGCATTAAAAATACTTTAAATACATTGATATACATGTATTATTATATCATTTTCAATTATATACTTCAAATTCCTTTACGTAATGGAATTATACTAACTTCCAAACACGTGTAGTAAAAATAGCACTTTAACGACATTAATTAAAAAGAAAAATATGAAAAATTTAGTTTCGTAAAATTATGGATAAATTTCTGTGTTGAAAGTATACTTAAAGCTTTATAAACGTTACTTACATCGAAAGGGGTTTATAACGTTGTAAAAAATAATCGGATAAATTTTCAAGAATGGGTTCAGAATGGAGAGCAACAAACTGTTCCCTGCAAATCTATAAAATATATTAAGTATATTTTACGTATTTATACGACATATGTAACATTTCAAATTTATATTTCATATTATACTTACTTTGTTCATAATAGTTACGGTACAAGGATGAGTCCAAAAGCAATCATGTACTGAGACAAACGTAACATTTTCTTGACTACAATAAAGACTAGTAAGCATCATATGACAGGAATCGAGAGAGTGTATAAAATTTGGGGCAAACGCATTTTTTTGCTTCATAGAATCAACTCTATAAATGTGAAGAACATATCTTAAAAATTTCATCTTATAATATTGTAAAATTGGTTAATAGAATAATTTTATATTTATGCAATGCAGTGTCCCCTATATGACTCACTACGTATCATCCATGCATTATTTTTATAGCTGATAAAAATGATGTAATGAAAGATATTTTTATTAACATATTAATCATTATCTTTGACATACATTTTATGAGGTTTCTGTTTGATATAAGGCTGTACAATAGGAAGACCCAAAGGAGTAACCCACTCAACGTTTTCACCGTACAAAATCGAAATAATTCGAGCACATGTTGTTAACCAATCTTGAATTTCTCTTGCACTTTTAAACATTGTTCTTAAACTGTTAAATGTACTTTCAGCCAAATATATACTGGCAGGCCAAACATATTCGTAAGGAAAGTCTTCAATGTCTATTTAGAACATTAATAATATAATGAAATAATAGAATATGTAACTACATCGATTGTAAGAAATGAAGTTAAATACCCACTTCGGAGTTGTTTTGCTATTTGATGTTTTGCACCATATTTTGTTACACCGTACACTGTTGTCATTACAGTTTGTTTGATAACTTTTCTCTTTACAAATCCTTCCAGTAACTGGGCAATTTTAACGTCATTTTTTGCATCTATTTGCCGTTGTTTTTCAATCTAAAAATTTATCATACTTTTTTTTAATGTTTATATGTATAACGATTTACAATATAGAGAACTTACTATCGTCGCAACTGCAGTATATACATCATTTGGAACATCAAAAGGATATAAATTGACACTTTCTGCACCTATCTGGTCTCTACCAAGTGCCGCATAATGTTGAAGACCATTACAACTTCCATCTTGATGTACTGGAAACCTACTCACATATTCTTCTACATTTGGTGTTTTTAATGCATTTGCTATTTCCATACATCCTGCTAAAGTTTGCCATGGTTCTTCAGCCTCTGCCCACCACATTTTACCCTACATAGTACACATAATTAATATTTTAAATTTTAGTACAAAATTTTTACTTTTATCATGTGTTTTAGTACATACAGAAAGTTATACTTTCCCACATAATTAAATCTTACCGTTAAAGGCTTCGTGGCACTATCTAATATGTTTTCCATATTTTGATTTGCATACTCAAGACGTTCTTGAACAGAACTTCCTTTTTTAAAATTAGTCAAATTTATAACATGTAATTTTAACCAATTTAATCCATCTGGACCTAACGGTTTCCCATTAGCAAATAAAAGAAAAGAACGTCCCAGATCAGATGACAAATGATTTAAATGAGGTGGAACTGGATAAACTCTTCCTCTAAAATCCAAATTATGTGGCAACCAGAATACTTTGTTTCTAAGCTTTTAAAACAATTAAAAAAATTTAATATACTTGAATATAACTTGTAACACAATTGATAATTTATTTACACATATATTTTTAAGTTAATATTCACTACAGAAAATTAAAGAAACTTATTTAAAACGTATCTAAAGAACATACATGATTAGCAATTGATAGTCTATAAAGTGCATCGCACCATAAACTATACATGTCATATCTTTTTTGTTTATATTGCGCCAGTGCTAATACTGCGCTGCGCTTTTCTTGGATGGTAGCATTTTCCTTTACTGAAGGTGGTAAAGATAATACAGAAATTGGTCGCGGAACATTTAATTTTTCAGAACCACCATTCTGAAATATCTAATAATATAATTATTTAGACCTATCATCAGAAATGAATATAATAATATTAAAATAAAATGAAATAAGTACCTTGATTGCTATATCAAGTATGTCAGTATTAACCATCCAAGGAATGGAACTAAGCTGATTTAATGAATCGAATATAGGAAATAGTTGTTTCCCTGGTGTATTTTGAAGTTTATGCCAGGGACTATCCTGAAAGAATAAAAATATTATACATTTTGAAACCAAAAATATATAAGATATTGTATGAAGTCAAGATATAGAAAAAGATGTTATGGCTGTAATGTGTTAAGCTATATTGAGAAATAAACATTATACGTAAACTTACCACAGATGGAAGTCTCATAAAATCTATTTTAGTCATAAGATACCCTCCACTGTATATTGAGGTCCATGGACGTGGTGGAGCATGCGAAGGTAATATATGTGAATCAAATGTTAATATTCTTGTCTTTGAATCTCTATATAATTTTGAAACTAAAGGATGAGGTTTAATCTATAATGTAAAGAATTTAATCCATATTGTATTCAACAAAATTTATATAGCATTTAATTTTTTCAATGCACATACTTGTTCTGATAGATAATTTTCTCTATTCCTAAACAACGTATAAAATGCAGGAATAGAACATTTTAAATCTTGTCCTTTCAACATATTAGGATGAAGAATTATATCATTTAAAATTATATTGTATAAAAATTTTCCAATATTTATTAATACATCCAAAGACCAAGAAAACATTGTAATATTCAAAGATGTACCATGGTTTACTTCTTTCATTTCAAGGTACTGCCATATAGTACGATTATTCATATTACTTAAATGTTCCATTTCTTTTGGATGCAAATACCAATCAAGATATTTTGAGTAAATACTGAGTATCTTATCAAATAAACCAGATTGTTTTTTTGTTTGAACCTAAAAATCATAAATGAAAAAATAATACACATTCATTGGAATTATTGGCAATATGAATCACAAATTTAATCAAGTATAAACGTAACTTCATACCTCATATTTATTGTAAATATATTTTCCTAAATCAATATATAAAAATCTGAGAGGCATACTGTAAGTTTCAGAACCTCGAGCTACTTTTTCAACTTCTCTTAGTATGCCATTTATATAAACACTTTTGTCTAATACTTCTAAAAATGGATGCAAAACCATTAAAGAATTCTGAAATTGGCATTCCTTTTGTTTTAAACACTTCAAATTCCTTTCAAAAGCTTTTGATACTGCGTCTTTCCAATAATTTTCCACTTCCTCCAATCTCTTTCGCTAATTGAAAAGAAGAAATGTTATTGTTATTGTATCAAATTTTTTAAACTTATAAAAAACCGAAATAACTTTACATTATCATATAAATAATTCAAACGAACGATAAATATTTAACATTTCAACATTATTAAATTAATTTATAGAAATATCATGTATCTTACAGAAGTAGAACTATTTGTATCCTTGCATGATTCAACACTTTTTATTTGTACTTCACCTACAGATTCATTCCGAAGTTGCATTTCTAAACAACTTTGTAATTCTTCCATTGTTAATAAATCTTGTACTGGACTTCTATAATTGCTTTGTGTTAAAATCTTACTTAAAAGTTTACATGAATATTCTGTACTTGGTAAAGTATATGTGGGTTCAAAGTCTGGCATTAATGCTCTAACCGATTTAAAGACATTTTCTCTTTGATTCTTTTTAAAATATGATTTATTAAATATATCATTGAAACTTATATTATAATTATTCATTTCACTGACCAACGTTCCTAATAATGCTATAAAGTAAAAAAACGATTTCAACATATTCTTTTCTTAACATATATTATCATTAACAAAAATATATAATTACCTTTTCGTTCATCATTTATTACTTCTTGCCCCAAAGCACTAAGCACGTATACATAAGTTTGTGTTGTTGGTATCAATGAATCTTTTTTTATCATATCATACAAGTCTAAGACTTTTACAATATTCTTTCTAGAAGCATAAGCTTCCAAAAGCATATTATATAATTCAATACATTTATCATTATGTTTCATGTTATTTTTTACGAATCTTTTGTATATCATTAATGTATTTTTTGCTCTATTTAGCATTCCACAACTTAAATAAACTTGCATATGTACTAACAAACTTTCAACATATTCTGGTCTTATAAATTTATTTTTAATTTTATGATGTTCCTTTTTTTGTGATATTTTATTTCTAAAAAATAGTTTATTTATGTAATAGACACCACTAATGATAATCGTTGATAATTATAAGCCTCTAAAGGTAAACAAATATAGATGCATCATAGAATTATGATATACTTACACTTTTAAATGTAAATTTTTTTTTAATTTTTTATTTATCATTGTTTCATAACTTGGAATTGAACTATCACATAATGTATCATTGTGAATAATGCTACTATTTACATCATCATATTTGTTCAAATTTCCAAACAATTCTGCATCATTAGAAAATTCATTATGATGTTGCACTTCCTGATCAGACAATATTTTTTCATAGTTTTCCTGTTGTTACACAAGTAAGTGAAAGTAAAAACATTAAAATTTTTATAAACATATAAAAAAGAAAAATAACATCAAGCATACATTATGACAGCCAATTAATTATAGAAACTATTATGTATGTACTCACAATATTTAAACAAATTTTGTTATTATCTATAGCTTGGTAATCTTTAGTTCTGTGCTCTGAATTAGAAACTTTATTAATGTCAGTACCACTAATGTCACATGTTTTATCTGTGGTAATATTAGATTCATCAACAAATGTGGATAAATCTGCAGAATTTAATTTATGTACTTTTGCCATTTTAGTGCTTGTTTCTTTTTCTGTTACTATAATAAAAAAATTTATATTTAAAATAAATATAATGACATTTGTGAACACCATTAAAAATATGAAATTTTACCTGTTAACAATTCTGCATACTTTTTCATTTTTTGTTTAATCTTTTTCTTCGAAGAAGGATGATTTGATATATTTATTGTTGTAGTATTTGTGTGAATTTGGTAGTACTTCACATCTATGAATTGAAAGAAATCACATTACTAGAAATACAAGGACACAAATGCAAATGTACATTTGTGTTATAAACGCGTGACATTGATAAATATATAAATAAACATAAAATCTAATACACATTTTATAATTTGAATGCTAATAAAATGAGTACAGTATTTATTAAAACTTTTTAAAGCTATTTTCCAAAATGTTACATATGAACAACACTATCTATTGTTTGTTAAAAAATGCTATAACATACTTTTTATATAATATACATATTTGAATCAAATACTAAATAAATTAAGCTAGGGAACTAATAAATATTACATAATATTAACATTTTTTAAGTTATAATTTAAAAGAAAAAGCTATATAACCTCTCAGAATACTATAACTTAACAATGTATAAAAGTATAAATTAAAATAAGGAATATGAATTTTTATTGTGTATTATAGAAATTTACTGTTTTTTAAACATAGCTTATTTAAGAAACATACGTTTTGATACTTTTCCATGATAGAAATTACAAAGAGTACACAACCGCATTGAATGCTGTACAACTATTTGCTTTGGTACGAGATAAACACCATGTGAGAAAATCCGTTTTGTAAATGGCATTGCAGAAAGTTTATACATCTTAAAGTAACAACAAAATTAATCACAAATATTAATCATCCTATAAACATCGTTTATACAAACTGCGATTATTATATACCATATAACCTACATCAGAGGAACTACGGTAACAATTAGTAATAATTTACAACCTCAAACAAAATGTTGATAGACCACACTTGCCTAACTTCAGTAAGCTTACCCCCACTTTGTAATATTCCATTCCACGTGCATGTACATGCTTTCCATTTCGTTGCTTATACACGGTGAACAAAAATCTATGAACAAGAGAAAGGACGGAAAATATAAGTATACCAAACAAAAAATGACTGGCATACATGTTAAATGTCATAAACATCGTAAATGCGCATGTGAAGAAAGAATGAATATGTCGGATGATGAAAATGTTTCCTGAAATAAAAAATTCACGACGGTTCTCAACTAATGATACACGTATTAAATGTGCTTTTCTGATTGTTTGAAGCGTCATCTTTGTAATAAAGAAAACCAATAAACGGAACTAAACTTTCCTTATTGTTAGTGTTAATGAAATTTTCAAATTTTAGTTTTGGCGCTACATATTTATAACAAAATTGTGAACCATTGTTGTATATGTTTCATAATGTGCATCTTCATTAGTACTAAAAATGCCCGGTACTCGTCGCTACTCAATAAGACATACCCCGAACTTAGTTTTTTAAAAATCCAAATGTAGGCTCAAGCAGAGATACTATAAGTATACAATCAGTTCTTCACTGATCGAATAAGAAAACGGTACGTTGTGTTTCGCTCCGTAATTTTTTATATATAAGAATATTATAGAATACAAATATTGTGTACGTGTAAGTAAAATATATACCTTTAAAAAATTAAATATACCGCGCTTATTTTTATTAAATATTCAAATCAAATAAATTTACTTTTTTTATTATTCTAAGTAATGTAGATCCCTCGATTAGCTTTATTATTAATGTAATTTGCTGTTTAACAAATTCAATATTATAAAAATACCGTTTTAGCGCCATATTATCAAAATAGATTAATGCTTTGTTATTAAACTTTAATATTATTTGTTTATCAAAAGAAATTAATTGGTCACTTTTCAATTCATTTTTAAAATGATAAAATATAATTAATTAAAATACAGAAATATAGAATGAGGTAATAAGTTTTGTTTTTTAAATTGTATACAAAATAACAGATAAGTAAGTAGGGAAATGCCTGTTTGTTCATTTTATTAATAGAAATGTAATAAATATACATTTAAGTTTAAATATTATAATATATTTTAACTATAATAAGTGAAAATTTATTTGTATTAATAGTAACTGAATAGTACTATTAAGTTTTAATTACACATTGATTTATGAACTTAATAATACTTCAAATTATGTGTAATTTAAACATCCAATAAGCCGAATTTGTTATGTTGTTAAGCTTCATAAGATGGAAGTAAAGTTTACAGAAGAAAATAATGTAGAGGGTTTTAAATGTGCCACATGGCTCCATCACTTGATGTGCATCTGTGGATCTATAAATAGCTAAAATTTGAACTTTCTTTGTGATATACAGAAACAAAGAATCGTAGATATTTGATGAATGTTTTATGAATACTTTTATATTCTTTATTCTGTTATAATATTATCATACAAATAGAAAACTAAAATACGTATATTATATTTAGGTCTTTTTTTCACATATGCACAAAGACCAGTACCGCTGCTAAAGTTAGCGGAACCGCGGACAATAATCAGTATTATTTTCAACGGTGCTTCAATTGTCAATATAGAAAAAGATCCTTCCATGCAATTTCCAATTTTTTTAATTAAAAAAAATTTGTAAATTTGTAATTTAATGAATTTTTTAATGTAAAAATTAAGCGACCGGAGTAAGTGCCCGTTTGACCGATGTTAAAGACGGTACTGACAAAGGCACAAAAAAACGCGCGTATGCACAGGCACGCATATACACATAATATTCTAAAGTATTTCTAATTTAATCCTTAATATTGTACTACAATAGTAGTAATTGTTTTGAATGCATGTCATTGTTATATATTAAATACGAGATTTTCAATTATTACCATCATTTACTAACAAAGATAGGTTTCTTACTCATCAGTGTCATCAGCAATGACCTTTTAACTTCTTATCTCAGTGACAGTATATTCAATTAATTGACTGAAGGAAGTATTTCACTCATTTTAAATACAAAGTATTTAGTTTAATAGTTACAATAATGGAGTACTTTTATTAAAATTTATTTGAAAGTATAACACAATGACATTCTTGAAAATATATATAAAAATGAAATACATATTTAACACTGTAAAATTTAAATAGATCTTTCTGTTCCAGATATTGTCTTCTATACATTAATAATACCAGAAAATGAAGTATACATTTATATTGATTTTACATCTACTTTATATTAATGTTAATAATGCCAGGGAAATTACGTAAGTTATACTCAATCATAAAATTAAAATAATTTTATTCAAATGTTTGTTTTCCAATTATGATGCAACAACTAAATTGGTCCATTTGAAAATTCATATAAGTATGGTCCTTATTATTCTTAATATAATATTATAACATGAATATTTATAATAGTTTTATTAGATCATAGACTAATATATACTCTATAATCCATATAAATCATATATTTAATTGCGTTATGAATGAACACTGTTATCTTTCATAATTTTTTATTTTGCTATAAAGTTAATCTAATTTTAGACATGAAGACATTAAAGATGCAATGTTAAGCTTAGTACATATGATGAGAGAAAATACTGAAAAATTAGAAAGGCATGAGGCAAGAGAACGTCAATTGGGAGAACAATTAAAAAAGACAATCTCAGTATTAACAAAACGTGTATCAGCAGTTGATGGTATAAAATTACAACTAAATAAACTTGATGAAAAGGTGATAGGAATTGAACAATTAATTGCTCAGGTATTACATTAATGAACAATGTTTATACTGATTTATTAATAGTTTCAAATAAATTTAGGTTTTTAATAATTATTTTGCAAAATTATGTTTTACACAAATGTACTATAATGTCATAATCATATAATCATTATATTCTTCTGTAATCAGAAAGATGAACGAGAAAGAATACAAATGCAAAAAACTGTTGATGCTTTAGAAGATTTAGAAAGCCGCTTGGAAGGATGGTTTTCAGATATTGAGAGCAAAATATCTGAAGCAAATGCTTCTCCAACTACTACATCGCCGCCAACTGAAAATACGTCTCTGATTGTTTCAAAATTAAATGATACAGAATCATTGCTTATAGATAAAATATCAAAAACTGAATCTCTTTTAAAGTCTGAAGCAATAAAATTAAAAGAAGTCACAAATGTTCAATCAGGAACAATACAAGCACTATTGACAGAGGTAATGACATACTTAATGTGTAATAAAAACATGTTTAAGTAGAGTATTTTGTAGATCCAAGATGTTGGTTCGAGATTAAAGGATCTTAAAATTTTGCTAGAAAAAGTAAAAGGACAATCTCAAAACATAAAAGAAGAATTACAAAAACCTCAATTCAGTGTGATGTCTAATATCGACCAGTATTGTAAAACATTACCTCCAATACAAAAACTGTTAGAAGTTACTTCTGCTCAAATCAGAGAGTTACCAAGGTATTGTGTTACTATTATAGTAATTTCTCCCTTTTCTTTTATACAACAAACTCCTTCATTCTCATTAAAATAATATGTCCTGTAAAAAATTAAATTATAAGTCAACATATTAGTAATTTGAATATAAAAATGATTAAATATTAAATCTTATCATTTAGGATCCATGAAGTGCAGTCTTTACATAACGAAACTGAAACACTTTTACAAGAAACTAAAGAGGTTTTAAAAGATGTTGTTAGTAAAGGAATGACTAATGTGGAAAATAAAATAACAGAAGCTAAATATGAAACTAAAGAAGCAATAGGAACACTTAGGTAATATTATACAGCAAGACATTCTTCTCAGTTTCAAAATTATTTATTTCTAAATTGCAAACGTTTATGTATTTATGATATATTGAGTCTGCAAAGTGCACATCAAAGTATATATAATACTTTAGTATGTCAAACATGATAACTGAAATCTTATTAAGTATTTCTGAGATTATAGAACGGACTTGGCAAATAATGCTGATCACATAAATGAAGAATTAAGTGATCTTGAAAAAGGGCAATCTGTAATGATCTCAATGGCTGATCATGTGTTAGATACTAAAAAGAGAGTTGAATATGGAGTGCATCAAATTCTTTTAGAAATGGGAGATTTAGTGAAAGCACAGGGTATAAATATCAATAACACTCTTAATGAACGATTTGATGGCATATCAAATGATATTATGGATAATCAGAATGGAGCACTGGCAAATTTAACTACCAAAATGGAACAAGAAATGAATCAGGTAATAATCAAATCTAAACTTTTTATTAGATCAATATCTAAACAATGGTTACATTTTTTCTACAAAAGGTGTGGCGGCAAATAAATGTTATGTATCAACAAATGACAGAAAGTGCAAAAGCATTAGACAAATTACACAAACAGAATGAAGAATATGTTAATGGTACAACTTCTACTATGGGCGGAATGGAAACTAAGGTAGTAATACAAAAAAAGCAAATTTTATCTATGACATTAATAATTTTATATGTATATATACGTGTGTGTATGTATATAGGTGGGTGAAATAACAAAACGCATGACAGAAGTCGATGAAAACTTGAACTATTTGTTGGGTCGGCTTTCACTAGTAACACAAGAATTCAATCAGATCAAAACAGGATTAGGCAATGCATTAGATAATATTAAAGCATCGTTTAAAGAAGTTCAGGACAAAACAAATGATTTAAGACATCCAGGTCCACACAGAATACCTGAAAATTATAAGGAATTTAATGAATCGGATAATGAACCCGATGGTAAGCCATTATCAGAAATGGTCAGACATATTTTTAGTCCTCAAAGCAATTAAATTTGAAACTAGACATGCGTTACTAACAATTAATATACCACATTCCTTTTTTTTTTTACTAAATGTATGAGAATTTTGAACACTAATGTCATTTGTATTTGAACAGCGAAAGTATATTTTGTAAATATAATTAATTTTTTATTTTTCTCTATTTTAATTTTATAAATATTTTTATCCTTTTTCCTACAATAATTTACTCAATGACGTATCTAAAGTATAAGAGTGCTTATTAAAGAAAATTTGTTTTAGTTATGAAAATAAAATAAAGCAATACGAATCTCATATCGAGGACGTTTTATCGTTAAAGACACGTACCCAGTTATGTTCAGATTTACATGTGCTACATTAGTAGTACATAGCATTGAAGGCGTGAGAAAGAAAAAGATCATGCGCGCGTACGTAACATATGTACACAAGTACTTACTATATACATATGTTTCATTATTTTCAAGTAACAAATGTATAATATAAACGCAACTTATTTCTATTTTAATTCATATCTACCGATAGTTACATAAACTGCAAGAATATAAAATGAAATAGTTGTTATCAAATCTTATTTACAAACAAAATATTACAATTTTCAATATGTATATATACTTATACTATGTTGAATATATTGATCCAGAATTCCTCATTTTTGCTTCTTTAAATGAACTTCCTCATATAAGTTTAAAACGAAAGCAAACTATAATTAAAAGATTTATGGTATTTCAAAGTCTTCCAAGCATGAAAAAGTTGGACCAATATATTTCTATAGTATCATGTTTAAAAATTAATTATTAAACTGTCCAATTAAAGATAAAAATATAAATATACAACTATTTTGACAGTACTATTAATACATATTTTTATAAGGAATGATCATAATGTATATTACTGTGTACTAAAATATATTATAAAATTATATTTTATTAGAGTAATCACTGAATTTTAAATGTCATATAAGTGCATTGTAAAATCTTGTATACAGACTGTTTATTAAAACTATTTTTATAAAACATAAATTTATATGGTGTTTTCCTGATATAACGTAAAAGTAATTTATATTTTAAAAATACAGTACCATGTAATTTATTTAAAATATTCAAGTATAGTATGCAAGTATGTAGCCCTTTCTATAATTATTTTCACTTCACAGCCTCATTCCGGATTATATAGCAAAACTCCACTGCATTAATAAAAACAAATTTCTTTTTAATTCAATAAACATAAAATTTGAAAATACACATAAAAACATGAAAAATGAATAATATAGTACTTGTGTTTAAATAATCTATTCTGGTATTATTTATAATGTAATACATATTCAAACATCATAATCAATTTTTATTGTTAAAATTTTCGTTTTCCATAATAGAAAAATGTAATTCTATGCATAAGCACTTGATACATAACATATTTTTTGTTAATCATATTATTCAAAAAGATATTACCACCTTATTATTGAAGAGCGTATTATAATTTTTACAATTTATGTAAGTTCCACCTTAAAGTTAAACTTTTAAGTACCTTAGATGTAGTTGCAGATAAATTATTCTTAGACAAAGATATAATATAAATTGAAAAGTTAAAAAAACAGCATGTATATTATGCCAAACGAGATTTAAATTAATGTTAAAATTACAATATAGATAATAAGTAGTAAAGAATTACTTTATATTATTATTATGCATAATATACATAATTGCACATAAAATACATTTACTAATCTTATTATATCATTGTCTTCTTAATGTAATCATAACATACGTATATAAACTTATAACTGCTTATATGTACAATGAATCAATTAATATTTTTGTGACTGATTTTATGTATTATAATTAACTAATTATTTGTTACTTTACTATTTGTGATTGCATATATTTGTGGAGTTAATGTAACATATACACTTGATTTTTTACTAAAATCAACTATCTATCTTTTTCTGTCAAGTATAATTTCAAAATATTAATATAAAATATGACATTTTAAAACTTATAATGATTTTAATTTAATGATGCCTTTTCTCTTAAATATATAAACAGATATAAAAAATTAAATCTAGAAATGCATTATCTTATATTTGTCAAGATGCATAATTAGTTGTTACTGGTTTTATTTTATATAAATAATGATATTTCTACATTTTAGGGATAATATACAATTATTATATTTGCATTTAAACTTTGTTACACTCACTCGTACATGATATTCTCACCCTATTTTCTCATTTATATATATTTTTATATGTACATTTAATAACGTTACATGTAATGTATAATTATACTCAATATGTACTTGCATGATTCTAATATATCATTTTTTTAAAGTAATTTATAATAATAGGTCCACTATATCCAGCTAAATAAAAACTAATATTTTATGCGTTCAGAAAATTTCATAAATATTGAAGGAACTAAACAAATAATTAGAAAATAGTAATTACACTAAATATTACTTATTGTATAATTCAGATATAAGGACATCTGATCAATTACTAAATATTTAGACAGAACTGTTTAGTTTTTCCCAAATATATCCTGACATTGCTATATTATAATAGTACAATATAAAAAAACTTGTAAAATAAAATTTGATTAATTCTCGGGAAAAAAACAGCATATTTATATAAAAAATAAAATGTGAAGTGTTAACAGAAAATATTTGCATCAAATTACATTTTATAATTTTATGTTAATATTTTCATTAAATCATATGTAACATGTACAGTTTAATTTGTTATTTCATTTTACACAATATACGCAACAAAGTATAGATGTTTCCAAAAGACAATAGATTAAGAAATATAGCCCTTAGTTTTCATACAGATAGGAAAATATCGAAGAATATTAGACTTTGAAAATTGTACACACAATTATATTACATCAATATTTTTAACATTACTTTGTCAAATAACATAAGACAATTTTCTTTAGAAAGCGGGAAACTATATAAAATCAATATATTACATACATAAATGAAAAATAATGTTACATATGTTGCTTAAAATTTATGTGGTGTTATTCTTTTTTATAAAAGCTCAACCTCTGTCAATTATATAAGCTATCAATTAATTTTTTACCACACACATAGTAAACATAAACATTTACATGTTTTATTTTGCGCAGAACCAATAAGTATTCTTAAATTTGCTGAGTTTGTAGATCTGTTATAATAATTATGAAATGATTAATGCACACATTTTATATAACAATAAATTTTAATACCAATTTAACAGAAATGTAGTTATTTTATAAATTATTGATGTTAAAAGAACATACATTTTAGAAAGTTGAAATATTTCATTACAAAAACTAATTATTTTATAGAAGAAATTAGAATCATGTTACAAAATTAAATGTAACTTCTAATTATTCTGTAAACGTTAGAATAAGATTAATTATGTTTATCTAGTAGTAAATTGTAAAATATATTATATGTATTATAGTTAATAATAATTACATTGCAAATTATGCGCATAATTTGGTATGTAAATAGATTACCAGAAAATCACTATTAGGTATATCAATTACAGAAGTATTAACTTTTTGTAAACCTCAATATTATAATTTTTCATTTTAATTATATTAATAATTTTTTACATATTTAAAGATTTGTTTTATTGAGCATATTAAAAAAATCTAAATGTAATTTATACATGAGTTTCAAATTTTAAATGTTATCTAGAAAACATACCAATTTGATCCACTTTTATTATGGAGAAAAAAAATGTATAATTTGTTACAAATTTGTTATGATTTTGGGTATTCTTATATTTTTGAGCTGTTAATATTTAAGCTATATGAGTTGCATTGGGTATTTCATATTAAAGCATATCCATTATTCATAATGGACGACCATTTATGCTATATATAAGAAAGATTAACAACTAACATCGACTGCTTGCTTAACAGTATATTAGATACGTCAACAAGCTCTCTTGATAAGCTTTGATTAATTTAATAACATTGTAAGTAATTTTTATTACAACTCTTTGCAGTGCTAGATCCCTAGATGACATTTCACATGTTTTAATTATGTTAATTTCTATAATACTCCTTTTTATTGATAAGTTCCTAACAATATAAGTTTAAATCATTATTTGCATAATTTGATAATTTTCTTAACTGTTCTACTTTCATACTGATTTGCCCATGTGTTAACGCTATTATTATAACTTACACAGATATTTCTAGCAGAAATATATTAGCACAGCAAAGAAGTATTGATTGTTATCTATATATACACCCCCAAATGCATTGGAAACGTCATTAGAAATGCCTACCCTATGATAAGCAGTGAGTTAGAAAGTTATAATGTATTGCGCATACTCAAGCTGAGATTCTCTTACACATTATAAAAAATGACGTAAGTTCTCAGACGAGTAATTATTAATGCCAGTTTTCTTATTAATCATTTTTTTTTACAAAAGGATTACTTAAATAAAGCTATGTAATTAAATTCGAAGTATTGGACGCATTATATCGGAACGCATTATATTAATTTCATCCAAGGGTAATGAAGAAGAGTGTTGGATACTTTCATTAATTCATTTATACATTTCTAAATACAATATACATTTGCCTTGGCAGTTTATAAGTATGGAACAACATTATATCTAATGAACCACTTCTTTTAACTATTGTTGTTACTTTTCAACTTAAACATCTGTCTTTTTGCAATGTAAACAAAACCATGAACATAAATATTTTATATGGTTGGAATGTATATTTAAATAGAAATAATAAAAAAATTTTATTGATATAGTTAGAGTTATATAACATACAAAATATAATATGGAAATCTTTGTAAACATTCTTAATAAATGAGTAAATCAAATATATAAATAAATAAATATATTAATGTTTTTCTTAAGATTTTATCAATAATAGTTATTATTTGATATAAAGAAATACACTATTTATGTGTACTTTTTAAGTATCCGTACACTCTTTTGAATTATACCCTTAGAATTTGACTAAATTTAAGCAGCTGCTAGCTTGAATCACTGGATGTAGATATGCGCAGCTGACGTTTGCTACGCCTTTGGGGGTGTGAGTGGTCCTAGCTACTGGTAGAAGCAATAGGACTAACAGGACTCAAAGGGCTACGTGCAGGATCCCTGAGACAACCGGTTAATGTTATAGCTACTTTGCGACTTCCAGCATCATTACGGTGTTCACACAACCAAATTCCTTGCCACGTACCCAAAGTCAATTTGCCATCGGTAATTGGAATACTCAATGAAGAGCCCAGAAAACATGCCTTTACATGTGCTGGCTATAAATAATGCAATTATGAAAAAACCAAATGATTTTAGAACAATTTATATATATAATATATATACAAAGACACAATTGTAAATTTATGTTTTTAGAAGATTAATATCTATACTTACAAATTACAAGAATTTAAGTTTTATTTTTAAAAAATTATTATCTAAACTATATAACTACATGCAACATTTATTTTCTATTGTACTTAATTTTATTACCATTTTATTTTTATTAATGTAATGTCAACAAGAAATGTTTGTCAGTTACATTAAGCTTTTGCAAATAATTATATAGATAGCTAATATTCATATATAACATACATCACACACTTACCATATCATCTGGTCCTTCACAACTGTGTCTATAGGCCAACCCTTCAGGAACTATTTTATTCAGCATCATTTCTACATCGTCTCTAACATCTGGATCCCAATTTTCATTTAATGCTAAACTTGCTGAAGTGTGAAGAACTGAAATAATTTTAAACAGAAAACATAATTGTTTACACTAAGGAAACATCTTAATAATTTTGACATTGTTCTGATAAGTGTTCTGCTAGTTTACATAGATTATATATGAATTTCTATTTGTCAACTACATCAAAGTCAGTAATTACAAAATGTATAATGTATAAATACCAGAAAAATATATTATTTAGACATTTTAAGGCATCACAAAATACATAGAATAATATCAATAATCGCCTTACAGATGAAAATATAATGTAGATTTACTAAAGTAGAAAATACTAAAGTAGATTTACTTTACAATTTGTTATTGTAAATTCGCAGTCTAAGTGGAAAAAGTTAAATAAGACACCCTGTATATACAATTATTGTTAAAGGTCATCTATCGTACAAAGTGCAAGATTATAAATTTATACACATCGTTCCTAGTAGATAATATGACAGATATTTATTTTTTGTTATGTAAGAAGAAGTTCAACATTTATTAAACATAAAGTTTTGAAATAATACAATGAAGTAATACATGTTATTAACATATTCAATTATTACTTTTTATATGTGTGATATCTGTATGTGTGTGTTTTATATATATGTTGGTATACGTGTGTACGAGCGCACACGCATGTATATACAGGTGTGCATGTGTGTTATTTTTCACATAGGTTATACGCATTAAAAATACACGTTTTTATTTAAATACCATTTAACGTTTCACACAATTAAATTTAATTTAAAAAATAAGCTATGCATTTTAATTTCTTTTAACTAAAATATTATTATTTGAAAATATTATATTATATCAAAGTCCATAGTTTAAATGCAAAAGATACTTACTTTGTATATGACAAAGTCCGACGGAAAATTCACAGAGTTCGGGAATTCTTCTTAAAATTTCTTCGGTAACATGATGAATACCTCGACGCTGTGGTCTTAGGTTAATTTTTGTTTGAAACCAAGCAGAACCGGTTTGAATCCTTCTATTTGATGAGGCCATGATATGATACGCTGTAGAGATTACACACTTAACTAGACTGAATAAAATTTTAGCACAATGCTGAGATACGATAAAATCTACTTCAAGCGAAAAATCACGAGAACACGGTCCACTCCATTGGATATAGTATGGGTCTACTATCTCCGCCGCTTGCCGGCTACAAGACGTATGGATTTAACCACATCTTTTAAGATTGTCTAATTGCATCTGCTATATTTCGTATTCATAAAAAGGTTATGAGAAATAATGATTCAACGTGCACATACGTATCACGTTTACATACATATACGCTCACCTTCACCTAAACGAAATATCATTAGTATCAGGTACGCATACTAACGGTGAAAGAACGTGACGGTAAAATTGTTTGAAAATAAATCATCGTATCACTAAACGATCTCAATCTTTCGATAGACGATTTGCTTAGCGAAATTTTAATAATGACGTGCCATATTGTTCGCCATATCAAATTCCAGAGAATAAATAAATCGAATGGTAATCTAAACAATAATGTAAGTTGCGTTCGGTAATGGTACGTTTCCAGCTGGAACTATTTATTCACTATTGATTGACTTTCTTATAAGCGGCAAATTGAAAATCATAAAAGTTACGACAATATAATTGTTATCAATGTGATATAGCAATAATTATTATTGTATTGATAATTGTTTGTAATCGTTATTATTTACGGAATGATCGCAGTTATATTCGAATATTTTTGTACTTATATATTCATAAATAATATATAATCTATATAAATAATATGTATGCACGCATTTAATGTTCGCACATATTCGTATATATAAATATAATATATTAAATACACAAATTTTTAAACGAAAATGTTCAAAAATTGTATTGTCATATTTTGAATAATTCGTCTCACAAGAGAATACTACCCTAACAAAAGACGAATTTCCGTCAACGCACGTTAACTGTATTTGATTCTGTTCATTCTGTAGTCTATGGCAGTGCGCGTGCGCTTTCATAACGCAATGACGACAAAAATATATATCTAGTGAACAAAAACTTATGAATCTTAGAGTTATGTAAAAAAACTAATGTTTTTTCCTAGGTACTAATTAACTTTGCAACTGCGTTTCATTTGCAAATGTTCATTCTGAGCATTGAAATTTAGTTCTACATTTTAGATATATTTTTACACGAGAAATTTTTCTTTTTTATATCATAATATATGCTTAATTATTTAAATAAATTAAACTACTATATAATATAAAATGAATAACAAGTGATAGAAGTATTTTTATATTATATTATAACTAAATGCTAGATATTTATTTCACACATGTTCATAGTAATGTATAGAATTATAAAAATTAATTTATATATAGTTGCAAATTTGGACTAATTTGAGCTATATTAATTTGTAATTCTTCCATATTACAGTCATAAAGGTTTTCTCTTAAATCAAGTGACTTTAATTTATGTTTTGCCAGTAACTGCAATATTTCATCAGGACATTTTAGTTCATTATTTCTTAATGACAAAACTTCAAGATTTTCTAGAACTGGAAATTTTTGTAAACTTTTCAATTGATTACTTGACAATGATAATTTCTTACAATTTTGCAAAGAAGATAATTGGTGCAAAGAATCTACTAAAGAATTTGCACCAAGATTTACTTCTTCAAAGAAACTAAGGTATTCATTGTTACTAAGTGTTGTTAAATTTAATCCTGAAAGATCAATTTCTAACTGTATTTCCTGATCTTCTTCTATGTCCCAAATTTTATATAATTTGTAATCTATTACATATTTGCTTCCTAAAAAAAATAATGTATCATTTAACATTTCCAAATTAAAAATAATTCTGAAGTATAAACTCTTAAATGTTTTTTTAATTTGATTGCTAAATACTTACGTAAATCCTTATAATAATTAGATCGAAGAGGATCAATATTAACAAGAATATTCAAATTTGCTAAAATATCTTCATAAAATTTTACAAAATCAATTTTTCTCATTAAAAGAATGGCTGTCAGATGAGCCCATTTATTATTAGGTTCCATTGCTGAAAGCTGTTTATAACTTGATAATTGTTCCAATAATTGGTCTTTGTTATAGCAGGATTTATATTTTCTTTTTTTATATATCCATTTCTGATTGGAACAATACAAAGGATAAAATGTTTCTTCAATTTTAATTTGAATATCCTTTATCTCAGTTAACTGTTTTTCAAATTTTCCAAACCATAGTTTTGAAAACTTTGTTTTTGGCCAAGATTTCCACTGAATGCTTTCATTTTCATTATTTATTTGTACACATATTGATTCTATTGATACATTTTGATTGACATAAAGAATCACACTGTTGTCCATTATTAATGCTTGGGAAAGGATGGGATGAATTTCATGTGTATCTAGTAACCACCTTTGGTAGAACCATGCACTAGAATCACTAGGATCTGTGAATGTGGCATTCATTACCAATTCCAATTCTGCAAAACAGTTTTATATTTCTATTTTATCATATTAAAACACACTATATTCTCATATGTAATAGAAATATTACCATCCTTTTTCTTGTCATCAATCTGCTTTTGATCACAATTGGAAAATTGATTTGACAATAGTCGACTTCTATAATGCCAAGAAGAATAATTAGAAAAATTATATAGAATCTTTGTAGTAGAAAATTTTAATTCTTCTTCAGGAGAAATTCCTGCTTTCTGTACAACAAACTCTCTGTAATTCCAACAATGAACTAAAATAAAAAATGATATTTATAGTCAACTATTTTTGATATAATGTGAACAAAAACTAAATAATATAATATATTATAATCACTCACAATTTCTTTCATCTAAGTTTAAACACTTATTGCATAACATTAATTCTTTTTTCCAATCACAATCCTCAACAAAATTTATAACCCAAACTCGTTGATACCATACATAATATGATTTAGGATTTTCTTTCAAACAATTTTCCGTAAGTGTCAGTTCATTTTGATAATGGTCTTTCAACTCTTTTTCATTCCTAATTTATTTAACATAACACTGACTTAATTACATTGCTTTTTACTTAAAATTAATGTATTTGAAATGTATACTATTAAATGTTATATTTTCATTAAAATTTTAGTATCTAATTTTTTAAACAAATTATGTCTATCATATAATTACTAACACAGTCAATATTAATTAATACTAATTTATAATTATACTGTGTTAATAAATAGTCAGTAAATAACATAGCAATAAAATATATAGAAATATGTTTATAGAAATTATTGTGATTATCTATTTACCAATTGCTATTTGTGAATACTTCTCTACGAATATTCCACAATGTATAAATATCAGGATTTTGTAGCAGCATGCGTTCAGTGATCATCATTAATTCATCATCATAAATTTTATTTTTTCTCTATAACATGTAAAAATAAATCTTGATATAATATCCTCATTGTATTTGGAATCTTTAAATTTTCAATCTCTCTATTAATTTCAATTTCTTATTGTTATCAAATTGCTTCATGATAAATTAAATAATGTTAAAATAAAATTACTTTTTCAAATACAATACTTATGCCAGCTCTGTAACGTGCAAGTTTTTCAGCCCTTTCCTTCTTTTTTAATGCTTCCTGCTCTGCACTAGTTCGGACTTTTACTCTCCCATGCTACAAAATTATTTAATTCATAATTTATGAACACATAACATTGAATGTACTTATGCTACAAATACAAAAAGTTAAACATTTTATTATATAATGTTATACAATTAAATAGTTGCAATGATAAATGAAAAAATTTATTTTAATTTTTAATTTAGAAATATATAATTGCACTCTAATAATATTAAAATATGGAATAGGAATGTAATAATAATAGTATACTAAAAGCAAAATACTGTCATTACCATCTTGTAATTTCTTAATTAGAATTTCAACTCTTTAGGTTAATCTTGTTTATTTTTTATTTTTTACATATGTTTTGTCCTGTTAACATCAATGCATTTCATCCATTTATGTACACACATGACACTGTTAATTTAAAATATACCGTTATACTTATAATGTGTTTTCAAGTTGATAACTTATGAACATATTTATATATAACAGGTATTTTATATCCTTGCAACTCATACACAGAGAAAGAAAGCAAACCCATTTTCTTATCGAATTGACAATATGTTTACGCATGCGTGCGCATATATAACCTTTAAAATTGGTTACTATATAGTCACTAGACAAAGAGTAGGGATACAATAAGAGATGACACTCCCAGCGGCACCTTTAATGTTCGGTAAAGCTTGTCCCTTTAAAGTGATTGTTTAGACAAGCGGGAAATTTAAATTAAGTGAATTTAGTTTCCTGTCTACCTCTAATAATTAGAAATCTATTTATCAAATGCCATACTTGCATACTATGTACATGTGTATTTCAGAATTAGTCGAAATTGTATCTCCACTGCGTTTCATTTGCCACTGATAGTGCCAGTCCGTCTCTCCATAAATTTCCATGTCAGAGTATCATCTTTTGTTGTATTCCTACTCTTTGCATTAGACGCAAATATCAGTTAGATAATTCAGTGCATAAAAACGTTTTGAGCAATTAATTATTTATATTGAATTAGTGAACTTACCGTAATTATCAGTGTTTGTTATGCTCTTGAAAAATAGTTTATACTTTCATGAAATTAATGTAATAATTGCATTTATATATATGTAATTTATAAAGTATCAGGTACATATTTCTTTGAGATTTATAATAAACAGTTCATAAATGTACCAATACATGTTTGCATCAAACTTGTAAATATTTTGGTATATTAACAATTTATATTACATATAAAAGCTGTCAGCTTTCATTAATAAAGTTATGGAATTACAAAATATATGCTGAGCAATTTTAATATACAATAATTTCTTTATTTTGATTCTCATCTGAAAGGTGTTGAAAAGTATTTATTTAATAATATTATATTGCAAATAATTCATTTTGAATCATAGAACTTGTAAATCTTTATAATGTCCATATTAAAGAGATTGTTAAAATTGCCACAAAATATATATTCTTTCAAAAACGTTATTCAAAATTATCCAAAAAGAAATGAAAGTTTCTTATCAGCATCTGGACAATCTTCTACATTAAAAACTGTACTCAAAGCAAGTTTAGTAGGAATTTCTGTTGGATTTCCTATTGGTATAGTTATTACTTCTGGTTATTCATGGTATAAAAATAAAAATGGTGCAAAAACTTATCATCTTGAAGGTAAAGAACGTAAAATTGAATTACTTAGCCACAAACCGGATGTACCCATTTCTAGAAAGGTGGGTTTTAGATACTATCAAAATACATATAATATATTATTAAGTTCCTTTTTATTATACATTTTATATTAAAATCAAATTAGCATGGCAATTAAAATATTAAGGTATAAGTATTATACAAGTATTCAGAATTCATTGTAAATATCAATTTACTATTTCTATGCAGATAGATTTAATCATTTCTTTCTATTTTAGATTGTTTCACCTGTGGATACAACCGGATTAAAATTAACACTTTTCCAATATCAAACATGCCCATTTTGCTGCAAGGTAAAACCTTCATATTATTAAGAAGTTATAGTTTAGACTAGATTAAAGTTATTCACAAGTATTAAGTTTAAATATATTTTAGGTCAGAGTTTTTTTGGATTATTATGGAATATCTTATGATGTTGTGGAAGTTGATCCAGTATTAAGAAAAGAGATATCATGGTCCTCTTACAAAAAAGTGCCAATACTTCTAACTCAGTTAGAATCTGGATATGGACCTTTACATGACAGCTCAATGATTATTTCTCTATTAGCATCACATCTAAGAGATAAATCACAAACAGTAGATGATTTAATGAAGGATTATCCAAGTATAGCAATGCACGATGAAAATGATAAATTTAAGTATGAAATAATGAACAAATATTTCTTAATGTATAAAGATGCTCCTCCTTCGGATAAAGATTTGAATAATATTATGTGAGTAATGTTATTTAATAGAATTTATTGTAACTATTTTTATTTATTTATTATGTACCCTTTCATCCACATGCATAATATATCAATGTTAATAATAATTATAGGGAAGAACGCAAGTGGAGAAAATGGGCAGATGATACACTTGTTCATACACTTTCACCAAATGTATATAGGACACTTGGTGAAGCTTACAAAACTTTTAATTGGTTTTCTGAAGTAAGTACAAAAAAAACACAATAATAATTTGAAGGTTAATATATAAGTTCCAATTATTTATGAGTTACAAATGATTTTTTAATGTGTATATAATTTATAGACAGTTTTGAAGTTCTTATATAATTGTTTATTATTGCAATCTATTAATAAAATCCGTAATAAAAATTAAAATTGTAATTTTGTATGAATTAGGTTGGTAAATGGGAGGAATACTTTCCAGCATGGGAACGATTAGTAATGATAAATATAGGCGCTGTAGCTATGTGGATCATATCAAAACGACTGAAAAAGAGACATAATCTTAAAGGCGATGTTCGGCAATCTTTGTACGACGAAATTAACGTATGGTTACGCTGCATTAAGAAACGTGGTGGCACATTTATGGGAGGGGAAAAGCCTAATTTATCAGATCTCGCTGTCTATGGAATTTTGAAAAGTATAGAAGGCTGTGATGCTTTTAAAGATGCTTTATGTAATACAAAACTAGGTACATGGTATAATGCTATGACAAAGGAAGTAGAAACACATTCTGGAAGCAATTATTTAATATCTAAATAATGTAAATATATTAATTGATTGTAATCTAGTTGCTCTATTGCTGAAATTAGTTTTGTTAAGATTACTTTCCACATGATTCATTGCTTCATTCAAACGTTGATTTTTATTTGTTTACTTATTTGATTTAGTAATAAAATTTTAATTATACGTTTGAAACAATATCATGGTAAAAAGTCAAATATATATTTATATTTACATCCTGCATTTCTGTATGATCTATAATATTGATATTTCTAGAATAACAAATTAAATTCAATTTTATTATAAACTTAATTTTTACTTATTTTAAAATTACATTGATTAAGATACATAGTACACAATTAATTGTATTATGCTACATAAGTTGTGTACAAAATGGAGGTACTTTTTAGTTCAAACTGCACAAGGTACTTGACGATATGTTAGTGAAAATCCTTTATTTTCAATTTCTCCCTCCTCGTCTCCATTTGTAATAACATACAAGACAAATGGTTTAGAATATGCTAAAATAAAAAAATGAATTAAAAAAGATAAAAATGTTTGCAATTAGTAATTATCAGTATTATAACATTTTGTATATATATAATTTCAATTTTCTATTACGTGTAATAAGCATAATAAGTAATAACAACAATGCTTAGGAATACTTACATGTTTTGGTTACAAAACCGTTACCGCAAAATCGCTCTACGCCAACTGGACTACCATTTACATATGGATGTGGAACGATAACGAAATCTTTAGTACAATCTGTCCCTGATTCTGCTGCAAATTCGGTACCTAGTTAAAAAAAAATAATAAATAAGATTAAAATTAAGTACTTCCATCACATTTATTTTAATCATATGATTATTGAAAGCGATTTTTAATTCGTATAAAAAAATTCCTGTATATAGATAATGTTTGCTGTGCAATACCAACATCGATCTTGTAAATATCTTATTTATTAATATAAATATAATAATAAAATTTTATCATGTAATTACCTATAGTGGTAGAATCGAAAGAACCTGTATCTCCAGAAACAGAAAATGAATTTGGATTTGTTTGAGACCATTCAATAGCACAATATCCTTGTGCCATTCGTACACACACACCATAATTTGTATTTGCAATCTGTCTAGTACCAAGTTCTGGTGCTGGAATGAGTGACAACATTCATTAAAATGATATTTATGCATTTAGTTATATTATTAGTGTATTTCCATATTTGTTTCTTTCTTCTTTAATAATTTAATATCTATAATTGCCTTTATAATTTAATATTAAATACCTCTTGGATTTTGTGTTGTGCCGTAATTGAAGCTTGTTACAGTGCCTGAAACAGTATCATAATACTGTAAGCACCCATTTGGAGCTGCAACAGTAATAAATAATGTAAAAGAAGAACATATATTTGAGTTTTATACTTTTAAAGTACTGAAATTTGTACCTTTAGATGTAGAATCACAAGGTATCTGCTGAATTCTTATATTCCAGCGACGATCCGTAGCATACTCAGAATTAGTATCAATTGAAATCATAATAGGTGTATCACCATTGAAATCGACATATACTGAAAATTTGCAAAAGGGACCATGATGTTCTTAACAATATTTATTCAATGAAATTAGAGAATATGAAACAAAGGATCATCAGAATATATAACGGAGTCAATATATAATTTTTACGAATAAAGTTATTCGTACTTTCATTTATTACCATGTTGGTTTGCATTTTCTCCACAAATTCGAGGTACTAAAGTACCAGATCCAGAAACCAAAAGAAGATCATAATCACAAATGCCGCTAGCATTTGGTGAAGCAAGACTAAATTCTAGAAAGTCCAAACGTAACTAAAATAAAAATTTACATAAAATTTTAGATTCTTTCTTCTTTTTTACATAAAATAAATTAAGAACTAAGCTACTGTTTGTTGTGTAAATTTACATCAATTTCGATAGCTTACTTGACATATATTTGAATTACAACGTTGCACTGTTATTGTACATCTTCCAGTACCTTCATAAGTTGTTGGGTATTCTGGATTTGTAAAATATGTATTATTTATATTTGTAGTGGAACTGCATGTTTTTTGAACTGTAACAGGTAAAAAATATTAAGTAATCCTACTATATCAATATTTATTGAATGAACAAGAAGTACTGCTTGTTTGAACATGTTAAATAATAGAATGATTTTAATTTTTAAGTTACTTACAAACACAGCAAACACCATGTGTATTTGCACAAGTACCAGATGGTGTTCCACCATAGTCACGACATTCTCTTCTGGTGAAACAAGTGCCATTTAAATTGTTGTTAGCCAGACATTGTGAATTTGCAAAACGAATAACACTGAATAGCGGGAAAACTGTTTAAACATTCATTTAATAATTTCATGTTATATTTTTTAATAGTATTGTAAAATATAATGTCTCAAGAATAGTTCTATTTTGTTTATTTCTGTTACTCACATCTTCCTTGAAGCATTGAATTCTGCGTTGTCATAACATTATTATCATTATTGTCCAACCACTGAATTTGACAGATAACTGAATTTCCAAAAAAGAAGACTATTAAGCTGACTAGACGCAACATGGTTCAAACTGTAATTGTTCACAACGTACCCAATGCTCTCGAGGATTTCGTTTAACGGTGCTCAAGAAATCAGAACAATTAGCACCTACATAAGGCTGAGCTAATATTTACGTTTGTTTACATAACTGGACTGTTATTAATGTACTGGGCGCAGAAGAGATTCAATTATACTAAAATTTATTAGAGAACAAAAAAATATTTGTCATAAGAAGACTTTGCAGTTTTAATTTGTACAGAACGGCAAGGACGAAAATTTTAATAATTTATGAATTAAAGAAAACTGAAATAATTAAAGTAATTAACAAAACGTATTATTGATTTTTAGTATAATATTATTGCTAAAACAATACACTATTTCATTAATAAAATCGTGAATAGATATAACATTAAATTTAATTTTCTAATAATGAAGTTTCAAATAAAAAAATTGTATTTTACATTTAGGTTTCTCCTTTCACTTAGAATTACTTTGTCTTCTTAATATAAATACATTACTGTTAATTCTTCTTACATACATTACTTATCCATGTTTTGTACAATTTTTGTGTTTTAATACTTTTAAATTTAGAACAATAATAATATATTATAGTACAGGACTATAACTGTATCAACAAGAAGTTGTTGAATTGATACAAAACTCTAATCAGAAAGTTTATTTAATGTTCTGCAAAATGGACAATATCCATGACGTAATAAAGCCAATTCATAATCATCTAAATGAAATAGCTGTAAAGAAAAATTAAAAATTATTTTTTTTTACGTATTATAAAATGTCATTTACATTAAAAAGATGACTTTCATGCCAAAGTTATTATGTCATTACTATTTAGGTGCAGTAACTACTCATGTAATATAACACGAAAAAATTGTATATACCTTTAAACAAGACTTGCAAAAAGTAATTTGTAGATCAGGTAGTAGATTTTTGAAATATTTTGTTTTGAACGGTTTCGGCCACTTTATAATTAATACAGTACACGGATCCATACTTCTCAAAACGCTTCTTCCGACAATAATATTAGAAGTGTTCAATTTTTCCTAAAACATAAATATGATTTAAAGATACTTCATTCATCAATAGTTTATAAATATATAACAATCTAATACTTCCTACAGACAACGAGAAAGTACTTAAAAAATATTAGTTTATAGTATTTATTTTTTATTGCTTGTTTAATCTTTTGGATTACTTGTTTCATAAAATTGATGAGTGATATAGTAAAAATATATGCATCATAATACCTCATATTTCATTAAACGTGCAGTAAAGAGATCTACTTCAGAAGTGATAGAAAGCTGATCTTGATCTTCCGTATCATCAGATGAAGTTAGCGATTCATTTATTAGTTTTTCTGCTTCTTCGTCTGTAATATCTTCTTCCAATTCAAATTCTACTAATGGCAGAATTTCTACAATTTTAATTAAATGTTATTTCAAATTACTTGTAAATTAAGTATATCTTCTTTCAAACATGAATAGTTTAGCTACTATTTCCTATGGCTTATATGATATTCCATTTATTTATAGAAAATAAAACTTACCAAACATTACAAAAGAATATTGAAATTTTAGACCACATTGAACGCAATGTCCTTGATTATTTGATGGCAATAAAGGGTTAAAAGTTGAACATTTATAACAAAGAGGCAAAAGATCTTCAGGATCTTTATAAGCGGAAGCTCGAGACATTAAATTCAAAACTTCCAATTGGCTAAGTTGATTTGTTGGTATTTTTATTTTGCGTAGCTTTTCAAACAATTGCATACTCAGTTTATTAGCGCCAAGAAAGGAAGCTTGTTTCAATAATGTGTACAGTATAGTAAATCTTGAAACTCCTTCTATTTGAATATTTTCAGTTCTTGTTAAAAGAAATCGTGAAATGTTGAAAAGAGCTTCAGGCATCAATGATGTGAATGGTTCCTTCTAAAAATGTATTACTATCACTATTATAGTTAATAATTTAACAATTAAATCTTTACTTACAACATATTTATGCACTTCATAATAAGCATAATAAATTTCAGCTTTTTCATGATACTGAAGAAACATTGTTTTCAATTCGTCAGTGCTTTTGTTAAGATTTAAACTAATTTGGGAAAGTAGCCAGTAAAAATATGAAGCATCACGAAATCTTTCTTCAGTTACAGCATTCTTAGCCAGTATTGTCAAAACTGTTACAGATTCATCTGATTGCCCCGCGATCTGAAATGCTAAGAAACTATATGAATGTTTTAATATTTTTTGTGATCGTGTGTTTATTGTTTTATACAATTTTAATAGAAAAAAATTAAATAATTATTTGCTTAATTTCCACATATACTTTTTATTTTGAATTCAATTTCAGTTGACTGTAATAATTTCAGTAAGTTATTGTAGGAATGAAATGTTTTAGATAACAATATTTCTTTATTCACCTTCCTGAGCTTCAGAAAAATGACCAGTTTCTGCCAACCACCTGGCATATGGCCCATAAATTCTGGCTTTTAATTTGGGATTTCTTTCAGCTAATTCAAATGCTTCTGGCCAAGCTTGAGCTTCCACTAATACATCTGCTACATCAGGATCATCTCCTAAACGACTAAAAATTTCAGCTGCACCATGAGTCGCGCCCAAATTTTTCAATTTTTTAGCAATCACAGTTAAATTATCTCTATCCAATTTATCAAGTTGTCTGCCTACTTTAATTAACATATCGATCCAGCCATATTCAGCAATTATATTAATGGCACGATCTACATCTCCCGCTGAAAGAAACATTTCTGCTGCAGCACGAGGTTCTCCAAGACTTTTTGCCCATTCTGCTCTTCTACGGAGTAGAATTGTACGATCCTGAACACATTTTACACAAAATATAAAATATAATTACATACAAAAATTACTTAAAGAAAAAGAAAACAAATTAAAAATAGTTACCTGGTTATTTCCATTGACAATAAATTCTTGAGCAATATCAAACATTCGTAAATCAGAATACATAGTTAATGCATACTGCTGTAAGCCGGCTTTTTGGAAAAGTTTTGCAGCATCTTTCAATTTTCCCATAGCGGCCGCAGCAGTAGCCATGCATGCTTCTTTTCCCCATTCTCCAGATTTAAGTTTTTCTTCTACTTCAGAGATCACTTCTATATATTTTAGGTTTTTAATTCTAGCAAAAGCAGCATATGCTATGTTTAGTTCTAAGTTTTCCAAAGTAGAAGTGCCCAAGGAAAACCAGTCAGAATCTGCCACTCCAAGACATGCAATATTATAAGCATGAGAGAAAAGACCGATGTCTAAATATTGATACATAAATAGCGATAATGGTACCTATACGTAATAGAAAGTTTTAATAATTAATAAAATATGTATATATAATAACACCCAGAAAGATTAAAAATTCAATATTACCTCCATTGTAATAATAGAAGAACCATTTAGACAATAAACTTTGGATCCATTATGACCAACAACAAAACCAGAAAATTTTTGTCTATATTCCGTAAAAGTTCCAACTTTAATTGTTAAATATTCTTCACTAGAGAAACACATTATATCTTCAAAAGTGCTGTTAAATGCTACACTGTTTACGTTTGGAAATTCCTGAAGTTTTTCTTCTGTATATAAATCAAACACAGAAAGGATTCCATGATCACCAACAACTGCAAGCTTTTCTTTTAATGAGCTAATATCAAGACACCTTATGGAACTATCAATTTTTGCAATGTATGCTGGAAATGGATTATCCAAATATATTTTCACTATGTAACCCGTGTTTAAACCTAGGTAAACATTATTTAAAAAAAATAATATTAGTTATGTTAACTAATTTTCATTTATGTTTACATTTTTATAATATCAACCTGCAATAAGGCATTCTTGTCCAGCTGGTCCACCTACAACTTTTATATAAGTTATAAGCCCATCAAGTATCCATTCTCTTTCTATAATACCATTGAATGATAAGCTCTGTAATCTTTTTTCGGTACACAGAACTAAATTATTTGCTGCAACTACAAGTAAATTGCAGTTTAATGCTTGATTTAATTTTTCACGTATACGATAATGCATTCCATCGTTAGAATTTGATGGCTCATATATTATTACACGTTCGGATAACTGAACTGCTAAACGATTTTTATACACTGCAATACGATAAATCTAAAAGTACAAAAAAAGTTTTTATAATTATTAATTAATAAATGTTTTGACACTGATATTAAACTTTGCTGAGTTTAAAAAATTAATATAATTAATATTCAATTGTATAATATTACTCACCAAATCTTTGCATTTAATTCTGACTTTTTGACTAGTAATCAAATTTTGTATTATTACATCAGTCATATTTTCTCTATATGCATATCGATCACCATACAATCCATGTATAACATCCCATGATAACTGCAAATATGTTATGGTACCATCTTGACAACCAAGTGCCTAAGTACACAAATGAAAGATAATTCAGAAAATTTATAAGACAAGAAAACTATTAAAAGATTTTAAATGAAATGATATAGTAAAAAAATTACTGTCTTACAATATGAGTAGATGATGGATGGACAGCACAACTCCAAACCCAAGAGGAAAATGTATTACCAACATTGATTAATTTTATTCCGTCATATGTCGTTAATATACATTGTTTACTACTTCCAGAAATTAAAATATATTGACCTCCTGCAAAATTACACATGTTAAGAGGAATAAAATTTAGTAATCTATCTTTGCCAACTTGTTTTCCTGTCATTGAATAAAAGGATATAGTTCCATTCCATTCAGCAATACAAAGAACATCTACTGGATCTTCCCTGCAGACAACATACGAATTTATTAAAATATTTTGTAATTATTTAAAAAATCATAGAAATGTTCTAAATATTTTCTATTACCATTGACGATTCCACAACAAACTCCAAATAGGGACTCCATTGTGTCTTTCAATACGTATTTGTTCTTCCCCATTCTAAAAATATTAAAATAACTATCTTGATTTACTTTATACTAAATTCTAGAAAGTTTTTTAGACAATTAACTCTCTTATACACAAAGTAAATAAACTAAATCGATTATGAAATGTTACAAAAGTAATTAAAAAGATAGACAATCAAGAAATTAGAAATAAACATATTGTGAGCAATATGAAACAAACTTTATTTCTGATAGAAACATAGCCTGTTGACAATCCAATGGCTAGGTATTGGCCATCACTTGTCCATGCACAACAGTTAACCCTTCCTCTTGATTTATGTTTGACAATTGCTTTCTGTTCTGGAGACCAAAATGCTATATCTGATAAAGAACAGCTTAGAAGTTGATGTGATACTGGATTAAATTGCATAGCTTGAACAGCTTCATTGTGTCTAAAAAAATTTGATAATGGATTTCACTTAAAGAATAAATTAAACTCAATTTATATTACTTATTCAAGCATACCTCATAGTAAAAAAAATATAACTTACGAATATTTTAATATACCCTCTAATCTTGATGTCCAAATTATAACACTTTTATCCGCACTTCCTGATGCAAATTTTTTACCATCTTTTGCATAACATACACAATACACTACATCTTTATGCCCTAAAATGAAATAAAATGTATTGTAATTAAATTTAGTATGTTGTTAGAATATAATTCCAATTACCTTTTAACGGTTGAATCAAAGCACCTTCGCTAGTTTCATAAACAAGAACTTGCTGTCCAGCAGCAATAACTAATTGAGTTCCATCTGGGTTGAAGCATAAATCGTATATACTGCAATAATATTTGCATTAATAACAATATTTATTATAATTTTTCATAATTTTCATTTAAAGGCACATAAGTTTACATTATCAATAGTCAGCTAATAGAACCATTATAATCACGAAACTACTTCTTAACATGAAGATTATTAACTGCATAGTTTAAAAATCAAAATATTCACATTTTTTGTATAATCTGAATAATTTTTTAATTACATTATCATACTATTGAAAATATTATTTATTTAATTACCATCGTTCTGATTTGTCTTGGACTTTATCAACCCAAGTTGGAACAATCTTCATTATTTATTTTTTTATACGATACTTTTTCAGTACAATTTTAACATACTATTCCTATCATTTTTGTATAAAGGTTTGTTTTGGTGGTTTCCACGGAAACGGTTAAAATGGCGGCAAGGCTATAATATCACGGTATTTCACAGAACATGTATAGGAAGATAACATTTGATTATACACAAAGAACGAGTTTTTCTGTATTCTACTCACATAACTCCGATTGGTACGAGCCCCAATTTAATAAAATCCATCGTTCCATTTTTTCTCAAATAATTAATTTACCTTTTGAACTATTACAATGATATTATAGCTATAATAATAATCAACACAGTTACTTAACTAATAATAATTTAATGATAATAAGAAATAATTATGGTACAAATTTCATATAAATGTATTAAGTATGTATATTATTTGAACACAAAATATTCCAAAATAAAAGCCAAATAGGAAGCATTACAGAAACTGTTACGTTATAAAACCAATTTCCATAAATCATTGAATCCATAATGCTAAAAACAAATGCTTGCTTCGTAGCGCGGTATCCACGAAGTAAAACTGATAAGAAAGGGTCAGTAGAAAATTGTACATATGTGTAGCATATTATAATCAAACTTGAGATCATAAATGGATGTAGAAGAATCCAAAGGAATGATATCATTTTGCGAAATCTGAAACATAAATTTAATATTTCAGTCTCCATTCTACTTAAATATCCTATAAATAATTATTTTCTGAAAGTGTATTTACTTATTGTTAGTTGAATTTTTCTTTGGTGTTATTGGCAAAATTACAGGTACATAAACTACAGCAGCAAGAAGGGCTAGAGAAAAATTATGCATTGCTATACACATCAACATAGTAGCCAGCTCTACTAACGCAATTACACATACTAGAGCTGCGTTTTTATATTTCATTTGCCTAAAAGTAATAAAAATTTGCATAAACGAAATTAATTGTCATAGGAATATATTCCATTAATATCGTTGTTATTAACGAATTATTATTTTAAATTACCTTTTTGAGTAAAATGGCCATAGTATTGTTAAAATACTTATTGCCATAAAACTGAAGTATATAGAATCTTCCGTACGAAAGTTCCACAATTTTCTACCAAAATACGTAAATGTACCTGGAGATGTTGTAATTATAATCCCACAAATATGTGCCCATAATATTTCTGAAGTAATAGCTCCAATATCAAATCCATCAGTCTACAAAATATGTTGTAATAATATTCATATAATTTTATCATACTTATAACATATTACCTTATAAAATGTTTATAATTATATTTTGAGTTTTCAATAATCTATTATTGATACGTTATAAACATCATTATAATAACAAACCTTTAATTGTTTAACGGTGCTTTCCTTACTTTCATTAGAAGTGAATACTTGTAGCTTTTGCCACATAGAAAATGCCTTTATAAATACTGCAGCAATTATTAAGACTAAAGATCTTATATAAAGGCCTAGAATTTTTTTAAATATAAATTAGATAATAATAATTTATTTTTTTAAAAGCAATAATTAAATCTTTGCAAATTCGTAAATAACTTTTTAAAGAAAGTGAAATAAGTACTCATTTTTACATTCAAATATACATGTATGTATATAAGTAATATATCTTTACTTACCAATGGAAACATAAGTATCAGTTGATGGAAGTAAATAAAAAAAATATGATTGATGAAAACGTTCCAACAAATTATTTAAAGATCGAACTATGCTTTCTACAATACAACCAACTTGATAAAAATTTCTTTCAGAATTTTGTTGTCCAGGCTTTTCAAAACCTTCCAAAGTAACAGCTTCAATGCCAAATCTATAATATCATTAAATATATAACTGTTTTTATCATTGATTTTTAAATACTTTATAAAAACAAAAGCAGATGTTGTATACAAGTTAAAATTGTTCAGATTGTTAAAAAAGAGTATGTAAATATTTTGGAAAGCTATTTTGTACATTTTTAAATAGATAAACTCTTCTTATATATATTTTTCTAATACCTGTGGAAAAGTCCATGATTCCCAGTAGGGATCCCAGTAGCTTGAGTACTGATCATCATAAGTAGTGTATTAAAATGGTACCACCAATTTTTTAATTTATTTTTATACTTAATATCAAAACGTTTTTGAACTGATTGCCTAATTCCTTCTTTTGCAATCATATTTTGTGCCAAATTAAAAAGGTCCAAGTTGGGTAATTGTCCATTTAATCCTTCAACCTATGTGATAATAAAAAATTATGTAATAATAAAATAAAGTTTTATATTCATTTTTGGAAGAATTACAAAAGAAAATATGACACCTTAACATCAATAGATGAAATTTTCATTGAATGTAATTCTAAATTAATAGCAGCTTGAATAGAACCAGCACGGCCAGTAAGATCTCCAGATATAAGAACACCTTCACTACCACTTGTAACTCCATGATATGCATCTAACCACGCTTGTATACCTAATTGTTCATGTTCTGTGATTAGGAATATAATGTCTTTTGCCCAATATTTCTGTTCTAAAATGACAAAAAGGTATTGAAATATAATTTGAATTAAAAATCTACTTACATAGTATTTGTTTAAGTACTTACTTCTACAAAATTTAGCAAATGCAAGAAGAAGTGCAATAGAAGGAGCTGTATCCAAATAAATACTACTAATTGACCTAAAAGGCACACTAAGTACAATTGCCTCTGTACTGGCTGCTCTTGGAGCTCTAATAATTCCATATATATTTTGCCCTGTAAACTAAAAAAAACCATATAGATTTTTACATGCACATGTACATGTGATTTTTATACAACATAAGCAAACATTTAGGAACTGTTCGTTGAATTGAAAAATACAAATTTCACAAAAAAGAAGACATGTTTTATTTACCTGCTGCTCTTGAAAAGGATAAATTAATGTAAAATTATGAATATGAACATCCAAATGAAGTTGATTTAATTTAGCAGCTAGCCAAGCATACGGCATTGAATCAGGATAACGTTTCATTTCATGAACTAATTCTGTATAATACTGTTTTGCTGTTTGTTCCAAATTACTTTCCTTTGTAACTAATCCTGGCAATAAAGCATTTTCCGAGAAATAAGTATCTAAAATTGGAAGGATATATAATGTACAAAATCTCTATATAATTAATTACAAACATGACAACATAACCTAATTTTATCAATTTAAGTGAAACATTTAATTGTGTACTTACTGTCATTAAATACAGGTAAAGCAAGAAGTAATATCCAAATAACTCCACTTATATAAAGAAAAAAGCAAAGTGGTCTTTGCCATTTTAATAAGAACTTTATTATTTTCCCTGATCCTGCCCTAGGATCTGTCAACAAACCCATTTTCAGACTTGCAATTACGCCCGCGAGCCGCGAGGGTGTATACACAGTTGTGCACGGTACTAATATCTCAGTCTGAAACTTCCAAATGTGAAAATGGAAAATATGAAATTTCTAAGATCATATATTATTTCTTTAACAATAGATTTATTTAAAGCAATACATTTAATACTTATAATATTTGATAAATTATTCGAACTACTTGAATTATATCGAAATAACATCAAAATATATATTTCAAACAACTTTTACATAGTATGCTTACTATAAGAATTAAGAATATAATAAATGCATCATTCATTTTCATAATTAATACTTATTATGAAAAGCGTATTCTGGAATAAAATTAATGTCTCTAAAATGTGTTTAAATATAAGCATTAAACATATTATATACAAATACTTTGTACATGTACTTTTTAAAAATACATGATATTTTAAAATGATTATCTTTGGTATTACTTTATAAAAACTAGTGGAAGTAAAGTGTAAAATACGAGGGAAACATTATTACGTTAATTATCTTCTAAAACGTTTAATTAGAAGAGCGTAACAGTTCCCAGAATTCTTTGTAAATTAAAAACACATTGCTATATGTTATCAGATTCTGATGCAACTGAAATATTTTGCGTATCTATAAGTAAATCTTCGGTTGTATTCGACTTTTCTTCTGGCTCAAACTCATCTACATCTTCTCCATCAGTTATCATTTGAGGTCCAGTAGATTTATATTGAAATGCAGAATGTGATAAATCAACTTCAACAGGGAATAATGTTACAGCAGATAATAAATCTCTTGTATTAGAATAATATTTTGCTAAACCAGCCGCAAACTTTTGCAATTGCCATACAACATCTTGAACATGTTTATTGTCTAATAATTCAAGTTTCACAAGAACATCTGACCTAAGTTTAGCAAATTTTGCACGTGCCTCTTGTCGACACCTTAACACCAATCGATATTCATAATTGCCTGTTTCTACTCGATAAAGAGGCTCCTGTAATGCTGCATAACTTTGTTCCTCATCGTCCAATTCTTTTACTTTCAAGCAATAAGAAAGATATTCAAATTTCGCATCAGCATATTTACTAATAGTTAATCGAGTATCTGGAATAGCTTTATGAAGATATGTGCCCAAATCGTTCAATATGGGTTTCAAAGCTTTTAACATTGTTACTCCGAACTTTTCCATTTGTCTATGTTGTTCCCCAAATTGCCTAAAAGCTTCACTAGCTCTTGGTTGGGGTTCTCTCACTCCTATTGCAGCAAAAGCATCACCAAATACTAAAACACATAATATACAATTTATAGTACATATGCAAATGCACAAAATTAATTCAAGGAACTAATATTTACATGTGATTGATACTTTATAAAAATATTTATTGAAATATATAATTATTAAATATACCTTTATATACTTGTATTAGGTCAAAAAAAGCATGTAAAGTATATTTAGCATGAGAAACCAGACCTCTGTACAAATTTTCTGTACGCTGTAATGCAATTAATCGCTGCACAAGCGCATCATTACAAAGAATTGCACGCGATAGTCCTAACGCATCTGCCGTCGCACTTCCCATTCCTTCGACTAATCTATGTTTCACCTAAAATTTAATTTATTTATTATAGAAAATTATATTCAATTATTATGACAAATTTATGATTAGAATTGCACAAACCTTTTTTAAAGCTATGTCAAGTGTACGACCTTGTCTAGGATCAGCATGTAATTTATTGTAATTAATACTGACTTGAGAATCACATGACTGTATCATCTTAGCAACTTCAACTTTTGTCTTTCCTCTCACTGATGTTCCATTCACTGCTACAAGTTCATCTCCTGATTGCAGTGTACCATCTATCGCTGCAGGTGTGTTATCAAAAATTTGTACAATATATAAACATGGACATAATGGTGCTCCACCTCCAATACTTATGCCTATAAGATTACTGCCATCCTTTTGTATTACAACATTGCCAGAAGTTATGGTCATACCCCTGTGTAAAATCATATAATAAAAAGTGAATTTAATGTCACTCAATATAGTACTTACATTTACATTGAAAGCATAGACATTTAAAATTAATCAATAAAACTTGACAATTAACAAAAGTGAAAGCTAATAAATGCTACGCAGTGCATATAAATATAGAAAATAATTTAATATACAATAATTTGTGCAACATCAAACATAGAACAATTAAAACAATTCATGCTTTAAATATTTTGCTAAATAAATAAAAATGAAGGAAATGCTTACCTGAATATTCTGATAATATTTGAATACTTATTCATATTATAATAGGAAAAATTAAATTACTAATTTATACAAAAATACTATAAATAAATCCAACATCAATTAATATGATATAGAAAATAATTTTAGCAACAAGCACATTATCACAACTTACATTGTGCTGTTGAGTGGTTGATGAAGAGACTGATCTTGATTGACCAGTTCTACATCAGGTCTATATTCCACAATGATAGAAAAAAGAGAAAGTATAAGATTTGTGAAATTTTAGAAATATAAAATACACATTAAAAAATATATAGAAGTAAAATAGAAAAAGAAAAAATTGTAGCAGAAGATAAAATAGTAAAACAACAATGCATACATGCGATCTTCCATCATGGTAAATTGATGCATCTGCACATTAGCCAATGACACGGTGGTTAATGGAACAAAACAATTTTCTTTGAAGTCTTCATGAAACTTATTTAACTTATTTAATGTTACTTATAGATATTACCATTTGATCCTTTAAACTATTCCATCACACCGTGGCATACAAACATGCATGTTATAAGAAAAAAACAAGCACATTTAAACTGAAATATAACACATATCAAGAATGCAATAAACAGGTTTATGAAACCAACATCTTATCCTCTTCAAAGAAGAAATCATCATCATAATCCATATTTGCAATCTGTAATATTAAAGAGAATTATATTGATATTTTACTATAAATGCTGAAACATATTGAAATTCAAGCATCAATTTTACATATCCTGATGTAGTTACATATAATTATGTTTTTGTACAAACATTATTTTCAATTAACTCGGCTAATAAAAATGAAATCTGCCTCATTATATTACAGATAGGGATATACATATTTTATTATTAATTAAATGAAGCACATAAATATGTGAAAACGAATCACATAGTATTAGTGAATAAAACATTCAATAGAATATTAATAACTTATACGTTAATATTTCTTTATAAGGAATTTTAATATAATTTGATATTAATACATTATGGTAATAAATTATTTCATATACTTTCTTGTATTGTTTAGAAGAAAAAGGTAAGGTTAAATGCCAAAGAAGAGACAAAAAATGACAGATGTAAACTTACTCCCACTCTAACAAGTGAATACAGCAAATGATTATTAGTTATGACGTCAAAAGTAAATTTAAAAATATAAACCAAATGTTTCCTTATTATTGTATAATTCTTTCATAACAGATTGTTTATTATGTGAATAATTGTATTTAAGTACTGTAATATTTACATGAATGCAATAAAAAAAATGCATATTTCTTTCCACAAGAGAAGATACTCATTTAGAATATGTTCGAACCAATCAGAACTGACATGTGAAGAAAAATTTATCGTATTATGAATGTGATTTCCCAGTGAATGAATAATATTATTATTGATAAAGTATTATTTATGGACATAACTTGTGAATGAGATTATATTGAAATTATATTGAAAATGAAAATAAATATTAGTAATTGTATTTGTGAAGTTGGTAATAGTAATATACTTTCAATTTTCCCCATTTAATGCCAACGTTACATGATGTTCCACGTTGTAGAATTGACGAATACGTTGTCAGCTTTCCACGTCGCGAACGTTAGTGGAAGCCGGTTCTGTTGTTCGGAAGCATTGTAGTCAGGTGTTGCGTCTGCCGAAGTGAGTGATCTATAAGTGTAAAATCAATATTTATAACAGAAACAAGATTGCTGAACACTACAAAAATGAAGAAATGCTGCATTTTTTTATTAATATTCATTTCGACAACTGTTCTCACAGTGAATAAAGGTAATGGACAATAAAAGATGTTAACCAATATTTTCTTCATTTTATAATCTCAATTTCTATTGCACATATACAGCAGTTGCTACCGTAGTGAAACTTTATTTTCTGACTTACTTTAGTTATAAATAATATTTACCTATTGTTTCTTATATACATCTTTTATTTTACAATAATTTTATAATTTTTAATTGTTTTTAAATTATTATTTTTAATTTTAAGCTGAAAATAAGTTTCTTAAATTTTATATCTTTCTATCATCAAATGAATAATTAGTAATTAAATTACAATTTATTAAATGACTATATTTGCATTCATAATTTGGTAATAGTTTATGCTCAAGAAGATGAAAACATTGATGACATAGTAGACATTGAAGGAGAAGATAATTCTGTAATAACAGATGAAGAGCCAGAAGATGAAATAACTACTACCTCAACTGACGTTGATACAACTATATTGTTTACTAAACCTGTTTATAATGGATTATCAACCTTAGGTACATGGAAGACTTCTTTCATATTCCATTATGGTTTATTAATTGTGTATAACACAATAGTAACAGTTTATTTTAATGTTTAGAATTACCAGCTGGGAATTTAGTTGAATTACTTGTTGGCTTTGCCAATAAAGGTGATAATGACTTCATTTTGGAATCTCTAGATGCCTCTTTTCGTTATGCAATGGACTTCAACTTTTATATTCAAAATTTTTCAACTGTTGCATATAACAAAATTGTAAAGCCAAAACATGAAGCAACTTTGGCTTATTCATTCATTCCATCAGAAAATCTTGCTGGGAGACCATTTGGTTTCAATATTAATTTAAATTATAGAGATACTGTATGTACTGAATTATTTAATTCCAAAAACATGAATTCCAAAAACTAACATTAACATATAATTTTTAGAATGGTGCTAGCTTCAGTGAAGCTGTTTATAATGAAACAGTTCAGATTATAGAACTAGATGATGGTCTTGATGGAGAAACAGTTTTCTTGTATGTATTTCTAGCCGCATGTGTGATATTAACCCTTGTAGGAGGGCAACAACTTCTTTCATCTCTTGGTCGTAAATCTCGATCTTCTACTACTCGTAAGACACCTGTGGAAATGGGCACATCTAATCCTAACAATGTAGATTATGATTGGTTGCCAAAAGAAACATTAAATAGAATTAGTAAGTATATTATTACATTTCAAATAACATTTGAAACATTCACCAATCAATTGTTTTTTACAGATAAATCTCCTAGGACTCCTAGACAAAGTCCTAGGCAACGAAGGACTAAAAAGACAGTTGATGATTAAATTTTGTTAATTGTGTGTATGGGAAACTGTGAAAGTGAGCATATGTATGTTCACGTATAAACATATGTACATGTATGCATATATTCTTAATAAGTATATATGTGAATAATATACATGGCTTTATAAAATAATTTTCTAGTAACAAATTTGTACATTGTTTACTGAATCAAGAAGACAGCAATTATTATTGCTATTTAATTAATAAACAATTCAAAACATATTCATCATAAAAAAATTATAAAATAAATTTTGTAATTTGTGTACAACTTATGTTAGAAAATCCTAAATATTATTATTAGCAAGATAAATACAATCTAATAAGGATTATATGTGAATTTTTTATATAACTTATAATGTTAAAAAATTATCATTGTCATGAAACACATAAATGTACATACATATAATAAAACTGTCAATTTTAACATTTTTACTGTTATTGTTTAAAACATGTAGAGTTTGATAAAAAAAATGAACATGAATATTTGCAATTACATTACAACTTGAACTTAATTTTAAGTCAAAAATATATATTTTTGTAACATATTTATACGAATAAATAACTTCCTGTAGAAGATATGAGAAGATAAATATCACCTTCATATAATACAAATTTTATGATACTCGATTAATACAGATTTAAAAAAGCTATTATTTCTTCCTGCTGAATATTATTACAAAAATAATCGTTATAAATAATAAAATATAATGCAGCGTAACTTATGTGCACACATAAGGACACCATATTTGTTGTTATACTTTCCAACCTAATCCACATGGTGTCGTTGTTCAGTCACTAAACAATCACACGTCATTCTGATAGTCGGTTGCTTACGACTAATTGTAATAGTGAGGTGTCATATCAATCAAGTTAAAGTTATTATAAAAATGTCCGATGTAACAAACTGGTTTAATTCTTTACCCATTTTTACGAGATATTGGTTATTATGTACTGCTGTTTGTACCTTAGCCGGAAGATTTGGATTAGTACACCCACATTCTCTAAAACTTATAGGCGATCGTTTTATAAACAATTTTGAAATTTGGCGAGCAGCGACCAGTGTTTTCTTTTATCCACTTAATTCGGGTACAGGATTCCATTTCTTAATAAATTGTTATTTTCTGTATAATTATTCATTGAGGTTAGAACGTGGAGAATACGATGGACGGCCAGCAGATTATTGCTTCTTACTCTTATTTAATTGGATATGCTGTGTTATCATAGGACTAATTGGCGAATTTCAGTATCTTATGGATCCTATGGTACTCAGTATATTATATGTTTGGTGTCAATTAAACAAAGATGCCATTGTTAACTTCTGGTTTGGTATGTATGATAAAATTATTAATTTTTAATATTTCTAATTGAAATCTACAATCATGTACTTTTAAATTAACAGGTACACAATTTAAAGCAATGTACTTGCCATGGGTGTTATTTGCATTTAATCTTATTATTTCTGGAGGCGGTATGATGGAACTGTTTGGTATCTTAGTTGGACATCTTTATGTATTTTTGAAATTTAAATATCCTCAAGAACTTGGTGGGCCAGAATTACTAAATACTCCAAAAATTCTTGAATCATATTTTCCACCTCAGAGAGGTGGTTGGAGATGGATAGGCGCTACATCAACTCAGAGGGCACCAGCACAACCTATTAGAAATACATTTGGTGGTCACAATTGGGGACAAGGGCACGTGTTAGGACAATAAATTATAATATAAAATGTGACATTTATGTAAATTCTTTTCATTATTTTGTTTTGATTGAAGTAATTGAAACATCATAAAGAATATGTAATATATAATTTTATTTTCTGGATATGTTTTAGGATATTTATCAGTATAAATTTAGTTAACAATTTAATTAAGAATGTAAAATGGAAATGTCTTTTATTATAAAGTTTTGTATATGTAAAAAGTTACTATTGCACTTGTAATTGTATAACAAAATTTTGTTTAGAGTTCAATAGTTCAGAACTTCCAGATAAATAATTGTAAAATAAAATTGTTTATATCTTTGTCTAACATACGAAATTATATTAATTAAATCTTGTTTTTAATGGTTTAAATATCTCTTGTACTTATACTAAATTTGGTAAAATCCACATGCTACTTTAATAGGTAATACATTAAAATGTATTAAATCATATACCTGATTCTTTAAAATTCATTTAATCTATGAGATGGAAAGGAAATACATATAAACATGTTTCAATTTTAAAACTTTTATTTTTTAAAAAGCTCCATTTGATATATCTGAAACAATGAAAACGCCATATTTTTAAAACTAAGATTTTGTACATAACTTATAAGTGATGATTTATTTTTGAGGTTTTCTCCTCAGTAGCAATTATCCCTGATAGTTTATAGCAATACTAGAGAGTATCACTACACCTAATCAGGTGGATGGGATGCTAACCCCTACCAGGAGCTCAAAGCAGATGCTTTTCCACACAATATCAAAAATTATTTCTAATATTGTACTGAGAAAACCCATACTTAGCAATATAAGATATTATGATGAAAAGTTTGCCAAGAGCTCTAAACCTACCATATCACTCATCAGGGACTTGTAATTCTCCATTGTTGATATCTTCAATGAGATCACGAGGTGGTCTGCCTTCAACTGTACATCCAACTGAGTGACATGTTCCTAAGATTTCTTTAACAGTACCACTAAGATACTTTGACATAGACCTTGGCCTCATTGTTCGAGCAACAGAGAGTATGTCATCAAATGACAAGTTTCCATTGTGTTTAATATCTTTTTGTCTTTTACGGTCTCTTGGAGGTTCCTTTAATGCTTTGATGATTAAAGAAGCAGCAGATGGAACTACTGAAATTGTGGCTTGTCTGTTTTGAATTGTCAACTGTACTGTAATCTTTAATCCTTTCCAGTCGGTTGTAGCTTTAGCAATATCATCACCAACTTTTTTTGGAGACTATAAAAATAATGGACTATTAATTATACAAAACAAGAATACCTTTAACATTGTACAGCAATGAAAATAGAAGTTTTTACAAAGAGGATGAAAAATCTGAATTTATTTATATTAAATATGAATTTACCAAACCAAGAGGACCAATTTTTGGAGCCAGAGATGAAGTTGTTCCTATCTCTCCTCCAACGCATCGCAAATAAACTGAAAAAGTAATAAACACATTGAACAAATTCATATCTTATTTTAGTACATATTGAAATAATCTTAAATTTAAAATATACCTTTCTTAATTTCATTAGGATCAAATTTAGGAGGCATTTTAATAAATACTGTATAAAACTAATAAATCCAAGTGTGGATGAAATACGATTTCGATAAAAACGTGGAAACTTAACCCTAGACCTCGTACGCTAGATCTCGGTCCGAAAAGGTAGAAAATGTTATACAGACCGCATATGTAGCTTGATATAACATAAAATATACAAATGTAAGATAGTAAGTTTCACTCACGGTGAGATCACAATTATGAAAATGTACCTTTAAATTCATTAAAACGATGCGTTACTAGAGCAATGTTACCAATATGATTTTTTTTTACAAGTTGGTGAACCTACTAGTAAAAGAGATAGATTTGTTTATATATGTGATAACTTTACAAGAAGCAGTGTGAATATAATCTAACTTATTTATTTTCTTATTGTGTTATAGTATACATCTGAAAGTTAAAATTCACTCACTAATCATGGAAAAATCACAGAAAATGCCGAAGGTTGCAAAGGTAAATTCTTATATTTTATGTGTTAACAAATAAATTATTTTTATTATAACATGAAATTATTTTTTATAGGTTAAGAATAAAGCACCTGCAGAAATTCAAATAACAGCAGAACAGCTTTTGCGGGAGGCCAAAGAAAGAGATTTGGAGATTTTACCACCGGTATATTTATATTAATATTGATTATAAGATTATGTTAAAAAATGAAATACTTATTAAATCAACCTTTAGAGTATGAGCCTATTAAAACATGTACGATAGAGTAGGATTGCTAATGGTTCTTTCTTCGAGAAGATTAAACTTTAGAAGATCCAAAGACCATTACTCTGTACTCTAAAGGTTGCAAAGTAATTTGTATATTATGTATATATATATTCTTTTTTAGCCTCCAAAACAAAAAATCTCTGATCCACATGAATTAGCTGATTATCAACACAGAAAGCGTAAAGCCTTTGAAGATAATATTCGTAAAAATCGTATGGTCATTTCAAATTGGATAAAATATGCTCAGTGGGAAGAAAGTCAGAAACAAATACAAAGAGCACGGTATGATTTCTGTAATTGCCTTCATTTTTATGTTTGTAGTTGTATGAAATATGGTATCTTTTTAAATTATATCATAAATTATATCACTTTGGATAATTGAGACTCTGCCAACAGACAGTAATAACATATGATTTTCAGATCTATATATGAGCGTGCACTGGATGTTGATCACAGAAATATTACATTATGGCTCAAATACACAGAGATGGAAATGCGGAATCGTCAAGTAAATCATGCCAGAAATTTGTGGGATCGTGCTGTTACTATATTACCTAGAGCAAATCAGTTTTGGTACAAATATACTTACATGGAAGAAATGTTAGAAAACATTGCTGGTAATATATTTATTTCCCTTTTAATTCAAGAACTTATATTAAAAATTTATTAATTAATAAATTCATCTAGGTGCACGTCAGGTATTTGAAAGGTGGATGGAATGGGAACCTGATGAACAAGCTTGGCAAACTTATATCAAATTTGAATTAAGATACAAAGAAATACAAAGAGCAAGACAAATTTATGAACGATTTGTGATAGTTCATCCCGATGTTAAACACTGGATTAAATATGCACGCTTTGAAGAATCCCACGGTTTTATAAACGGAGCTCGTAATGTTTACGAACGTGCTATTAATTTTTATGGCGATGAAAATTTGGATGAAAAATTATTTATCGCATTTGCAAAATTTGAAGAAGGACAAAGAGAAGTAAGTAACAAATTTATTTTGTTGTAATATATAATGCACTTTATATTTCTTACATAATTTTTTTTTATATAGCATGACCGCGCGAGAGTGATTTATAAGTATGCATTAGATCATATTCCAAAAGAAAAAACACAAGAAATTTATAAAGCGTATACCATACATGAGAAAAAATACGGAGATCGTTCAGGTATTAGATTTTATCATAAAAAAAAATTAATAATTTCATAATTAGTTACATATAATTATGTAATATTATGTTATTTTACAGGTATTGAAGATGTGATTGTAAGCAAAAGAAAATATCAATACGAACAAGAAGTAAAAGAAAATCCTTCTAATTATGATGCTTGGTTTGACTACTTAAGATTAGTAGAATCAGAAGGAAACGTAGATGTAATTAGAGAAACTTATGAACGCGCTATAGCCAATGTACCACCCACTAAAGTAAGATATAAATATGTTTACTACTGTATTACATTTTCAACTTAATATGTCACACATTTTATATTAAGTAGTGTTGACAATATAAGCCTATTATATTTTTTAGGAGAAACAATTTTGGAGGAGGTATATTTACCTTTGGATAAATTATGCCCTTTTTGAAGAACTTGATACCCAAGATATAGAAAGATGTCGGCAAGTTTATAGGTAATTATCTTCTTCCTTTTGTATATTATAATGATTTAAATAATATTTTTTATTTTTTAGGGCGTGCTTAGAATTAATTCCCCACAAACATTTTACTTTCTCAAAAATTTGGTTACTTTATGCATATTTTGAAATAAGACAAAAAAATTTAACAGCAGCTAGAAAAACATTAGTAAGTATTCAGTCATATGTATTACAATTATAGATTTAAAATAAATGACTTTATTTTATATTATGATAGGGTATGGCACTAGGTATTTGTCCTAGAGATAAATTGTACCGTGGATATATTGATTTAGAGATACAGTTAAGAGAATTTGATAGGTGTAGAATTTTATATGAAAAATTTCTTGAATTTGGTCCAGAGAATTGTACCACATGGATGAAAGTAAGTAATTGAAATAGTTGTTTTATAATTTAACAATTTCAACTTATTCATTAAATTATTGCTGATCAGTTTTCAGAACTAGAAACACTTTTAGGTGATGTAGAACGTGCTCGAGCTATTTACGAATTAGCTATATCACAACCGAGGTAAATGATTTTTATATGAATAATTTATACTCACCTTTCTGTTATATTTTTGCCTTAAATTATTATTTCAACTTGCAGATTGGATATGCCCGAACTTTTATGGAAGTCGTACATTGATTTTGAAATATCGCAAGATGAAACTGAAAATGCGAGGCAATTATTTGAAAGATTATTGGAACGTACGCTTCACGTTAAAGTAAGTTAGAAAGTTGTTTCGCTTTAATAATAACTCTGAACAAGGAAAAATTACAGAAGAGTCATTTATAATCAGATATATTTTTTTAGGTTTGGATTGCGTATGCCAAATTTGAGTTGGCAAATTCCATATCAGAAGATGGCGTTAATAATGTTGTTTTAGCAAGAAGAATTTTTGAGCGTGGAAACGATGCACTTAGATCAAGTGGCGACAAAGAAAGTAGAGCATTGCTTCTAGAAGCATGGAGAGATTTCGAAAATGAGAAAGGTGATGAAGAAACGAGGATTAAGATTATGGAAAAAATGCCTCGAAGAATTAAACGCAGAAGACGTATTGTGGGAGAGGATGGGGTAAATAAAATCATTATTTTATCATTAAATTTTTTTAACAAAAAAATACTATCTCTATATGTCTTAACTTTTACTTTTAGAGCGACGATGGCTGGGAAGAGGTGTTCGATTTCGTTTTTCCAGAAGATGAATCTCAAAGGCCAAATCTTAAATTTTTGGCATCTGCCAAGGCTTGGATAAAACAAAAAGAAATGTATAGCAAAAATGAAATCAGTCAGAATAGTACTTCTCAGTCAGAAACAAATAGTTAAAACATTATTTTTTAATTATAACATCTATTTTAATTGTAATCTACTTTGTTCTTGTAAATAAATTAATATTTAGTTTTTATATCAATGAAATAAATTTATTTTAAAATATTAAGTAAAATTTTTAAATATAATGTAAGATAGAATATAAAATGAAAGGATTTTGTCGAAGTATGAGTAAATTTTATGTTATAATAAACTTTATTAGAACACAAGGTTAGCACAGTAAAAAAGTTATGCTACAGTTAATAACTTTTTTTTTTTATTATGTATTTAAATATTTTTATATTAATTTTGATGTACACTTTTATACTTCACAAGAAAAATGTAAATTTATAAATATACATTACGTACGTTAATCCCAGAAATGTTTTGTTCAACCACTGCAAATACAGTATATAAGTAAAAAGTACAAAATATTCTTTGGCAGTCATGCGTTTCGTACCACAGTGGGCAAATTTATTAAAAAGTTTCGATGTAGACAGTACAAAAAAAAAACAGTTCTATTTATTACAGCTGTGTAGGTAGAAAAAAATTAACTGAAGACGAGAAATAAATATCTAATAAAACGCAGATCTGCTATAACAGCTTAAGGTATCTTAAAAAGTAAATATAAACGGCGTCATTATAAAAAAGGTCTATTGTTTTCTTTTAAATGTTTCCCCTTTGTACTTGTTAGAATACAGTGAACCAGAATATCAGTTAGATATAGTATTTGTTCTTTTATTTTGCTTGTTATTCATATTACTTATTTGCCTTTGTAAAACACTCCTTTTCTTCTCGTCACTTTCAAAACCAGAATCTAAATCATCGCTCAAACATTTTTTTAAGGTGTAACTTTTAGAATTCTGCTGTGACTCTGTCTGTTTAGCCAACAATTTTTTGATACAGCTTATTAACTGTTCAAAAAAATTCGGATAACTATCATATCCAGGGAACACATTAACATCTATTATCGCATATTTTCCAGTGTGATTCTCAATAACAACATCCACCCCAACCAAAAGAAGTCCAAAGAGTTCCGTAACTTTCTTGACAATTTTGTCTAACGTTTCATGTTTCGGTTTTACCGTTAATGGAATGTCTTCTTCCGAAAGAATGGACCATTTAGATCTAGAACCACTCTTAGATATATCATGAGAATTAAAAAATATTGTGTTTAATGCAGTACAGTCTTCTGCGTAGAAATTTTTGAAACTGGGTCTCTCGACTACATGAAAATGTTCACCAACTATGTATATTTTGTAAACAATTGCATTATGGTTGACGAATTCTTGAGCCACACAAGGTGGTTGACAGTCATTCAAACCCTGTTCATTAAAAATCACCATCATCTGAAGAAAAATATTTATCATTAATTTTTGAACGATATATATCTTTTGCATATATTAAGATACCTTATGCGCATCGCTGGAACCCTGAGCGATAAGCGGTTTGCAAAGAAACGGAAACTTAATATCTGCCATTTTCAACAGCGATATATTCTCAACGTTACTCTTACTTTTAATTTCTACAAACCTTGGAGTAAATACATCTAGGAAACAAAATAAAATGTTAGAATAAATGATCACTTGTATCCAATAATTTCTAAAATAATATTGAATGTTATAGTTTCTTATGTACCATTAAACTGTACATGTTCTTGTAAGATTTCATATGATTTATAACGGTTTATTAAAATCTTAACATTTTCCAATGGGTCAATAACTACTATTTTAGGATGCTGACAAAAGTACTCTTGTATTCTTGAAATGATTGCTTTGGCCTAAAATGTAAACTGATCATTACAATAATTCCAGCCATAACAAATACAGAGGATTTCATCGTACATTTTGATCACCGTTTTCAGCATGGGCTAGTTTGTCAGTCAATTTGTATATAAAAACATGAAATGGTCCCTGAGGTTCGAGATCAGAGTTTATATCAATCTGAAATCAATCGAGCAGTTTTGTCGAGTATAAAAATAGTCGCAATATTGGATAAAAATATGCATGGATATAACCTTACTTATATTCATACAATTTTTGCAGAACACAATTACCTAATAATAATAATCGAGAAAAATATTTATGTTATTTACCATTTTTAACAGAAACCCTTCTGATTCGCAAACATTATAAAAATCATTCCAATTAAATTTTTGTCGCTTTTTTTCAGATATAGAATAACCAATTACATACTTGTCACACATCTTTTTTCGCATTTATTGTTTTCTGGTATCGAAAATAATTTTTATCCATTAAAACGTCTACAATGCATTATTGTAATAATCCCGTTAAATAAACTACACTTTACTAGCACGTTATTCGTGAGATTCTTCTGTCAACTAATTTCATATTTTTACCGAAATATAAGGTTATGCTTGCATGGCTTAAATAAAAAAAAAAAACAACTCTGTTACGATATTATTGTATCCATTTAGTTTTTACGTTTTATGCTTGACTTATAAAACATTTTCACTTCCTGAATTGAAATTTAATGTTCAAATACAAGTTTCATACTTTCGTTTCCTCAAGTACGCAATAACTGATTAGAGGTTAACGATATTAATAACAACGAATGCTTACTATATATATTTTTATTATTTATGCCTGTTTAAACAATGCTTAATAATATTCGAATAAATATATAATATAATAACCTGTGGATGTAATTATATTTACAATATTTCAATATTATTGTTATATAATTTTCGCTATTTACCTGGGAATACGAATGGTACAAAGTATTTAATTAAAATGTTTGCAGCAGAGTTTGTATTGCGCGCTTTCGATCAAATTAGTGACTAAATTTCTCCCATGCTTTGCACCAGTGCCTAAAATAAATCAATTAAAAAATACACGTACGAAGATAATACAAATTATACAATTGTTGATTTTGTATAAAACGTTCACCTTTGATGATTCATTCCACGATGTCAACATCTGTTCTGTAAGAAAAACTGTGATATCATCGTCTGTATTTTCTTCGTCCGATCGATTTTTCGTTAATATCCTAACTTCTCCGATCGAATACGAACCGGAACTTGGCATATGCAGTTCCCCTTCAGAATGAGAACTACTAGACGATGTAATCTAAAATAAAAAAAAAAGTTAATACGACCAAATTCTTCCTATTACCTCCTCTGATTTTCTAAACATTTTATTGTTTGTAATAACAATAATTTCATTTTACTGTTAAATGAAAGTCAGCGCTTACACTAGATTTTACCGTAGGTATGCTGTTAGATCTGCGAACACATAAAAATATCATGTTTTATAAGGAGAGTAAAGGGGTGGGTTTAAATTTGAAATTAAAGAAAAATGCAAACATTCTACCTCCAGTTTTGATTGAATATAGTCGAATCGTTTCTATGAAACGCAGAAGAGAATAGCACCTTATGCACATCATCATACAGTTCAGATAAAATTTTATCTCTCTCGACTAATCTATCGAAGCGAGAATTATTCGCATTTAATTCTTCGTTCTCATTATTTATTTCCAAAACTGTTTCATTTATTTTTCGCGACGGTACTATAACGTTCGACGACGTTTTCGAAACGATTTTTGACGATTGAATAGATTCGCAATCGCGCAAAGAGTCGGACGACGAAATCTGATCCTTTTCTATATCTCGAATAGATCTCGCATAATTTTCTTCTTGTACTTCAGGAACTGTGTTTTGAATCAAAATCGTGGAATCTTTCTGTATCGCATCTTCTGTGATTCCTGCATCTTTATCGAAATCTTTCAAGACATCTATACACGAATTGTTTTCTTCCTCTAAATTTTGCAGTGAATTTTCTTCTTTCGCAGAATTTTCTTTCGAGTTTTTTAGCAGAATGTTTTCAGAATTACTTTTTGAATTGGTTTCACGAGATTTCGTGTTGGAAGTCTCTTTCGAGAACTTCGAATCAATTTCATTAATTTCCTCGCTTGAAGAATTCTTACTTCTCGAGTTAATTTCGTGAGATTTTGTATTAGAAGTTTCTTTCGATGATTCTGAATCAATTTTCTTAATTCCTTGCATCGAAGAGTCGTCATTTTTCGGACTAGTTTCGCAACATTTCATAGGAGAAGTTTCTTTCAAGGATTTCGAATTAATTTCGTGAGATTTCGCGCTGGAAATTTCTTTCGTGGAATCAGTTTTATTATATTCTTCAGTTGGAGAATTTTCATTCTTCGAACTAATTTCACGAGATTTCGCGTCAGAAGCGTTTTCCAGCAATTCCGAATCGATTTTTCTCAGTTTTTCAGTCGCTGAATCCTTACTCTTCAAATCGTCCATCTCTTCGTTCCGCGAACTTTGAATATTCGCAAAATTCAAGAAATTACTTCGCAAATTTTCCAACAGACCTTTCGTCAACAACGGTACAATTTTCTCCGCGTTAAAGAAGCTTTTAACCTTTTCTTCGATAAGAGTTTCTTCTCTGAGATGCTCCACGTTATTCGTTTTCGGTAGAATCTCCTTCACAACGTTCGAACATATAACATCGCACAAAACAGCATGATCAAGCTCGTTCCTTTCTTCCTTTTGCCCTCTCAAATTTGTAGTCTGATCCTGAATTATTTTCCTCTCGTTAACGCTTTGCGACTGTGCGTTGGAAGATGAAGAAACGAAACTCGAGCTATCATTTTCGACTTCGAACAAAGGCAATTTTTCAGTCGAATGCTTTTTAAAAGATCGACTGTGCTCCACATCGTTAGCTCCCCTTATTTTATCGCCATCAGTGCTTTCTTCGTTTTTAACCGAGCCAAGTTCGTTTCTTCTCAGAAATTTCGATCGTTTCGAAACGACGAACGACTTTCTTGAATTATTATCCTTGACAAACATCAACGATTTGATCGACGAAGTTCTTCTTTGCTTTTCTCTGTTAACATTTTTATTCGCCGACGATAATCGATGTTTGGAGATCGAGACTTTTCTTCGCAGTGCACGAGGATAGTACGTTCTTATCTTCTCAGTTTTGTTTTTCAAAAATTCGTCCGTGTATTCGTGTCGCGAGAGAAATTCGTCGACAGTTTCAGTAGATCGAACTACATTATTGATTAGTTTATTGTACGTCGTTAAAAGATCGTCAAACTGATTTAAACACGGCTCGTACAAACTGAGACCAGACAGATCCGAATCTTCCGAAGAATTTTGACTACAACTGTTGTTTCTCGAAGGGTTCATTTCTTCATTGCAGTACTTCTTCATAACGTCTGAGAAACGTTGATCGACGACTTTGTAGCGTTCTTCTTTTTCGCGTTTTCGTTTTCCACAGATTTCTTCGTGTCTTCGTTTATTCATCAGACGTCTCGTCTCAATCTCCTCGCTGGATAATGGAGTACATTTGATTACCTCGTCTTTCGAAGTCGAAGAAATCTCGAACGATTCGAATTTTAACTCGAGAGATTCTTCTAAAGCATCGTCGTTAAACCGCACCTGTTTTTCTTCGTGCTTGGACTCCGCGGTAATTTGTTTGTCGTTTGAAATATTCGGAATAGACTGTGACTTTTCTTCTTTCGAGTCATTTTTACGATCAACGTTCGTTAAATTTGATTTAACATTCGTCTCAGTTTGTATTTCTGAACCGGGTCTTTCTTTAGGGGACTTTACGGTGGTTTTTTCCGATATTTCATTCGAAACGGAAGTCGAGGAATCTCCATTGAACTCCGAGTCTCTTCTCTTCTCTCTGGTGTTCGAAGTTTCTGTCGGTATTCTCGTCAATTTTTCTTTACGGACGGAGCATGTTTTTCTGGGACGAAAATCGTGATGAATTTCGTAGTTTCCAACATTCGGATTTTGTCGCTCGAAAGACGCGTCCGGTGATATGTGAATGCTTTTTAAATGTTGCGATATTAGTTCCGCTTTGATGTCCACCGATGGAACCGTTTGAACGGAACAAGTAACCATTTTCGTGTGTTTGGTCGATTCGCGATTAACGGGAACCGTTTCGCTGGAACATTTTGTTTCTTCTTTGCTTCTGACGTCTATCGGTACCGAAAATCCAAGCTTTTGTGCTCGCAAATTCCTTTGTTGCAAATATTGCCGATATCTTTCCTCGGACGGTTGAAACTTCCGGTCGGAGAAGTCGATGGTTTTTCTCGATTGAAAATTTTTGTTAAAAAATTCTAGACTTTTGGGAATCGGGCGATTCGCATCGACCCAACCGTTTGCTTCTTCAAATTTGTATGCCACTCGTTCACGAATGTACAACAATTGATCGTTTTCGTCGTCCAAAGATGCTTCATCTGGCCACCTGAAGAAATTATGATAGATTATTATAGTGAAAAGATATGAAAAATTATCGTGTAAAATATGAGGTATTGCACAATATTATTTTTCTAGCATTTACAAAGATTTTCGTATTATGTATTGTCCGAATAATTAATCGTTTACGAAGCTTACGTATAGTTTTGCGCACGACCAACGTTTTCAACCGTGTTTATTCTTTTAATCTGAATTTCAGCATCCTTGATCAATCTTTCCGAGTTTTCGAGAGCCACGGTTGTTTCTGGACTCAACGTCGGAGACATCGGAATCGTTATGGTGGATCTTCTACTTTCAAGCTTAAAAAAAATCAAGAAATAAATAGTACAAGTGCATTGTTACAGTTTGTTTTATTATAAGAAATACCTCCTCATCGTCAACTAGCCTCGCCGAAATCAGTGGAACTTTCTTCGCGCTCTTGATGACTTCCGTTTTGGCGGAACTTTTTGACGAAGATATGACACGTTTTCTCGCAGAATGAATTTCTTTCCTTTGTTGCTCGATGGGAACTCGAATTTTGCAGTAACAATCGCAACTCGATTGCGAATGCATTTTTGAAGCGCAGGACGCGAGGGATGGAACAGGAAGGTTCTCGCATAAATCCAGATACTCTAACGCGTTAGGCTTCCTCCTGTAACCAAATAAATACATTTCTGTATTCTTCAATTTCTATAAGTATCATTTACAAATTTGCAATGAACATTTCTTAGTCGAAGTATTAGACAAGAAACAATTTGCAACCTACTTATTTCAAGTAGGAATTGTGTATAATTCTCTTTATTTTTAAGGAAAATTAAGCATGTAAATAATATAGAATTATATAGCGACATTCGTTGAAATTTAAGAGACTAATTATCTCATCGAAGGTTAGGTCATTGACTGTTAAGTTTCATCCGCTAAAGGCGCATGCTATCAATATTTTTTTCGCTCTTTATTTTTCCCAGACTCGAATGGAGCACGGATCGATTCGTTGCACCGACAGACTATAGGAAAAACGAACAATTTTACGGGAAAGCTATACAGGGTGTACAAAAAATATCCACCAGGGTGTCGATAGTGGAATCTTCATACATCGATAAAAATCAGAAGATCAAATAAGTAGAGATTAATGCACAAGATTTTTATTTGATTTTTAACTGACTTTTCAATTCTTTTGAAATATGACGAGGGTGTATGAAAATACATGCACGAGCAAAACAGCTATTTTATATAAAATACCGATTTAAAGAATTATTTCGTCATATTTTCTTATAATTTCTGTAGACTATAAGAAAATCGTAGAAGGTGACGTAGGTGCATCTCGAAGAGGATTCTCCACTTTAATGTTCCCAGACTTCGTGATCAATAACAGTACGTCAATGCTACGTAATTCGCGACTACGTCCTTTAAAGTCGATGGATCCGTATAGGAATGCTTTTGCATAAAGGTGATTCACCCAACTTGCTACAACTCATTCAAAATTTCACTTCGTACTACAAGTTGACAAAGGTTTCTTCACCCGTCGATTGAACGGAACAAATATTCATCAAAGTAATTATCGATCGTGTTTATGTTAACATTCGTTATTAACAAGACTTCTAGAAAATTGTTAACCGGAGCAACGTTCCAAGAAAATAAATTGCGAGTTTTGTTGATAGGAAAAATTCCTAAGAGGAAGGAACAGATAAATTTTTACTGCGATAACTCGAATTTTTTCCAGTTAAAAACTAATAAATTTTAGTCCACGTGATTTTTTTTAACGAAAGCAAATATTTGTCATTGTGACCTTTAGTTGATATTGCTCTTTCTTTGGAAACATTCTTAACCAATGTTTCACTGAAAAGAACGTGCTAAAACATTATTTACTTTATCATTTTCATGGGAAATGAAAAATGTTGTATAATCTAATATTTGCGACTTCAAGGTTACATGTAGAGGGTGAGGGAAGATACAAAAAAAGTGAAAATGTAAATTGACGGAGCTTTTAATCAGCGCGCGAATCGAGCATGTTCGCGATACACGTGAGCCGCGTTTGCATAATTAACGAGCACCACGAGAGCCAGAGAAGATGCGAGCTACGGAAAAATCCGCGGCGATGAAAAAGTATCAGCGATCGATTTACGATGTTGCTAGCCACGGCTTTTCGCCTTTACGGTGTCACCTTTCTAACAGAGACAACTTTCCGAGCAACCGCGTCGATATTTAAGGGGTTATTCCGTTTACTCTAAATATTAACAGATCCAGAAACTTGAAATTCTGAACCGAGTAATTGTTGAACAATTGAAGAATGAAGAAATTGAAAAGCATGATTACTTCGAGTGGTGTCATCGATCGATATTTCAGACTGCATTCTCATGTTCGAACATAAAAGATCTGACTTCCTAGGAATGAAAGTTTTACGCGCAAATTAATCGATTTCGCGATTTCCAGAAAATTCATCTCGATGTCCCCTCTGCGACGACATTGAGCGCCCTCTACGAGCTTTATCTCCGACGCGCTTCAACAACAGCGATACGCGTTTCCCGCGAAAACGATTCTTTTTTTAATCGAACGCGTATTTCTATCTGCGTTAGCGAGAAAAATTGATCCCCGACGCGCAGTTCTGTTCACGTCAGAACGCACTAGGCAACTAATGCTTAAGTGTGCTTCGTACCCAGGGGACGCCAATGAGGCACCTTCGATGAAAAAGAACTTTTTACAAATAAAAAATCCGTGCAAGTTTCTCTATTTTCATAGGATTAATCATTTTAAGAAGATTAATCTTCATTTTAATCAGTACTCTTTATAACTTTAAATCGTCTAGACCTTTCTTCCATAATAAAATTGTTCGTATAACTTACTACCGAATTCAGGATAAAAAATATTATCGTTACATGAATACTGGTTGCACAAGAACAATATTGCAAAATTAAGTTGAACTTAAAGCGAAATAAATGTGAGGAGCACAGGGGTTGAAAGGGTAAACGCCGGCCCTGTTCTCGTGCATTAATCGAGAGCAGCCTATCGTAGGCATCTCTACACTGGCAGCAGGGCAAGTTCCCTCGCAGCAGTGCCCTAAACGTTCGGGGCGTGAACGGTAGCGGTAGTCGGTCTATCAGCTTTAAGAGCACGGTTTTGCGCAGGCAGGCAAGCAGACAGTTGAAGCGTGGCTGGCATTCGAGCCGTCTGGAAGGAGACAGATCAATATGCTACTTTTGCCGCTTTCTTCCTGTCTCCCTTTCTCCCCTATTCCCTGCTTTTTGCTCTCTCCCACCGCCGGTTGGCCCAGCTAACGCACCAGCTGAACATTGGCATTGATTTTCAAAGTTCAGGAAGTTTCTCACCCGTCCCGAAGCTCGGGGAGCTTCAGCCGGTGTCGTGACCGGGCTACACGTTGCGCGGCTATACATTTTGGCCGCTGCACTGATCAATACTACCGATGCGATGGCGCGTAAATTTGCGCAGGGAAGGACGGATCGTTTGATCATCGGAATTACTTCTTATCCTTCGATCTTCAAATTTTTACTAAATCATTTTTGCGAATAGGCTCGTAAAAATGGAAGAATAATAATATATAAATACAGCTATGGAGAATACAGTAGTTGCTGACTTTAACTTTTGGATAAAGAACTGGGTGCATTCGAAGCGGTGGAGCTTCGGACACTGTTTGTCTTTAATTCTGAGAAACTAAACATAATATCAAAATTTCGTCGACTACGTATATTTCGAAAAAATAAATAGGAAACTAGGATAATGTAACGCATGAAATATGTTTTTAAAGAAGGTTCGATAGGAGAATAAAAACGCACAGTTACACATCAACACATATATTTTGCTTTTGCATGTTGCATACATACGATAAACAGTACAGTGTTTACGCGTTCCTCGAGGTATGGTATACTAGAAAATTTCATTATCCACTACTACAATTGCTATTCGACGTATTATTTCGTACTTCCGCTTTCGTGTGTATTCTGTGTGTAAGCTATTAACGAGAACGATAGAAAATGAAATGAAACGAATGATAATACAGGCTCTATATAAAAAACAGTTGCGTTCATACGAAGAAAAAAAGAGGTTTCGTTAGTTCTCTTCCTTTCGTAAATATGCGCCGCTCTTTTTAATTCAGTTTCTTGCAAACAAACGAAAAGAAAACAAAAGTTCGCTTGGTCGTCGACAATGAATTCGGACGAATAAGAACGTATTCGAATAGCGATATTCGAATATTCGATACACGTGTTCGAACAATACCGTGTATGACTCATACACGTTCTTTGTTATTGTTGTTGCAACAAAACCTTATTCTTTTGTACATTTGCAATTTCGCTCATTTTGGTTGACCAACGAACAAGATCTTCAACCCTTCTTCAGATTGTGGGCTCAACACTGTTCTAATATTGGGTCATTATTCCACTGTTGCTCAAGGATTTAAGTAACGCTGTTAAAGATGCGCTTACATATTTAAATTTTCAAATTTAAAAATTCAGAAATTTGTAAATTCAGAAATTTTTCAATTTAATAATTCCCAAATTTACAGATTTACAAATTTACAAATGTACAAACGTTCAAATTTACAAATTTACAAACTTTCAAATTTATACATCTCGAAAACGGCTCTGCCTAGTTGCTTATCTTGTATTATTATAATTATCCGACGACAGGAAATACGGTCTAACAAACAATATCGACCATCGGGAATAAATAAGTTAAACGCGTTAATAACCGCGAGAAATGATTTAAGCTTAAAAATCCGAAGAAGGGTTTAAATCGTCATCAAAAGAAAGAAGCATACTCGAGACATTGAGAGAGAACAAAAACCAATCGTTTCTTATTTCGCGAAACATCGTTCGAAGATGTGATAGTTTCAGGAATTGAGCAAGCGTCAGCAATGCAAAAGGTAACGGATGAAGTCAGAAATAACGAAGAGGCAAAACGATCGGTGGACGACCAAATATTAAGGTTATGCAAAAGTTTTCATCGATTATAAATAACGATATAAGACACATTCGTCATTGTGTACTTTCTTTGTTTAATCGTAAAAGAACTGGCAAGAAATATTTGTTAAACTTACAGAATATTCTTATAATACCTATAGAAATATTACAAATGAGTTCATAGCAATAATTACTATTGTAGTATGCATTAGATTTTCTTCAATTACGTATTAATTATATGAAATCTCGTATTAGTTATTCAACTAATCATCACAAATGAACAATGGTTAATTTCCGTATCGTAATAACGCTATCGTATTAAGAACTAAATAAATTAGAACGAAATAGCTTTTACTGTCGGAGTGTCGAGTGAAAAATTTGATACAAGAAACATGTAAAGTCTGTTTCACGTGTGTTAAGAGTTACGAATATTTAAACGTGTGTTCTATAAGCTTAAAAATAGTATAATACAGACCAATTTACGATGGTCTTAAATTATATTACTTTATCACATATCACTTGATAACAAAGAAAGCGACTCATGACAGAAGAGTACTAAACGCCGAAGCATTTTGATCAAAGAGTTTCTATTACACATAGGATATTAACAAATGTCAAAAAAGAAGAAGAAAAAGAACAATGAAAATTTTTGCATATCCCCAACAATTATTTACAATAATTCTCTCTCGGTTCGCTCGCGATAATCCATTCGTTCAGGTTTCAATGTAACAAACCAAAAAAAAAAGGAAAAAAACCGCCAACTTTCTAAAAGAACACGGTACGCAAAAATCATACGTGATAAAAAAGAAAAAGAGAAAGAAACAAGAGGTCGTATCTGCGTCGAAAAACGGACACAATAGTTTTTACTACAAACATTTTTCTTCTTTTACAAGCGGGTAGGTTCAAACCCATAAACGAGTACCGTTAATCACCTTTGACATTGAAGAAGGTAGGAACTACCTACCTTAGACTAAAAAATATCACGTACAGCCTCTGTTAAGTATTGCTACGATCAATTGTGCTCTTTTTCATCGGGCCCTTTTTTCCCTTTCGCACGTTCACTCTCTCATACAAGTTACATCCATTCTCTCACTCTCTCCTTTTGCAATCAATTTTGCACGATATCTCGGTACAATTGTGTGCAATGTAGTCTTCTTCGGATAAGATCAACTTTAAGGGGGAAGACGCTTGTATCACACGCTTTCGATTTTGGTAAACTAAACACGTAAACTTGAAAACTTCCTAATTTCTAAACCCCTAAATTTCTCAACTACCACATTTTAAAAGTTCCAAATCCTTAATATTAAATTCCCAAAACTTCGACTTCTAAATTAAAAAATTTGTTTATGTGAATGTGCAAGGAACGCATAGATGTCTTTCCCCTCGTTGTCATTTTCTCCAGAGAAGCCTATTATGCTCGCCGTTGTACATAAGTCGCTTACGCTACGCAGATAGCCTCTAAACACGGTTGTTTCCTGATCGAAACAACAACGGGGATAAATTAAAAATAAAAAAAGAGCGCCGTTGACCAAGAGAAACGATCCTCAAGATTTCGCTTGAAAAATTACATAGAGATTTTTAGAGCCTTTCTCTTTCGACAACGATAATAGAAAAAATGTTGTCCGCGGCGTCTTTGATCGTTTCGCGAATCAATTTTCAATCGCCAATTCGTTTCCTTGTATTTTTTCTTTTGTTTTTCGCTTTTATACAAATATATACAAAAAGGAGCTGCTCGCGTATCCGAAAAATCCTTTTTCTTGGAGACGAAACTTGGAGAAAAAGAAAGGTTCTCGGACACCTTAGCAAGAGAACGTATGCTTGTGACTCGATTTTTTTTTTTTCGTTTGTTTTTTATACTTTTTTTTAGACATAGCGAGTGTATGGTTCCTATTTGACGGGCGTACCTTCTTTTTCATCGGCGAAATGAAAAACCAAAAGGCCCTCACTTAAAGTCTAGCGATTAACTAAAAGGCGAAAGTGGACGTTACACGATCGGATAATTAGAATCCGTTTTGACGAATTACTGAAACAAGAACGATACTCGCCCTGCTCCCTCCCCTTCGGCTTCGAATATTCGACAGATACACAAGATCTCGCGATTGCGTGAACGAAAGAACAGAGAGAAAAAATAAAGAATACGAATACGTACGGTTTCTTCGAAAGAGAGAAAAACTAGAAAAGACGAAAAATAATTTAACGAATATTTAATACGCAAAACAAGTGTGTAAGTTTCTTTTGTACATTTAAAAATGGTTACCTCCTTTAATCGCAAGTTTTATGTACACATATACAGAATGTACAGTAAAAACCCGTGTGCAGGGTCCAAATATGTCCGCCGTTCTTTTTTTTCTGTTATCATACAACGAGCGTAGTAGTAGAAACAGTATACAAATGAAACGTTAGAAAAGGACGATTCGAACATCGGAAGCATCGTTACTCCCGGTTGTTTCGCGATTACGCAATTGTAGCGTGAGTAAAAATAAAGTACAATACACAATCGCTAAATTTTCTGCGACATCGCGTTTCATACCTTTCTCGTGTATTCGTGTACGTGTGTTGTGTGTGAGTATGTCCGTGTATTTAGTACGTGTGTATGGTCGAAGCAAAATCGTTCGCGCGTACGATAAATATTCGTACCGTGTGTATGTTGTTGTTGTACTTGAAGAAAACCGCGACAATGCTCGCGGGACAAGAAACAATAAAACAAAGGCGATCGAGCCTAAGTACAAACGCAAACTGGACAGGAAAACATCTCTCTTCGCGGTTCCTCTACTTCCTCCTCGTAAATATACTTGGACAGAAAAATCACCGTTTGTTCCTCGCGCGTTAAACCGTTCTACGATAACCCCGTATGTACAACGTGTCACAGGACCGACGCCAGCGTGCAAAAATGCCAAAGACTTCTTCTCAAGACCAAGTCAAAAACAATCTCGATCGTACAAAGAGATCGAGTTCAAAACAACTGTCGCCTCGTCAAGATTAGGGATCTTGCAACGAGAGCGAAACACAACGGAGACGCTGTCGTCGTTAAGAAACAAAATCGTCCACTTTCCCCCGACAACGTCAACAATCCTTCGTGATTAATCCAATTTTACACCGACAACGTCTTTGGCTCGAAACGGATGTTGGGGTTTTAACGTCAACCGCCAACTTGTATCACCGTTACCAAAAGTATTTTATTTTAATTTTATTTTTTCTTGTTTTGTCGGCGAACCTTCACGGTTTCACCATGATTAACCCTCCTGAAGAGGGTGCAAAATTTGAGCCCCGATTAAAACGTCATAAAGAATCTTTAAGTTTCCCTCTCTTTCTTTACTTTCAGCCCGGAACCCGTTGTGTCGTCGCCCAAAATGGTGGCTATCTCGCCTTGCATGAATGCCCATGGCACTTGACTGTTCGCCAGTGGACACTTTTCACCGCTCGGGCAATAAACCTGGAACAATTGAAAAATTTACGTCAAATCAGGTTTAATATTAAACTTGATACTCGTTAATGTACAACAGTGATGGGCAATTGTACTTTGGTGAAGTCCTAAAGAAAACAAGTAAAAATAAAATTCGTACAGTAGACTTACGTTCTATCGCCACGTTGTAGTTTCGCATTATATCTCGTTTTGTACGTATTACTACGCGTCGTACAGTTTCGCAATAATTTACCACGAGTTGTATAACTTTGTACTGTACAGTCTCGCACTGTATAGCCTTCCGTTTAAGTATCCTCGCAATGTATAATCTCGTGTTGTATAGTTCTGAGTAATGTTACCACGTGTTGCATAGCATCGTGTTATATTATTACGTGTTGTACAGTTCCGCGGCGAACAATCTATACGGCAAGTGTTTCCAGGTTTTTCCAAAATCGGAAGAAAACGGTGAAGAGGTTAATCGGCCCATCACTGTTATGTAACGACCAGATGACGAAGTCAACACGTACCTCTGAGCCAGCACCCTGTCTCTTTATGCTTTCCCGACTGCAAGGGAAGCAGAATTTGTGATGAGGCACGCTGGGACACTGAACGAAGTGCGTGTCCTCGAGACGTTCTTGACACAGGGTGCATTTTAGTATGGGCGCTGACACTTGCTCGGCAGCACCGGCGACCTGAGCTACAGCTCCTTCAGAAGACGTTGTTACGGTCGTCGACGACACGTGCCTCGAACCGCTAGACCTCCTGCCCGAGGGCCCTACAAAATCATCCGAACATTCGATTCAACATACTCGTATACGAGAAAGTTATTCAGAATATTGACCTTGACAACGTAATTAGTATACTTCAAGGCTGTTGGAATGAATGCCGAGGAGGATATTTGCAAATAATTATCAAACAATCGTTACTACCTGAACTATTCGGGCTGTGTTGTGAACCTCTGGAGGCACTGCGTTGTTGGGCATTCGTGGCTGTGGTCGGTGGGCTTCTGCTGGTTGGACTTGGGTTGTTTGGTGGTTGTGGCACTGATTCGGGTGACGCTAAATTATCAGCAACAGACATGAGCGCGGCCATAGGTGAAGGGCCATTCGTCGAACCCTGAGGGATAAAATTACGTTCAATTTGCGTGTCAGTTACAAACACCTATAAATAAAACATACTTGCATCAAGACCATGGAATAACAAAACATACGTAAGTATGTTTCAAGGGTCATTAATACGCAAATGTATTCGCAGGGTCGTTAACATATGAACTTGATTACCTGGTGATGATTCGTTTGTGAATTATCGGTGGAACCTTCTTGAGCCGGTGGCGGCGGTGGTGGAGGGCTCGTTCGAGGACGAAGAGGAGAACCTCCACCGTTTGCCGCCACGTTTGCTGGCGCCAAAGGAATAGACGGACCAACGTATCCTCCTGCAAAATTCGCTCTTTAATATTCAATACTTCTACCGTGCCATTGGTAATATTTATTTCGAGCTATTATAAACGTGACCAAGAAAATTGCCGATTATCGAAAGAACAATATCGTAAATAGCGTATGAATCATTTTATTATAATATGCGGAATATAGTTTAGAAAGATGGCCAAACTTGCTGGAACCCCCTTCTCTCTCTTTGTCCACTCACCTCCTATATTGATCTAAATACATCATAGTTAATTATCCATAAGATTTCTCAAGAAGCAGTTACGAAATACGTGCAATTATTTTCTATCGAGTCGTAATATAACTTTCGTTGGTGTACAAATGTGCATGCTATATAATCTATAAATCTGAAGCGAATGAGTAGTGGTGTTAACATCGATTCTGTCTAAAATCATCCGAGGAAAGTTCTTAAGAATAAATTTGACCATCTTTACACAAAAATTCACATAAAAATTCCAAGACAAGTTAGATATTCTTTTCCACTTCGTGTTATGTACCTAACAATCATGTACTAAACGAAACGGATTTGCTGTAATTATTAACAAGATGGAATCTTGTTCGACGAACGGACATGTACTGGAAAACGGATTATCGGCTGTCTGTTAAGTCGATCAAACATTACTCGTGAAATTTATATTCCAGGAGAGACTGAGCAAAAACAAATTATTTAACACTTTCGGATTCAGTTATATACTACTAAACATTTCGATGAACCAATGATGCCTGTATATTTTTTAACCTTTAACAAACGTGTTAAAAATCTTACAATTTCGCTTGAACGTCGTCGAACCGAATTAACAATACTGCACAATAAAATTGACCTGCAATGTACTCGCTACATATGTTATCGTCTCATTATTTACCCTGGCGCGATATTTACGACTTTCTGAATCCGTAAGCGTAGGAACGCATTCCCCGGTAACAGATAAGCACGATTCGATTATTAAAAAGCATCGTTTCGTCACGTTCTTATGGATTGTGACTCGCGATATGTCATTTGTATTTGCTAGCTATACAGAGTGTCCCACATAACACAGAGATCACCAGCTTTTGTGATAATGCTGGGTCTAAAATGCTAAGGAAAGCCTACAGAAAAAGTATTACTGTCCGCGTAAAATCGACAAAGATAATTCAACATTTTGCATATTCTAGTTACGTCCGGTGTGCAATGATTAATGTCGGTCGAGTACGCAAGGAAAAATGTTCATCAGTTTTTGCTAGATCGATCGGTTTAATAGAACCGTAGATATATATACGCGTACGAGAACGACAAACCGTGAACGGGCAATAACGAGAGGGCAAGCCTGAGTCGTGTTTCGCAATGATATTGCCACGCTTCGTGAGTTCTCGACTATGCTCGATCGATCGATCGTGTACAGATAGAGCCATATATACGTTGATTCTGTTCTACGTCACTGGACGAGAGTATCGCGTTCACGTATAAGGCGTTACAGAACACGCGACTTTAATCCGATACGAAACACGTCGGGCTGAAACAATGATCAGTGCGTGTTTAACGGGTTACGCTACACTAAAAATTGGGAGATGATAGGTAACGTTATCTAGAAAAAGTCTATATTCGGTATAAAATATTTCTGCGCGGCCATTTTGCATCTTCAAATTTTTAATTATAGAGAAAAGTTTACTGAATAAATACATGTAAAATCTTTCGTGTTTTCCTAGAAAACAACCCATAAAGTTGTCTATCCTACCGAATCTTTTAAAGTGACGTAACCTCTTGATCGAGAGAAGCCTACGTTGTGACCGAATGTACCGTGATGCTTCAATTCCTGATGTAGAGAAACGTCAGTCACGAACGCGTGTCGACAGCGTCAATGATGCGTTGGGAGGGTCATACTTTCAAAACAAGGCCACCGTATAGCCGACCGGTTGGGTTAGCAGCGATATAGAAAACGCAAAGTGTGACTAAGCCAACCGCCTACGTGAGTGATGCGATGTCTGTTACAAAACCGCGCATGCGTTTTCTTCGCCTCCCTCCCCTTTTAGACCTATGTCTCTGTACGCTGCCGTGTTCCCTCGCTTCCTACGGCAGCTACGTTTCTCCGTACGATTCAAGATGGATAGAGAGAGACAGACACGCCAACGGTCCTCGCTCTATCAAAGTCGTCACGGAAAAGTACCGGTCACACGTCTTCTCGATGGTAGACCACGTTCTAGCCGAGAGACCTCGATGACTCGTACACTTGGTCACCAATGCTGGATGAAGATATACGATACATAAGCGCGGGATGCTGCGTTGCACTGCTTCAGAATATACAGGGTGATCTACGTAACTTGGCCAAATTGCAGTTCTAAGGATTTGTTTACGCGAACGAGGTTGAACTTTACTTTCAGGTACCAAACAGTAACTTGATAGTCAGAAAATGTAAAATACGACGTATTTGATTTATCCCGCCAAAATGGCCGCCATCCACGTGCCCCTGTTTGCAGTCACTGACTTCACTCGTTAGACGGACAATAAGGAGAAGCTAATATGGCGTCAAAATAACGTGTCAAATAAGCTAATAACACTAATGACTTTCACGTATGTATTATTTTTGAACTAGTCAGTTAAAACTGTCTTCGCGTAAGAAAATAAATTTACGATACGATGAAAATGAATACGAATGAAATTTCTGTGTAAAATGGGAGTTTTTCTTCTTTGTTCGAAGGAATGTAGAACGTGTCCGAGTAAACGAAAACTATCTTGGGAGTATCGAGTGACAGGAGAACGTAACACGCACAGATAATGGAGTGAGAAATGGATCATATATTTAAGTAATTGGACAGGGAAGATATACCGGCGGTCAGATAATTATACGCAGAATTGTACTGCTTGGATTTTTTTATTTTGTATCTCCTTAGATACAGATACGAAACATGTAGCAGCGAAATGCGAAGATACAGCATTCGATAAAAATGATGAAGGTTATACAAGTACAATCTTGCGATTAAAATAGTACTAATTTTTTATTTCTTTTTTTATTAGTCATGAGTTAAAAAACTTCTTTTTAAAATTCTCCTAAAATCCATGTTTATTTCCAGACCCTAATCTTTGCCAGCAGTAATCTATTTTTATCGAATCGCGCATACGTAAGTGTGGATTCTATCTTTTCGACGGAAACGCTTCCTTCAAGGATAAAAAAAGTTAGATACAAAAGGTGAAAGAAATAAACAGTGTCATTAAACTGTCGACACTATGAAATTATGAGGAACCCTAGGCAATCGTAAAGAAATCCTACACGGATCCTGAAGTATTGTAGGGAAAATTCTATTCAAATTCTAGAAATCATAAACAAAGCCAACGAGTTGAAGAAAATCCTAAACACCTCGTTATATATACTCCTTTTAAAAAGGAAAAGAAATATTGAAGGAAATAGTATAAAATTTAGGACATAAGAATGAAAACGAATTTCAGTTTTAAATCATAAGGTGGAGGATTAGAGTGTTGAAGAAACCGTTAATTACCGTTTCCATGTCATAAAATATTAACGGTTTACGGTCAGGTAATAGAAGTAAGGTAAAAATCGGAAACGTTATTCCGTTACTTTCTTTATTTTTCGCGATCGCAAAGCGTTAAATTGTACTTAAACGTTTCAATAAATTCGCTGAATCGTCTTCTTAACTAAAACGTAATCTCCCAAATCTGTTGAACGTTGCCAGTAGACTTACAAGCGGTTTTACAAATAATCACTGTTATCAGAAATCCGTACAGAATTTAACTCGTAATAATCAATATTATCTTCCACGTTCGCTTAACACTTTTTATAGCGCAAGAGAAAAAAAAAAAAACGGATAAAAAATGATGTGACAAGAAACATAAACGTGTCGAAAGTACTCGTTTCATTCACGTGACTAAACGTTTACCACTTGATTACTAAACACTGAAAATTATGCGATGATTTTCGTCAGACAAGTTGTTTTTTTTTCTTCTCGATGAGAATACGAGATAGTCGAAATTTTCCAGGAAATATTTATAGCACGGTGACACGCGCGAGAAGACAGATGGCCGTCCCGTAGTCATTGCAGGCAAGTCAGCCATTCGATAACCGTAAACACACGCGTTAAGGCCGAATTAGAAAGTGGCCAGTATCGAAATAACGGTCGATGACCAAGGTCACCCTGCCTGTACTTACGTAGGCACGGGCAACGCAGCAGCGCGAACTGGACCAACCTAACCCCATCGTCAACCGCTTCGTCAATGAGCCGCGTCAACGTGACGAAAACTAACACGTTCAACGCGCTAGAGCTGTTGCTATTGATAATGTTATCGATAATTTAATATTTTACTAATTTAGTAACCTAATTTTAGTCGACTAATTTAGTCTACTTTCAAATTAGCTAAACTATACTTACACTTTGCATCGACATATGAAAATAGAAAAGAACGCAATTTCTAGTTTTCTGATAACTGTTGGCGCCATTTTTAAATGTAACGAGGTGCGCTTATCGTAGCTTCTATATCTGTCGATATTACATTAGTCTATTTTCACCTCTTTTTTTCACTTACTCGTTACCTGAAAACATTACTCTTCTGTTCTTTTTCATTTATTTACAATAATAAGACAAATATATTGCCCTAGTTATTTCTCACGATGATTCTATTTCTTAATTAAAATGTTATTATTTTATTTTATAAATACATCACAAGCGTTTCGGTATTTCTAACATATTTTTTACAATGAACGAAAAAATAAAAATGGTTTCCGTTAAAAGAAGTCGCCATTGTCATTCAAACGTGATGTATACGTTCGACTTAGATAACGTTATCGATAAATATCAATAACTCGAGAATAAATAAATTTGCATGATAAAATTACACGTTTGATTTTAACGTAATCCCTCATTAATCTTAATAATATTTGAGTAATACTGTCGATATACTGTTAAGTGTCAATAAGATATCAATAATCGATAGCAACACCTCTAGTTCGAGTACAGTCGAATTTTTTCAATGTGAAGGCTAAAGCAGTCTCGAACTCGTTCGTTAACGAATCACCAGTGAAATTACATTTATAAAATGTTCACGAGGCTCGATGAGTTTTATGTATTGAGCAACGCACAACGGACTCATTCATTGTATCTAAATATACCGAGTGACGTCATGCGATCGGACGTCACGGCACGGCAAGTCGGTGTATCTTTTGGTCGTCCTATCACGTGCTCGACGTATACGTCTCCTTTATACGCGTTTGGACAACTGCCGTGCCATCCACAATGAGAGAGATTCTAACCGAGGGAAAATACGAAGAAAGGAACTATCGAGATCCGATTGCTAATCAGAGCTTCAGGGCCTATTCCTAAGATAACAAAATTAGAGAGCGCTGATATTTATAGAGCGATATTTTGATATTGTATCATTTTTGAAGTTTAAGATTAGAAGATAATGAATTACAGTCGAGTGATTTGCGAAGAATGTCCACTTTGACATGCTGGTTTTGGTGCGTAAAAGTTAGGAAGCCCTGTTTTACTATACACCGGTAGAGACCCTGCAGCTGTGAAGGAAGGGGAGCGAGAGACGTAACTTCCTTTTAAACTCTGACGATTCCCCGAAGGCTGAAGGATCGAGTCTTTTAACGCGTGCACGCTCTTTTCTCGTGCCAGATGGCCACGCGCACGACCAAACGCTTTCCTATTTTTACTACCCAGCCGATAAGAAGCCGAGAAATGCCATCTGTTTGAAAAAAAGGAAAAAATACGATATGTTGTTTCAATAACATGGTACACGAACTCGAGATAAAGTTACAAGTACATTGTACCGAGTACAAATATCGGTTGTACACTGTGGAAAGAATATCTAAACTATCTTCCAAACTGTTGATGTTTCTAATGGAAAGTTTTCAACGGAAATTAATCGAGCGACAGATAGCGAAACGTGTACTCGCGTACGACAGTAGTGGGCACGTTTACGTTACATTGTTTCTGCGAACATAGAACGCGTCGTGTGTCGCAAATGTTATGTGGAATTTTGATTTTATGAAGTTAAAAAATAATTATTCTATAAAAATCTGTTTAAATAAGTAAATATTTTTTTCGTACGTGCAATGTCAAAAATGTAAAATCAAACCCGCAACATCAAACATAACCTCAAATTAATTGCGATTAGGTGTTACAGAACCTGTCAATATTACTGACTAAACATAAATAAAAAATATAAATATATGAAATTTAATGACAATTTATACAACTTCAGACATGCAATGTTTCGCATAGCATGTCTCTTGTCTTATATGCATTCATTTTTTTTTCCTTTCTACATTTCGCGCCAAGAAAAAACTCATTCGTATCATTTCGACAGTTTTTATAAATGAAAACGACAGACCCCTTACTCAAATGGATATTTTAGATCATATCTTGTCTTTTCTAATAATAACTTTTTATTCTAGTTTAAACCCGCCCAAAATGTGCTGACGACCTACCAGTAAGTATTGAATCCATACACTGCGAATTTCTGAATCAGAAAAAACATTGTATTTCCACTGGTAACATTTGCGACAATGTCAATTACATTTAAAACACGTGTCACGAGTAAAGAAAACATACGTATCTTGTGCCATCACTGTGTACGAGTAGGACGCGTTTCGAAAGAAACCAGGCGAATTAAAGAATTCGTACATGACACGCGAGTATCCATATTATGCCGTGTACGTAACTCACCAGTGGTTTTGAACGTAGTGGCGGTCTCGAAACTGGGCGCTCTAACAGGATGCTTCTCCTTGCTTCTGTCTTGCACGTAACTGACGGCAAGGCTCACAGCTGGCAAAGAATCACCTCTAGTCAACGGAGGTCTGACCGGATGCTGCTCTTCCAACGAGAGCCTCTTCTCGGCGTGTTCGTCCTCGTCAATGGTGGAAATACCGCGTTTGAGTTGTGCGATCCCTCTGTTGTGGCTGAGATTCACGTGATGCGCCACAGCGGCTAGGTGAGCGTTCGGAATTCTCACGTTGTTGTTTCTCATGCCGTTCGCGATATCGTGGGTTTCTTCGTGTTGCCGAGAAATTTGTTGTCGCGACGTGCCCGAATTGAATTCCGTGATCGAATTACGATGATGGAGCTGCGAGTAACCGGCGATATTGTGATGCCGCGAATGGGTCTGGCCAGTGTTCTGTATCGGTAGAACGTCTAAATTGGTACCACCGTTATGTTCGGTGTGCCCGGACGTTCTGTACGCTTTCGACGTGGACGATCTGGCTTCGTGGAAACCGTGCGCCTTTTTCATTTGCTTGGCCGATTCCAATACCGCGTCTATCCTGTCGGCACCCTCGTAATTCACGCAACCGCGGCACACGGGCTCGGAGAATTCTGTGATCATCGCCCAGGGCATCCTGGGAAGATCGCACAAGTAGCACTGCGTTCTCTTTCCCATCATTTTGCTCGATTTCTTCGTCCCGTGAAGATTCGACGAGTCACCAACGCGTACCAGTATTCACGATCACATCCACTTTGAACACTGTCTATTATCCTCTGTTTCTGTTTCTCTATTATTCCACGGCCACTCCACAAACGAGTCGATTTTCTAAAGCATATCCGACAGAGAGAAAACCGTGCCTAGTCTTCGAGTACGATAAACACCAACTGCACACCCGAGAAATCACTTTGATACTCCTCCCACCGTCTTTCACATTTCCTTTCCACTCTCGCGTAATATACCGGAGGCTACACGGAATCGACGCGACGATGCTCGATTTCGTCGATAACTGCGCCGGGATTTCAGTAACCGCGTATATACCGAGAGACGCGCCGCAAAGGCGGAGCCGAAGGGAAAAGAAGAACACGTTACTCGAACGCGCCAGATATTTTTACCACGCTTTATTCCTCGGAGACAACAATAGGTATCCGTGTTTTATCGTACGAAAATGTTAAATCGCCCGATCGTCGTCGTTACGACGCATCGAGGAAACGTATATATACGCGAGGAACCGTATTCTAGGTTGAACACGAGACACGAAATAATGATATGCGCGCAACGCACGACGTGAGCTCACTCGCCTGGTTGCCGTACGAGGAGACGAACGGAGACGAACGCTCGAGAATGCGGCGGTAAAGCGGAGCTACGGGTGTCCCTCCCCTCGAACCCTTCTCTCCGCGACCGACCCTCCGTACTCCGCTTCGTCCCTGCACAAGCCAGCGATTCGACAACGACGACGACGACGACACAACGACGGCTACGACGCGCTCCGCCAATCGGGCGTTGTGGCGTCATGGTGCGTGACGTCATAATCGCAAAGCTGCGCATGCGCACCGCTACTTTCCCCCGAGGGGGACACGTAGTCAGCGACCGGGACTCGAAGCGCGAACAGACCAACGAAAGAGAGAAAGAGAACCGGGGGGCTTCGGAAGGGAAAAAAAGAAAGATGACGATAGCACGCGCGCGCGCAATCGGCTTCGCGTACCCACTCTTTTATACGGAGAGAGTAGGTCCACTTTACACTCGAGAAAATGCTGTTAATGAACTGCTCTTTGATTTCCAAGGAATTAGAAACGGATTTTTCAGATTTATCGATTATCGAATCGATCGGTAATTTATGCTGTCAAAAGTAAGTTGTTAATCAATTTCATTCTATTTAATTTTCGATGGAATTTATCGATAGAGATAGTTAGGACGTTCGCGAAAAATTGTAAAAGGGCTCCACCCATTTTAATCCGCGTAACTATCTCGAATTCTTGTTCACTTTAGATCAAGATGGCGGTCAATAACAAAACGCGCGACCGTTACGTCCTCGTTCGTTTAATTAAGAGGATATAAAACTGGAATCTAAAATTCGATTACGCTCTAATTGTGCTCTGTGTTTGTTAATATATTTAACCAACATAATATAGCGTACGTGTTACTACATTCGTATTTCGTAACGGAGAGTCGTATTGTTGCACGTAATTATACATATTGTTGACTACGAGAAGTAGAGCTTCTGCTATCGATAAGTATCATCAATATCGAAATATTTTTGATAATACGATATATCCATATCGTTAAAATATTGTCATAGAGATATGTTTGAAGTAGAATGTAACTAAATTTTATAACTAAAATTTAATTATTCCTTTTCGAATTTATATTTACGCTACAAGTAGAAGTAAACAGATTTGCATAATGAAATTGCGTACCTACATTACCATTATATAACAATTAGAACTGAAAAGCAGTTCTTTCAACCGAAGTGATACATCATATTTTTTGCGATTGCCCTCGTCATCCCCCTTCCGGTATTCGTCCCTGTACAATCGCCCTCGTATTTTTCGTCGCAACAATCTTAACGCCGATAATAAGTAGATATTTAATCTATTTTATCGCAGTTGCGTTGATCTTTGATCAATGTTTGAAAAGTATTAAAAAGCAATCGTTGAGTGCACTTAAATAAAGTCGCTCGAATGATATAAACAATAGGTACGATACGAGCCTCAATTATCATATATATATAGCGCAGTACTTTATCAGGTTTTCTTTCATGATAAAGATGATACCGTGATAACGATTACGGGAGGCTTCACTTACGAAATAGATAGTTTAGTTGTCGGTTACATCGTTACCGTTACAGCAACGATATTTCGGATTACAGTATGTAACTGGAATTGTTGTCCGGGGTGAGTTAGGATTTCTAGCTTCGAAGAAAATGCTCAGTTTACTCTTCACTTCTAATGTGGATATTATTCGTAATTTTTTTACATTTCTGTACATATAGCATACATATATTTTTTTGAATAATTAGCCCGATCTCGCAGCGTGAAGCAACGCCATATAACGAGAGTTAATTGGAAATTTTTTCTTGAACCACCTAAATGTACAATGTGATCAATAGTAATATTATTTTTACAGTCACGCGATATCGATACAAAATTGAACTAAGTCTATTTAATAGAATTAATCGCATTTTGTGTCGATTAGAATCGATATCGAGATAAGATATCAATACCTTATCGGGATAACGTATTAAATTATGTGATTATTGTTCCGTCTCCGATAATATCTTCTCGTCATTCGTAACCGCGTGTGCGATGTCGAAATCGATTTCGTATCTCGAGCGAGTTCCGATAAAAAAAATTCACGTAATCTTTCGATATATCGTTGCACATCCATTAAGATTGTGAAACTCCCGACAATAACAATAAAAAAAAAACACACATAAACCGTAATCGTTCGTTACGTTTGTAAATAACCGTTGATTAAATTAGTTGTAGAGAAACATATCGAGAGTTTAATTACGAACGTGTATACGAAAAGTTGCGACGAATATTTATCTCCTTTCTGTGTATTTAAAAAAGAGATACTAACTACAAACGTTGAGTATCTTGTAAGAATGACGTCAGGGTGACGTCATAACACGATACGAGTTCATAATCCCAACCTCAGACAGAGGAAAAGGAAAAAAAAATGGAAAGAAATTTTTAACACACGTGTTATGCAATACGAAACGAAACAGTAAAAGTGAACGATCGCGTAGCGTTACTTGGTTGATAATAAGCTTTTACTATCGTTACTGATGTGTATCGAGAAGAAGAAACAACCTAACCTATGTACTAGTAAAAATAATAGCGCGAATACACTTACACCGGACATACTGTGTATGACGCTGCCAGCGAACGTTTAAGTGCACCGCATATTAATACCACGTACACTAAAAAAGAGGATGTGTACGTACGTATGATAAATAGGTGTCACTACTGGACTACCCATAATTCGTAGAAGCGACTGATAGGGTGACTTTATCTAGTGCGACGCATTACAAAATTATTTCCGCTCCGTCGAGACACGCGGTAGACCTGTCTGGCCTCCATCGTACCTTTAATACTTTTTCATTCCTAAATTGGCCGTCTTCGAAATTCGAGAATTTCAAACTTTTCCAAGATTTCTGAATTCGCAAATTTAAAAATTTTGAAATCGAGAAGTTTATCCGACACTGACAGCGATATCTAAAAATACTAATTATAAAAGTTTACATATCGCGCGTTATTAGTCAATTCCTCGTTATCGTTCGATAATAATCTGGTCTAAATGGAAGATTTTTTTTAACGAGTTTTGTCACGTGAATGAATATTGTGTTTACAATCTCACGAAAAACGATATCGTTTACCGATTATCACCGATGATACAAAAAAGATTGAAGCATTGGAAACGCGAATTCTAGCACGGAACACCGTAATTTATTTTTAAATATCGCTATTTAACGACTTAAGATGACGGTAAACATCCGGACACACCTGGTACATGTCATAAGGTTAACACGGTTGAAGCGTTACATAACAGAATTTACGGATTTTTTAATGGATTGCCTTGAAAAAATGTTGATAACGCTAAAAAGCGATAAAACCAATATTTACCAAACGTGTAAATCCATATAATTCTTTGTACTATTATTATTACTATCAGTTAAAAATATTTTAATACACATGAAAGAGCACATATGTAATTATCGTGTAAAATATAAGAACAGTATAGTTTTTAAATTGAACGTCGTAAGGTAAATGAAATTATTGCGAGGATTATTCTAGAATACGATTCGATATCGCGAGAAATGCGAGCATACGGTATAGTAATCGTATATAGTTACTACGTTTCGATTATTCTTATCGAGTAACAAAGAGAGCGTTGTACTTTTCCGAGCGTAAGTTTGGCTTTGCTGGCGAACTGCTTTACGTGCTCGTTCGAGAGTCGTGTGTCTCGTGACGTCACCCGAGGCTCCGGCAACGTTGCGAACGATCGCGCGACGTTGTCGGTTCGTTGCATGTGCCGGAAATTCAGTCTCCTTCGCTTCTACGTGGGTTCACATAAATTCTCTTTGATACTGGAACGATCGGCGGAGGGACAATTATTTTTTTCGAACGCGTGCACTTTCTGTTTTTCTTCTTTCCTTTTGACCGAGGGAAAACTTGTCGCCGTTTCGCGATAAAGAAAGTGTACCCGTTTGATCGCGAGGAACGGCACGTTGCTCAGCTCGGATAATACCATTTTGTCACGTCACAATGTATGCTAGCCAGAGAAAATCAATCCGACGCTTCTCTACTAACCTTTTCATAGAATAGAGCGGCGCTCGCTATCGTCCGCGTCAAAAACATTCTGTTCTTCAAGGGTTCGTTGCGATATTGACCCGAGGTTGCGTTAGGTTATTTCTGTCGAGGTTCATGTACCTTTTCAGGTGAAACCTTCAAATCTTCCTCGATATACTACAAGTCTATCTCTGTGTCACGCATTACGCTCGTTCTTTTTCGTGTTACATTATTTCGTTGATTAACCTTCGCCCGTGTCCTTGACCTCGTATTAACAGTCCGAACCTGTACTTTAACCCGCAGTTGGTGGCCATTTTGTTATGTAGGGGGTATATCGATTCTCACAGCATTCAAAAGTCGATGACTAGTGTTATGAGTTATACTTATTACTTTTCCTAAACGTTAGATAATTTATGTATAAAAAAATTACTGGTTACATAAGTAGTTGAACATGAAATAGACATAAAAAAATATAATCTTCGTTAAAATCAATATTATATGGTTGAGACGAGTCAGTATGCATAATTACTTGATTGTTTTTACACGCAAATTAGGCCTGATACGAGTAATCAAATATTTTTTTATGTACGAGTCAGAATATAATGTCAACGACCTACATTGCCAGAACGACGAGCAATCGTCAAAGATCGATCTTTTAAATCAACCCCCATGCTGTGTTTACCGTTCGAAATGGACCAAGAGAGGAGGATATGCGCGCGATATATGACCTAATTCAGTACCCTACTGATAACGATGACGTCACGATAGCCTGTCTACTCGTTACTAGTCACGGACAGTACGTGACACGAGACCAAACTGTGCAGATGAGCTGTGCGATAATGGTGCTACTCTACATTACGTTATGCGTTACGCTGTTCCTCGCGCCACGACGCACGTTCAGTACCTATTATATTCTCTCTGGCCAACAATTTATTATCCATTCCACTCGTTTGTCATCGGTCAATGAATAAACATTTCATATATCTGAACTCTCCTTTATCACGTTGGTTTCTTACAAATAGCGTTTGCATCGGAATGTAACGTTTCTAGAAATATCGAGTCTGGGTTCAAGTCGAAAACCAACGAGACACGAGAAAATGAAAGTTTTTCCGTCGCTTTTGGATCGATCGAACAGACGAGCCTTCGAAAAAACGTAGCAGCCGTTCGTATATCGTCGTTCTTCCGTTGGCGTCAACTCACGAGATTGCGCGATGATGTCATGTATTCGGCCGAGTTTACGCGTGTTTGTAAACAGGCAGAGCGTAGGAGAGAAATAGTCCAGAAAGACGAACGAGGGAACAGGAGAAAAAGAGAGGAAGAGAAAGAGACAGAGAGAGAGAGAGAGAGAGAGAGAGAGAGAGAGAGAGAGAGAGAGAGAGAGAGAGAGAGAGAGAGAGAGAGAGAGAGAGAGAGAGAGAGAGAGAGAGAGAGAGAGAGAGAGAGAGAGAGAGAGAGAGAGAGAGAGAGAGAGAGAGAGAGAGAGAGAGAGAGAGAGAGAGAGAGAGAGAGAGAGAGAGAGAGAGAGAGAGAGAGAGAGAGAGAGAGAGAGAGAGAGAGAGAGAGAGAGAGAGAGAGAGAGAGAGAGAGAGAGAGAGAGAGAGAGAGAGAGAGAGAGAGAGAGAGAGAGAGAGAGAGAGAGAGAGAGAGAGAGAGAGAGAGAGAGAGAGAGAGAGAGAGAGAGAGAGAGAGAGAGAGAGAGAGAGAGAGAGAGAGAGAGAGAGAGAGAGAGAGAGAGAGAGAGAGAGAGAGAGAGAGAGAGAGGGAGAAAGAGAGTTGGCCCGTGTCAGGTACCTTGCTGTTCCGACTGCGCAGCATCTCAGCTCGTTTCTCGTACGGCTCGTCGAGGTTCTCCTGCGTATATATATACAACGGTCGCTCGTCTCGTTTTCTCGTACACAAGCGTGACGTCATGCTGCAAGTTGCACTGGAGTAACCGGCACTGGGAACGGGGGAGGTTAGGGGATAAAGAAAATGAGCGAGGCGCGCGCAGGCAGACACGCACGCACGCACGCACGTACTGTACATATACACGTGGACGCGCATGCGCAGAGAGCCGCGACGTCGATGGATTTGCTGTTACCTGCAGGGAGCAGGCTGCATGCAGGATACATGCGCGATGACATCGCTCGTGTGTGCCTGTTGGTTGGCTGCTTTTCCCTCTTTTCTCCACTCGCCAACCTACCGCCGTGGCATATAACCGGTTCCGCGCCGCGTGCAAACTCCTTCCTATCCTCTCAACCTTCTCTCCATTCCTTCCTTTTTCATGCAGACCCATCGTCTCTCTTCCGAACCGTTCCGACCTCCCCCACTTCTTTTCTCTCCCTTTTTTCCTCGTGTTATATCATTCTCGCTCTCTCGTTGCGTGTATACCGTGCGCAAACGATGGAACAGAGCAACGAGTTCGCAAGAACTGTCCGCCATTCCAGCCATCCCTGCCGTTCTGCATGTTTTCCTCTCGTTCTATTTCGTCACCGATGTACAGCTCGCGTGTGTACGCGCCTTCGACGTTGGAATGCCGCTTCGTGGTCATATCTAGTGGGACGTGCTCTTCATTCCGTAGCCTGTCCTTATCGCGCTAACGTGATTTGTCCAAACGTGCATACAGCGCTCTACTACATACTACGCTACCACTCGTCGCCTCGGTCAATATCACATCGTGTACTCCTCCGGCTAGCTGACGCGCACTGCGCATCGATATCACGCGGTTTGGCCCTTCGTTTTAGGATAAACTTACACGAGAGCGGTCACGCGCACCTGTTATATGTATACGTCTCGAGCTTACGTTTCATTTCGTTGGCATCATTTTTGATGGCTATTATTCATTCTACTAAATAGGTAACCTGCTAGGAACGTTTAGGTATGTATCGATCATCGGTAAGTTATTGATAACTTCAGCGGGTTACATCTTACTCTCACTAATGATGTTCTTTCATCGTGGTACACAAAAAGATTGATAAATTTCACGGTTATCATTCACGTCTAATTATTTTTTTTTTAAAGTCAGAAAAATGATCCTCGAAGAAGAACAGGAACCTGCTCGAAATTTAAATAAAAATAGGATTAGTTATATTTGGTTTGGCTCGAAATTCAAACAAAGATAAATAGCTTTAAACGATGATATTCCACGTTACGTTCTACCTCGGTCACTCCCATTTAAAGGTGTAGCTATTGATTATCGATAAATTTTCTGTATCTTATTGATACTTAACGGTTTATCTGAGGCAGAATATAACGCGTGATTCTGTCGTTGAAACTTCGCATCTAATCACTATACTATTGCTATATTTTATAATTTTTTAGTAGTTACTTATTAAATTAACTGCGTAGCTTGTTAGAACCCAGCTGAATGTTTAACCGCGAATCGAGGAAAAGGAAAACATCGAGAGTCGATTAAAGGAAAGAGCACGTTTTTCTTATTCAAGCTTTCTAAACAATGTTCGCGAAGAAGGCGACGGGGCAATGCCACGAAGAAGGAGACGACGCATATTGCACCGGACGGTTAATGGCGTGATGGCGTGACATCGGTGCACACGCACACCGAGGTGGGGCGAACGGGACGAAACGAAGCGAAATGAAACGGCCGGAACGCGATGTCGCGTGGCTTGCAGTCGCGTGTGTCGCAAGTATTACACACGATCTCTTGACTAAATGCTTTAGCGCACGAACACACGTTCGTATCGTTGTTTCGTTTCTTCCCTTCTAATTCCCGATCCTTTAACCCTTCTTACGTGCTCTACGTAACTATTACTTTATGCTAGGCGAGATTACTCGTTTAAGGCGCACGAGAATGGCTTATCAATTTCCTCCTGACAGAGAAAAAAAACTCTACGACTAATGCGATTTCTTCTCCTCCGGTTGCTGTAATAATACCGTGTCGTACATGAAATCGGACGCGCAGAAAAATCAATGTACATTTCTAATTTCAAAAGTTATATTCTGAGGATTTTGTGTTTAAAATCGGTATCAAATTAAAAGGACGGTGATGCTACTACGCTTTTACCATTCGCTAAGTTTATTCGTCGCATCGCCGAATACGGTGTCTGTTCGGTCTAAAAACAACATACACGATTGCTTCCGCGAACAACTTTCATGATTGTTTTAATGGCCGCGTATAGCGGAACAGCTGTAAAAATGATCCACGAGTTTGATACTCGGTTTTCTTATTTGCCCGGTGAAACCCGACCGATGCGACGTGCAAAATTTAAAGTCAAATGTGTCCGATTATCCGTCGTTCGATCTCCATCAGATAGCTTAAGGAAGAGGAAAAGAAAAAAGAGAAAACGTTAGTTCGGTTTGCACCCTCTTCTTTGTTTCGAGGCGAAACGTGCCGTTAAACAGCTCAAAGAAACACCTGACGACGTCAGACGGCCGTCCAGAAGAACGTGTACGTATGTACGTGCATACCTGTGGCAGGTGAATCGAGGAGTCAGGTGCCCGAGCAGATGGGGTAGTACCTTTACACGAGAAAACGTTATAAAAGCGGTCTATCAAAAATGTAGGTTACGGACTAGAACAAATGCCAGCCGTTAGAGTAAATGTGACGCTTTTAACTGATTTTCGACGATGTTAATGGCGTACAGTTACACGAACGCGGGGGCTGTGTCGATGGAACTTTTTGGCAACACGATATAGGAAGAGTTGAAATCTTGTAACCCGGCTATCAAATTCACGATCCTTCGAGTTTTCAATTTTTCAGCGTTGACAAGTTTTAGACTTGCAGTACTTTGTTTGCAATTATTGAAGATAGCGACGATAGCGTAGAATATGCGAGGTTAAGGATTAAATAAAAAAAATTTCGAAAACGTCGTTCGACGCAGAACAATAAGATAAAACGTCCTTCGAGACGTTCTCGTCAACCGGACGAATATAACGAGCGCATCTTTTTTTCATGGACACGTATCGTGAGCTGTACACGTACGCGTCTTCGGTGTATGCAGTCGCGCGAACTAAAAGACTATGTCCAGTCACGTGTCAGAGTGGAATAGCGAAAACGTGATGCGATTATGCATTCTTCCTACATCGTTGTTTCTCGGCTCGATACGACCAGCGGACCCGCGAACAGATACACATACTTATTAGTCTAACGTTTTACGGTAATTCTATCAAACGTTTCTTTTTAACAAACGTCACCGGATTTCACGCGATTAGTTATGCAAATCTTTTCTTATCACGAGATCAACGAATGGGTAATGAAGCCATTCGGTCGTCAAACACGATCAATGAAACGAGACGCTCGAACTTTTTCAATGTGTAGAAACTTCGTTGTTTTGTAAATATCGAGCAAACGATTCCAGGTGAGAGGCAGGATTAGTAACGTATTTGGCATCGTGCACCAAATAACGTATAACAAAACGTAGCAGATGGTACTAATTATAGAATTAAGTATCATAAAAGACACGAAGCTGATTTAGGTGGAAAATAAGATTGTAGCAGCAAATACAATGTGTTACATCGAACAAGTAGCAATTACTGTCGAACAGCGGATAATTAAAGCCTTTAATTCGAAATCGGTAAGAGAGGTCCTGTGAAATTTTCGACCGAAAAACACGTAACGATAACGACAGAAACGAACAGCTGCCAGAATGTTTGATTAGATGTCAGAAAAGAATTGCCCCGAAGCAGATCTTATCATTTCAAATCACAGCTGTCTCCTGCCGCTGTCAGCCGGTTAACCGGTTGATGCGTTTTGAAATACAGATATTCGACAAAAAATCGATATACTCGACAAACGGCGTAAAAACGATTTATCGTTATCGAACGATATACGCGTCCTTTTAATCATCATACGACTGATAAAGTCAAAGATGACATTTTATGAAACTTGGGCAAAACATTTTTTAACAATAAAGAGAAAAAATCTTAGATTCAAAGACAAAAAATATCGACGAAGGAAAGTTACGAACATAAATTGCGAAATTTTTAGTGTTCAATTTTAATTTCTTTTTTCGGCGATACGGTATCTTCGCTTTTTGCTAGCGTTTTAATTGCTCAATATTCAATGCAACGCGCGTTCTGTAGCAACGGTCATTCATAACCTTTAAGTCGATTAAAATTTTCGAAAATCAAGAACGGTAAGGAGAGCATAAATAGTAATACCCCAGTTATCTTGTACGTTTCGAAACGTTAGGACAAAGAGGGCAGTATGCAATATCGGGAAGCGTTCAGAAACGGGAGCAAACAATCGAAGGACGTTCGTTATTCCGGAAACGTTCGCGCGTCGTCGGCAGCCGCTTTCATCGAACGCGACGGATCTGTCGCTTAATCGATAAGTATCGGTCATTTACGAGCCACGTCCATGGATAATTTTAAAACGCGCGTTCGAGAGTGAAGTGGGTCGAGAAGATACGTGGAAACGGCGATGTACGGTGAACTGTGGCCAGTTCCAAGGCGAGATTGATTTTAAATATAACATAAAACGTCGATGCGTAAGCGTATACGCGCGCGCCATCGTTCGAGTTCGTGCCGGAAAACGTACGATTGCGCATGCGCTTACGCTTGCGCGCAGGGCTGTAATTCGAATGCGAATTCGGCATTAAAAGGTATCTACGATTCTTTACATTTTTTTTATCAATCGTCGTTACATTATTCGTACGAAACGTTATCATAATTGTCAACATAAAAAGGGTCGTTAAAATATGGCCACAAATTTTATCTACGAATTTAAAAGGCACCAGAAGAAATCTTCCGCAAGATGGTAGCTTTCTACCGCTTTGCGTTCGACTCGAGACCGAAAAACAAGAGTGAGTCAGACTAGCAGTGGGAGACTAACTTCTCGCGTCTCCTTGAAACTCGCGAGCTTGGCGTGCTCGTGACTGACTGGCGTCGTAGAAGAAATGTGGAAAGTGGCGTGTTCGCGCGCGAGCGTGCAACATGTAAAAGAAACTTCAGTATCGATCCAGCGCCTCTTTAGAAAGTCACGTTGGCTTGGCGTGTTGATACCGATAAGTTCCTCGTCCCTCGAACCTCTACGACCGTGCGACGTTGTGTCGTAGCCGGCAAGATAGGCGGTTTATCGCGTACCGCGATAAGGAGCCGCGTAGCGTAAGAGTACGATTGAACGGAACGCGACGAAAAAACCTAAAGATATTGTTCGTGCACGGATTTGTCGCTTTGATCACGTGACGTAGTCGACCGGTCTTGTCTACACTAGACACGTGCACTTCCTTAGAGAAAATGTTACTTAAAAATTTAAGAACGTAGAAATTCAGTAATTTAGAAAGGTATATGATTTCCAAAAATTTTAGTTAAAGGAAGCCTACGTTGCACGCGATTTACGTGCACGCGGTAAACCGTTTCGATACTTTCCGTCCGCTTTCGGATCCGTTCAGTCATCCATCGTTGTTCTGCCTGCTGACTCGACCGCGTTACTCGCTTGTAATTACCTGTTCATCGTCAAACCGTTACTAAATATACGCCACAACGGGCTTAGACTCACTCGAGTAAAACTTCCTTGATTTCCCTTTTGAATCGAGCGTTCAACAATGTACGAGTCACCGAATCTTCATTTTTTCATTCGTTCATTTGACTTCGCAATTGGAACATATTTTTGCTTAACCTAATTTAAAATTTATGATTGCAGAAGACACTGATCGTAATAAAAATTTTTAGGTTAAAAAACAGGAAATGTCCTTTTGTTACATTTAGTTTAATTTATATTACAACTTGGAGAGTTAAATATTATTTTAATCTTGCTTTAGTGTCAGTTCTATAGGTGCATTTTTGAAAGAAATATCTCTGTGGAAATTGCATCGATTCTTCCCAGATCGAGAAACGCCACGTACGAGTCGCCTGCGAGTTCCGTAATTGTGGAATATTTTGCAATTCGTAGATTGGAAGGCGCCTTTCTCGAAAGAGCGTCGACGATGGCGATGCTGGTCACGTAAGCCCGTAGTTCCGAGGGTGCCCTGAGCACGCCATGGAATACTAGAATACTAGCGGCGAGAATGTGCGGCGAATACCCGCGACGCGAGTAACCGCGAGCGAGCGAGCGAGTGAGCGAATCGGATCTATAGTATGCCCCTCACGCTTCGACGCGCCTCCGTATATATGTACTTGTATGTATCTATCTACTTAAACGTGCCTATGTGCTCTACGTAGCCAGCATAATTTCAGGTTTTCCCGCGCCGGAAGTTGAGAAAAAATATTATGGGACCCTCGTGCAGTCGTGATAAGCAATTTCGCAATTTTTCGCGGTTATTCGCGTCGCATTGTTAACAATGACGGACGAAAGGGCTGCCACTTATAGCTGTGCAAAATATACCTCGCACATGAACGGCATTTTGATCGACTATAAATATATTAAATATTATACTTTACACTAATTTTGTCTTCTCGTGTTCAAATAGAGCCTACTAAAAAAATCTAATACGCGTAGCGATTGACAGATTACATTTAAAAACTATACATCGTAAAATAGCTCGTTCCTATCTGGCAATTATAGAGTGAAGGATAGTGACATAACAAATCACGCGTCACGAATACGTAAAGGTTAATCGTTAAAGTATTAATCGAATATATTACTGTTCGGCTTACTCAATGTATACTGCAAAGAATTTTGATTTTCAACCGAACGGACCATTACCTCGCCCACGTCTTAAACGGTCGCCTGAAGTCTGGTGATCGGGTAAAACCGGTTTGAGTGCGACAGTGCCGTAACTACCTAGCGATGTACTTCGGGATTAGCAAATACTCGTCAAATTGTAACTTGTTTGTTCACCGATTTACTTGTATAATGCAAGAGAAAAACTATGTACAATGAGTATTACATTAAAGTATCGATAGCAGCACCTTATTACCTAGTATAAAGTTTCGCGACGTCTAAGATAATTACAGAATTAGTTGGGAAAATTGTCACCAGTCCAACTAAAATCACACTAATCAGCAACTCGAAAGTACGTTTCAGACTTATCATCGACACAGCTGCAATGCAACAAAGCGACAACTACTGTGATACGTTTGTCATGTCATAAAACATGTCTAGTCTGAAACGGGCCTAAAATTGCACACTATACTAACGGAGAATGAAATGGAATGGGAGACAGCCCTCCCACTACTGTTCCACTGCGCACGCGCAGTCGAAACTTCGTTCTCGCTCAACATCTATATACAAGTATTTTACGAATAAAATTTTTATTTTCTCGAAAACAAACACATTGCATCTCACACGTTAAATTCGTTTTTATTTTTAACTTAAAATTACCACGGGTCTGTTTATCTTGTCTGTATTAAAACATCTTGTATTTGTCGATCAAATCAGAAACGAAACCGAAAGCGATCTGAGAAGATAAATCGATGCTGTGACTAAAAACATTTACGTCGATATATCGCTTTATTATATCGTTTCAGTAACTTTAGATTTTGACAAATAGTGCAAAAATTTATTGCCACGAAAAAAACTAAAATTTGTGAAATAATGAAGAAATAAACTACAGCCCTGTCAGGATAATTCTAGAACCTCTTAAGTATCGATATAAGCGCACTAACCTCTAGTTCCCCACTTTAGAAACATTTTACCGAAACAGTGCAGCTCTCCTGGCCGATATAACTCCTGAATATTGAGAATGCACAGGTTCGCACTACGTGGGACGCATTTGCACGATCTACTATGCATTCTGAATTCTGAATAGATGTTTTCAGAGAGTTTTTTAACTTTATTTTTATGACTCTTAGATTCGGGCAATTGCGAATTATACTTTTTAATTGACTAGTAACGATTGGTGAAGTTTTTTCTGCTTCACAATAATACATTTAAAGTACTTTTCATATTCTGTGCAGTCATAATATTCAGTCAACATTTAATCAACATAGTTTTTCAAGATATTTTATAATAAAGTAGCATTTAATAATAGTTCATGACTTTTTAGATGTTAAAATCAAGAAAAAGTATTCAGAGTAGAAATAAAAAAAAATTGCCTCCTGTGAGGTTTGAACTCACGACCCCTGGTTTACGAGACCAGTGCTCTGCCACTGAGCTAAAGAGGCTGACGTTCTTCTCATTTCACATGAAAGCTTATCAGCAGCAAATACCGTATACAACCTTAATAATAAATTATACATAGAGAGTACTAATAAAAATATGTGTAACTATTATTATAAAACTGAATTTGAAATTTTAAATATGTACCTAGTAGCTTTCATGAGTATTTATTAACATTATATGGGCGATTTCCTTTTTTAAAAATCACGACATTCGTATAAAAATATCTTGACAAATAGGGATGAACATTTATAGCATATGTTTATATCTTGTCGATGTTAATTCGATTGTTAATTAACTGAATCATAAGAATGTTTTTGTAACAACAGACACAAATGAATGCGATTAAAAGTCATCTGCATCGCTTATGCGATTGCCATACTTATGAACAAAAATAACCTGCATATTGCGTTTCGTGATAATGCAATCAGCAAAATTACGTTCACTCGGATTACATTACAGTCGAACCGATCCCGTTTGCATTTCTATGCGTTAACTACCCGTTGCCTGATAAATATTTCTTGTTTGGTATGCTATAATCATGTAACACACGTTTCGTTATAAAATACGTGAAACGCCTGGAATAACACGTGTAACGAAACGCTTCAAATTATTAAACTTGTTTCAGGGTCAAAACTAAAGATTTTAAGTGCAATAGACTCTGTATTGTATATTGCTAGCGAGGGTTATCCAGAAAGTTTTCTCTTTCGAATTAGACTACATCCTACATATCCTTAGATTTCTCGACCTCTGAATATCTTCTGTATCTTTATATTCCTACATCCATGTGTTCTCATATCCTTACACCCCTATATCCCCGATTATAAAAACATTTACAAATGCACATGTACCAATGAATCATCCAAGAAAAATTTTAATGCGAGAAGTGTTTCCGTCTGTCTTGAGCTGTATTAAAAATAGTACGACACAGAAATTCAACACAAACGCAAGACAGATGTCAATTGTCACTTCCTGTTTTGCGCGTCGATCACAATGAGCTACGTAGATCCCTTCCTGAAAGGACACGTGCAAAACTCTCTTTCTCTAGGTAGCTCCCCAGAAAAGGCAGATGTTGGAACCATCTTAAAGATTTCGTAGGGAGACCCTTTTTCAGAACCTTTGTCGTATTCTTTCAGACGCTATAATAAAGGGCCCAACGGAACGTACCCGTGAGCCCATTGTGCGATTAAGCAGATGTTATCCCGTGAATGCGCAATGTATAATATGAATCGCGAACAAAGAATTCGATTTTTCTACCGTACACGCGGAGATTTTTGCATTTTCCCCGATTGTACGGCCCGGGAAAACGTAACGACGTATTGTCCGTGAAAAATCACCGTTATATCCTACATTATCGTGCCATCGCTAGCTTTTGCGCTCTTTATCGTCGTGTCTCGCGTTTTATCGCCGCGGGTACAACGAGTTATGAAGTTGTGAGCTGATCAAAGGTACATCCGTTCTTTTAATTAAATTCCATGAAATACTCAACGTGAATATGAAACCCAATTTCGTTTTTATATTTCTTTCACGAGACACAACAATGACCCGGCTTATACGATCGCGGTCACCACGATCTATGGCGATGCAAAAGCGTCAGAGTTGTAAGTTCGTTTCCCGTCGATCTCGGCTCACCAGGGCCGAGGTCAACCAGCATCAGAAACGTACCCAACTCGGTGACTTTCTACTTTCTGTTTTTATTCATTGCTGGGATCCTTGCCAGCAAATTCTATGTCTTCGGAAGAAGATCACAACTATCAGGATAAAATAGCCTCGTTACTAACCGCGAGCTGTTTCGCGCATAGGTATTGAATGAATCTCTTAAATGTCTTGGCTATTGAACCAATTATGTGAAACACTTAATGTATTCGCCTTTTTGTATGTCGCTTTTAAATTGGAATTCTCAACACGCCTTGTTCTTAGATAGGGAATTTAAAATAGGAACGTAATCAAGGATGACACTTCTGAAAACTCAGCGTCACTTTTAAATTCCTCGAATACCTGGGTGTATAAGTGTCGTTCATGTTCTAGAATAATCCTGAGCCACGAATTTAGAGAAATTTAAATGTTTCGGAACGTTGTAACGTTACGAAGACTTACTTTAAGTTACAGTAAAAAAATAACTATGTAGTAATAATCGAAAAACTGTAAATCTTAATTTATTGTTTTAGTAAATGATCTACGTTATGCTATATTGTTTCATAGCCTTGAGGAAATTCGAACGCTAGTTTCTTCGAAAAAGGTTAAACGAATGACGCAGAGATTTCTTGTGTACATCTTTCGAGAAGTTTCCCGTTGGATAAGAGCGGACATGCGCCCAATCGTTTCTTGGGGATAAGCCCGCCGGTTGTCGAGCGATGGGGCGAGCGAGCAACCTCCACCCGTACCCTTGAACCTAGCAGACGCTCGCAACGTTGCCGCCTCGTGCAACTATGCTGTGCCGTCTCGTTCGGTTACGTTCGGCTTCCCTCGGCAATGCTTTCTTCGCAAGAATTCGCGTCCTCCGTCGTCGTCGTTGTCGTTATTGTCGTTGTTACCGTCGTCGTCGTCGTCGTTGTTGTTGTCGTTGTCGTTGGAGGCTGGCGCGACGCCGAGTATGCTGACGTCACGCCTTGGCGTTACGCGTAGCGTTACGTAAAAAACGTGCTGCTGAACTCTTTTACTCCATCGTACTATAGCAACGAGCGTTACTTGCTAGATACAGAAAATTCCTACGAAAATTCTTTGCCACTGCGCGTTTCAAATTTTTCATGGAATAACTGATTCTATAATAGGTATAACAATAAACTATCCTTTATGTCATCTCTGTAACGAAGAGCCGAATTGAAATTCATTTTAGTTGTAAAAAAAAAGATATAAAAAATGAAGCTTGTATTTGTATAAAAATCAACGAAGACAACTGGACCTGGATTAGTCCAGCTTTCAGGTACAAATCTATTAGTATGTTTTTTCTGTTGTCATTTAACCTTGTCCTTTTAAATCTAGGTTACACTTGTCCATGCTTTCTCTGCGTTCCCGTGTCTGTTGACGTCGACGAACAGACACAGTCTGACGTCACTCGTATTACGCAAAAAAAACCCTGTCTCGTGAACTCGATTAACACGTTGCAGCGTTCCTCGTGACTTCAGTCGTAACGAAATCGCGTTGTCTGGCGCGAAACAACGATCGGCTTATTTTCGCGGTGAACAGGAACATTTTTTCCTTCGCAGTACATTGGCCTTGCGTTTACGATCGTGTTGGATCTAGGTTGCGTTTAAGTATGCTTTCTCCGCAAGAATTTAATGCCTGCCAACGATGCTGACTGGCAGACGGCGTTCGGAATACATGCTGACGTCACGTGTAATGTTGCGCGTAGCGTTACGTAAAAAACGTGGCTGCGGATCGTAAATGCATTGGTCCTTTAGTACTGTTAAAGTCATCATAGTGAATTGGTTATACGATAGAAAAATACGGTCAATATTGCTTAATTATAATGAAATACCACTGCCGTAGATATTGAAATAACTGAAATCCAAGTTTACATTTTACTGTAATATACATACAAGTAATTGTATGGTACAGTGTTGGTATACAGCTCTCTTTTATATGGCTCCTTCATTCGGACTTTTACGCACACTAACGACGTTCTCCCACCACTACAATGTACAGAAATCCATGGACACCACCGCCATTTCAAAGGTCGATGCCGTTTTGTTTTTGATTCGCGATTACGGTCACCGAACGAAAATATTTAAATTTTCAAACTCGCAAAAATTCGGATATTTTTAAATCCACCAAGTTCCGCATTTGCTTATTGCGATAATTTGTGACGTAAAAATCGACGTACTTTAGCCGCCAACTATGTACGCTACTGGCCATAGATCGAAAAATCATCTCACGATTACGTGTTTTGAAATATAATATACCCAATTGTGATGCAACCCGTAAAAATAATTATTAGAACGATTTGTATTCTTATCGTTGATTGTTTTCGTATAAAAGATATTTTAAATAAACGTCAAGGAATTATCGCTTTACTGTAAATCGTGCCCGGAAGATCTCCTTCCTTTACCTTCTTTACTCTCACTTGCTCTTTCCTTTCGCGTCTGTCTCCCGTTCGCACGCTCGTGTGCCATTTACGAGGCAAACCGGTTTACGCTCTTTTTGCGAACCACGGCTTCGCGAAGAATGTTGATTTTTGCGATATGTACCGCTGGGAACCTAACCTACATCATTATCCGGATGAGCTGGTCGCACTTGAAGTCTTGTTTCCTCGTAGACCTTGAATCCCCGTAAAGGTTTTATTTTTCGTTCACGTTATCAACGCGACGAGGAATGATGCATTTCGAGGGTATTCAAGACGAATGTCCTCGAGGCTCGTGACTCGACAAGCAACGAAGCCTCGATACGCACGCCACGAGCCTGGCATAAGTAAAATGACAGATGGTTTGTACGTATGTACATAACCGTGCGCCAAGATAAAAAATTTTAGTCACGACGAGGGAATCGCTTCATGGTCGGGGACAAATTCGGCAATGTCTTGATATTTGCCATTCGGTACACGAACTATCGCCGAAAATATTTTTACTACCAAACATGCCTGGCATACGTCTCCGTTGATTAGCGTAAGTGGCTATTGTTCTCACTAACCTACAGCACTATACTCATTATCATTTTTCAATCGTGACGGTACTACCAAGGAATTACAACGGCGTTCCGATAACTTGGCAGCTGGGATATCTCAGGGACGAATACATTAATCCTATTCACATGGGACGAAATGTCCGAAAATATTTTTAAATCTCTCGTGCGAGAAGAAGTTTGCGAATTACAGCTCGGTGGAACGAGAAAGTAAAGTATAAAATTAAATTGAAATTGTCGTTGCGCGTCGCCATTCATGAGTTAACTGTTCGCTACGATGAACCGTAGTCAAGTGGCGCGAAAATTAAAATGTCATTTTACGATGAGTCTTGTTTAAAATGATTGATAGTTACGTAAATTTAAAACGGTAAAAAAGAAGTAATTACGTTTGTTACGTAGCGTTCATCCCAATGCAAATACTTGCAAGTTGAACGGATCTTACTGTCTGCAACCAGAAACCGGTTAGACGAAACTTTCGAAAATTCCAGAATGACGTAGTCTTTCCCGCGTGTACATATGCACTGTGAAGATACACAACTGTGTTTCTCCCATCGTTCTTCATTTACAGTTACTTACGTAAGATACTCTTGAGCCTTTTTCTTGGCTCGTTTGATGCACGGCAACCGACTTGGTCACGTTTTATTGTGTACAACGAAAACATTCGCATATACGAACGTTAATTTGAATTACTATTGTGTAACCTATTATATTATAAAATTACTGTCTACTAGTATATCTTTTACTTACCTCGATTATACGTTAACCGTCGTAATAAATCACTGAAGCACTCGCATAAAAAATATACACTTTTCATTTTTTTTAACGGCATTAAAAAACATGAGTTTCAAATTTAGCGTTGCAATTACCCTATTAATTCATAACGCTCTACCGATCGTGTGAAAAAATAATTTAAACAAAATGAGTATCACTTTAGGAATTTATCCAATGGATACGGTCTTAAATTTTTAAATTTAAAGTTGTGCCATATAGCAACGTTACGATGCATTCCAAGTTGTGTAAATTTAAGGTTAATAGAATTAACAAAACAGTACTCACGTTACCACCGGGTAATCGACGTATGTTCTATGAGACTTAGATGCACTGTTAGGACTTCGTTGCCTCTTCGTGGTTTCTCCGGAAGCAACTGCATACAATACAAGAAATACATATTTACAATTGATTGTAAAATCCATAGAAAACGTGTATATATATTTATAGAATATTCGCATTTAATTCATACCACAACTATAACTATGGTATTCGCTTGGTGTTTCAGTGAACCTTTCGTCGGTTCTAGATGTTAATAATTCATTTATCCTCCAATCTTGTATTTCTTTGCGTAATACTGCAACCGGATCATCATAGTTTTCATTATCGACTGATTCTATGTGATTCTTGCATTTAACTTGTGCTTCTTGCGTAATTTCATTTTGAGAATGTTCATTTATTCCGCGTGATCGTTTTAAGATGTTGTCTGTACATTTTCCCTTTGGAAGGTACAAAGCTTTATTTCTCGTAATTACTTTCGAAGATGCCTTTTCATGTGACTTTACCGAACGGGATCGTTTACTTATTGCGGAATTTAAAGATTTACCGTTGGAGGGAACGTTCTGATTATCATACGACATTTTTATCGGTTCTTCGATAATTGCGATATATTCTTTTTATTATTTCCGTTTGATTTCCTGAAAATCAAAAATTTTAATTTTATAATTAATTCATCGATATTTTACGATATAATATGTATGTTATTTATGATTTAAATATATCGATAGAAAATTCGAAATAAATGAAATAAAATGGAAAATTGAAAGAGAGCGCCATCTTTCGAAAGTCGCTTTCGCTATTGCAATGGTTTACTCATGATACAGAATGATTACGAATTTGAACATGAAAATAAAATGAAACTAAGTTGCTTTACTTGCTAAAAGTTGCGTCGACTAATTTGTGACGGATATAATATCACCGTTATAAACGTAGGTAAATACAAAAATAACGGTGTTAGTACATCATTCTGAATTACAGCTAACGAGAAATAGAAAAATTTTATTTATAACATCATGTAATCTAATTATATTTAATTAAAGTTAAAAGTTGAAAGTATATTACTGTATGATAAGTAAAATATGTTAGTTCTGCAGATTACACTTGAATTATATTGAATGTTTTTATATTTTTACTAACCTTTCGTTTGCCACCTGTTTTGTCACTGTTACTATACATAACCAATGTTGAAGCAACAGTTAAATCGTAACGAACGTTTTCTGGCCATAAAAGAAAAAAAAAGATGAAAGAAACAGTGACGCTATGATCGAAATTTGTTGAAAGTATAAAGTGAAAACAGTTACTTAAGAATGTTACTTGTCATTTCTAACTTGTCAAAACTTGTATAAAATAATTATCAATTAATATATAAAATGTCACAAGTGAGGTAGTTTATTACTCGTAAATAATATACAATTAAAACTGAGCGAAATCATTTACAAATTATCAATAATTATCAGTGATACAACACGATTATTTAAAGTATAACAGTTTATGGTCTTACCTTTTGAACAAAACGACTGGATGCATTCGAAACAAAGCACAACTTTATCTGGTAAGTGCATATAGGGGTCAGGCTACTACATGAACATCTGTTCGTTTGCTATAGCTTTGGATTTTGTGATTTTATTAACAATTCACGTATTGTAACAATCAACGTTTTTTACTATCCGAAATTAAAAAAAATCATTTCTTAAAAATATGTTATACAATTATATTTTTGAATGAATTTTAATTTTAAAAAATCGTCATTATGCGTTACAAAAAATAGATGATTCAGTTTTACATATATAGCAATAGATGTAAAATTTATATTTGGTCAATTATTCTATAATTTGTCATTTATTGAAAAGAAATTTAATAATTCCAACACTGTTTTATCTTGTTTGAATAGTACGTGTCTGTGTACATATTGTGCACGTGTCTTACTAGGCAGCTTTATCCTAACCTCAAATTTATCTCCGTCAAAGTTCTTTCAGTCTTTTGAGGTGCATCGATAATACATTTTTAAGTGAATATCTTTGCATAGAAAGTAAATAATTTATTATAATGGCAATGCAAATGCCTACAAAAGTGGACTCTGATCAGATTAAATCTGTATGTATTTACAGTGATTTCATAGATTGTAATTTATAAAAAGACCGCATTTAGATGTGTAAATCAACCATGTGCTTAACCATGTGAAATCTAAAGAAAACGTTCAACTGCTATCGCGTTGCATTTGAAACGGAATGTAGATTTTGAATGATTAGAATTTTTGTACTTCAGGTTCGAGATTTTGTGGCATCCTATAACAAATTAATTGAAATTTGTTTCGTTGACTGTATAAACGATTTTACGACACGAGATGTCCAGTCAAAAGAAGAAAAGTGCGCTCTGAATTGTATGGAGAAATATCTGCAGATGAACCAAAGAATTTCCCAGCGATTCGCAGAATTTCAAATGCTCGCTAATGAAAATATAATGGCAGCACAAAAAAAGATAAACGAAGGTACATAATTTCGAACGTTACGTAAAGTGTATATAAATTAGGTTTTCAAACGTGACACCATAGGAATTATACAAATTCAATATTTTAATCCTTTTTTTATCTTAATTTTTCTAATTATAAATGATATAGATATACTGTTGAATATTAAGAAAATAAGAACAACAATGAAAAATACTTATATAACAATTATGTATTACTTTATAGGTAATGCATTAAATAAATATTAATGGCAATACATGTTGTACAAAATGTTGAATAAATGGCTAATACTAACCAAAATAAAACCAAATTATTAAAATACAAATTATTGGACGGATCAAAACCTTTGAGCAAGATATACTATTCAGAAAAGTGATATGAAAAAGTGTGTGCACTGAATGTTTGTAATTTCATCTATATAATGTAGTCATAGACTATCAGTTATACATTGTTTACATTAAAAAAGTTGTATGTAAAGCACCATCTCGATATAGACATAAATAATTTATTTCAAGAAACGAAGTAACAAAATGTATGCTTTAATTTAACTCGATTTCGAGTGATCAAAATCGTGTAATTTTGGTTTCCCATGAATTTCGATATCCATGCTATTCGAGTCCCATTTAAAACGGGAAAATTGTGGTATGACCGGTATCGAGTCCAAGTTTGATGTAGGACTAATAATTTGTGAGCCATAATTTACACTGGAAATTTGATGTTCTTGATTATGTATTAGTAATTCAGAGTTGGGAGAATTCGGCGGAGTTCTCCGTAATCTTTTGTAACCGGAAAATCGGTTGAATGATACTTGATCTACGCAAATGGCTTGCGTAGTATATCGAGTTTTATACAAAATTGGACAGCCTAAATCTCCTTTTAAACTTAAACTATATAAGTTTGCAAGGCGGCGGAGCTTTTCTCGCTCGTGCTGCCTCATTGGATGTAATCTGAGTTCACTTTGAGTGGGATCTTGTAAAAATCTAGATACTTTCTCGTTAGCTGATGTAATAATCGAGTATCCAGGTTTATTATCAACGCGACGGCGACCAGCGCGAATTTCTCTTCCACTCCAGTCTCGAATTCTTTGAATTCTTTTTCTATAACTTTTTCTCGATTCAATTGCATGTTCAAAATTTCCATGCAACATCATCTGAAGTGGTGAATCTGTTGTCACCTTATCTTCGTTAGTACTTTCATTGTCATCCCACCAACTTGGTTCTCCGATCCAATCTGACTGTTCATCATCTCCTAAAGTAAAAAATTTATTAAGAAGTTTCTTTTTATTATTGTATAAATTATGCAATACCTTCTCTATCTTCGTCATTTGTGATAAGTCCAGCTTCTGAGTCACTTGATGAAATGCTTGAACTGGATATTCTTGAACAATCAATAGGATCATCTGTCTGCATTTTAATGCGATCTTTTGATTTTGTATCCCTGTTTGGTTTTAGTGATCTCATCCCACAATCTGTGGATCGTTCCCTATAAGACCTTTTACGTTTCCCACACCTGCAATAAGTAATTTCTTGTACTAATAAATATAAAATTATACTTTTTGATATTATATAGTATATACATATTCATGTAAGGTTCATTACCATATTGTTTCATATCTATTTTTACAGTCACTTCGAAGAACTCTCTTCTTATTTGCAAGTGCTGTTGACATTGCAATAGTTTGAGAAGTAGAGGGATTAGAATCAGAATCAATAGCCATTCTTTTAAATTTTCTTTTACGTTTTGGATTCACTCTAGGTACAAAATTTTCATTAACCGAATCACTTTCAATATTACTAGCATTGTTTGAATTAGAAAAAAGTGCAAATCTTTTTGTTTGATTTGTATCATCACTGTCGGACTGATATTTGGAGGCAGTCGTACTTTTAGGGATATGAATGTCACAAACGGAAGACGAACTATCATCCGATTGTTTATTCATACGTAATGATGCTGAAATAAGAAGTAATCATTTAAACATTATTTTCAAAATTCTTTTGTTATTCTTGAAGCATTGAAAATTACTTTTCAAGAATTTGTAAAATGCGACTTCTTTGAGCAATGAAACATGGTTTTTAGAAAGACAACCTTGATAACAACCCTCTGTCTGTACTACAGAAGTAGACTGGAACTGATTTCATAGAAATATTAGAATATGTGAGTTTGATTCAGTTATCTCCAGTGTTTTTCAAAATTACAACTTAGAAAACGTTGAAATAACTAAAACAGAAATTACATTTTCCTGTTTATCTGATTTTTTAATACTTACGAATATTGCCTGTAGAACGGGCTCTTCTTCTAATACCCCATCTACGTCTAACATTTGCGCTACTATTACTTTCTTCTAATGCCAAAGTTAAATCATGCACAAGTGCCTCCATTTTTACTCTTAAATCTGCTGGTACTGCTTTCAAAACACGCTCCATTTGAAGGATGCGTTTATTCCTAGGCAGTGACAGATATAATTTATATTATTTTACTAAACATTAAAAGCTGTTATACAATAAATTTTAATTGAACAATTATTGTTATAAAAGTTTGTAAAGTTATTTGATTTTTTTAATATTAAACACTAAATTTATATTGAAAAATGTAAACTGATGTTAAAGACTATGCAGCAAAAATTTGTTCAAATATATTGCTCTTTTGGTATTACTGACAGCTTCAAGAAATCTTTATACAGAGTCTTATACACTGCTCAGATAGTATTTAACTTTAAATTCTTTTTAAGTACATATACTTATTTAATTTTACAAGTTATATTATGCTTCTGTGACTGTTTCTATTTTCCTATTTTGCTTTAATCCTTATTCATTTTTATATATTATACTTGTACAATCTACAAATAAATAAATAATTACATTTAATACATCTATATTATGTATTTCTTTACACTTTATTACTCTTTAAGTAACATTTTTCTCTATGATTTAAAATAATAATATTTCAGATAGGTCAAGTCGACTAAATATTCTATATACAAATACTGTGATAGTTATTACTACTTTGAATAATATTAATTAATAATATATGAAATATATAATTTTCAAATTAATTAGGACATTGTATACCTGTTTGTTCCTTTTAATACGTTTATCTAATATATCTTGTTTGTCACTTTATGATTGATAACAAAGTTTAATCGCAAACAAATAAACGAAATATATGTTGTGCCATGAAATATTTATCTTATTATTATCAGACATCAATTGTATAAACTATATTTAACAGAAATTAAGAATGTATTGTAATTCGAATTAATGGCAAGATAGAAGTTAGAAATTAATACTATGCTCACCTTATACGTACGATTACGGAAAACGAATATTTTCTTTAAACTGATATCATAATTAGATAATGTATCTGTTAATTAACAATAAAAAAAAATAAAATAAATGATTAGGAAACTGTCAATTCCAAAACTGTTTTCACTGTGCGCCACGGGTCCTCTCTATTTTCTTTATTTTGCAGCTGTGTGTGAGATCGTAGTTGCAAGCAATTATGTGTGCGTGTACTACTATATTCTTATAAGTGATAATTTGGTCATGGTTCAACTGATTTGTTATAGGTGTATTCTGATATTAATTAATCGTTAATGAATATTATTCTAATAAGTGTGCACCATTGAATTAGATAGAAACACTTTATATATCGTACTTTAAGTAATTGTTAAAAACTTAAATTTTATGTAATAGTAGTTACCACGTAATATTTATACGCACGATTGTAGCTATTTATATTTAATTAATTAATATTACGAAATCATTGATCGTTATAAAAGTTCTTTACCATAATTATATCGTTAAAATATTATTAATTATCATCTTCAATTTGATATTAATATTTGCGTATTGGAAACGGGCCTTAAGCTTTTTTTTCCACCATTTCCGGTTGTGTGTTTTATGGACGCTTCGTGTTTGCTCGGAATCGTTTGTCGTTTGTCGTTCGAGGAATTTGTGCCGCGTTTACAGGAAAATAAGTAATTATTGCTGTAATACACCTTTCGTGGTTGTTTGAAAGAAAGTGTACAGTGTGACAAAGGAATGAGGAATTACTCGAAATTGTATGCAAAGATATCTTGGCAGTTGTGTAAATAGCGCGTAGTGGTGCCTGCGCGTTCGTTATGCGCATTCGTGGACAGATGAGCGCGGGATTGTGGCACCCAGACGCGAGGGGATTGTAGTACAGCTACTTACGCGGAGAGACGTGTTTAATGGAGTTCTTTATGTAGTGACGGGCAACGCAAAAGAAACGTTCTTCGCGCATAGATCGTTGAAGTACGCGGAATCAGTGTTTGGTCCCGGAGGGACCACAAAATGGACGGTGTCAATGTGAATGGCGGGAACGCCAATGAGGCGCGCGCGGATCCTAACCTAGAAGCTGAAAGTATGCCGGATTTACACGAAATGCAAATTAAGATCGAACCAACCATCAAAGTCGAGAGTCAAGAGGTGAATGGTGATATTATGGGTTCAGCAAGGAAAGGTATGATACCGCATATTAGAGAGGAGTTATCTAAGTTCAAGGCCGATTCAACTAGTACCACTGAAAGTGATGATACAATATTCAATACAAAAGGTCGCAAGCGGAAGCACTCGGACACTGACGATGTTAGCTCAGAGGAATCCGTCGAATTCAATGGATTTGATATTCAAGGAACTAATGAGCTACAACCTGGCAGTCACATCTTGAAAAAATTAATTGGTATTGGTAATTATTGCTTGATTATATACATAATGTAAATGGCTAACATTATGTGTTATTATACCTTATTTTATAAGTGAAGACTCGCGTTTAATTAGTTTTTTAAGGGACTGTGAATTTGAACAAATGCTTTTTGAATATTATTAATGAACAACTTGTTTTCAAACCATTGTAATACTATATCCCTCATTGCCTGACTTATAGCATTACAGGACTTTACAATGTTTTGTAATAAATTATAGTTTCCATTTCCTGCTTATTGTTAATTATGCCTTTGTCTGCCTTTTCCTATTTATTAGGTTAATACATATAAGTTGTCACTTTTTTAAACTTTGGATTTCATTAGACAATTTAAAGTATAAATATTATTTTTGGACTGCAGATGTTTATGCATTTATGAGATAGACTAGAACTGTAGAAAACTTACATATGCTAAAAAAAAATATATATCAAAGTATTTCAAAATATCATCTATAATTTAGTTTATATCATATTAAAAATGATTTCTTGAAATTTTAATGAATAACTCTGAATTTTGACTTAACAAAACTATGTAAATGTCACAACTTCTGAACATTGTTTTATAATATTTGCAGAGAAATATTATTCATTTGAAATTATACTAACAGTTGTATAATAATATAATAATGAAATTAGCTAATAATTATAAAAGTATGAAGAATTGTACAGAAATTACTTTCATTAAATGTATACCATTTTCAAAAGTAAGAACTATATATTTTTAGAATTTTCCTTTGGAAAATGACACTTAATACGTATTAATCTAATAGTTATCAAACTTATATGTGTTCCAATCTTGTCCTAACTTGTCTTTATACCTTTTACTTATTTTATCTATTTCTTTATAGTTTACTATCAGTTGTTCTAAATTTTGTTTATAATAGTATTTCAAATATAAATTAGTCAGTGCACTGTTATTTAAGTTATGTAAGTGTAATAAGATATACTAGCTACTTTTTATACTATATATGAATTTTTATAGCTGAAGCTGAAGTAGCAGAAGCTCAATTGGCAAAACGCTTTAGATATAGTACAAAGAAGAATTTTGATGGCAGAAAAGATGATGAACAAGATTCAGATGATAGTAGGATGCATAGTTATGAATCAGAACATGGGTTTGACTTAGACAAGATAAAAAAGGAAAAAGAATCTGATAAATCTGAAACAGATTCGGTTGGAATACCAAATACTATGGAGACTGAATTAGAACATAAAACAGATGGAACTTCATTTAAATCAACAAATTCATCATCAACTACTAGTAGTCCCGCAATATCTTTAAAGTCTAAAGGTAGTCGTTTGTCACGTGGGATCAGTCCAGGAAATACTACTACAAAACAGAAAGCTATTGTTGATGTAACAAATCCTGTATTCAAAGAACCTTTTAAATATGGTTGGAAACGAGAATTAGTGTTCAGAGCCAGTAGTGATCCTAACCTAAAGAGAATGGCTGATATATATTATTATACTCCAAAAGGAAAGAAAGTTAGAAGTTTTAGAGAAGTTGCAGAGTTTCGTAAGTAAAATTTCCGAAGATAATGTATTATCAATAACATAGATAATAAGAAATTAAAATAACAAAATAAAGAAATTATAATGTTCTTTTTTTTGCAGTTAATACAAAAGAGTTGACTATCGATAATTTCACATTCTTCAAAGAGCCTATTGGTCTGGAAGATCCTACCAAAGAAATAATTCGGGATGCAAAGAGGATAAGAGTATGTAATTTGATTTTTATGTATATATGAAATTTAATCGGATATTAATAATTATTTCAATGTAGGGATATGGATCAGGTGCTGCAGCAAGGAGAGCACATAAAAAAACAGTGAAGAGAGTTGTAGAAGAACCATCAATGCCTGCACCAGTGCCTACAAAAGCTGCTACTAAATCACCAAAAGCTGCAGCAACTGGATTTAAAGTGAAAGTGCCTGCAAAGAAAACTCCACAAATAAGTATGCATTTATATAAGTTAAAAACTACATACATTACTATTTGTATATTTGATTTACCAAATTAATTTTGTGTATAGATTAGCAAAAGAATGAGTTACAAAACATGTATTGAACATCTTTCATTATTGAATTTAGTACATAGAAATTTTTAAATATATTTTCACATATGTATTCAATGATACTTTGCAGTAACAAATAAATAAAATCTAGTTATTAATTTAATTTTTAAAATCTAGTATGCAGATTTTTTATTTGTTATTCTTTATGTGTAAAGTTGTTATTTTTATAAGAATTTTTATACAATATGCATAGCAGAAATGAAATCGCAGTCTGAAGAAAGTGACATGCTTCCACCACAACGGACTACAAGTACAAGAAGGAGTCAACCACTAGTTGAGAAACCACCACCTCCAAAACCTAAAAGGCAGTTGACGTAAGTACTTGACTGTTTTAATTATTTTTGTATTTATTATATTGTATGATTGTAATTAAATTAGAATGTCCAAGGGTATCCTAAATGCTTAATGATTAAACACGATTATGAATCATGTTTAATGTGCTTTGAAAAGGCCCAATGAAGAATTTACAGCATGTGCATTTGCTATATTTCATGAAAAAGAAAGAAAAAAAAAATTTATATAGAATGTAAATGAATATTTCCGTGTATTTACATTTCAAAGTATCTCAGATGAATATATTTAAATATTACAAAAAATAAGTAAATAAATTGTTGCGGTTAATAATTTATAATATTACAAAATTATTTTATACATAATTTTGTTATATTAAGCCAGAAATATTTGTTCATTGATTAAATTCGATTTAAAATATTTTTTGGTAATTTTACCATAGAAATCTTGTTCCAATATACATAAATAAAAATAAATAATTTGCAGTGTAAATTGAAAAATATATTGATATGTATTTCGTTTTGATAGTGCTAAAAATGCATGCTGTATACCATGTATGTAGTTTCAAGTTCAACAGTTTATTCTGAATTAGTTTATACTTTTCCTTCTATATTTTTCATAACTGTATTCTCCTTTGTCCCTTTAATCCTGAAACTCCTTATTTAAAATTTATGTTTTATTCCTTAATCCCTTTCCCCAATCAACGCACATCTTACAGGCCCAAAGTTCAAGAACCATGCAGTATAAGATGTTCAACAAGTATGGGGTTGATACCAAGCTTACAATGTCGCGTGTGTCTCTGTTTATATCATCCTGAATGTGTTGATGGTATGGAATTTGCAGGAAGTGACAATTATATTTGCAAGGTAGGTTTGATTTTTAACATAGAATATCCCTCCTTCGAATTATTTTTATATTTCAAATTTATGTTATGATAAGCAAAATATAATTTGCTTTGGAATATTAAGTTTAATGAATAAATCATAACCGCTAACAATTGAATTATTAAATGAATCATATTAATTTTGTTGTAGAACTGTCGGCAGGACACTAATGAATCTCAACAATCTCAAACAAATCCATCTCTAACACCTCCTCCATTGATACCGATCAGTATGTTAGGTACACAAAGTGCAAAATCAAAACATCAAGTAAATTTAACACCACCAAAACTTCAGAGAATTCCAAAATCTGACAGTGCGGATTCACAATCGCGAAATAGTACTAAAGTTATGAAATCCTCCTCGACAACACCATACTTTTCTGCAAATTTAGATAAGAAAGAGAGTAATTGGTTTTCCCAGACAGAAAATGAATTTTTGCAAAGTCATGACGGGACTATACCGAAACCAGCTCAAAATATTGCTTTGATGGGAGGTAAAAGGTATATCGTTGTACCAAAAAATAATGCCATGGCGGTTCAACCAGCTATTACAGTAAAACCTGACAAAATTGGTGATAAACCTCCTGTACTTCAGGATGGTTCACTTACTGATATATCGAATACCGTTGAAAGTTCGATGCTCACAAAGTCACATGCTTCCTTAACAACAAAGTCTTTAAGAAAAGATGTTTTTGATAAATCACCTGATAAAGATGCATTGAAAGATGCGTCAAATATAGAATCTACGCTATGTTCTGAAATGGATGTAACAGAAGAAACATGTAATAATAGTAATAGAACAGATACGTTGGCTATAAATAAATCTCAGAATGATTTGTCTAATATGACAGATCTTGCATTAGAAATCAAGAAATCATTAAATTATAAATCACCCGAAAGGAAAACGAATATAGCTAATAAAAGTGATCTTCCAAAAGCAGATTCACATCAGTCTGTTATAAGTAATTTGGGTTCAATTAAAACAAGTATCAAGTAAGTGTTTGTTTCTCAAACACAACAACATATATTTTTTTATTTCCTTTTTTAAATATTTTCTTTAAACAAGTTAAGGCAACTCTCTTTTGAGGTTTTGGCAGTTGCTTTGTACATATTGTATTTACAAGATATATGTGCTATTTCTATGGTGATTAATTTTATGTCACATATTAAGAAAGAAAACTATTTCATTTTATTTAATATTTCAGTAAATTTTTGCAACAGTTGTTTGTACGGTTGCACAGAGTACATTGGAACAAATAAGATAATAATGCAACTATTTGTTTCGCTTCGTGTAAAATTTACTTAAATAGTATTGTAAATGCAATATATACCGATGTTTATTATATTTGGAAATATAAAAGTTCGAGGTGAAAAATGAATTTGATTTTATCTTGTGATCGAAGCACACTGCCTTAGCTTCTTAGAAATGCGGCCAAATTTTTGAGATCATGTGAAAAATGAAACAAAACAATCACGTATCGTTGGTTTTTGCAGGTGTTGTGTAATTGTAGTATCAAAGTAAAAATAATAAAGCTTAATGAAAGTTATTTTTCTTTAAAAAGGAAAGAAAAAAAATATGCATTAAAAATGTGAAATTAGTACCTTATTTACGTTCATGCTACAATTACAAATACACAGCTACTGATAAGTGCTTCAGTGCAAAAAATCTAATTCATTTTTACTTTTTATATTTACAGATATAAAGACATGTGCGAGCTGAAACACAAAAAAACTCTTAGTGCGTTTTCCCAAAAAACATCCTACCAATCCCTACTCCTCATTATTTCACTTCCCTATTTATGTTTACTTTTTGTTTCCATATCTTTATTCTTTTTAAAAAAAATGTAAAACACAATCAACACTTTTCTTTCAGAGGCTTTTACTTCTATTTCTTATTTATTACATCATAAAGTCAGCATTATTGTTGTAAATCATTGGTCCTTTAAAAGCCTCTTTAAAATTAAATATATTTGTATCAGGAAAATTATAATGTAAAGTTTATCTTTTATTTAAAATAAATTATAATTGACATATAATAACCGATACCCTTATTGCGTCGTAGGCCAGTGTATTAAAGAGAAATCATCTAATAGTATTTTTATTTTAATACTTTCAGAAGAAAACAAAATCAGCAGGAACTTGAACATCAACAACAACATTTTATGGATTCTGTCTGTGCTGGTTATCATGCGTTACTGCGTATCTTTCAATATCTTAAGGTTCAAGAGTTGCTACGTGCTGCAAGAGTTTGTAAAATGTGGCGAGACTTGGCTGCACACCCTTCCCTGTGGAAGACTGTCCGAATGAAAAACAGTCAAGTAACAGATTGGGATGGCTTAGCAGACACCTTACAGAGGCGAGGTACTCAACATTTAGATCTCCGGAAAATGCTTGTGGCAGGCGAATCTGATAGCATTTGGAAAAAGTTCTTATCGGTGATACCTCGCGTAACTAGCTTGGTCAAGTTAGAATTGTGTAGATGTCCTGTAATGGTTGTTGAAGAAGTTATTAAAAGCTGCCCCCAACTAGAAGTACTAAGTGCAATGTCGATAAAATGTGATTCCTTAAATTTGGAATCGGTTGGAAATCTTAAACGTTGTCAAGAATTAAGGCTTAAAGCAATAAGTGGAATGTCACTACAAGAAGATCTCACACCTTTACAAGAATTGACACAATTAACGCAATTGGTAAGTAATTAGTGTAATTTACGTATTTCATATATGTGCCAATTATATTAAATATGACCAAACGATGTTTCCTACGTATCAATTAAATGTATGTTGCAGAGTTTAACATCGGTTAAAGAATTAGGAAAGAAGAAAATCGATATTATACAAGCTTTAGTAAATTTGGAAGCATTAGAATTGGGCGAATGTTCAGATTTTCCTGACAAATTTGGAACGACCGTTTTAATAAAATTACAAAAATTAGAACGTCTTAGGCTCGAAAAAGGACAAGGTTCATGTTGCACATTCAATATTTTGGAGGGTGTATCCAAACTGCAAAATTTAAATCAAATGGAGTTAGTCAATTTTGACGTGAAAAATGGTTTTGATAAGTGTCTGGCCAACTGTAAAAATATCAAAAGGTTATTAATAATACCCACTTACATATCTCAATCGGCGACATCCAATAACATGGTGCTTGGTGGTGTGACTGAATTGTCAAATAATTTGACACATTTTGTGTGGGGCGTTACACTCGAGTTACTCAGGGTAACAGAATTATTTGTTGACCAGTGTAATCTAATGAGTAAACAAGTTACCGGTGACTCGATACCAGTTTTGAAACCAGTGCCCTGTTTGAAATTAATTGAAGATGTTGAAGATGAAAATGACAATCAAAAAGGTATTTGCACTTTTAAAGAAAATTTATGTAGGCCCATTATGTGCATATTAAAATTATTTTTCATTTAATCTTACACACATATTAATACTTTGCAGGTGACGATAAACAACAACCAAATTTAACAAATCCACAAGTAGATATATTACCATTGCCTCAACTTCAAAAACTTTTATTAACCGCATTGCCTAAAACGAGAGTTAAAATCTTGAAGATTCCTTTCCACGCTACGTGGCGACAAAGCATTTCAGATACTGCTACGCAATAGAAGAAAATGGAATACAGTGTTTAAAAGGAAGAAAAAAAAAAGAAACCTGATACAAGGAGAATTAGAAATTTTGTAAATTTGACTCCATAGTGTCTGCACAATTTATTCCAATACTTGTGAATTGGATGAAATGTAATTTAATATTTATGTACTATGTGTTTTGTAGTTTCGAACAGTTCCCCTTAAATATTGTTACACTTTATGGTAATCACAAATACCGTTCTTTCCTTAATTGTCGTTAACGAGAAGACGGTATTTTGATGATAAAAACAGGGGACCATAAATGCCACAGTTGTGTGCTAGTTTGTCTGGAAAGCAGAAATCTAATGAGGCTGGTATCCTTGTGTAAATCATTCAAACAAAGAAAGTCTTAGCATTTGTAGACTGCAATATTTTTAATGTGTGCCCGTAAATTATTTGGTTATATTGTACTTGCGTATTTACATGAACAGAGATTTTTCAACTATGAAAAAAGCAAAAATGAATGTAAATGTTTAAGGTAATTATTACATAAAATTAAGATTTACAAACACATCGCGCACATTTATTAAAAGGGGATGAAGCATACAATTTTCGATTTTTATGAATATCGAACTTTTACATTTAATATTGAGTCAAGACGAGTACTTTTATTTCACGATACATAATGAATTTCTATTGAGGTAGCAGTTGATAAAAAAGGAAAAGAAACGAGATCATGGTGTATAAGGCTCTATTTAGTGATTAGGCTGTATAAATAATGGTTATACATTACATGAAATACACGTGTATCTTTAAATATTTAAGATACGAGTTTTCCGCTGCAAAGAAATCACGGAGAACCTTATGGGTAATGTTGTAGAATGTGTAATATATTTATAATTCTATACGATATAATATTATAAAAATGTAGTAATTAATCTGTACTTGGTACAAATTGCGTAATTACGATAAATTACCTAACCAGGATCTTCAGTTTTCTATCAAATCTTATCATTGTTTATTTTCCTTCCTTCTTTTCTTTTTGTTCTGATACTTTTTATAAATAGGTGCATTATTGATACAGTGTCAAATTATTAAGAATGTGTAGCTAACAGTTGTTATATCGGTCGAGTCGGTTCGGTGAAAGTCGGGCAAATTCGGGCGGAGACCAGGGACGTACGAACACTCGAGTAACTCGACTGTTTTAGGTGACTCAGTTGTATCGAGCGATCCCATTGTTTTGGGTTAAGTCTACATTTGAAAGCATTTAGAATCCTAAATTTCAATTTCTAAGTGTTTCTTAATATAATTGGACTACCAAAAACAGTGAAACAATTCGAAAACTTCTATGTCTTGGGTACCCACCGGGACTTTCTCGACTCGACCCTAACCCGAAATGTCGGATATCCCTACGATCCTATAAAGTTAGATTTCATACTGATTTATAGAAATGAAGACCTATCAAAAATTTTTAATTATGAAAACGGTTACGTACATAATTTTAAAATGATATCGAGAAAATTAGTTTAAGACGTAATATTAGGTAAATGAAAATTCTTCAAGTGATATTAACTGTTATATCAATTTGTTATTTAAGTACGTCATGAATGTCACGCACGCCTTAATTAGTTGCGTTTTGTAAAAAGTTTTACAATTAGTTACCTTACTTTGCAGCGCGAAAATTCTTATAATTATTTTATTTTATTTTATTATTTTTAGTTGTACACAAATTAAATAATTTATAAACATTAAGGAGGTTTTAAAGATATACTCCTACCTAACGAGTTAAATATGCAGGGTATCTTAAAATTGATATATGCCATGAAAATTGTAAATAATTCGTGTTAAAAGAAATTGAAAAATCTTATCATTTTGCAATTTCCAGTTTCGTTTTCGAAATAAGTGTGTTATTTAAATCATTAACAGTAAACTGCGCCACTGATTGAGATTTAAATCGCGCGCTCCGGAAGTTGGTTATTCCATTTCTGATTGCCTATATTTCGAAAAACGAAGTCAATGATCGTGAAGTGAAAAGATATTTTTTTATTTCTTATACTGCGTAGAATTTACAGTTTTCATCGTTATATATCGTTTCAAGAGACTTTGTGCAAGAGGAAATATTTTTTACGTTGAATATGAAATGTGAATATTACGGAAATTATATATATATATATATATACATATATATTCATGAGTCTTAGCATTGATACGAGTACTACAAATAATTTTATATTAAATCAATAAATGTTAAACAACTAATGGATGATTTTTTAAAAATTATCTCTTAATCTGTATCCGAATTTTCATTTTGTTACGTATTTTAAAAATTTCGTTTTGGATTTTAATATTTTGTTTTTGTCGTAATAATGACATCCCTATTCCCATATGATTTAATGTTACTCTTGTTTCAGAAATGTAACGCATATTTAAACAAAATTTTCTGGTGCAAATAAGTTGTATGTATCTGTAAATGTATACAAATGGCAGCAGAGCACTAAATTTGTATCTTACATTTGTAAATAATAACTTTACTTTTATTTTAAAACTCCCTTAATATAACTTTATAGGTACAATATAAAGGCAATATAAAGTTATCTTTAAAAATTAAATGAATATATCTGTCTATTTGAATACTTTGTATAATACAAATCTTATACAAGAGAAAACTTGTTTCATTTATGATTAATGTAACTATTACAGTCGTTAGCATATACAGTGCATCTGGTAAATGGTTTAAACAAATGTACAAAAAACACAATTAAATTTATATGTATGTATATATACATATACGTGTATAATCATAAATGTATATTTGTACACATTTTTAGAATGAAATTATCGCGTTATGCAAAATATAGACGTAAGTCAAATAAAATTATTTCTCATTATATCAATTCCATGATAATATTTCAACGACGAAGATATACTAAATTTCTTCAGTGCAATGTTTAGACAGTGTGATCGTGAAAGTAGGTGACCTCTGACAGTTAAAAATCAATAAAGTGCAGTGAAGTTCGTAGTACACGCCGAGCAGAAGTTCATCTCTTTTATTTCGAGGTTATGTCGTGTGCGCCTGGAAAGGAACAGCACCAAATGTTCTATTTTCATTTCAACGAAAAGTGTTTATTTTTGTCAGCCGTAGGAGTGCGTTACCTATTATAATCCATGTATTTTATTTGGTTATACAGTTGAACATATTTCTGTGACAAGAAGTTTCTACTCATTTTGCGCATGTTAGCTCTGATTCGTTGAAGCACCGTCTATAACCAGCAACAACGTGCATGCGCTCTTAGACGATTTCACGTGAAATAAATATATCCAGTGACCATTTATTTCTGTATATATTCAAAGTCGGGTTATGATCGTGATTTCATCTATAGGAAATACTGATGGTGAGGGTAGTTCTCTTAATCTAATCTAAATGTCCAAATTTTCTAACTTTCAATTATCAAAAATGTTTGGTTCACACATCTCCTTAGGTGACTAATAGTGAGGGACAATTCGCTGGGAGACGGGAATCGTGTAGCTGTTTACCAGATGCATTTTTTCTTACTATCTTCTTGCCATCTGTATATTCTGTCTACCCTGTATATGACGAAGAGAGCAAAAGGCGGGTATTAAAACTCAGTCAAGCTGCGCGAAACAAGCATGTTCTTTCGTGAAACGAAGTATATGTAACAGAATACAGGAAAGTGCGGTGAGATAGTACAAACATGGACAGAAGAGCAGAGATAAATGCCTTGTGTGAAGATCTACTTCGTCGTAAGCACACTTTTCGCGGATTTCTTTTAACGTAGAATGTATTCGTTGTATATGATATAACTGTATTTTTGCATGTTACCTTATGATCATTGTAAAATTTTAAATAGATGCTAACGTACATTCTGTTCCAGTCATTGAAACTGAACAGAAATCCTTTACTACTAAATTTATAATAATTTCATGAATTTTAAGTGATCCAGAGATAAAATACGTGGTACGTGTAGTTCGTTTAACCTCACGATCCTTGGAAATTGGGAAAAGAAAAAAATCTTTGCACTTAACGTTTCGAAGATGCGGATAGACGAAGGTGTCATGTAACATTTTTTCAAAAATCGATATTTTTGTATAATAATACCCTTAAATAAGTGCTTTATTTTTGTGTCAACCTTATTCTTTTTGGTGTTTTTATGATAATTTCGAATTTTGAAGAAATATTTTTTTTTTAATTACAATAACATTTAATAATAACATTTGTTATAATTATTGACAGTAACAGTATAATTTTATAATTATATAATGGTTACCGATTAATTGCAGAAATAGAATGCATATAAAAATCCTAGTTAAAATTCATTAACTTCACATTGCTTCAGATAATGAATTTGTAACATGATGCCTTTATCCATTCATGTCTTTTGTATTTTTCCAAAGTGCTAAACAATATGTGTTCGTTTTTCATAATTAATTCAAAGCTTGTAATAATTTTTATTTGCTTGGAATAGTGAGTACTTGTTTAGTTGAGCGGACGAAAGAATGGAACAACTATGTGGAGATAATCACAGTTCTGGAGAAGATTAAAAGGCTGCAGAAGATGAAGACAGAATCATCAAAACGATCACAGGGGATTGGACAGTTTATGAATTGGCTGAAGGAAAATAGTGCAGACATAGAAGGAGCAAGCATAGCTGAGTTTCCAGGATACGATTTAGGCTTAAAAGCTGAGCATGATTTTCAGGAAAATGAATTAATTCTAAAAATACCAAGGCATCTTATTTTTAATACGCTCAATGCAGCACCAGAGTTAACGGCTCTTAAAAATGATCCATTGATACACGATATGCCTCAAGTGGCATTGGCAATTGCGCTTCTCATCGAAAGATACAAAGAAAATTCAAAATGGAAGCCTTATTTAGATGTTCTTCCTACCACTTATACTACAGTGATGTATATGACAGCTGCTGACATGATAGAACTTAAAGGCAGTCCTACTTTAGGTAAATATGCATCTTGTATATTCTTTCAACTAGATCTATCACAAATAACAAAATTTTTTTTTACAGTACCTGCTTTAAAACAGTGCAGAAATATTGCAAGACAGTATGCTTATTTTAGTAAGATATTTCAAACTGACAATAACGCTGTATCTGCTGTACTCAGGGATGTTTTTACATATGAAAGATACTGGTAAGTAATAACAAAGTTTCATTTCTTTACAAACTATTCATATAAATAAATACACTTTATTCTACATGATTAATGTTGAAAAATCGGGTTTACAATGTATACATCTTACAATATCAGAAAAACATCAGGAATAAGACTTACATAAAAGAACTATACTAATTTTAATTTATGTCTCTTGATTACATTACATTTGATCAGTTATTGGATTGAAATTGATCAGAAGCTTTATACAACGATATATACAAATGTCCGTGAAACAGTCTGTAAAGCTTAGTTCCCATTTGTTCCATCTTTTCTTGGGATGATAATAAAGCTAATGCACGGACTTGTTTTGCTAATGCAAGTATCATAGTCAGTGAATCAAGTGACCTATTTAACACGTTGACTATCGCGTCATCTATGCGTAGGTGACGCTTAAATTTTTTTATCGATTCAGTTAGGAATATTCGCGTTTTATATTCGAAGTATCGAATAACAGATTTATTAAAGATAAGAAGTACTATCTAACAAAATTTTCAATAACTTTAGCATAGAATTCAACGTGTTAAAATGTGTTATTCGCTATACTATAATATGTTTACAGAGTATACAATCAGCCTTCGGTATACGTACAATTTAACTTAACATAAAGAGTAGAATACTGCTGTCTTCTCATAGTGTCCAATGAAAATATCGCAAATGTGTTTTTGTTGATCAGTTGTCATTTCATGTAATCTGGTATAGTTTCCCAACTGTCGTTAGCATCCAACGAATCGTTATCTATGTCACTCTTGGAGTCCATTTCGCTAACAGGTTCCTCGGTTTCATTCTTCTCTGGCCTTTTCGTCGTCGACGTGGCGACCACATTGACCATCACGGTACTTAAGCTACTCGAATTCGATAGCTTCCTAGCTGCCATGACTGGGCCTTGGAACACCGCTCTAGAGAACGTGTTCCTGTACCTGTACTTCTGCTTCTGTCGAATCCTACACACGATGAATATTGCCAGAAATACTACGATGGTCACTCCTAGAATCGCACCGCTCGCTATTATGCTGCGTTTCACGTTCGAAAGAGTTTTCCGTTTCTCGTCGATAGTCTTTTCAGTATCTATTTCGTTGAACGTCGTACGAATAGAATTTGGTTTCTGTTCTACGATTTCCTTCACGTAACCGGATTGAACAACGGTCGAATTTTCGTTGACACTTAGTACGTCTGTATCGTTGTTCACAAACACGATACTTTGATCGTTGTTCTCTGTCGGTGCTTTCGTTTCGTCTCTGTTATCGTACTCGCCAACAAAGTCTCGTTGAATGTCTTTCGCGAATGGCATGGAACCAAAGGTTGTCAACAAATCGATGATTTGCGCGGGATGATGATGCTTCTTGATATCCTGCACCTCGTCATCTTTGAAACGCGCATCGAACGACGAATTCTCGTCGCTAATTTTTGCTTTTTCGCTCGTACCTTCTTCCGAACGAACAACATCAATTGCACTCGATATGGAATTGCAATTTGTTACATTCTGGAAGGACCTCGCCAAGTAATCGTTAATCTTTTCGTTCGTTGCAGGTTCCTGATCGGTCTTAGGTATCGGTGTGGTCGTTTTAAAACTCGTATCTTCCGTTTCGTATTCGTCGCTCAGTTTCTGAACCTTGATTCGCGATACTTCGGCCAAATGAACTTTGCTGGATCCTCTCTGTCGCAGCGCAATCAATTCCTCTATGCTCATGTTTCTAGATTTCAAAAGACGTTCCAGTCTCTTGCCCGCTGATCCAGATGCGAACAACTCGAAGATCTCGGCTCGTGCTTCAGGCTCCACTTCCGATATCACGTCATCGTAACTCTTCTCGGTTGTGTTCGTATCTTGATGATTTTTGAGAGCATGATCGATTTCTTCTGTCTGCGAATCCTTCGCAAGCGTTAGATCAGTCGAGGATACGGGCTCTGTTTCTCTTGTCTCGCTCTCATCGATGAAACTATTAATCCGAGTACTGTGTTCCAGGTTGAGGTATATTGGCGGCGCATCGTTTTGATATTCACGCTCCGAAGACGTGTAATCACCGGTATCGTCTAGGTTAAATTGTTGAGCATCCGACGAATCGTTGTCCAGTTTGGTACGTTCCGTGGGACTCAAGATTTTCTCGATACTCAGCGTGGACCCCCTGTCCTCGTAGTTGGCCTTTGACTTCTGAGATCCAGCCTCCTCGTTGTTCATCATCAACCAAACAGGAGACACGCCGTTTCGTCCCTTCTTGTAATCGGTGAAATCAGAGAACTCCATGATCTCGTCCTCGTCCGGACTGTCGGCTTTGATTTCATCAGCGTTTTGCGATTTCACGGTGCTTCGCAACAGCTCCATGGAATTCGTTGCGACTGGCAACGGTATCGATGTCGTAACTTTGCTCGGAGCAGAAGGTTCAGTGGCGGTTAGAATCGATTTTCTAGTCGTTGATTCTTCAACCTTTGCATACATTTCGTTACGACTTACAGCGCCCGAAGAATACTCCTTAGAATACTTACGTAAAGGCGGGTTCGTCGAATACACGATAATAAGTTCATCTTTCCGAGAGTTCGTTGCTTTCACAGGTTCTTCGAACGTCGGCCACTGTGGTTTCGTCGCAATGGGAATTTTCACGAGGGAATCGGATATCATCTTCGTCGCCTCTTCGATGTAATCCTCCGTCTCGTCGACGTTCTTCGTCTTCAGGGCGTCGATCGCGTCGGCTCTTCCCTTCAGAAGGTCGTTCAGAGTAAGATTACGTCGCTGAAGAATCTCCGACAAGCTCAGACCTTCCTCCTGTTGCATCTTCAACAGAGATTTCAGTTCCATGGCGTTCTGTATCAGCTGGCCATCTTTGGACGAAGTTTTCTGAGGCCGTCTAGTAGTGCTCTCTATTATTTCTTCGTTCAACGTCTCGTTTTTGACCAGCGCGAACTCGTAGTTTTGCGGTGGTTTTCTCTTTCTTGGACGAGGTTTCAGGTACTCCTCTTCGGATATCCTTAACTCGAGCTCGTAGTCGTTTGGCCGCGCTTGGAGAGTGTCTCTGTACCTCGCAGAGGTTGTTTCTCTGTTCTCAACAGCCTCCATAGGTAGTTGTTCGTTTCTGTTGTTCGTCTTCTTCGGATTAACCGGATCGTGATTGGTCCAAGGTCGACTGGTCTTCTTTCGAGGAAGGAGTTCTCGTTCTCGATACCCACGTCTGTGGTCGTAATCCTCGTAGTCGTAGAACAGTGGACCGTTGTTCCTCGAACGCAACGAATTCTCTTGTTCGTTGTTTTGACGATACTTCGGTTGTCTGCGAACGTAACTCTCCTCCTGTTCGTCGCCCCCGTCCAGTTTGTCTCCGGAGTATCGTGAAAATCGAGGAAACGGAAGCACGGGTACCGAGTCACCGTCCCTCCATTTCGGTTCAAGAGCCTCGCCGTTATTTCGCCATTTGCCGACCAGCTCGCTCGTCTTTTCGTCCTCGTGGATCCTGCGACCTGTCAGCTCGCCTCGAGTTTCCGCTCGTGTCCGGGTTTCCGCCTGAAAATAGATTACTTCGTGGTCATTGTACTCTAGGGTGCGACGTAGTTTTTTCTCTACAGATTCGGTATATTTTTATGCTATTGCCCTAGACCGTGATGAGTTTCAACAATTTTTCTAATTTTTTCAGAGTAAGTAGGACGCGTAATGCTTTCTTGATTTTCCGACGAGCTATAACGTAGTATTACTTTGTTGTAATGAAGTATAAATTTCACTTATAAAATGTAAAATTGCATCGTGTTAAAATGATATAGGTTGGACAGAATAATCAATACAGCAATCGTGACAATTTTATTATAGCTTTTTGTAATCATTTCCGCGCTTAGAAGACTCGTGCCTTACCCTAGTTTCTAAAATATTATTATTAACGTAACTCGTACCGTACTACTTGACCCAGTTTCTAAATACATTGATTACGTTTCTTTCAAATGCCTTATGAATTATAAATCATATCAATCAATTATAAAACAAACAAAAGTTGTTTCAGACAGTATGTATAATGCTTTTAATATGATTGAACCAATAACATGGTTTAATGAATTCACGTTACTTATATTGTTTATTCAATTATGTAAAATAACTTAGGAAATTGTAATTACTTGCTATAATCGATTAAGATACAGTTAAATTATTCATTGATATTGTAGCTTTTTATTGTGTTTCTGATTCAAAGTTCAAGATAACTGATTAATACACGAATTAGAAATGAGGTATGTCAACGTAAATACTGGACAAGGTTCAATGACTATAAAAAATGAAAGTTTAACGTGCAAACGTAATTCTTATAATTACGGATCGCGCAAGGACGACGCGGAGCAAAAACATACTGCAAGAAAAGTGATTACGTTCGATCGATTTCACGCTTTTCCTTAGATAATTTTCAATCCTTTCGTTAAACGATATCTCTTCTTTAGCACGCTAAGTGTTTCGAACTAAACGGTCCAATTTTGTAGGTTTTATTTAAGGTCTGGTGTATTTAAGGATTTTGAAATTTTTATGAAGTAAAACTGAAAGATTGCAAAGTCTTCAAATTCTAAAATTCCAAAATTGCACAAATTTAAAAATTCTGAAATCTCGAAGTTTGAAACTCTGAAGTTTAATAAATTTCCAGATACCTTGAATGCTTAAATCTAAAAATTTAAATTACGTTGGATTTCGAAACATGGAAAGTCTGTCACGATTCGATGACATAAAAGTATCGTAAAATACCACTTACGTTACATTAATTTGAAGCTTGAACCCTCAGGAAAACGAGCAGATAAACTTTCATTAATATCCTTCGTATAAAATAGCTAAATATCGATTATAACAAATAACAGATCGGAGTAGCATTCACGTTTGTTTCTTTCTTGACAATAGAGGTCCGATACGACGATATAAAGGCATCGTAAAATAGCACTTATGGCGTATCAAGTTGAAGCTCAAAATGACCGCGTTAATATTTATTATAGCACGGAATGGTCGATTCTTTGTCGAAACAAGCAAAAATAAATCAATGCATAATTTATTATTCTCATAGTTTATTTCGTCCGAATTTACATACAAGTGAACATGCATCAAGATAAAAGATTCGTTTGGAGAATTATTTTCGGCGAAGACGATGTTCGATAAATTTTCATCGACGATCAGGAAACGTTTGAACGAATATCATTGAACTTTTAGTCATCGCCGACGGTAAGAAATGTCAAAATATGCGTCGAAAAAACTGGCTGCACGGTGGCACGTAAATTACAAGAGAAAGAGAAAGCTAGCACCGTGCGCCGGAAAGTTCGAGACTTTGCAAACATTTTGCGGAATATTTCCACGCGCATTCTAAACGAATCATTTCATCGAACGAATTCCAACGTTACGCGGATTAACGGGTCACGCGTCAATGGAAAATTATTCATTTACGGTACATCGCGTTGTAATAATAATTACCGAAGACTCAATCGTTTAGTTGTTTATCGAGCTAGACAAACAGCTGCGCGCAGTAAATCTTGCTATAACTACAATTGTTCGAAATCGGAATCTTTACGATTTGCATTTTCCACAAACTTTTATGATCTTCGAAATTGATGGTAAATCGTTGAACATGGAAGCTTTTAATTATGGCCCATGGATCGAACTAGTTTTCACGGTAGAGCACTTGGACATAACCAGTTTTATAACTGACCTATAATTGTGGAATACTGTACTCTTAAAAAGTTTAATCCTAAAATCATGTTGGTAATAATAATAATTTGATTTTTTATTGCAATGAATATGTTAATATTTTACAGCGGTGAACACGAATTTTGTATTCTTCGAGTAATCTAGGGACATGCGTAGAAGGAATTAGTTTCTTACCCGATGGGTTTTCGTATCCTCTTCCCGAGTGACGAGCACATCGTCTTCTGGAACAGGTTCACCTCGAACGAGGCTAACTCGAAGGAAATCGAACGTGAAAAGCGTCAACGAGAGCAGACATAATGTTTTCCACATCGTTGCAATGCGATCGAAACACAGAGAACTCCTCGTCTTCAAAACACCAGTTGTTGTTCTGTTCCTCCTCCACCTTCGGATTGTTTCATTTTTACAATTCTCCTTCTTTACGCGACCGTCCGAATCGTTATATCGATTTTAAAGAACAAATTCACTGCATTTTCTCTACCGCAATTTCCCTTTAAAGAATTTCGTACTAAAAATGATTAGAACCGAATGATAACATTTTGCATTAAATGCATAAAGTTTAGACAATGCATTTGATAATACGATAACATTACGACGTTATCGATGATAGTAGCTCTAGTTCGGAGTATGAGAATCTTTTCCCGCCAAAAAGTTTGCAACTTTAATCCTCGTAGCTTTGTTATGATCATTCATGCGATATGGGATCGATCGTTATCTCGCGAGTGAATCGAGTCAATTTGTTTCTCTTTCAACTTTTGCTTTTGGTATTACGGGTCCCAACATCGTTCCACGGTAAAATTCATAAATCACACAAATTTTTGACTTTATCATAGTTCTAGAGATATCTAAACTAATAGAGATATCGCGACGGACAAACGTATCCTAATAGGGTGTAACTATAAAACTGTATGCATCGGTGACACACGGCACGTTCCTCGTGATTATCGTTAACAACGAAGACGTTGATCGAATACACCCCGAAAAGCACCAACACATATCCGAACCGTTGCACGAACAACTAAAATCGATTAACTAAATCGAACATAACGATTCAGACGATCGAATTACTTTCGTTCGAACGGTTTCGATAAACCGCGAAAAAATAAATATTTGAATAAACACCTTGAGATCCCTGCTCGTTTCCACGATTTGGTTGTCTTCGTTGAACAACAGGTGCACACAGATCGCTGCTGTACACAGGATAACGAAAATCGCGTTCTTCCTGTTGCACAGGCCAAAGATTTCCTCAGGGTTCATGCAGAACTCTTTTGTGTTCTCCTCCGATGTATTGGTGTTTTTTAATTACAACTAGTACACTGGGATCATACGCGTCGATCAACTTTCACGGCCATAAACTTTCTTCGATTTTCAACCGTTTCGAGGAAAATAAATATATAAATTCCGGCGAAGAGGATCGCGGACGATTCTTTTTCTTCGTCCCGTATATTTTCACCGCGATTTCACGGCGCACCGACAGCTGGCAGAATTCTTTTGCAACAACGACGCGATTCCGCGAGACTGTTATTGGCTCGATCACTTGGTCACGGTTGTTCGCAACAGGACCAGAGCGCGTACTTTTTAGCCGTCTATTCGGCTCCGAACAGACGGTGTTGTTACTTTCGAAACGAAAACACACGGACCGGTGTTCCTCTTGTACGCTCGGCAAATCGTTCTCGCGCACTGACGCCGGTTTTCACCGTGCACGATCCTAAGTAAGTCGGTGAAACTCGAGAGCAGTCTTCTACTAAATGTTCGCGACTCCCCGAGAGTAGAGGACGTTCTCTTGTTCCTCGATTCCACTACCGGATCATCATCATAGGCGTAACTAGGATATGGAATCAACAAGCTGCACCCACCACGAACCTCCGCCCCGTTACTAATTAACTATACCTTTTCGCCACTGCGAACATTTCGACATTTTCAAAGCGGGTTTAGGAATACGGAATTTTTTACTCCGAATATTTCGAATGTCGTCATTTAGAAATTTGACAATGCAAGAATTTTACTGAATTTCTAAAATGTACCAGTTTACGCGAGTGGCCTCCTCTTGTATGTTCCCTATTAATATCGAGCAGAGTTAACCTACAAAGATCCGGTAACAGCTACGCCAATGCCGATCATTGGGAGATGAATTTCATGACGGCGATCAGAGTCGGTGATGGTAGATGTTGGAGAGATAAACGGATCTTTACTCTAGCTTGGGAAAGAAAGACGAAGGGAAAGGGATCGAGATGATCGCTCGTAATACGCTTCGATAAACTTAACCCGTGAACCGGAAGACGATGTTTCCTGCTAAATATTTTATTGCGACACCGACCCATTCGCGTATCGCCTAATTCGTATAAAAACACATTTGCTTAATCGAAAATATCTGATTTCATTATTATCATTGTTATCGCTATTTAATACGTTGGCTATCTGATTTTATTCCATTTTTATTATAGCATTAAACTAATACTAGTAACTTCGGTACGAAGTACTTTGACGAATACTCGAAATAAAATCGGTAATTGTCGGTGAACGTACAAAGTTCTGCAGCCCGTGTGATTTAACAGATCGCACAAGGAAACTTCGATGACTTTCATAAAACTTGATGAAAGTAAACCATGGACCATATGGGACTGCAAAAATTCAACACAGATGTCATAAGTATAAGAACGTTAACCCATTTAAGACTTTTTAATCTTTGTAAAAGACTCGAATCGCGTAATAACGATTCGGTATTGAATTCGATAAACGGTGATTTCGGATAAACGAAATTTAGACGGACGTATTTAATAGGAGTTATACAACAATACACGTGTCCTTTTTACCATTTGGAAAGTTCGAGTAAAAAAGGTCGTTAATTGAATCATCATTTAAATGTGCACTTCTTGTTCGCTAGTGGCCGATTAAAAAAGAGATCGCAAAACAGCGAACTATTCTGCTCGTTACATAATTTCGGTTGAAAGTAACCGAGGAAGATCTGAAAGAGATTTTTTTCCCACGTTGCGAAGTATTAGAAACTACAATTGATTTGATTGCATTGATTCGCGTAATTAAACGCTCCGTTGCACAACCGGTTTATGTTCCAACTGATAAATTAAATGTAGCGCTTCTTTAAAAACATTTTCACGCGTTTTATTTGAATACTTCCCTCGATGTCTTACGAAATGGCGATAAATAAATAAGCGTTGTACATCGAAAAAGAAAAAGGAACATATTTTTTTAATGGAAAACGGAGAAACCATTCTTTTTACCGACTCGATTATTCCTTTCGCAACGTTTCAGCGTACGGTAGTTACGGTGAAAATGTAAATACGCGAGGAAAGAGCAGGAGCGGGAAAAACGTCAAATGCAATTACTGAAATCATCTTAACAATGGTAATTGTAACGATTTTCGTGAAATCGTGTAAGCACGCGTCCACGGATGAAACAGAGCATTCTTCTGCATATTACAGTGGCCTCTCGTTATATTGCCATCTCGATATAGACTCTCAGCTTCGTAATCGAGGACTTTCCTCGTGAAATTTTCGAATTTAGGAAGAATTTCGAAAGTTGCCGATTTGGAAATGCGGGAAACAGGAAATTTTGAGATCTAAAAGATTAGGGATTTGAAATTTGGAATTTCGAGAATTAGTATAGAAATTTGAAAGGCAGGAGACTGGACAATTGTGAAACGGATTTGTAAGGTAATAAGTAATGGTCGATTTAAGCTTTGATATGAATGTGTCGCGTCGCAGGATTTAGCACGGCGCGACAGAACGTAACGAGACTGTGCCGTCTAAAATCCTGGGTAAACAATGAACACGTAGTTATATCGTAGCGTATATCTGATGCGTAAATGAATGAATTGTGAGCAAAACAGGAGTATCATTAACGTTCTTTAATTCTCCGTTCGTCGGAAAATCCTGCCTTTATATCCTGTGTAAGCAGATAATTATTGAACAACTACTGTCTATACCTGTACTAATTAGTCTAGTCAAGGAAATTATTCTGTGAAATAATTTCTAATAGTCGTGGATCATTATTTTGCTGTTCGAACAATATACAAAGGTGCCGCAACGCGATGGATAGCGATCTGAAAGTGTTCATTAAACGATTTATTTTCTGTCGATTCGTTGAAAGTAATTCGTTATGTTCGATTTAGGAAGTTAATTCGGTTGTTCCGCAGTGATTCGTCTACGAACTATGTTGCCTTTCGGTATTCGCTCAACGTCTTCGTTGTTAGCGATAATCGTGAGGAACGTGCTGTGTCACTGATTTAAACTTAGACCCTGATAGGATACTTTCGTAGAGTTAGATCTTTGATACAGTGCACTAAATCTCGATCAAATTTCTACAATATATTTTATATTTATTAATTTGAATTTTTGTAGATCTATGACAGAGCGGAAAATTCGTGGGATCGACGAAAATAGTGTCGACATAGATTCGAGTTACGAAATTCTGTGTCGGTTTCGGGCTAGCGTAGGAGCGGTTGCGTTCTTACTCGTCAAGGTTTATAGTTAATGAGCTAATAGTAAAATTACGATTGCTCGAGGTTGATCGTCGGTTCGAGAAGCTGTTATGTCGTAGAAAGTTGGCCGCCACGTAGATCTCACGATCTTCGTTCGATTCATAGCACGACCTTCCCACGTGCACTGGACTGTGCATCCATCCCCACGGTGCAGCGGTTTAACGCTGTGCTCGTCTCTCGATTCTTATCCTGCACTCGTGATATTGCGAAACGACCACGAGCGTCCTTTTTTCTTTTTTATCCTTTTTCCTTCCTTTTGTTCCCATCGTCGTGGTTCTGTTCCATGACGCTTGTTAGCCACGCTTCTACCGCGCTTTCCTCGCTAATTAACCGACTCTCGATTCGTCTGCTAGAATATATACGCGTATCAATTTTTCTTCGCGAATAACTTGTATTGTTTTTCCCCCTGTTTTTTCAATTTCTTTCGCCTATCGTCGATCGCGAATTACGTAATACAGGATGTTTAAAAAAACCCTGATGTTCAGGATGTTAAGAAAGCGGTAGTCATGGCCTACGGATTCTACACGTTATTTAAACTTAATTGTAATCACGATTTAATGATACGGTGTCCCTTATTTATTTTACGAGCGACAATTTTGCTTTCCCGACTGCGAATTTATTTAACGAGTACTTGTACGAGTCTTGATACGATTTTCAAACGCGGTTGGACAAAGTAGTTCTTCGCTCGAGACAAGTGTCGATTATCCGATTAAGTAACTTTCGTTGTATTTTTTCGTTTATTTCCAACGTTGCAGTAACGCTTTTACATCCTTCTACAAAGTGATCGAGTTGTTATTGAAGAAGGATAGCATTTTCTTTCGTTTCAGATATCCGGTTATAACGATCGTACAATAATTTCAAGAGAAGCAAGTTTTTCTTGCACTTGTTGCGTATCTGTTTCTTATGACTGCTCGAGATGGTTTATCTTTAAATTAAATGCAAACTCTTTGAAATTGCAAATGTCTAAACTCCGCAATTCCTAAATCTCGAAATTTGTAAATTTCCTTCGAATAATAGAGTAGTTATCTTGCTGGAACTGTAAGAAATCGACGTTAGCGAAAGAAGTAGCATATTAAAAGGTGTATCGCCGGTGAAGGCGATATTCGTTCCGAGATGGCCGCAAGAAGAGCGCGAGAGGAATGGCTCACAAATGAGAGAGGACACGCGCACTTTCACACGAGCCCGAACTTTCATACGGTTTATCCGCTCGCGAAAAGACGCTACGTTAGAGAATCTCGCGTTCCCTTTTCCCCTTCTTTTTTTCTCTTTTTTTCCACGGAATCATGATCCTCTATTACCGCGTAAACGAGATCCACGGTTTCTTCGGTCGATTCATTGAATCGCATTGCTCCTCTTTCATTGATGCATTATTTATCGCTGTCGAGGAGATCGTTAATTTATCGATGCAAAACACGTACTTAATCACGCGATATTGCGTGCAGAGCTAATCGACCGCCCCCCCTGTAATATTTTATTACTTCATTATTTTACTATTTTATCATATTCTGTTGCTTTAACATTTTATTCGCTGTTTCCTCCACTTATCACTTTCAACCTAAACGCAGTAAATTTGATGTAAACGAAGGACGTTCAATAAATTTAGCTCGATTACGCGGTGTTTTACCGAAAGAATGTTACCTTATATTTTGTTACGCGTATGTTTCGATTATAAGTAAACACTTGTCCACACGAAAGGCACGATTCCTGCAACGACTATAGGCATACGCCTTAATTAATGATAATGGACTTTCCTTAGAGAGTGTCGCAGCGAAAGGATTAAAACATTGTAAGAAGTATTTAGATCCGCTTTTAGAGTTCCTTGTTTATATAACAGGAAGTAATCTAATAGACAAGCAACTAGAACGATCTCGACAATACGATCAAAGCTTTCTTTTGGTCAACAGAAGTGTGCGTTTGTCCTGTTGCGACCATCTAGACGAGGCTGCGGGAAGAAAGTGTACACAGAGATCAACGGTGCGAGATAACGACAGAAAGAGAAAACGGCAACAGTAAATTTACTTTTATTCGATTGGTTCGATCGGTGATCATTTTCTTATTTTATAATTAAAATCATGTTTCAACAATTTATAAGCCATCTCTAGAAATATCGGTGATAAGTGACTTACACTAAATAATTTCTTTCTTTAATTCGTAGCAGCAAAAGTTGAGGGCAACTAGAATAAAATAAATGTCTGTGTGCTTACAGTGTGCGTCTTCGTATTTATAGAGAAACGTAAGATGAGGAGTGGAGTGATGGGTAGAAATTATTTTTAGTCTCTACCTCGAATTTTCCAAAGTTCCAGTATTCGAAAATTCCAAACCCCGGAAATTCTATAATTCCTCGCGGACAGATCCCATAGGGAAGATAAATTTCATGCAAGCACAGATTTCACGCATTGTAGAAAGCGAACAATCGTTAAATCGTTTTTCCTCTTTTTGTAAGTTTACGAGTCTTTGTCTCGAATTCACTTGTCCATACAAGGTGTCCGTTATTTTCCCTGGTAACCAGCATTTTTATTTGACCGTCTACCGCAGCGAAGTCGTGAAACGCGATCGTTTCCCCGGGGAGAGAGAAAGTCGGAGGAACGACGATGGCAATGAATCTTCTTTTATTTCCATTTCCGGAATTGTGGGTCAAGTTCTTGTCCGAAACAGCAGCAGGGTACAGCTGCTGCTCGAAGGCGAAAGTCACTTGCACGTTCTTAACTATCCTTTTCGTCGTTAAGACGAAATCCGCATTCTTTTCTTGTCGAAATTAATCGTGCGTAGACAAAAATTATTTTGAACAAAAAAAAAGTAAATTATCTCTGGTGGACAACTTTCTATTTTAAACACGCCTTATTATGACATTGCTTTGAAAGTTAATCGAACATAAATAATAATATCTAGTCGGTGAAATTTCAAAGACAAGTTTGTCTTTTTACTAAAATAGCATTGACGTTTCAGCTGGGCAGTTTCTACGGTAATGACAAGGCAGAACCTCATCCCGAGCGAAGATGGTTCGCGTATGATCCATGCTTTGATTCCAATGTGGGACATGTGCAATCATGAGAACGGGCCAGTAAGTATCTTTCTACAGACGGTTTCTGAACAATGTGCAATGTTACAGGAACAGATTTCGAACACATGTAACATACAGGACATTCCATTTAACTTGACTCTTATGAATATCTCGTTTACTTACGCATTGGTATATCCCATGTAATATCAACGATGTTTGTTTTAGATCACTACAGATTTCAATCTATCGTCAAACTGTTGCGAGTGCTATGCCTTGAGAGACTTCAAGAAAGGAGATCAAATATTTATTAGTTACGGACCTAGGCCGAATTCTGACTTCTTCTTGCACTCGGGATTCGTTTATATGGATCACAAACATGTATGTCGTTGTTCTCAAGTACTTTATATTTATGTAATCTTTATGGGTCTATAAGATATATTTTGAACGTTTCGACGATATCTGTTCGCAGGATACTTTAAAATTTTGGGTTGGTTCGTTTCTGGAAAGCAACTTGGATCCTCATTTGGCGGAACGTAGGCAGTTATTAAAAAAATTGCACTTGCAACCGTGGAGCGAGTTTGTGGTGAATTCTGGAAGAGAACCAATTCCAGGATCAGTGTTAGCGTACATGCGGGTGTTTCGTATGCGTAAACCTGAACTTACGCATTGGATGTCCTCGGAAAGAGTTGACCAGTTAAAACAGATCGATTGTGTTTTAGACAATCGCACCGAACTTAAAATAAAAAGGACAGTGCTTTATGATACACTGCGGACTTTGATGCTCAGATATCCAACAACGTTGGAGGTAAAGAATAAGATTAAATTGCAGCATTTAAAGTCGGTACTTACTGTTATATTTTACTTTGTAGGAAGATCTGGAGCTGCTCGAAACAACGTTACCGAAATCTAAAAAACTGGCTGTTCAACTGAGAGTAACGGAGAAGAGGCTTATTGTGAATGCGATCGAGTATGTGAGAAGGCAGAGCAGTTTAACAAATCTTACAAATGGACATGACTTGAAGATCTGATATTCGATGTGATTTTAACTTATAAATGAAACGTTTGACGTAGATCTGAAGTAAGGAACTTATATTTATTAAATAAGATACGAAAGGGCGACGAGGACGTACAGAAAAGGGAGCAATGGTATAACATTTATACACGGTGTATAAACATTGAACAAATCCTGTATATGTTTAAGTGTATTAACAAGTATACAATGCAAAATATAATTGCATTTACGTGTTCCAAAATATCTGATCTTTTGTTTTCGAGAGATGAGAACTTTAAGGAAGCGTAAACTATTTTTAACTATCATGCCAATGTTTCCTCGTTGAACTGTATTTTGAATAGCGCATTAACAAAGTTCTAATCTCTGATTACAAGACTTAACGAATACAATACTGTTACTTCAGCTTTGATAAAAAAAAGAATCAAGTGTACAAATAAAATGTTATTACTCATGAATATTTATTTTAAAAAGAGGATAGTTAAGAGATCTAATTCTGTATGTAAGCTACTGTACTGTGTTACGCAGGCCTACAAAATCAGACTTACGAATAATTATACGCAATAAGATTTATCGATATTAGAAACTACCTTTAACGATACGCATAAAACTAAAACAAACAGCGAGTTCCAATTATTTCTCAGTCATTAAAATTCTATCGTGTTGCGCGGTTATTCGAATAATACAAAAAAATGTTTGAGGCTGTACGCGTATATAAATGGTAACTATATAAAACTATATCAGTGTATTTAAACGAGACTATATAAAGTATAATTCAATTGACTCGCGTGTAATACGGATAAGGATAACGAATTAATGCCAAATGTAAATGTGACGTTAACTTACGATGCACTTCGCTTTAATACAAGACACAGAAAATGTACGACGTGCTTATATTACTTCGAAAACCGCTAAAAAATTACTGTTATCTGATCGAAAAAGTTCCATAAGAAAAGTAATTGTTCGAGATACTTAATTATATTTTTAAGATAATATTATCGAGTTTAGGACAATATCGGTATCTGATAGATGTGTGATTCTGAATCTTACATATTCGCTAGAAAAATATATATTTATATACGTTTATTTTTTTAAAGAGGCTCAATCTGTAATATAAAGGTTATCTCAGAACTTTTTCATCAGATAATATCTCGAATACATGTTCTTATTAATAAGTTTATCGATAAGTTGTTTGTTGTCAGTCGTATTTAATAATATCTAATATATACTACGAAGTGACTGATTCATAGCAACGGCACGTTTCATTGTTACGAGTAACTTTTAATGATTACCTCCAGATCTTTCACATTTTATTCTCTACTTTATCCAAAATTCATTTCTGGTATATTACCTGAAACATATATAGCGCGTTCTACAACTTGAGTTTGTCATTAGCTAACGTCATATTACTGTTTTTGCTAATGTAATTTGCAGTTTCATTTTTTAAAACGCGCAATAATACTTCGCCAAGAGTTTCCTTCTTTTGATCCTCGTCATATTCATTTTCTTCCGATTCTGTGTTTCTCACATTTTTTATGTTATGATCTTCTCGAATATGTAGAACCAGAGAAGGTAAGGCAAAAAATAATTTGTCGCAAAGATTGCACTGAAACGTCTTCCCATTTTCCGATTGTAAACAGTGTTCGTAATCTTTCATAGAATGGTACGTTTGTCTATGTAATGCTAAATGTTTTTCATGATCTACAGCAAGGATAAATTCGTATGAACAAATTGGACATTTCAAGTTGTGCTTTGTCCATACTGTGTGCGCTTTTAATCGATGCAAACTATCGTAAATTTTACCGCAAACGGCACATTTCATACATTTATGATTATTTAACGTTTCCCTGCTGTCATATAGTCCACTACATTCTTTACATTGATAAGTTCTTTCCCTTTGACAAGCGTGTTTCAACCAATGTTTCTCCAGTTGCGGTAACAGATCAAATACTAATTTACAGAGAGTACATACGTACTTCCCTCTACGATCTCTTTTCACAGAAAAATTTGACTTCTTTATGTCCCAATGATTTTCAAAATTATTTTTGCGCATTAAATTTTCATTACAAAATTCGCATTGATCTTGATGTTTGGACAAGTGCGCGAATAACATTCCGGGTTCGCTATTTGTGTAATTACAATAGGAGCAAGCAAAACCATCCTCCTCTTTGTACACATGCGAATATAAATGCTTTTGGAATGAATTTGGAGTAAAAAACATTGCACCGCATGCTGGACATTTTAAGTAAGGTTTACCACTTTCTGTATAATATAATGGTAAAGGCCTAAAACCTTGCAGCCAATCAATGTTATCTTTGGATTCGATATTTTGTTGATCCATAGAGGATTCTTCGTAATCTAACTCTTCCATAGTTGGCACACGTTCATCGATATCTGTAGAAATGATAGAGTTTTCTTCTTTAATTTCGATTATTGGTTCGTGTTTAGGTACAAGTTTCCTTGATAGTACTTTATTATGTCGCTTGGAACGATTTTTTGATTTTGAATTCTTACTGGCCAAGGAATGTTCATTGGATAACTTTTTTGTTATTAAAGCATTATCTGTTTCCAGTTGCGTTAGGATTATAAATTCTTTATTATTAGGTACAGAAGTAATGTACGATGGAGATGAATTAGTTTTTATGTCGTCCCAGTCGCTAACAGTTGATTCATTAGTTATGTCTGAATCGATTGACAGGAGTTCAGAGGATACATCATCCTCTTCTGACTCGGTACTGTCATCCTCTGCAGAAAGTAATGCCATTCTTAATATTTCACCATTTACAATAGGATATTTATCTTTCTCATAATTTTGTACTTCGTGTTTCTCTTCGTTGATTTCCTCATCTTCCACCGTGTCTTTTGAAAAAGTTTTGTATTCTGGCTCTTCCAATGTTAACATTTTACATTCACAAAAGTCTTATTATTTGTGTGAATAATTACTGCAAGATACAAGATAGAATATTACAATAATTATATGGACACAATAGTCTCAAAGATAAAATATAACCTCCACTTTTCGTGTTTGTTACATCTTCCATGCGTGTTATATTCAAGTATAAATAAAATATATGGAATTAGATTAAACCCTCATGTGATAGCCATCTACGCTAAGGTAAATAAAGAATACTCACGTGTAGTCGTTTAACGTAGCCCCTCCTCACGGCACTCTTCGCGATGCAAACATCGATTTGTATCTGCGTGGAATTCTTTGAAGTCGTATCAGAGGGTGTACAAAAAAGAATAGTACATGCTACAGCAAATACCCATCATTCAATTTTCAGAATCCTTTACGACTCCTTAAATTTTTAAAGCCATTATTATTTACACTCGGAATAACTTTGATCAGCTGTTTTCTGATTACACAAAATCGACACGATCTCATCCAAACGATGACCCACCGCTGGTGACACGAACAGTATCTCTCAATTCATTTATTTTGAACATTTACAATGTCACATCTTATTAAAAAAACATACATGTTGTTTAGAACACATGGTAAGAATACTTATTGAGTCAGAATCATTGATAGATTTTGTCATTCAATATAAGATATTATATACGATATTATGACACACAAGAAGAAAAGAACACGCTATTACTTCAGACGATAAATTGAGAAACACTTTCATATGGAACAAGGTGAACGGTTACCTGTAAGTTAAGCTTCCTTTACCTGAAAGGAAAGAAGAAATGTCCTACTTTTATTTGCCTACATTATTTATGTGACAAAACAAGAAGATTTACATTGGGTTCTTTTCAAACTATAACAAGATCTTGTTTGCCTTTAAACTTGGATATGCATAAGCCGACATCACAGTTAGAAAATAGAAATTTCTTATTTCTCTTCTTATTCAGTTTCTTATCTGAAACTACGATAATACAAAAAATAATATAACTCTGAACGTTACGGTTTTCCTTTTTAACAAATATCTTCTTATTTCTACAAGAAGATACCTAATTTTCATTGGTATACCTAGGGCCCGAGAAGATTTAGAGACAGTCCTGTGATTATTTCATCACACAGGAGATATAAAATGATTACTGATAAGATTTTTGCTTTTATCATAAAATCTGTAACATAGAAATCATCGAACGTGTCAATTTTTATAGCTAGAATTTTTTAAAATATTTTTAAACTACTTGAAAGTACTATAGGCACTTTTAAAATTTGAATTTTCCCGCGCATTTTGAAACGCGACATTAGCGCCATCTACCAGCAGATGATGGTATTATTTGAACAAAAACTTACAATTTTCTTAAAAATTAACAATTTTTACGTCTTTCTGGCACGAACAAAATGCTTTTTAATAACAACGGGATTGGAATAATATTATTGTAGTTCGATGAAAGCATTAATAACGAAAATAAAAAAAATGACATTTTGTGGACCAAAAAATACTGAGCCATCTAGCGGTGAAATATTGTAATATTAGTACAATTAATGCAAATTATATTTGTGTGACTAATGCAATTAATTGTACTAGTACAATACATAATAACTGTATATGTATATTACAAATTATTGTAAAATTATGTATTCAAATAGTGTAAGTCACAATTTTGTACAATTTTATATGTATTACACGATCGCACACATATGTAGAAATTGATTGAAAAATAAAGAGAAAAAAATGAATTTGCAATGTCTATTTATTTTATATCCTTACCAAAACCTATTCCTCAATATCCAAATAAGGCAGTGACCATTCCTTCAAATTCTTGTTTCAAAATTATAAAAATTTTTGCGAAATCGGAATGCTGCACCTTAAAATTTTGTATCAGGAGAACATAACATGTGAGGAGGTGGCACAGAGGTATTTCATATTAAAAATCTGAAATTTGGAATTTGGTATCAGGAGAGCATAACGTGTGAGGAGGTGGCACAGAGGTATTTTATATTGAAAATCTGAAATTTGGAATTTGGTATCAGGAGAACATAACGTGTGAGGAGGTGGCACAGAGGTATTTCATATTAAAAATCTGAAATTTGGAATTTGGTATCAGGAGAACATAACATACAAGGAGGTGGCACAGGGGTATTTCATATTGAAAATTTGGAATTTGAAATTTGGTATCAGGAGAACATAATATATGAGGAGGTGGCACAAAGGTATTTCATACTGAAAATCTGAAGTTTGAAATTTGGTATCAGGAGAACATAATGTATGAGGAGGTGGCACAGGGGTATTTCATATTAAAAATCTGAAATTTGAAATTTGGTATCAGGAGACCATAACATGTGAGGAGGTGGCACAACGGTATTTCATACTGAAAATCTGAAATTTGAAATTTGGTATCAGGAGACCATAACATGTGAGGAGGTGGCACAACGGTATTTCATACTGAAAATCTGAAATTTGAAATTTGGTATCAGGAGACCATAACATGTGAGGAGGTGGCACAACGGTATTTCATACTGAAAATTTGGAATTTGAAATTTGGTATCAGGAGAACATAATGTATGAGGAGGTGGCACAGGGGTATTTCATATTAAAAATCTGAAATTTGAAATTTGGTATCAGGAGACCATAACATGTGAGGAGGTGGCACAACGGTATTTCATACTGAAAATCTGAAATTTGAAATTTGGTATCAGGAGAACATAACATGTGAGGAGGTGGCACAAAGTTATTTCATACTGAAAATCTGAAATTTGAAATTTGGTATCAGGAGAACATAACGTGTGAGGAGGTGGCACGGAGGTATTGTGAATAAAAAATTTGAGTTTTAAATTTGGTATCAGGAAAACATAAGTTGCGAGGAGGTGGCACGGGTGCCACTTCTTGGAATTTTGATGACGTCATTTCTAGGAATTCTCAAGAGTTTGTTTCGCGTTTTTATTATTCTTTGCTATTTTACGCATCTTTTTCGAGTTATTTTTTTAATGTTTCAATTTAAATAATATTATCTAATGTTTCTAAACGCTTGGGAAAGGTGTTTTAAATAAATACTCTGTATATTCTTTTTATTTATTGTTTATTCAAGTTTTCTATTACATACAAGTTGAAAATACATTGGAAGTACATCGAGATATTAATTACATACTGGCATACATACACGCACACATACATACATACATACATACATACATACATACGTACAATTATTAATATAATTACAATTACATATATATCTTAATACATACAATTATTTATACAATAATTCATCTTATTTGATAATCTATATTCTAGTTTTGGGGGGGGACAATAGTTGTACTGCGCATGCGCGTTGCTGCACGTGATACCTCCTACTCCACATACATCCTTCAGTTTTTTGCGATCCTAATACCATGAGTAACTTCTGGTCCCAGTCGCTAGATGGCGCTAGGTTATCGGTCTCCAAATTTAGTTTCGGTAGTTTATATATTTCGCCGGTAGATGGCGCTAGGTTATCATGTCACAAATTTAGGTCCTGTAGTTTCCTCCTTTCGCCGCTAGATGGCGTCAAGTTATCATGCCAGAAATTTGGTTTCAGTAGTTTCCGCCTTTCACCGCTAGATGGCGTCAAGTTATCATGCCAGAAATTTGGTTACGGTAGTTTCCACCTTTCACCGGTAGGTGGCTACCAGTATTGTTTGCAGAGAGCGCGTATATATAAATTTTTAAAACACGCATGCAGAATAAAATCTTGAAAATTCCTTAAATGTATTTTTAAGGAAATATTGACTACCGCAAATTATGTGTTTGATAGCACTGTATGATATCAACAAAAGAGGCCTAAATAATTTACTTCCTGCGTGCAATAATATTGAAAATTTTTTTCTCTATTCGAGTGCTTCAGTATGCTCGAAAATGTAAAATAATTACGATTATTAGTATTCGAAAATACATAAATACTTACTATTCAGATAATATATGGATTTTTATTCGAATGCATAAGGCCTGAGAACTTTTTGAGCGGTCCTGTACTGCAGTTGGCTCTGGAAACTGATTTACTAGTCGCACGCAACGCAGTTGTCAATGACTTGAACATAAGAACTTCAAAACTGTTCACCACACAATATCAAAATGGTCGAAGAAAATAATACCTTTGGGTTTGAGCTCATACAATCATTGTACGATAATGAAATTGTGAAGAAGGAAGATGTTTTAATTTTGTTCATTCACTGGTATTTAATAAAACATGGATTCAAGTGCATCGGTCTTGGCGATTCGGTAAGTTGCGATAATATGTTTTTGCGCAATGTCACGCAATATAAACGTTTTGAATAATTATTTTGCATGTCATTTGTTCATACGATGAAATAATATGCACAAAGATATTATTATATTTAAAATTCGAAGCGTGTAATCGGTTAAGGTTATGTAGTTAATTTTGCAAGTCAGTTATGCTAAGTTGTCTTTTAGAAATTGCATTTTTCATGTAAGAACGTATTGTCATTCGTTGTTGTTTTTGAGTTGGAAATAAGTACAGCTCCAGTACTGGGTTGAAGATCAAAATTTGGTGTGTACAGTGACTTATAAGCATCTTAAAATTTCAGAAAGCATTTAACGAGTCAGAGAAAGGGACTGAGTTACTTCCAGATGGTTGGAATTCACATCCAAATTATACATTTCGATACATAAATGACAAAAAGTTGTATATATTGCATGGTATAAAGTCAGACGAGGATCTACTTACAAATCTATTGGTAATTGGAAATTAAATTTGTATTTTAGATACTATGATTTAATATAATATATACAAAACAATAATGAAAATTATTAATATTCCATGTTGTAGAAAGTTGATGATCAGAATGTATCCAGTGCTCAGTTTCCAATTAATCAAACTATAAATGGTCTTCACGGACCATTAGAATCTCTAATATCCTCGCATCAAAGTGTTATAAATATAATTCAGAAGGATCTTATTGATCCCCTGCTGCCTGGTAATACCATAGATAATTCTACTCAGACAGGGTCAATAAATAGAGAGGAACGCAACATTGAGATTGACAGAAGTCCTGATCCTTTAAGGGTGGGACCTGCAATACGACCTTCTTCTGTACCTCACAGATGGTAATATTTGAATTGATTCACTGAAACTTAATACATAATTTTTACAAGAAAAAGTATAGACATAATATGGGATGGCAGTAAGATAAACTGAAAAACCGATACAGTTGTAATTTAATGTATTTGTAAATAATATGGAAAACATCTTTACAGACTTATGATCTTGAGGATGTAAACCTGGAAGACATTTTGTCAGTTTCCGAATTTTGAATTTTTGTCACCTAGTCTCAAGTATACAAAGATCAGTCTCTTAGTTTTGAAAATATTCCAAACTAATATTCTTAACTTTAGCAAGTACAGTTGATTTTACAGATTTTAAAATAGCTATTTTTTTTGTATAATTTATTTGATGTTTTCATTACTAATTTAATTAATTAATTATAATTTTGTTTGACGAAATATTTGTTTCATGCTTTGAAGGGATCCTCTAGCTGATCCTTCAAGTGTAGGAGGTGCTGATTTGAACCCATTTGGACGCGGTGGCGGTGGTATGATTTATGATCCATTTTCAACGCTCCGCAATCCTGTGAATCCACTTAGACCAGCTTTAGGAGTTCCTGGAAGATTACCACCGTAAGTTGAAAAAAAATCAATTACGGTACAACATTTTATTACAATTTTCCCATAATATGTCATGTCACATATTGTAGGGGCGCAGTTCCTCCACATGCAAGATTCGATCCTTTTGGTCCTCCCGATATCGAGCAACCCAGACGACGCCATGATCCAGATAATGATCACTTACCTCCTCCAGGATACGATGACATGTTCATGTAAATGAAGGGATAAAATAATGTATAAGAAATATGTATCAGTTACGCATAGTTTTGTACACTTCGCTGTCTATTAATGTTTATCTAATTTTGTAAAAAAAAAAGAAAATAACGATATTTAAATAAACGATGCCTGTTGTTTAAAAAAAAATAGCTTGGCATAAAAATATTTTATTTTATTAAATTCGTCGGATGTGAAAAGTGTCATAACACGCTGCTTCTTCACAAAACGACTTCCATTCTTTTTTATTTCATTACTGATGTTTTACAATATAACAAAATTCATCATTTATAATTTAATCAATGTCATTAATACATCGGTAGGTAAGGAAATTACATTAACAAATTAAATACAATAATAATATAGTAATTCTTGTTTAAATTGCGCTAACTCGTTAAATTTATTTGTTTGTTTAATCGATTCGAAAAAGAGCGATCGTTCTCATCCCGTTACGTCGGTTCAAAATAGAGGATATTTTCTTTGCTACCTAAGTTGTTCCTGTTCTCAGTATTTATATACGAGTTGAAAAATATTTTCTTTAACGTAAAAGTAAATCAAATACGATTCTCATAGTCGCCATTATAAAAGTAATGGCAATTAAACGAAAAGCTACGTTTGTTCACCGATTAATTTTCTTGCATAATAAAATGAAATATGACACAACGTTTCGATTCAATTCTTCGAGAATAAAAATGTCTAAATAATAGGGGTGTGCCGAGATCTTGTCCGAAGTTCGCGTCTCATCCCGAATTACGCACACCTCTATCAAATACTCTGTGAGTACACGAAATAGTAAATATTCAGATCAAAATACGTCCCTAAATACAATTTCACAATAACATCTACCAATGCCCATTGATTATCGATTTAAAACACAGCGGATCACGATCCTCGTTAATCCCGAAAAAGATTTGAAATACATCATCGTTTTTTACAAGTAGTCACGTTTCACTAAGACCGATTATCAATCCCCTTCTAATTTGCAACTATTTTTTCGCAAAAAATGTATCACAGATAAAAAATATTCACGCACATTACGTAATTACTTCTGATATTGAAGTACATCTTGCCTTGAAGAAGTGAATCGACGTGCAAAATGAAATTTCACATGTTTCAAAATTCGTTGGTAACTATTTTTTTTTCTCTTTTCAATGAGTCCTAGGTATACCTAATTAAAGTATCATTATCTTACTTTAAAAGGGCTATCATTGAGAAACAAAAACAAATGTTAGCGATCATGACAAATTGTGTAATAGTAAACTAAATAATAATATTAATAATAATAAATTGAACGAGTAAAAATTATTCATTCAATTTCGGATCTAAGGCTTGATAAGTATTTTTTTCTTATAAGAATGTCCCTCGTCCCATCCTCTGGTAAAAAATATTGCAGTTTTTTTTTTAACATTACAAAAAAGGAGCTGTACCAGGTTCAAATATCATTTCCAGTCTGTGATCACGGTGAATGTACTTTGTTTTGCGGAGTACCTAATGAATGAAAGAAAATTATGCACAAAAAGGGCAAACCTTATCACTGGTGACGCAACAATCGTGCAATTAAATTCGGTAGTCAGTTTCGTAGAAAAACCTTACGTGCTAATCATGAAAAGAAAACTAAGATACAAACAGCTAACGACAATTCACATCATTCTTGTACATAATCCCTGCCAAGTACGAAAATAGTAAAACGATTCACATATTATAAATACATGTATAGAAACGGTACATTCACGTATCGACAGACGCGTGAAATGATCTAAATATTACGTTCATTATTTTAGGAGCGAATTTTTTTTTTCTATTTTTTGAACACAGTTTAGTGTGGCGTACAGCGTCATCGACAATTTTACCAAAATACGATTACAATACATGCTTCACACAAAACGCGTATGCAGCTTTTAAAATTTTTTTCGAATAAAAGTGGATGTTTTTTCTTTAAAATCATTTTGGTGAAATTGCCGTTAAGCTACGATAAAAGTGATATATAACTCTGGAGTGATTCATTTCACTTCGTTTCGCAATATTTCGTTAGTTTCAAGTTAACGCAGATTTCAAGTCCAGTGAAAGTTAAGAATACCTATCAGTTCGGCATGCCACTGGAAATGCAACGCAATGTTCTCTCTCGTCCGTGTTAATAATTTACGAATTGATACTAGAAGATTTCGACTATCTATAAATCACTGTATCAGTGATTTATTTTATAGAAATTTAATAGTTCCTTTACAGGTATGGCAATGAGTAAAATATATGTACATTGCAGTTCAAAGTTGATTTGTATTAATTATGTAAAATACAAGCTGCACTTAAAAGCAGTAATGTTGATAGTTGAAAGAGTTTACATTTTTATAGAAACTTCCGGCAGAGTAGTGGCGCTTCCCTACCAAAAATTCTAATTTTTTAAGTAGAAAATAATAAATCTGGGAAACTGAGAGTTTGGGAATTTAAAAATATAGAAATATCAAGGTTTTAAATTTAGAAACGCTGTAATCTGGAAATTTCAAATTTTCAAATTGAAAGATTCATCACCATAAGTATCCATCACTGCTTCAAATTATACTTTTAACATAATATGCACAGTCAATTGATTACAGCAAAATTGTCTATACTTACGAATTGAATTTAATCGAGATATTATATCTTGAATGAAAATGGTATAATGTCTGAACCACACGCTGTTAAGGATACATGTTTTGCAACGAATGCGGTAAAGAAAGATTCGATCATAGCGATCTAAATGCAAACGCAATAGATCACTAAAAAAAAGTGTTGGCAAAGTATTTATGCATTTTTTGCAATCAAACATTCTGTAAAACATAACCTTTTATTGCACTAATTTCTCTAAACTACGTTTGGTGACGGTTGTGTACAATCGCAGTACTGAAAGAACCGTCTTTTTTTGCTAAAAATTCATGCTAGTTTTAAAGTTCTTGTTCCAACCATTTTTTAAATATTTAACATAAATAACGTATTGGCTAATGTTTACAAATTAATTAATTAATTAAGTATTGCATGTTTTATTTTCTTGGACCAAATAAATGCAGCCTTCTAGAATACCTATGCACAATTATCTTTAAACGAGGCACTAAGTATTACTGTATAACGCATAAGTTGATCCAATTTCTTTTATTGTACAATTTATGATCAGGAACATTTCAAATTCATTACTGTTCTGATCACGCGCACAAGGTTTCACTTGTTCTATAACGAGTAAAGTTGATTTAATAAAAAGTGTAGTACAAAAATTTCATAAAATCAGAATGCAAACAATTACAAGCAATTCACTTTTAAATTTCTTGCTTTAGAGAATTAGATGATGAAAGAGTATGCTTGTAACATATTTTAAGTAGTTCGGTTGCATTTCCATTGATAGGCCTTTCAGAACAGAGTCGATACAATTATGTCTCTTGTTACCAGGCGCGAAAACCTATACAATTAGGTATACCAATCAGTATGAATTAGTAACTTTTCACAGAAAAAAAAAAAGAAAAAAAAATCGTTTGATCTATTGGACACAGCAGGAGTTCTTTTGTCCATTTTTGAGCTTCAACCGAGATTTGGGACGATATTTTTCAAGATAGGCCAGCTGCTTCGAATTGATAGCGCCTCGTCTTTTACTGAAAAAATAAAGAAAATTTGTTTATATTTATAAATATTTAATATGTAAAAGTATTTATAAATAATTAAATGACTCTAAAAAACTTACTCCCTGATCAACGTGACTGCATCTTCATACTTTAATCCAAGCTCAATAAGAGCAAGTGCAACTAAAACCGGTGCTCTACCAAGTCCTGCAACGCAATGTACTGCCACGCATGCATCAGGAGACTCGCGGAATCGATTCTTTAACAGTTCAAACCACTCATCGATGACCTAATAATAACAATAATTCATTATCATTACCAAATTCAAGTAACTCTTTCTAATTTTAAAACACGTAGACCACCCTCTATGGTTATAGAAGGTGATTATAATAATAATACTTACTTCATTGGGTGGGAATGTGCCATCGTCAAATACCAAGTCTATAACATTGATCCCTTCTGCTTTAAGTTCCTCGACTTTGTACGTTGGTTCGCACACCCTCACTACTTCTTTCACATTGTGCTTTTTTAGTTCCTGTTAAAATAACGACAATGTTTCATAGTTTCAAGGATCATAATTAGTATGATACTTATTATACAGAAATTATTAAGGAACCTACTTGAATAAAAGTATGAATGGTCTGATCGTTGGGCCGATCAGTTATGAGGAACTTCATGTTTTTGTATTCAATCTCGGCGGGCTCTGGCCTGATATCCTTCACCCTCATGTTGCTCATTTCCTCTTGGACAACAAGCAATAAATAACTCCTACTTCTGTGTATTTGTTCTAATTTTTCTTTTAATGATTTTGTACAACGCTGTTTCTCTTTATTTCTGCAATGTGCCACACTATACGAAGCGATAAAGGCTGAATTTGACAACTTAGCCCATAGATGTCAGTCTTATAAAGTTGTTTTTCATTTAACTATATGAATACTTTTTTATTTTTTTACAGAGGACAGAACAATGGGTTTACATGTAGACCTCAAAAAAGGTTATTAAGGTGCAAATTTCACTGAAAGGGTGAGGGCTACGTTACATTAGGCGTTGTTGATATGCGATTGATTCCCACTTGGGATCCTCGACTACAATTCGGAAGATTATCTGAAAACAGATTTCAATCCAAGTTTATATAAAGCTTAATAGAAACACGATTACTAGTAATACGATTATAGATGTAATTCTTACCTATTTGGCACTGGGTGCGCCTGAATCAGGTGCGCTCAGTAACTACAACTCTTGCATTTAATAATGTAAATTAACAATTGATTCTATTTAACTCTTCTATGTTTCATACGATGACCAGCTGATGATTAATTTTTTTTGACTTTGAGGCAATAATTCCAATAATATCAAATTTTCCTTTGCCTGATTATGATGTTTTTTTTTCTTTTTCTTTAATGGTACCCAGTTGATTCTAGGATGTTTGGGCGTGTCTCTCTATTTGTGTTGAGCCTGGCAGTATTCTGCACTATCCAGCTGAAACTCCATGTATGTGAGGATGCACTCACCAGGAAACTGCAACACGAGCAAGAAAGGAAAATTAATCAAGAGTTGCTTTACGAGGAAATTAATTGTTTATGTTTGTATTAAAGACATTTATTTTGAAATAATAATTATCAAAATAAAATAACTGATATTTTTGGTACGAATAAAGGTTAGGTCGACAACGTTAGTATAATTGTTAAATTTTTAAAAAATTATAAATACTAAACACTAAAGTTACAGCTGTAATACGTTCTTTATCATAGTAAGTTATATAATATTCTCGTTCTGCTTGCAACAAGGAAGAATTTATAAATTATTATGAATCTTATGCACGTGCTAAAATTTTTATCAATTTTCACGAATTAAATTCGTTTGTACATAATAAATATTTAATAAAAGCCTCACCCACGAGATTTTGAATAATTGCGATACTGCTTCCTTGTGACAGTTCATTACGAAAGTACAACGTATGAAATTTGTCCCTTTGGGAAAAAAGTTTGGTCGAACAGGCAAATTCCGGAGGACTTGCGTTGACATAATGACATTAGTCGACTCTCGAAGCTCGAATATAATCGATTGGCAGCATCGCTTATACATAAATCCAAAGTGATGTACTGCACATGCACTTACTATTAAGAGTGTGTGAAAATGTATACACGTTACAAAACGTTGTAAATTGAAAAGAGAAGAATGATTCGTATTAAATATTTGTACGTCTTATGTTAAATAAATTTTAAATTAAAAAGCATGTTTGGCATGGATGAAAAACTTATTAAAAAAGTTTGAGTGCACAAGTTAAATATAATTGTGCTATTTATAATTAAACAATTTAATGTTTGGAAAGCGCTAAAAGCAAAGCGATGAAAAGAAAAGCGAAACACTGCAATTAAATGCCGCGCCAAACATGTTTTAAATTTATCAATGGCGCTAGCTGCGCCTGATCTTGGCTGCGATATTCGAAACGTTTCAACAAGCGCCGAACAAAGATGAATTTTCTTTATCTTTTTGGCACGAACACTTTGTACCATTGCCAAACGAAACAGACAGTTCAAAACGTGTGGGTCTCGAAGAAGTACTTCCGTCATTTTATGCATCCGATTTGAGGGGGTTTGCGCTGATCGTAAATAGAAATGTCTAGGTCACTATTCCGAGAATGTAACAATATTACCTGCAGGTGATACACTTGCAAATAGGAAGTAATGATTCTTTTAAATTAAAATGAAAATTTAGACAGCGAAGAACTAAAATAAAACAAATATTTGATATGCCCTAAATCCGTTTCCAAATTCGGATGCTTAGGTTAGGGTGCATTTAGATCGAGCGAGTTAGAACGTAAGAGCGTGTACGATCATCGAGTAAACTGTTAAATTACTCTAAAAAGCTAAATACGAACGAATATTCGTGCAATTGACCCGAATCGCGTCAAATTAAAACGTGAATTAATTCGTGTCGAACTAACTCGAGCAGACTCTAAATACACAGAATTGAATGTTGTAAAACCGAGCTCGGTTGAATCGAAACGCGCCGGGTGGATTCAAGTCGAATCGAATTACGTCAGACTAAATTCCGACAAATTCATCCAGAGAACAATCGTCGGATGGTATAAAAATGCTCGTTTACGTCTACACATTCCGAGATAGAGAATTCGTTCGTTTAATCGAGGTACATTGTAAAAAATTGCAAGGATACTCACACGGAATAACGAACGATTTAAAAGTCCCGACTTCGTTAACACTTTCTGACCTTACGAGTTTTATAACCGTACGCACTTCCCATTTCCATTTACGCGCGAACTCCGGCCATTTATTCGCATAGTTGGGTTAGCTCGATCGCGCGAATGAAAATAAGCCCGACTGACAGACGTCTCTTTACAGACACGTTTGTAAATTTGAAGCGCACATCGAATAAATATAGGCATCGATACATTCAGGGGGGAGACGAATGGCACAGCAGCGCGGCGTCGTTCCGTCAGGATGTCGAGACGATTTACGAAATCCCTTTTTACGTAACGAAAGCTTCCGAAACCGAAGACGCCTGTCTCATCTTCGAACTGATTCTAAGACAGTCGGATGACGGATAGAAAAAAGTGAGAGCGCTCGAATCGACGTACCGGAATAACCAGAATAATTGGCAGTCAGTATATGAACAGTCACGAGCGCTACTCTGCACTTTACAACGTGTTTGTTTCAAGGTCGAATCCATCTTGCCAATCTTACAACGTCGATTATTCAATTCTCTGCAACCCCTTACTCCGAGTAAAAAAAACCTTTTATAACATATTACGCCGAGCAAACAAGCTACATAATTCGAACGAATTTAATGAGTCATACGCGTTAAGTGTCGTCACGCGCGATACTCGAGGCATTTGACAAACTTTAAACATAGATTAAACGATAAACTAGACCTAGCGAATTTCAACCGTGTTCTTCTGCTTATCGAAATTGTAAATTTATCACGGAATTTCGAAATGGTCCCAATATCGAATGTCGGAGATAACCTTTATTCGGAAATTAGAAAAATCGAGAGAGAAGCGTTTTAACGCAACGTGTACCAGAATCAGGAATAGGTGGTATCAATTGCACAAGCGTAAAAGAAGAAGTTTTAAAATCGAAGGGGTAAAGCGTGTCAACGAATGGACGTGTGCAGAGGTCGCCACGTATCCGTGGTTTTACCGTTAGCACCTTCAGCAGACCGCTGGTGAAAAAAAAGATTCACTGAAATCAACCTAGAAACCTACTTCTTCGGCATGGAATACGTTAGCCCCAGTGAAAACGAGTACGAACACGACATAGGCACCGTTCATCTTTTTGTGGTCGTGTATCGCAATCCGAGACCAGTGAAACTTACGAGTACCACGCATTCATTCGGTTATAGGTTAATACGAGAATTACATTTCGCTCGCGAAAGTTTTTGTACATAAACAATAATTATTTTCCATCTTAGATATTCGAATATAAATTCTACCAAGTATTTTTGACATTATCGAAAAAGAAATAAAAGAGAACACGACGTAGTAGAAGAACAATGGCTTCAAAATCTGTTCAAATGTTTAGATTTGAAAAGTTCGCGAGTATTTGCACGAGCGAAGTTTCGTGCTTCTCCCGATCTCGTCCGAATTTTTCCGAACTCGACCCGAAGACTCGGCCAACATATGGGCGCTCTCGCATAATCTCAATTTTCACATCTTTTTCAATTCATCGATTCAATTATGCAACATTCTTTTAAATTAATTGACAGATACTTCGTTAAACATAAAGTGTCATAATTTATGAATGTCTCGGTTAATTTTCGAAACGATTTCGAGAGCCAAGGTTTGAACAGCGTAGAAAAATTTGTGTGCCGGTGTTAACGCGCGAAAAACGACGAGTAAATTCGACGAAATTTGCAAATCGGATACAAGTATAGATCAGATTTCCTAATTCACTATTGACGACGTTGTTTTCGCCAACTATACGCTGCGTACCAAGAACGCGTCACAGGTACCAAAGCGACGTGTAAATTCAATGAATACGCGAGAAACGCATACAGGTGTTCTCCGCATTGGAACAAGATAAATCACGTGCAATGCGGGTCTCTGCTCATTATGGCCGCGAGCGTGTAAATTAAGGCCGTGAAAATGTCGGGACAGCGCCGATATACGAGCGAACAAGAACGTCGGATACATTGAACTTTCACGTTTCTATTTTCACCGAAGTGTAATTCAGCGAACTATAAATATACACGACACGCTGAAACACTCTACATTGCGGACGATTCCGCGATCGAGGCTAAGACGTCGTTCACGGAAACATGGAATTCTTTTCCCTTCGCTTATCGATTATTCCGATAAGAACACTTTTGTATCGAAGGATACACCGGATTATCGAACGAAAACTTTTTAAAACGTAGAACTGTTAAAAAAAAGAAGTTTGGACACTATATTTGTCGATTCACAATGGCCGGAAGAACGACCTTGAAGGACATAAATCTTTAGACGAAACTATAACGCGTCGTCCACGCTTGTTAGAGGTTTAGCCCGGTGACACTGGATGATGCAAAGCCGACCGATTTCAACGCAACGAAACGCGTCCGGTGCTGGTCAGACCGTCGACCGGGAATTTTAATGACTGGACACTATGGAAAGTCATCAATTTACTTACTCGCCTCTGATCGCCACTCGAGAAATAAATTTCATCGCGAGTTTAACACCGATAACCGAATATCTCTCCTCTCTTCGCGAGCCTCGATAAAATTTCGAGCTAAATATAGTTGTGCGCCAAGTTTCGATGAATAATTCCCCTTCTTTTCACTCTCCCCTGATCTTTTCCTCATCCTCGGCATTTCGACGATACTAAACGAACGCGTGATTCGATCTAGTTTCATAGACCCCGAAAATATTTCATTTAGTTTTTTTTATTCGACGATAACCTTTCCTTATATAGCGCCTTTAAATTGCAAATTTAAAGAGGATATTAACTCGCATTAGGCAGTCGGCCTTCTTGATGACAAAAGATAAAAAATTATTTCTATCGGAAGAAGGTTCTAAATGGTAAAACATTTTACTGATCATCAGCGACTAGAATACCTATTTATACAATAAGGAAAGTGCAGCGTTATCGCCGATTAGAGAGGTGATCATGTTTTCTTTGCTTTTATCGGAATACGTGTACTTTATAGTAGTGCAATATAAGATACTGAACAAATATTTTCTGTAAGCGATAGCACGAGATATATTAATTTCCTCGTTATTTGATTTTCATTCTATGAGAAAACTACGTACTTTCCGCGAGGATTATTAAACAGGAAAACTGTAAATCGAAGCGTAAACGAGATTTATCAAGCAGGAAAATGGTAAATCCCGGTACATGGTATCAAAAGACTATCCGATCAGAATATGATCTACACGAAATTCCAACATTCATATTTTAGAAATTACTCGAGTGCTCGAATATTTTTATTTTCATTACAGCTCTAGTCAAAACAACGACGAAAATATGTGGTTCGTTTTATCGAAAATATCCACTTTTACTTTCTCGACGATTCTTCCGATG